CGCCCAAGTATATATGACCCATCAGGGCCTACCTGCTGCCCCGTCGATCGGCGTGCGTGTGTGATAGATAATGCATCCTACAAGCACAGCGAGGGCTGCGTCACGCGCATAATGCAGGCCCGTCCCCTGTGCGATGTTGGCGCCTCGTCCACGTGGCCAGGGAGCCCAAATTCGTCCGAAAAGCTTTCGGCGTACGACAGTTTTCGTCCCTTTCCCGGTATTGATAACTTTCTTTGCCCTGTTTGTCATCAGGACGAGGTGGCCGAGCGGTCTAAGGCGCTAGATTCAGGACAAACCGGCAGTGCCGGTAGAAAACCTTCTAGTCCGTAAGGGCGTGGGTTCAAATCAACCTCGTCAGCTTTTGCATCCCTGGCCGTCAGGTTTTGCTCCGGACGACTGCGCGGGCTGACAGCCAACCACGCGAGCCATGGCCGTCGTTTTGCTCTTCTCGCCAGTTGAGGGCGGATGCGACGTTTGAGCCAAGGCGACACATGCACACGCTCTACCCCATCATGCGTGCACCTACCTCTCTCGACGCCCTGATAGATGGAAGGGGGGTGCTGCTGATCAGATCGATGCGGTTCTCGCTTGCATTGTGTGCATATTTGTGACAGCCGAGTATGCCCCCCATCCCCCTTGCTTGCGCGACGCTGTCCTGCACAGTAACTAGAATGCGCCTTTAATAACTGCTGATCCCAGATGCATGCGTGTGACCCACGGTTCATTTGCGCCGTAGCCTAGGGGAGTAGCCCTGTGTGAGTAGGGACTTAGAGCGCCAGGGACAAAGGCGGCGTCTGCGGCCAGCTCCGTAGCTGTCCTGGCCGCGTGCGTGGCGGTAGGGTCTTCCACAGGCCAAGTCCACAGGCCCCATCCAAAGGCACCGTTCACGGCGGCAAGCAAGCAAGCTGCCACTGACGTCGTCCATCCCGTCAGCAGCCAATGCGGCCCTCCCGGCGAACGTCCAGATGGCCGGCTCATGGCAATTCCGTGCGCAAGCTAGCACACACGCACGCACACATCCAGCTGCGTCAGGATGTGCGACAAGGTCGCCGGCACCGCATGATGGCAGGCGGAAGCACCGCACGCAGCAGGTGACGGAGTCAGGCCCCTCCCAATCCTGGAGTCCTGCGTGCTGGAGGCATCGCGCGCCTGTGGTCTGCGAATGCGCGCCTAGGAGAGCGCACATGTAGAGAGATTGGCGCTGCCAGAACTAGACAGGTTAGCCGTAACAGGTTTATCGGCCCCGCCCTTATGTGCGTGAGGTGTCTTGGTGGGTTGGCCCAATGCTTGCCTCACCTGGTCACAACGCTCGCGTTTGTCGGTTCCCTTCGCTGTCAATCATGGCATCTCCTGGCCCTGCCGAGGGACAAACTGTTGTCCTCCAGCTGAGCTCTCATGCACGTACATGGCACCGCCCAAGTATATATGACCCATCAGGGCCTACCTGCTGCCCCGTCGATCGGCGTGCGTGTGTGATAGATAATGCATCCTACAAGCACAGCGAGGGCTGCGTCACGCGCATAATGCAGGCCCGTCCCCTGTGCGATGTTGGCGCCTCGTCCACGTGGCCAGGGAGCCCAAATTCGTCCGAAAAGCTTTCGGCGTACGACAGTTTTCGTCCCTTTCCCGGTATTGATAACTTTCTTTGCCCTGTTTGTCATCAGGACGAGGTGGCCGAGCGGTCTAAGGCGCTAGATTCAGGACAAACCGGCAGTGCCGGTAGAAAACCTTCTAGTCCGTAAGGGCGTGGGTTCAAATCAACCTCGTCAGCTTTTGCATCCCTGGCCGTCAGGTTTTGCTCCGGACGACTGCGCGGGCTGACAGCCAACCACGCGAGCCATGGCCGTCGTTTTGCTCTTCTCGCCAGTTGAGGGCGGATGCGACGTTTGAGCCAAGGCAACACATGCACACGCTCTACCCCATCATGCGTGCACCTACCTCTCTCGACGCCCTGATAGATGGAAGGGGGGTGCTGCTGATCAGATCGATGCGGTTCTCGCTTGCATTGTGTGCATACTTGTGACAGCCGAGTATGCCCCCCATCCCCCTTGCTTGCGCGACGCTGTCCTGCACAGTAGCTAGAATGCGCCTTTAATAACTGCTGATCCCAGATGCATGCGTGTGACCCACGGTTCATTTGCGCCGTAGCCTAGGGGAGTAGCCCTGTGTGAGTAGGGACTTAGAGCGCCAGGGACAAAGGCGGCGTCTGCGGCCAGCTCCGTAGCTGTCCTGGCCGCGTGCGTGGCGGTAGGGTCTTCCACAGGCCAAGTCCACAGGCCCCATCCAAAGGCACCGTTCACGGCGGCAAGCAAGCAAGCTGCCACTGACGTCGTCCATCCCGTCAGCAGCCAATGCGGCCCTCCCGGCGAACGTCCAGATGGCCGGCTCATGGCAATTCCGTGCGCAAGCTAGCACACACGCACGCACACATCCAGCTGCGTCAGGATGTGCGACAAGGTCGCCGGCACCGCATGATGGCAGGCGGAAGCACCGCACGCAGCAGGTGACGGAGTCAGGCCCCTCCCAATCCTGGAGTCCTGCGTGCTGGAGGCATCGCGCGCCTGTGGTCTGCGAATGCGCGCCTAGGAGAGCGCACATGTAGAGAGATTGGCGCTGCCAGAACTAGACAGGTTAGCCGTAACAGGTTTATCGGCCCCGCCCTTATGTGCGTGAGGTGTCTTGGTGGGTTGGCCCAATGCTTGCCTCACCTGGTCACAACGCTCGCGTTTGTCGGTTCCCTTCGCTGTCAATCATGGCATCTCCTGGCCCTGCCGAGGGACAAACTGTTGTCCTCCAGCTGAGCTCTCATGCACGTACATGGCACCGCCCAAGTATATATGACCCATCAGGGCCTACCTGCTGCCCCGTCGATCGGCGTGCGTGTGTGATAGATCATGCATCCTACAAGCACAGCGAGGGCTGCGTCACGCGCATAATGCAGGCCCGTCCCCTGTGCGATGTTGGCGCCTCGTCCACGTGGCCAGGGAGCCCAAATTCGTCCGAAAAGCTTTCGGCGTACGACAGTTTTCGTCCCTTTCCCGGTATTGATAACTTTCTTTGCCCTGTTTGTCATCAGGACGAGGTGGCCGAGCGGTCTAAGGCGCTAGATTCAGGACTAACCGGCAGTGCCGGTAGGAAACCCGTCAGCTTCGCAGACACCGGGGCTCGCCCCCTTTTTAAAATTTAGCGATGGTGTTGGGCTAGACTTGGGTTGGATTGGCAATTTAGGGTGGTTTTTGTGCGTTGGACGCTTGCATGTTGGCAGCTGCTCGGTGTGGGGTCTGGCAGTGGAGCTGCTGTGGTGCTTCGTACAACTGGTTCGTAATGACCCGCATAAACGGCTAAGGGAATTTCTTCGCTGTTGCCGCCATATGCGTGGGAAAGGGCACGACACCCAGTGCCGTCGGCATGCCAAACGGTTAGGTTGCATTGAAAGGCAATCGCTACCCAGAGGACGATGTTTTCGTCCGCCCATGCCGCTGTGACCACAGGCCCTTCCCCTTGTGACAGCATGTCTGTGCAGTAAGCAGCCACAGCAGCGCCTTCTGAAGCTGCGGTGCATGCATATCTTGCCTCCTTAGCAATGGCAGTGGCTGTATTTGCAGCCAGCGACACGTGTGGATTGTCGATTTGGAACTGCGAGCTAACACCATGCCTAAGCTCTTCATGCGGTGTGCCTGGGTCCAACATACGCGCTCGTTCACAGGCTTCCACAAAAACAACATAACACCGGCGAAATTCGCCATTCCCAGCTTGACGCACTGCTGATACACCCACATCCACTCCGCGTTGCTGGAACAACAGCCAACGAAAGGCATCAAAGAAGCAATCGTCAGAGCGATAGCCGACAGGATTCCGACGAAGGCCATGTCGGGCGAGGGACGCCTCGAATACGCCAAACGAGCACGTCGTGCGTTCCACTTTTCAGCGGTGGCCGTTGAACGAACGAAATGAGTGAACGAACGTAAACGTAAACGTAGCGGGACGATGCCAACTTTTGTGGCACTGCGGCAGCCTTTGCTAAGCTGTTTGTATTGATCTACAACTAAGCTTTCTACATTCTAACCGAAATATCCACTTTACCAGTTTAGTTTATTGCAAGAGGCATGATACATTTAAGGGATGCACAACAAAAGGCAACTTATCCTTGGCTTATGGGCATTGTAGCAATGTCATGTTACAACGCTACAATGACATTGCTATGGAGATTACGAATCACCTGGACAAACCTTCCAACAGCACTTTGTTTCCGCCGACAAGTACGACACTTGGGTCGTCTTCAGACATGTAAGCCTCTCTCTGTTTTCAACATGACAGCAATCTAAGAGCAAAACAACGAATACAACGCCACCTTGTTCGAGCGTTTCTGCGACCTCGATGCAGGTACATGTAAAATGTACAGGGATACACCATAGGACATGTTCACGGTACAAAAAGGACATAACGCCTCGGCCCGGACTATTTTGAGTGAACGCTAAGACTACGCCCCTAATCGGGGCGAGCCAACCTTCTAGTCCGTAAGGGCGTGGGTTCAAATCAACCTCGTCAGCTTTTGCATCCCTGGCCGTCAGGTTTTGCTCCGGACGACTGCGCGGGCTGACAGCCAACCACGTTTGGGTTTTAGTTTCTTTCCTTAGTTCCTGGCCTTTCTCGGCCGAGCCTTAGGCATAGCCAATGTAACCAGAACAAACATGTAGAGAGGTTGGCGCTGCCAGGATTAGACGGGTTGAACAAACATGTAGAGAGGTTGGCGCTGCCAGGATTAGACAGGTTAGCCGTAACAGGTTTATCGACCCCGCGGTTATGATCAACCAAGCACGAGAGCCATAGCCGTCGCAACGCTGTCGTGCACAGTAGCTAGCATGTGCCTCTGGTCAATTTGTCTTAGGTACCACAACAGGAGCAGACAACCAATCCAGACACCAGTTACAAGCATATACACAGGTCCACGGCCTCAGTAGCTTAAATGGGAAAGCCTGAGCGAAGCAAACTGGAAGTCCAGGTTGAAACCCAGATGTAATGTAATAATAAAACACAGGTCCACGCCCGCATACCCAACACGTGATGTGAGGTCATGCACCATGCGGGGTATTTTCAGAGCGTGGTTGTGGAGTGCAGGGCGGCCTCTCGGGCCGTCCCGCCCTGAGCACTTACACTAGTTTGCGCTTGAAACCACGTTGCACGCACAGCCCAGCCAGCAACTACATGTTATCGTATGTGACGGCGGAATTCTGCTTAGCAGTGAGTGGTCGCGTTTCCACCGAGCTACAGACAGGTGCCAGAGCCGCTGACCACATTCATTTTCCTCAAATTGAATAGCCTAAGAAGATACCCACACCGCTCCGACGGCTCATGCATGTGATGTACACAATAAAAACACCTGGAGGTGGGTGCATCACTGCAGGAGGCCCACCCAATTGAAACATCTAGTCTAAGCCATTGTTCCTATCTAGGACTCGTCATAAGAAGAAGAAAAAGAAGAAGAAGAGGATGAAGAAGGCTGAGCTGCAGGTAGCAGCTGAGGGGATCGGTTGGCGGGGCCAGGCATTGTCTTCACAAGTGCCGCCATTGACGTCGTGAATGTTGATGACATGTTGCCCCTGGGACGCAGGCACTGGCTCTTGCCTTGATGCCGAGGCTTGTCATCTGTGCAGCAGCAGCGGGAGGCGAAACAAAATCAGGAATGTGTTTACTGGTATATCGGGATACACGTACGAAGCCACAGTACGGATGGATAAGGAATCTCCTGAATATGGTTCATCGGCTTATTATCTGGCGGATGGCTCGTCGTCCCTGTGATACTCAACACGTGTCCCTGTCCCTGACCTGTCACAGTAACATTCCAATTATCACAATAACTGCCAATGCCAAAAACGTGTGCCATCCTTCAGCAGGCAGCATGGTGCAATTCATGCATGCTATTCGGCACGCACCATCCTAACTAACGCGCCCCCTTCCTGAATTTCGCGTACATCCTAAAGCACCCATAGCCCCTGAACAACTTACGCTGCCCTTTTATGATGTCTGGCGGCAAAGGAATAGTCAGCCCGCCAATGCTGCTCTCCGCAGTCGACAAGCCCGTTGACGCTGGCAGTGAGACCGCAGCTAGGGCAGTACGCCCCTCCCGTGATGCCCGGAATTGGGGGCTGTGCCATGACTGTGGCTGCTGCAGCTGCGATTGTGGACTTGGATTCCGATCTTGGGGCGCATGTGAGGTGTTTTCCAAGTGCGCGGCCCCAGGTGCCGGTGTTGTCACAGCCGCCGGCGAGGGTAATGGCGACACCGCCGGCGAGGGTAGTGACAATTGTAAGGCAGGGATGGGAAGCAGGCCTGTTGCTGGCGGCACCGCCCCGATTCCTGCGGCAGTAGCCCCTCTTTGCCGCGTGTGGCTTCGAGACCTAAACAAGGAGGGCACCGCCGCAGTCGACGAGGATGGTGACTGTGACGTGACGGCGCCGGTGCGCTCCTGGGGAGCCAATCCACCGATACTCAGATCTGCAGCGGAAGCTACGGGACTGATTCCAGCCCTGGCCACATGGTCTGGCGGAGTTGCCGAGCCCTTGGGTTGGCTACCGCCGGTATCAGTAGACGCGGCTGCTGCTGCGGAGACGGTCAGGGCAGTAGCAGCAGCAGCCGCTGCTCCTGCTGCAGCAGCCGTTTGGGCAGTAACAGCAGCAGCTGGAATGTGGCCACTGCTCCGACGATAGCTAACGCCGCTATATTTAGATCCTGAGACGCCCTCGTTTCGGTCGGTGCTGCTGCTAGCATTCTCGTGGCTGGCTATCGGGATGCTGTGTGTTCGGGGTGTCACCAAGGCAATAGAGGAGGCGCTTGTACGGCCTCCATCGCCGCCGCCGTCGCCACTGGCGTCCCTAGGCATGGTTTCCACAGCAACAACACCTCCCACTGCGCCTCCACCAGAAGACGTCATGTCCACTAATCGGCGATACGAACGGTCAAATGCGAGCTGCAGTCGGCCGGTGGCGGTTTGAAGCCGACCGGTAGCGTCGACCCATGGGTCACACAAGGCCTCGCGCAATACCTGCAAACGGCATCATTGTGCACTGTGCTTATTTAAGCTACCGCACACTGGCGTTACGAAACTTCGCAAAACGGGCATCCTGTGCGCCCGCAAGAAAACACAGCCGGCAATAAGGTTGCATTCCATGTGCAACAATATCGGTAATCCACGCGATCTAAACGTCTGCTGGGGCATAAAACCTCCACCACCTACCCTCAACGGTGGCTTCCGGGGATCCGCCTCCATGACCGCCTGTGAGACAATGCAGGCCAAGATACCAAGCAGCTCACATGGAGCAGATAAGGACAACCAAACGGATAGGGCTCGGTAAAATGCGTCAACAAGTGTCGGGAGTGTGCATGCGCTACATGCTGCCATCCTACGGACATGGGTGACCTGGAAGACAGGAAGAACCATGAAACATGATGACTCAGCGCCAACTCCTTCCAACCCAAACCAGCAGGCTCATTCCGGCCACACGACATGCAGCCGCATGTCATGCCCATCCCGCCTTCTTACCTGCAGCAGCGGCTTTGTAAGTGTGCTCACCACTAGCACACTAGCCACCACCACCAGCAGCGTCGACGCAATAAGCGTATCATGATGGCGATAGTTGATGACACCGCTTGCCAAGCCCTCCCCGACACCTGCTGCTTGCGCTACTCCGCCTGTCAGACCTATCGTCTCGGCTGCTGCCTTGGCTGCTGCTACTGCTGCCGCCGAAGCAACAACCGGAGCGGTAGCAGCAGCTCCGGGCAAAGCAGGCGTGGCATTCACGCTGATGATGGGTCCAAGGGCATGATGCGTGCGCGCGTGCGTGTGGTTGTGGGTGTGATTGGAAGCAAAGGCGAAAAGGCGGCGGCTGGTGCCAACAGCCGACGTCAAAAGGAGCCGTCCAGAGCCGAGGGAGCCGCCACCGGAGCCAATAAAGCTTCCAGAAGCATTGACGGAGGCATTGCCGTACATCAGAGCAGGCAACGCCGCTGACCCTGATGATGTCCCACCTCTTCCTGCCAAGGGGTAGGGGTAGGCACCCTGTCCTGTGTCGAAGTTGAGGTACACGAGGGCGACGGATACGGCTCCCCGCATGAGTCCGGACCACCTGGGGGCAAAGCCGCCGCGGGGGTGGGTCAACATACGCGGGAGCGGCATATGTCAGGCCTGTGCCAACGCAAGGAGAGGGTTAGGAGGAGGTACTGATATGTGTCGAAAACGTAGTGGAGGAATAGCCGTTTGCATGGCTGCGTCTTTGCTTCTTTCAATGTCTCTCCTAAGCGCTTATTCGCCCCACTCCACCTGCTTCCATCCCACAACACGTTTTTGCCTTTGCTCTTTGGTATGCGTCGGCATACATACGGTGTTATACATCCATGCGCAGGCACCCCAGCGACAGTATCAACCTCAGCCCCAACCCGCCACCTCACCACACCACCAAGATGTCACGTCCGCTCAGCCGCTGGTGCCGCGGCGCGTACACGTTGTGCAGCAGACTCAACGGGATGACGCTTGCAGCGCGAGCCGCCTATTGGTCCAGGGAGGGAGAACAAAGAAGAAAACACCGAGAACGGATGACAGGATAAGGTGGACGCGTGGAAAGCTTGGGTGGGGTCGCAGTGTGGACAGGAGTGTAGGGCATCCGGTGGCATTTGCGTTTCCGTACGGAAGGGGTCGTGCACTTCCGTCATCAATGATGTTCAGCGGTGTCGTAAACTCGGTGTCATGTCTGACCTTGATGACCTATTTTTATGAGCTGTGCAGTGATACAGCACCACCAAAAGTACCAAGAGCAGTAAAAGCAGTAGAAGCAGCTGTCCCATCCACACACCAGCAAGAACAGCAGTAGCAGGCCCACCAACCAGGCCACCTCCGCCGCGTCGGAAGCCTGCAGTCAAGGCATCCGACGTGACCACAGATGGAGGCCTCACATGATTGCGTACGACAATAACGCAGTACGCTATAGTTCGATGTAAGGGGCAGCATTAGCAGGACCAGGACCAGTACCGGCGGAGCCAACCCTACCTGCCAGCGAATGGGATCAAGGCAATCCAATCCCAGGTATAGGAAGATAAGGCCCTCGGCGACGTACGACAAACTATGGAAGGCACTCAGTGTAGCGGCGGTACCGGCGGCGCTCATTCGCCCGCCGCTGCCGCCGCCGCCAGCGGCGGCAAACGCTCGTGCCGCCAGTCGCCTCGCCGGTGCCGCTATCAGCCGTAGCACCTTCCCAGCACGGCCGCCGCCGTCGCAGCCGGCGCCGACGTCACTGTCGCGGCGGAAGAATGCGGCTTCATCGTCATTGGCGGCGGCCGCGCCGCGGCTACTTGCAATGGGCACACGCGTTTCGTACAACCAACCCGTGCCATCGGCACTGATGGCGGTTGGCGTTGGCGGTTGGGTGCCGTCACCGCCGCCGGCTGAGTCGTGAGCGTTACGTAATGGCGTCCCAACGGTATGATGCTGACCGTTGAAATGTACGGAATCGTCACCACCGCCGCCGCCGTCACTGATGCCGCCGCCGCCGTTGCCATTGCCGCCTCGAAGCGCAAAGTGTGAGACGGCGGCGCCACAGCAAAAGAGTGAGAGGATGCCCGAAAGGCCCAGGACGTCCGCTATAAGATACGCCAAGTACGACAAAAGGCCGACCAGTGCCATCTCCTGCAAGCATCAACATGCCGTACGATGAGGCCTTCGCCAAGATAAAGCGATCCCAAACATGCTGGACCAATGCTAAGGCAACGTTGGACTTCGTAAGAACCCCGGTAGCTACCTAGCTTGCTCTCAATTAGCGGTAATACGTGTTCCTAGCTCATGTGAGCTACCAACCGGCAAAGAGCCACCCTTTCTCATACCTACACCCTTCCCTACCTTCCCTACCTCCCGTAACCTCCTCCCCCCATGTCCCCGCGTCCCCATGTCCCCTTCTTTCAACTCACGTGGTGGGGTCCCTGGCTGGCTGCCCCCACCCGCAGCAGCGCCGCCACTCCCGCGCCCGCAGCCACACCCAGGCACGCGCTGGTCAGCAGCAGGTATCTGCGGAGGAGGAGGCGGGGAGGCAGGGAGGCAGGGAGGGACACAGGAAGGGAGGGAGGGAAGGAGCTGTATGACAGTAGGAGGAAGGGCAGGGAAGCACTGCAGGCAGGGAAGAGAACGCCAAGACGTTGTTGTTAACGATGCCCTACCCGAAACCCGGAGGGCAGGGGAGTACTGATTAACAACCAAGCAAGAGATACAAAACACACAAAACGCAGCATGCTACAAGGCCCACCGATCGCTATTAGGGTGAGGCTTCCTTAGCAATCCTCGATCAGCAACCTCCAACCTGACACCTAGCTGCACCCGATGGCTACACGTCATACTCCCTACCCGAAATTCCCTGTCAGTTGCCATGCTAGCGCCAACACCGACGATCCGCCTCCTCCACCTCCTCCTCCACCCTCTCGAGCTGCCGCTGTCGCCTCCGCCTCCTGCTGCCTTGCCATCCTGGCAAGGGCTCCCAGCAGTACCACGCTGGTCGCATCATTCACGATTCCCTCCCCAAACACAAGGCTGAAGAGCTGCGGAGAGGATCTGGGATCCAGCAGGCTGAGTACGGCAACCGAATCGGTTGCCGCGAATACGGCACCCAGGGCCAAGCAGTCCTGCAGGGTTGTTGTAAGCGGTGGAAGGAGTAGAGAGGTTTGGTCGCGTGCTGTAACGGGAATACACGCACGTGAACAAACGTTACGAACTTGCCTTGAGAACGCATTTACCGTGGAATACAGGCCGCTCCAGGAAACGTGAACAGGACTAAAAAGGAGGTGCAGACATTCATCTGTGACCCATGGGTCCACACAGCGGTCGCGCTACCTTCTCCAACGATGAACCCCAAGCCTTTAACAAGCCCCACGCATATCCTAATTCTCCGCCGCCGTACACCTCGTACCGTACCCTTGCGTACGGCACCCTCCGCACCGCTGCCGTACCTGCGCCTCCAGCCCAATTGTCGTACCCGCCAAGCTGTACAGCGCCGCCGACATGAGTACGAAGGAGAGCAGCGTGCCCAGCACCCCCAGGCTCAGGATGGAGGGCAGGTTGCCGAAGAAGCGGCGCTGCTCCACTGACAGCCCGGCGTAGAAGATGACGGGGGGCAGCAGGTAGCTAGGAAGGGGGGGGGGGCAAGGGGATAAATGAAAAAGAGAAGGATGGACAAGGGGAAGCGGGGTTGAGAAGGGAACCACCAAATGCCATCATCAATACGGGATTGCATAAACAAGCCACTCTACTAGTCATCCGATCCATTGCTGCTCCGCGGTACCCGTCAGTGGCGTTACACTCGCCAAGGGTGAACCCCATACACACGCACCCCATCCCGGCAGTCACAGTACGTTCCAACTCGCGGCCAGTTTTTTCAACACACGCGCCGTCCCTCCCGCCCCCATCACGTACGTACGTGAAGAACGCGGCGCTGTCAAAGGACAGCATCTCATTCACAAGCCCCGCCGTGTCCCGGTTGCGGCAGGCCAGCAGCGCCAGCCCCGCAGCAAGGCCCAGCAGGCAGGCGGTGCCGCTCTCGCTGAGGTAGCGGGAGCTGCAGGGGGCAGGGGGCAGGGGCCGAGGCAGGGAGGTTGCGGGAGTGGGAGTAGAGGATGGAGAGAGTACGGATGGGGAATATTGCAGTACCGCTCTCGCTGAGGTAGCGGGAGCTGCAGGGGGTGGGAGCTGAGGTGATGAGGGCGGCGGGGCATGGAGTGGAGGGCATGGAAGGGTACATGGGGAGGAGGGCGGGACCCCTACACGGCAGCAGGGAGCCTGAAAGAGGGAGAAAATCCAAAGCCTGTTGTATGCTGCTGATGAAGGCTGGACGAAGCACCCATCGTGACCTCACATACAGGAAGATACCCACGCACCGTGAGCTTAGGTAGTGGCCCACAAGGCTCCAAACCGCCGCCAGAAACACCAGCATGCCTGCAGCAAGCGAATGTGGTGATGAGACCGCGCGGGCTAACCATATGAAGCCCTGATGAGCAAGTCCTGACGTCTCTCTAGGTTAGAACCCGCTAGAGTTTAACGCGTCAGGAACCCAAGCCCCCATTGCAATTGTTGCTTCGACGAGTGTGGCGAGGAATTCAGTGCCCCTTCGTCGCACTTTAACCCCGCTCATCTGACCGTCCTTTCCCCCACCGCCAACGCACCCGTGCTGAGGCCCGCGAGTGCGAGGTCCGTCTCCGACGAATTAGTTGAAGGGTTGGAAACAGCCGCCGCGGCTGCGGCTACAAATGATTGATCGGCCGTCATGCTGTCCTGAAGCTGAATGCAGCTTCCCTTGCTGGAGGAAAGCGGCGAGAGGATGAGACGTCGGAAGCTCAGACGTCACTACCCTTACTGTCACTACAAGCACGTAAGCTTCAACTGAGAGCTATGGTATGGACACTTCAGCGCTCGCTAGACTTGCCGGCCGGGCTTATGCGCTTCGACAACGGCATCGGAGCACAACAGGCTTGGGTTGCGAAGTGATATACATTTTGCACAACTAAATGGGGAAAGCATATGGTCAAAGTGTTTCCGCACTGGCGAATTGGGCAGCGTTTGCGTTGCCCCATTGCTAGAAGGGACGATAGCTACATGATTGTACGAAGCCAATTGGCCCTTCAGCGGACGAAATGTACCTACTGTAGCCCGTTCCGTTCGTTCTCCGCCAAACACCTCAATCGTGAACGAACAGTGGCATTCCTAAGCGTGTAACCGTTTGCCTCATTCGCACACTAACCCATGGCTTCGCGCTAACGCCTAAGCACAGTTTGTACCGAGCCATATACTTTAACATTGCTGACTGTATAAGTCAAGTACCTGCTGGTTATTTGCACCAGATCAACTGTTAACGTGAGACACCTGTCTTCCATCATCCTTTAGCCCTTCAACCAGCACACGGTGAAAGACTTTACTAGAAGCCATGTCGGAGTGGGGCATGCGGCCCCAGGATCAGGCGTATGGTGGTAGTCAAGGAGCGGGCGTGGAATGGTTCAGTTCAGGTGGCACCGGCACCTACGGCTCTTACTCTGGATATTCAGCGCCTGTTGGAGGGTATGCTGGTGCCAGCAGTAGCGGCTATGAGGATGAACCTCCACTTCTTGAAGGTATGCGCATTGGGGTTCAAAACAGACCTTCGTTTTCTTTCACAGCCTATATCGCTCTTGAACTGTCACCACCGCAGACGCCTATAGTCAGACTAGGTGCTTGTTTTGGTGTGTTGTCTTTTGATCCAAACAACCAGAGCTCGGCATTGATGTTGGCGCAATCTTCCTGAAGACGCGTGCGGTGCTGCTTTGGCGGTTTAACTCTCGATACTTGGACGACCTGGACATGGGGGGAGCACTCATCTTTGTCTTCGTACTTGCTGGACTACAGCTACTGGTGGGTGGTCCTCGCCAGCCCAAACCCACACATGCTAGCCTCCTGTATGCGAACGCCCGCTTTCCGCATCCCTACCTACACTCATTGAGAACACCTTGTCGCAGTGCAGTCATGCCAGGACCTTGCCTATCTTTGAGCCCACGCCGAATCCCACTTGCAACTCAACCCCACTGCCCTGTTCCCTCCCCCCTTGCGCCCCCTTCCCGTGCTCTCCACTACTCCTCACCACCTCACCACCCACACAGATGGGCAAGCTGCACTTTGGCGTGACGCTGGGTTGGAGCGTCGTGTTTTCCATCTTGATGTGGTTCCTGCTGCGGCAACTAGTGGGCTCAGAGGGTGCGGAAGCCAAGAACCTTGACTTGTACGGCTGCTGCTGCGTGGTCGGCTACAGCATGCTACCGCTGGTGGTTTTCAACGCGGCAGCCATCCTGCTACCCAGGGGGCCCGTTTGCGTGCTAGCGGCTGCGGGATGCACGGTCTGGGCAGCGCTCACGGCGTCGCGCATATTCGCTCGCCGCTGTCCGGCACTAGAGGATCTTAAGGTGGGGGTGATGGAACTAGAGCGGGGCAATGGGTACAGGGCTGGTCAGCTTCCGCCTAGTGGGCTTGCAAAGAGCCCTTGTCCTCGTTCTCTGCTCTCGTGTCCTCCAACGCCGCTTGTGCACTGCCTCCGCCTACCTCCCTGGGTCCACAGGGTGTCATCATGTACCCCTGCCTGCTCACGTACGCCACATTCGCACTACTCATAGTGTACTGAGCGGGATGCAGAACCTGTGGAGCGTGGCACAACCGGCTAGAGGGCGGCGGCATGGGCCTTATGGAACGGAGCGGGCTCGAGGACAGCTGCGGGAGGCGGCAGGCGCCAGGCCATCCGGCAGTGAGAGGCAGTCCGGCTTAGGCGTGTGGGATGGGAGGATGGGAGAGGATTGCGGGTTTGCAACCGCAGCTGGAGCAGGATTTATCTTGATGTACAGAGGAGCGGTGAGGCTGCTGAGTCCTGGTGGGGAAGAGGTTCTAGCGGTTAGGATGGCAGCTTGCAAGCGCGGTGAAAGGAGTAGGTGAGAGTCTTACAAAGGTTGTGGCAATGCAAGCTCGTTAGGTTTGTGGTGTACTAACCGCCAGTGATTGGGACCAACGTATGAGAGGTAGAGTACCATGATAGCCATGGGGAAACCTGGGTGTAGCTGTACCATGCAGGGGGTGGAGAAACGGGGAGGGGGCATGACACGGTAACATGTCAGTCAGCAATTGAGGATGTGAAACCCATGCTGACTTTCACCATGCAGCTGAGGACGGAGAGGAAAACAGGGTATACTATAGACGAGTTCCTGCGATGCAAGGAGGCAATGCAGCATGAACATGTCATGGCAGGCGCTGCTTCCAAAAGGCGGTGCAGGCTAGTAGCCTGTAATGCTATTGGATTGTGCACCACAACCACTCGAAGCCAGGATATTGTCTTCCTCCCAGAACCCTGCCTTTTGCTGTCTTGGTACTGCAGGCCACATGAGAGCACTTCACCCGGCTGTGCAAGGTTTGCTTGCGGATGGGGCGTGACGTGAAGACGGGCGACCGTGTCTTAACATTCAATGTGACCTTTTCACACCCAAAGCTTAAAAGCCCGCGTCGTCCAAGGAAGGTCTGAACGGCAGTGGGTTAGGCGGCACGCGGGCTAGCATGCGGCTTCTTGGTGTGCCATGAGGCAATACAACCTCAGAGCGCCAACAGCAACAGCCTCTTGACACATGCACCGGCGCTGGCGCATGCGCTTGCTACCACTCTTCCGTCATGCCCTGCTTCCTACACCTTCCCAGGCCCCGTAACCCCAACCCCAGCCGCCCCCTCACCTCCACCCTTGCCCTCCCTCTTCCCTTCCCCATCTCTCCCGCCAAACCCCGCCACATCCATCGGCACTGCCGACCCCGTCCCTGCACTCCCAGATGCCCCACCTGCGCACCCCCCGCCCACGCCTCCAACCACCCGTACCCGCAGCCCCGAGCCTGCTACCAGCGCCCCCCAGCCTGCCCCCAGCCGACCTAGTAACCCACCCAGCACAAGCATCAGACACCCCGCCAGGCAACATGCAGACCCCAGCACTACCGCGGACACGCCAAAGCCGCCTCCGCGAATGGCTGCAGCCCCGCCGCTCTTGCCGCCGGCAGCAGCCGCGGCGTGTTGTGCCCGCTGCACCAGCCAGCCTACCAGGGAGGGGCCTAGGAAGCCGCCTAGGGTGCCTGGAGGATAGGCCAGGAGAATGGTGGCGAGGGCAGGTGATGAACTTGCGGTAGAGCGGTAGCATGCAGAGGGAACGCGTAAGGAACTGCGCGGTTTTAAGAGGTCGTCACAGTGTGTGGCGCCCGCCCGGGAGCTCCCACGACCCATGACCACAACAACCGTGACGCCACCAACTCCCTACTGCCTAAGCCACGGTAAAGCCGCCTTCCCTTCACTCTCCCCCCCCCCCCGCCCCTCGCACCCGCACACAGCCACGCACTGCTATAACCATAACACACGCACGCATGCATGCATGCACCCCAAGTCGCACCCCAGTTTTCTTAACACACCGGTACACGAACACGTACCCAGGGAGTTGTACAGCGGCAGGGCCACCACCAGCCCCGGACCCGCAGCCAGCTCCGCCAGCAGCGCCAGCGTGGGGCCACTGCCGCAGTAGACACCCACCTGACAGGGGGCAGAAGGGAGGTGGAAGAAGAGGTGAGGTGGGGCGTATAAAGGGAAGAAGAAGAGGAAGGACAAATCGTTACCCAACAGTACGGAGGTGAGGTGAGGTGGGGCATATAAAATTCGAAATACTGAAAGCCGGGGGATGCCGGAGGAGGAGGAGGAGAAGAAGGAGGTGGTAGCTAGGAGGGTACGAAACACCGTGGGCGGGAACCGGGAAGAGGAGGGGTCGACGCTCATGTTGGGGCGGTGAGAATAGGAATGAGGCGGCGCAGTTGCGAATGTGTGATGAACCCAGCTGTGATGAAACCAGCTGTGATGAACCCAGCGAATGCACAGCACGGTAGTGTCCGGGCGGAAGGCAGGCATGCCCCCGTGCGACTAGGTAGATCGTATGACAGCCTTCGCGCACAACATGAATGTTGCATCGCCGTAAATCACCCAGAGTAAACGTTTTGCAAGCCGTTACCCTAAACCGCTTATTTAGCTTACCACGCCGACGCTCAGCGCCGCAAAGCCCAGCCAAGGGGAGCGGTCAGCGGCTCCCGCGTACAAGGTGAGTGCAGCGCCTACGCAAAGGGGGCAGCGGCGTAAGCAGTACGAAAGGATTAAAACGGCATCCATGCATCTGGGGAATAGTATGGCATGGAAGAACGAAGGTGCACATTTCGGCGCTATCCAAGCTTTTGCACACCAAGGCGCAACGTGTGTAGAGGCCGTGTACCTTCCCTTCTCACGCATGTCCGATGCAGGCCCTATGCACGAAACCGGAACCCACTGTACGACAAAACCTGTACGACACCGGTACGTTCGTGCACTGTACGGCAGTTTTACCTGCCAGGATGTACGGCACCGCTACATGCAGAAAACGCTCTCCGCTGCGTTGGGAGCTGTGCGCTAGCAGCATGCCCACAAGGGCGGCGGTGGCGAAGGGCAGTGACGTCAGCAGCACCGCCGCCGCGCCCGTGCCGTGACCCTCTGATGATTGCACTTGCGCAAGGAGGTGCCGGTGGTCGTGGTGGAGGTTTCGCGGGTGTTGCGTGGTTTGGGTTGTGTTGGCTGGAGCGTGATGAAGGAGGGAGGTGGCGTTGGATTGGTGCGCCTGCGGATTGCAGCAGCAGCGAGGAAGAGGATGGGAAAGGGGTCTGGTCACTATCATGATACGTTGATTATAGCAGCTCGGTGCTTAGGTCGTGAGGTAGGATGGTAAGGTGCAAGCGATTTGGCACCTACCATATCATGAAGCAAAGCGTTCACGATGGTGGGTGCCCAGAAGATGAGACCAAAGGAGGCAATGTCACGAAGGAACTTGACAGCGCCCATGTACCACACGTACCTGCGTACGGAAATGTGTACAACAGACGGTTAGGTGCTTACAGGTGGTAACACCAGCGGGCCATGAGGCCCCTGGCTCGTCTGGGCCTTACGAGACCCAAGCTTGGATAGCCTCAAGCGATAGGAAGCATGCCGGCACACGCTGGGTTCTGAGCAACGCACACGTTACACAGGGCCACGGCAACCTACGAGACGGTTTCGTTGACGCTCACCGTACAGCTTCCAAAAGGAACGTGCTGACTTTCGCACAAGTCGTCAGGACGCTTCAATCAATTCTTAATTCTTAAAGTACCTTTAGCATGTACTGTTTATGGTATACAGTCCAACGGTCCCAACCTACTTGTTAGCAACTGCAAGTCGTACGGCACTCCAAGATGACGCCGCTGCACCGCCGCCGCCGCCGCTAACGCCGCCATCAGCCTTGCTACTCCCAACACAACTCGTGCCGCTGCTGCTACTGTTGCTAGCGCTGCAACCTCCTGCTGCTGCTACACCACGACGTGCTTTAAGAGCCCCTCCTCCAGCTGCGGCAGTAGCATCCCCGCCGACGGCTTTGCTACTGCTGCCGCCAGCATTGCAAGCGCTAGAGTCGTCTGCCTGGACCGAGTTGGCGGTCCCGTTGGTGCTACCGCCGCTGCTGCGCTCAGCATGGCGCTGAATCCTGTGAGCACGAGTGAGATGTGTGAGTCGTTAACAGAAAAGAATCACTTACCATACGACATTCACTTATCACTTTATCGGTTTGTTGCTTTGCTCTTAGGTCGTAGCGTGAGAGCATACCGGTAGCAGTCACCAACCTACTCCAAGCCGGTATCGGTTATCCCGGTAGTAACCCCGAATCGTAAAAAAATAAGCGATTCGAGCGTCCGACAGAAAAGCCATACCGCTTGACGAGTGCCTTCCGTTCCGCTACCGTTAGGAAGTCAGCGGTATCCGGGGAGCGAGGCAGCAGCCGATACATGGCAACTGCAGGGCAGGTCCAAGGGTGTGGACCAAGGGTGGGGGCACATGATTGCATGATGGCAGGGGTTGAAGGGCGCATTGGAAAGGAATGGCGGTAGATTGGAAGGCAGAGCGGTGGTGTTGTACGGCAGCATGGCCGTACAGCAGCCCCGGCCGGTGCCTTTTCACATCATGTGCAGTTTGCAATTCAAGGCCGTCAGCGGAACATTGCCAGCAGTAAGAAACATAGGCCACATGCGACTCATGTTGCCTGTTCCCCGCCCTAACCCAAATGTCCCCTTCCCTTTCCCACCCGCCAGCCCCAGTGTGGGCAGCCCTTCAAGCAGGAACAGCCACCTCCAGCCCGCCAGCCCTCCCGCCCCATCCAGTTGGAGGCAGGCGGCGGCTAGCGGGGCAGCCACCACGTGGGAGACGGAGATACCCGCCTCCACTACCGCAAAGGGGAAGGTAATCTGGAGGTGGCGGAAAGAGGGAGGAAGCGGAGATGGAAGAGAGAGAGAGGCGGCATGGAGAGCTTGATAAGGAAAGGCGCGCTGGGCGGTGTGTTGCTCCGGGAGGCGATGCTTGCCTTCAGCTACCGCCGCTACCGCCGCTGCCGCCAGACACGCATCACCTCCCTGAGCTGATGGATGCTGGATGCGTCGTGAAAACGCAGATGCACCACTAAGCGCTCTCCTTTCCAAACACCCTCACCCTTACATTCCTTGTTCACCTTCCTACCGGGTCTTTCAGTAGGAACCGGTATGCCACGCTCCACCCTCCAACCCTCATGCACCTCCCAACCCGTCCTCCAAGTACCCACGCCCGGTGACCAGCCCCCCATCACCCCATGCCACGTGCTCCATTGCAGTCCAGTTGCATTGCCCCCACCCAGCGCCCCTCGCCGCGGCTCAGTTTACGTAATGCCCCACGCCGTACCTTGTCTCCAGGGAAGAAGTTGGTGAGCACATACCACATGCCCGGGAAAGCGCCCGCCTCCGTGGCTCCCAGCAGCAGCCGCAGTCCGTAAAAGTGCGCTGCCGTACGCATTCCCGCGAAACAGCTGGCCGCCAGGCCCCAGGCGGCGATGATGAAGGCGAGCCAGGCGGGACCGCCGAAGCGGCGCAGCAGCAGGTTGCTTGGGATCTAAAGGAAGGATAGTGGCGAACACGAGGTGTCAACCGAATCATACACGGGAAGGAATACACAAGAAGGCAAACACGAGAAGCGCTAAAGTCTTGGGTATCTGAAATGCATGGTGAATGCGGGTTATACGTTTTAACAGATGTAAAGTAGGCTGAGGGAAAGCCAAAAGGAGGTACCTGGAAGAAGGAGTACCCCAGGAAGAACAGTCCAGATCCAACGCCGTACACTGCCGGTGCGAAACCAAGATCCGCGTTCAGTTGTATGGCTGCGAAGGCGAGTGCCGTACGGTCCACATAGCACATGACGACCATCAGAAAGAAGAGGGGCAGCAGTCGAACGCTGACCTGTACGGCAGAAATAGCAATTTGAGAAAACTGATGGTTGTGGAGGGGAAAGAAAAGGTGGAATAATTACGATGACATGTTAAAGCATAAACTAGGCATTAGCAGCGGCAGCAGCATGCCTACACGTTCTGCACCCGCCACCACTCTTGCTGCAGCTGACTTCCTACCTTTCTAAACAACTGCTTGGTATCAACTGCTTGGTTGTTGCTGCCATCAACTCCCGCACGTCCGGACCCTCCTCCTGCTCCACCACCGCCTGACTCCGCATCGCTATCATCACTGTCTGTGTCGTACGACATAGGCGCGGCTCCAAGCAGCGGCTGTAGCTCCCCTGTGCTTCCCTTGTCGCCTGCAGCAGCAGCGGTTTCTACTCCGGCAGCTGTAGTTGTAGCTGCAGCAGCTGCTTTACTTGGAAGCCCGTCCAAGGCGATATGGTGGCTGCGGCTGCCGTTGTTGCCGCTGTCACTTTCGGCATTCGTTTCAGAGCCGCGTTTCGAAGCGGCCCGCCGGCTGTGGGGAGCAGCGGCGGAGGTGGTGGTAGGGGCAGCGGCAAGGGCGCGGCGTGCGGCCGTACCTCCGGCGCCGCTGGGATGGCTTAGGTCGCTGCGAGTGACGAAAGGTAGGGGAGGAGATTGGCGTCATGGACGGAATAGCTGGGCGGCTTAAATTTTAACGATGCACGGGAGGACGGGGGCAATACCGATACGTGCTGTGTGGGATGAGGTGGAGGTACAGGGGAGTTCCGGTGGGGTATTGGCGTGGAGCTGAATTTGATAGGCCGAGCACCCGAGCTCCCGAGAACCGAGCGAGGAGTGAAGGGCGGAACCTTGGTACACTATATGCATGCGCACTGACGTTTTGCAGGCAATATTGATAATATCTAATAACGATATATGACAGGATTATATTCAGCCTGTCAAGCTTCGGTGATTAGGAGCAGGCCCGTCGCCTTGCCGACCTTGGTGTCTCGCCATGACCGCACTGGAGGGCGGTAGCTGTCATTCGCGATGCTTAGCCTATGTCCCTCACTTTATGCATTATGTAGGACGCATGGGCGATGCCGCTAGTAACTGCGCCCAATGACAGCCCCATCGACAAACCAATACTCACCTTGCGTTCAGCCGCTGATAATCCATCCTTCCGCCCCTAATGTCTTAACATTAATCAAATCGAGGATAAGCGCTCTCCGTTCTGCTAGTCAAACAACACAGAGTTACATCTCGACTTGAGCGATGTCGCCCGTCACTCAAACGTGAAACCTAATACCTAATCATGGTTATTGGTAGGCCATGCGTGAGCAACGGTGTCAGTCTTAAACCGAGCGCATTGGAATCGGACAAAAAACCATGTGTCGTACAGTGGCGGTTGACTGCTAACCGCACATAAGCGGCAGCTTGAACACTCGATCTCCGGTTTTCGCCTTGCTTGCCCGAAACTCAATACCGGGCATGAGCATGGAATCCTAATAGGTGAGATGATTGCCATAGGTTTGTCCAGGTCAAGGACACAAGGCACGGACACATGCACGGTGAGCCTCTGGCTTGCAAAGCCAAAAAGAGCATTACATTTGATGCCCTTGAGCCAGGGAGACGTGATGAACTATGGGATAAAGCTCCGGGAGAAAAGCATTGAGCCAGTGACCCTCGGGACTCCGCAGTACGACACCTGTCCTCCACCACAATTACGCACTTGGCAATTTTACGACGTCAGTTTGCCGCCTGGCTTTGATTTAACGTCGTGTTAGTGCTGAGCTCATCTTGTAGCCCATACGTTAGAAAGAAAGCTAATAAGCTGTCGGGCTTCAAGCCGGCAAAACTATGTTTTTGCAATAGGAAATTCGTCAATTTTTGTCGATACTTTGTCGATATAGCTTCAGAATGTATATCTACTCCTCGGGCGCAATTGGGCTGGTGCAGGGTGGAGCGGAATCCTGCTCGCTCCGGCAAGTCAAAAGTGACGCCGCCAAGGCCTGCTAGTTATATTTGAATGGACTTTGGCTAGCTCAATTCTTTGGGCGAGCGTTCCGGCGTAACCGAACATTGCGCTCGCATCGCTTGCGGCCGTGAATGGACGAAATTCTGGATTTTGCTGCTTACTTGTTCGGTATTTACTGCATGTCTGGCAGTCTTTAAGATTGTGTATCGCAATTGACCTTCCATGCTCCAACAGGTTGGCGAAAGGGCGACTCGCGCTGCGACGCTCGCCATGTCCGCTTGCTGCAGCGAGCGCCTCTAGGAGCAGCCGTTTCGGTGATAATCCAGACCAACGGCCGACAAGTGCGAAATTCGATGCATCGAAAAGCCGAGGCGGGCCCGCGGATGGCTCGCGGCAACCAGCCGATAGGCCCCCATCCTCGCGGGATTCAGCGCCATCCAGGTCCTACGAAAGCAACGACCGGCGCCCTCGCGATTACAACACGGAGCCGCCACCTCGTATACTTCGACCGGGCAGCCGGAGGATCGAAGATCGCGACTTCAGCTCTCCTGAACGCCGCGATGGCCATCGCCATTCAGGCCCACGTGACCGCGACGACGAGCCTTTCAGGCGCGGCCCTGAAACAACCCGACCCTTTGAAGGCAGCAACTACAGCACCGGCAGCCCTAACAACATCAGCCGCAAGCGGTCGGAGGCCGAGCGGGCTGCACGTAAGGCTGTACGACAAGCCGACAAGGTCGCAGAGGTCACACGCAACAGCCAGGGTTGCTGCTACGGCTGCGGAGCGGGGTTACAGACGGAGGTTCCGCTGGGGGCTGGCTACGTGGACGCTGCACGGTAAGAGGTCCACTGCGTCCAATTGGCTTAGATCGTGGCTCCCTGGTTGTCATTTTGCTGCCCATGTGCCTCTATCCTGCCGCCTGCATTCCAACCCAACTTCCGTATGTCCGGAATCCAACAGGCACACTGATCCCCCCGCCATATCCCCTTCCCGTTTGCTCTTTACGCACCTGGTTTTATTCTTATCCCTGAATTCCCAACTCCTTCCTTTCTGTGCAGCTACTCGCAGCTCAAGCAGCGGCGGCAGCTGGATAAGGTGCTGTGTGGGCGCTGCAGCGGGCTGTGCAACGGAGCCATGATTCCAGGGGTGCAGGTGGGGTGGGGTTGGGGTGCAGGTGGGGTGGGGTTGGGGTGCCAAGCCATGGGCATGGGGAGTGGGCAGCGATGGTGGGTGCATGAAAGCCATGGCCGCCCGGTTGGGCGTTGCCAGGCTGCATTTCAGGAAACTGAGGTGGTCGGTTTGGTAATGGTAATTGGACTCAGTGTGACGAAAACGATCCACAATTTGCATTCCTCGTTTATGACATGATTCTTATTTCTAACCGCATGACTTGAATGCCACAACGTGTTGGCGTGTGACGATGACTCAACCCACAGGACTTCACTCAGAAGCTGCAGTTAAGGCAGGTGGTGGTGACTGGGGAGGCAGTTGCAGCTGCTGCTGCTGCGGCCACTGCTGCAGGGGCTGCTGCTGGGGCTACCACTGTTGTCGCCACGAAGACCGGGGGATCCGCAACGGCGACTGAAGCGGCGACGGCGAGTGAAGCTGCGGCAGCAGCAGCGGCGGCGGCACCGGATTCAGGGTCTCCGGCGACGGCTGCCGTACCTGCCTCAACAGAGGCAGTTGACATGACCCTGCTTGGAAAGGTATAAGCGGGCGGCATAATAGGGGCCTGTCCTGTTGGGAGGAGGCCAGGAAAAGGAGTGAGTGCAGGCGTGCGGGCGCTGATCAAATGCTTGTGATAAAAGGTTTAGCTTCCATAATCCTGACCATACCGGTAGTCCCTCTTCTTCAGCCCCACTTACCGGTACTCCCTCGCCCCTCTCTTCCCTCCCTCCTCGTCCTCGTCCTCCTCCTCCTCCTCCTCCTCCTCCTCCTCCTCCTCCTCCTCCTCGCACAGGTGTTGGTGACTCCGGAGCAACTCAGAGCGCAGCTGATGCCGGTGAGAGGGGGGGTGGCGGGGAGGAGGTCGGCATGCAGGGGTTATGCGGCATGCAGTGAGGTGGCGGCTGGAAGGAAATGCATACGGTGCATCAAAAGGCAAATCCAGGGATGTGGAGCTGGCAGTGACGAGCCCGGTCCCCCGCCTTCCTCTTAGCGTCTCCCTCATCCCCCTGTCAACCCATGTTGACGCCTTATCCCTCAGTCAGTTACTGTTACTGTTACTGTTTCCTCCCCCTCCCCCTCTCCCCTGCAGCTCTCCCTGCGTGCCGCGGTGGTGGTGCTGCTGGTGGACTTGTTGGACATGAGCGGCAGTCTGCCGGGGCGCGTGCGCGAGGTGGTGGGGCGCAACCCCATCGTGCTGGTGGGCACCAAGATGGACCTGCTGCCGGAGGTGAGGGAGAGGGGGCGCGGGGTGGGTGTGCGGTGCAGCAGGTTAGGATGGGAGGAGTCCCGCCCCTCCCACGCATTACCGCCATCCTTCTCTTCAGACCCCGTGCATTGGGGCTCTTCTGCCGTCTTCCGTCCCGAACCGCACCCCCTCCGCCCCCGCCCCTCCCCATGCTCGACCCCTATCCCTCGCAGCGCTGCCGGCCCCGGGAGGTCGCTGAGTGGCTGGGCGAGGCGGCGGCCGCCAAGAGGCTCTCCGTGGTGTCTGTGCACCTGGTCTCCAGCCACACCGGGGATGGTAGGTGGCGGCACATGCTGCAGACAGCAACGAGCCGTGCACTGGCGGCCCAAGCAAATGGGCACAGGCATAAACCGATTCAATACCCCCATGCCCGCGTTACCCCATGCCCACATTGGCCCCGACCTCCACTACGCCTGCCTGCATTACTACCACACCCGCGCTGCGCCTGTTCACACCCGCCTTACCCCTACGCCAACACTACGCCCGCACGACCCTCATGCCCGCACTTCCCCCATGCCCGCGTTATCCCATGCCCTGTGCAGGAATGTCCGCCGCCGTGTCACGCATCTGCCGCGAGCGCCAGTCGCGCGACGTGTTTGTGGTGGGGGCGGCCAACGTGGGCAAGAGCGCCTTCGTCCGGGCTGCACTCAAGGAGCTGGCGAAGACCGACCCGGCGGCCATCGGCATGGGCAGGTGGGCGGGTCGAGAGGGGCGGGCAGGAGTGGGCTGGGTGAAGGGGGGTAAGGGAAGGAGGAGTGCTGTCACCACACATGTCACCACATGGTCACCTCTGTTTTGCCTGTACTCGCGGTTCACATGCGAACCTCTCCCAGTCGCTCGCTCTTGTCCTACTCAACATGTGACAGGGCTACAGGGCACTACTGGTAATGTATCCAATCTGCTGCCGCAACGCACGGCTAGCATGCAGCCGAGTCTTCCCGCTCCTTCTTACCTGCACCCCACCTGCGCTGCGTGCATCTCCACCGCACCGCCCCTTCCGTATCATCACTGCCGTACCGCTCCTGCCGGACCATTGCTGCCGTACAACTCCACCGTACCGATCCTGTCGTATTTATCACTGCCGTACCATCACTGCCGTACCGCTCCTGTCGCACAGGTACCTCCCGGTGGAAAGTGCCATGCCGGGAACCACACTCGGACTAATCCCGCTGAGGGCCTTCTCAGGCGGGGGCACACTGTTCGGTGAGCAGGGCTGGGCTGGGCTGGACTGGGGTTAATGGGGGGGCTCCTTACGTTAGGCGGGAGGGGCTGGGAGGTGGAGGAGGTGGTTGCTGGTGCAGCAAAAGGAATGAAACGCCAATGCCAGGTCCTGCATGCATGCACGGCGCCCTTGACCGTCCCTCTGCACCTTGACCGTTCACCCGTTTTTCTTCTTCTTCTTCTTACCGTACATCATGCTGCCGCCTCCACACCAGTCGCTCAGAAAGCTTTCACCTCTCCCTTACCACCCTCCATGCCACACCCGCCTGCCCCTCCTGCCTCCCGCAACCCCCCCCCCCCGCCCTCACGCCCTCACGTCACCCCCCCCCCCCCGCCCTGCATGCATGCAGACACACCCGGAGTGCACCTACACCACCGCATCCCGCACATGCTGACCCCCGCCGAGCTCAAGCTGCTGCACCCGCGCCGCCGGCTGTCGGTCCTGGTTCCGCCCCTCCCGGCGGAGTTGAATGCGCAAGGAGAGGCGGCGGCGGCGGCGGCAGCGGCGGTGCAGCCTGTGAGCAAATCCCGCGGGGCTGCAGAGGCCGCGACCGGAGACGCCTCTGGAGAGTTCCTGGATGAAGACGAGGAGGATGAGGAGGAGAAGGGAGGCAGGGCTAAGAGCAGCGGCAGCAGCAGTCGCAGCAGCAGGGTTAGTGCTGGCAGCAGCCCCGGTGGTGATGGAGGGGGTGTACGACGGGGCATGGACGGAATTAAGATTGTGGAGCACGCGCCGTTGGACGAGTACGGCTTGCCAGTTGCGGGTTTGTACGGCGAAGATGCTGAGGACGAGGACGACGGGAGCAGGGAGGCGGATGCGCCTGCGGCTACGGGGTCTGTTAGAGGAACGTCCCCTTCCGCAGTGAAAGGAAACCTGAAGCAGCAGCCGCCGGGTCAACGAAGGGCGCGTGCTACGTATGTTTGGAGCGACCTGGTACGGATAGATGTGCTGTCCGGGCCGCCAGATACGGCGCTGGTGTTTTACGGACCCAACGCGCTACGGGTGGTTGGAATGCCGTACGTTCCGGTAGGTTCCGTACGTGCGTGAAGGTTGTGGAGAGGGTGAACAAGTGAGGGTGAATAAGTGTATACGTGTGGTACGGCGCTGGGTGGGGTAAAAACCATGTGACGAACGGACGATGGGAGCGTGTAGGATGATAGGATTTGGCGCCCACACGTACGAATGGATCGGCCCCTGGCGCCCGTTGCATAACCGTTGCCCGTTTTACACTCTGCTTTACCAGCGTATCGGAACCTTAATACTTACCTCTTTGCCACCCTGTTCCATGTGCTGTGTGTATGGCAACCTCTCTGTAGCCTGATCAGGAACCAGACGTCGACTACGGAGTCGGCAGCGACAACAAGCAAAACGTCCTCATCTGTACGGCATCTGTGGAGGCGCGAGGGGGGCTTCAACCGCAAGAGCTTTTCGTGCGAGCCCAGGGTGCCGGCAGCGGCGGCGCTACGGCAGTTGCGGATCTGGCGGTTTCGGGGCTGCCTGGCTGGGTGGCGATCTGGGCTCCAAGGGCAAAACAAGACGTCCGGTGGGTGCTGTGGCGGTATGTTGTGTTTGTGTATGACAAACGTACGACAGCTATACGACAAACTTTTGATTGTTGGAGCCTGTTTTTGCTTTGAGGCTTGGGGCTGAGACGAGGAATAAGACTTACGTGCCAGCCTCTACTACAAAGAACGCACCGCCCGCACTTGAGTAACGCCTGCGGTGCGTGCACCGTTACCAGTTGACGGTTTATAGGAGGACGGACATCGGAGGAACGATTGCCACCCCCTCACGCACACCAACCTTCCCCCCTGTAACCCCCCCCCTGTTCAGACGCCTGCTATCCCCATTGTCTTCCCTTCACTTATGGTTTGGTTTTATTTGGTTTCCACTAACCCTGCTGGTCAGGTTGCGCGTGTGGGCTCCGCGCGGTGTTGAGGTGATGCTCAGGCCGCCGCTGCCCTGCCCGCTGCCTCCCGCGCTCAAACGGGCCTGGCGGGGGGAGGACCGCGGCGGCGAGGGCGGCGAGGGGCGGGAGGTGAAGGCACCGCAGGCGCTAAGGGAGTGGTCTAAGGCGCTTTCCAGTGAGTCCGGGTTAGGGTTTGGGTTTAGAAATATGAGGGGATGTATGCTGGTTCGCTCGGGGCTTTGCAGCTTGTCGTGCCATGGCTTCAAGGTTGCAGAGCGCGCCTCTCTCCAAGTTCTGCTATATATACGCGGGACTCTTCCTCTCGTTCGTGCCAAAAAGACGCCTCTTGCAAGGCTTGTTGTGTCCGCCGCTTAGCTGTTTCGTGCCTCTCGCTTCCTCATCTTTACCTGCCCCGCCACTCCCTACCTGCCTTACAGAGGAGGTAGGCGACCCTACTGCTGACCCCTCCTGGTGGGAGGCCCTGGCTGCTTTCAAGGTGAGTGTAACCGGTGTGGTGTGTCATACGTTTGGTGTGGTGTATCGTACATCTGGTGTGGTGTGTCGTACATTTGGTGTGGTATGTCGTACATTTCGTGTGGTATGTCGTACATTTGTGCGGCGCGTGTTGATCTCCCGTGGGTTACACAGGCTCGGGAGCTGTTATGATCAGTTGAGTAAACATAAAGGTACCTAAATCTGTCACAAGTGCAAGTTAGCAAGAACCACGTTTCGAACGAGCCATTTGCTTGTACTGGCAACTGAGCCCTGACTAACGTATTGCTTGTGCCGGTTACCTAATCAGGACGAGGACGCGCCCGGGTCAAATAAGGCCGCCGATGGCAAGAGCAGCGGCAAGCGAGTAGCCGCACAGACGCAACCGGAGGAGGAGCACGAGGAGGATGAGGACGAGGAGAAGGAGGCCGCAGCAGGGCGCGAATGGAAGGAGGTGACGGTGGCGGATGTGCTAGGTGGTGGAGACGGCGCTGATTGGGATGAGGAGGGCGAGGAAGAGTGGGAGGAAGATGAGGGGGCGGGGAGCTCGGAGGCGGCTGGGGAGGGGAGGCGGCTGATGTCGGCAACGGTGGAGGACATCCTCAGGCGGCCCAGGTGTGTGAGAGGGGCTGGCTGGGGGCCGTGGGGATGCTTATAGAGGGATAGGATGGGATGTAAATGGGCGGCGGATGAGCATCTGCTGGTTGCACTTTCGGCGAGTCGCACCATGTGCCCTCACTTGCTTTCCCTTTGCGTTACAACGCTTGCTCCCTTTTGTGCCGCCCGAATTGTTATTTCGGGAAAAAACATTTCCTCCCCTTACAACGCTCTACGATACTACAGGCTGGACCTTCTAGCCCAAATGGGCCTCGATAGAGACTACGACACAAGACGTGGAAACGCGGATGAATACAACGAGCAGGGTAAAGCAGGGAGTCAAGACGACGATCCGGGCAACTTCACCCTAGGCGACGGACCCACGGGTCATCACCGCCAATGGGCTGCCGCCGGGCCTGCCGAGGATGGCAAATGGAATCCTTTTGAGGGGCTTCTGTCGTCGGGTCGCGCAGTGGGATCATCCTCTTCAACTGCTGGCATTCCGGCATCACGTGTCAAGTCACGACAGCAGCAGAGAATGGGTGTTCCAGCAGGCAAGAGAGCCGAACCCGGCAGCGAGCAGGAGGAGGACGAGGAGGAGGAGGGGGGAGATGACGTCAGCGGAGTTGATGATGATGGTGACGATAAGGTTGTGTCTGTGCGAGGGCGGCGGGTGGGTAGCGTTGGAGGGTTATCGCAGCGGCCTGGGATGGCGCGTGGACGCTTGGGTCGGCGGCGGGAGGTAGTGAGGGTGGACGAGGAAGGCGAGGAGTAGTAGGAAGGGCTTGGGCTCGGGCCCTTGCAGGGCATGCAGATACGTGAATCGAAGAGCAGCATGCCACGTGACTGGCAGGGGTAACGTGTGAGTGGTGTGCTGGGGGGTGGGGTGTTTGGACGGTGTTGGGCTGCATGACAAGGCAAGGCAAGGGCAAGGCAATACCGGAAGCAACTCGCTGCTGGCGCACGTGTAAGGAAAGCAAAATGATGGTTGCATGTTGGTGAGGTTTGTACAATACGGCCGGGGTTGAGCGTTGTGCCATAACCATTGGGGATACGGTATGTTCAGGGGTCCCTGCATAAGGGGAATCACGCCTTTCCTGCTTACCTGGCTCAACATTTTCTTGGCCATTAAGGCGGGGGAGGTCCGTGGTTGCAAATTATCCTGGGAAGGCGAATAGCGGAAATGAAGAGGTGTAGCAAGCTTACAAATCGCGTTGGGAGGGTCGTGGCCATACAAGGCAGCCAGCAGGTCTGGTAATCCCAGCTCCCTCCCTGACTCCTGTGCTCTTCCAAACATGGCACGCACCTATCCCATAACTGCGCTCTTGCAGTTGGGCGGCCTCGCCACGACGGCTACCGGTATCCCCCCCCTGCCCACCAAACCGTCCCATGTAAAAACCAGAAGCACAGTGCGCCGATAGACGGAACTTCGGAAAGTCCAAGAACCCCTGAAACGCTTGTCCTAGGATGGGCCATAATCAGCAGCAACCCCTAGTCATGGCCAAAAACACATGCCTCCTAGTTTCCTCCAATAGGCTCCTTGCTTGCCCACACTGCGCCCTCTACTGCTGGGCGAAGACGTCCCAGTAATCCAAATGGCCGCGAACTATTTGTCCTTGAAGTGGGAGAGGCACGAAAGACCCCGGCACGTCACACATCAAAGGAAGCTGTACACAGCGGCCGCGCCGGCACTTACTACCTCCGGTAGCATCGTAGGCAGTCGGTAGATTCTTGCACCGTGCGTCAGTATATGTCCTTGGCCCCCCTGGCTCGTACGGACACACTGCACACGCGTGCAGACTGTAACTGTATTATTAGCATGATAGGATAACGGATACAATGGAATCACAGTCAGGAGATAAGCACCAATCCACAGGTGTGCCACAGCTCCGGCGGACAGCGCTCACAGTAATGCAGCCAAGGTCAAGGTGAGTACCGGTAACGTCCTCCACAACAGTTTCACTATTGCTTGTTGCAGCACATGCTATCCTTGTAAGGACCATGCAACGAACGACATGAGATGCCATGCGCGAGTGGAATGCAACCGACACATGTTGGCAATGCTCTCGAACATCCTTTCCCCCGTCTTTGCCCATGTGTTAAATCAAGCCGACCCAAGCCTCGACCATGTTTGCTGGTACTACTTTGCATGCCATGCACCAATACCCACAGAAAAAACCGGACGCATGGCGAAGGCCACTCTTTGCCATGCATTTAGCGTCTAGTGGCGCCTTTTAGGCTACAAACGTTGTGCTGTCACCCGTTCTCTTTCTCCCACTCACGCAACCTAGCGCCAACCCATCACGTCCTGTAGTGCTGACTTATTCCCTCTGCTTAGCTCAAGGACTTGTGTCACGCGCACTTCTCAACACCACTGCCATCGCCTCCGTTCTTCCATTCGCCCTTACACAACTTGTCTAGGAGCGCAACTGAAAAGTACGACAACCCTCCCAGCTAGCCCGATGCTGCTTTACCTTCTCCTGCACGCCTGCAACCCCACTACACAAGGTCTTCTCCCACGCCCATGAGCGCCATCTTATTAGCCGCAACCGCCACTGCCGATGGGGCAATTGCTGACGGGGCCACTGCAAAAGCCCCAAATGCCGACGGGGAAACCGCCGATGGTGCCACCGCTGCTGGGGCCACACCCATCGCCGCCATAATTGACGGTGATATTGCTGTTGGGGGGGCTACACCGATGGCCGTCAGTGCTGCCGGCTCGACTGCCAACGGTACGACTCCCGACGGTACGGCTCCCGACGGCGCCATTGCCGACGGTACGGACGGTAAGGACGGCGCTACACCCATAGCCGCCAAAGCTGAAGGCGCCACTGCTGCTGCAGCCATAGCGTTCAGCGTCATAGGTCTTCCCCAGTTAGCCGGCGCACCTTGCTGCTGCTGCTGGAATGGCATCGGGAATTGCTGCTGTTGTAGCTGGTACGGCTGCTGATGGTACGGCATAGCACCACCCGGCATTTGCATGGGCATGAGCTGCTGAGGCTGCTCCCAGGGTGGCCGCTGCCAGTGTTGCTGCCGAAGTTGCATTTCCCGGGCGTAAAGAGTGCTGTGCTCCGCGAGGAGGACGTCCACCAGGGAATCAACCACCTGCACCAATTCCCGAGGAAATAACCGTTACCGTGAAACTTTAATCACCGGTGAATGTTCGTATTTAGGTACGTCTATCGCCGGGTTTTCCATCATTAGCTTTCCATCATGTCAACGGTCAGCTGCACCGGCACAAGCACATGCTGCATGCACTGCTCGTGCGCGTTCCTGTTCTGTTTTGCCGGGAAGGCGTGACACTAGAGAGCGCCCTTGCCTTGTAATCCTGCAGCTCTGCACTGATTTTCCCAGCACCTAGCCCCCAACCCAAGTCGGGGCCCTCCCTCACATGCGTTGCCCTATACATTGTTATCATCTTCAACCCTGCTTAGTACCATTTCCTTTTCACCTAACCCACCTGCTCAAATGTAGGCCGGGTGCTAGGCTCCGGCGACAGGCAGGCAATCAGCAGGTCCCGCAGGTGCAGCGGGCAGCTGGATGGAAGCGTCACAACGAAGCGCCCGCCGGCGATGCTGGCGGTTTCGGGAGCGTCGCTGTCGGCGTCAGCGACGTGCGGGCGTTGCTGGGGTGATTGCTGGTGGTGGGGCTTGTTGGGGGCGCAGCGCGCCTTGAGGTTTGCGACGTAGCGGCCATGGTAGAACTCCAGTAGCATCACACCGTAGCTGGAAGAGGAGGGAGAGGGTGAGGAGCAGGAGGGTGATTAAGATATGAACAGAAGCGAAAGGGTAAAGAGGGCGAGCAGCAGAAAAAGGTTAGGAACAGAAGGGAACTACAGAAGGGGCAATGCAGCTAGGGGAGCAGCAGGACAATGGGGGGGGCACGTAAGGCCGCAATACGGCATCCTGACACATAAATGTAACGTGGGTGCTGACGCTGTTGACCTCGGACGTGCGCTTAAGCAAACCATGGGTTAGCACTACAGACTGCTCAGCAGAGGAAGCCACGCATACCCTGAACACATACTCCTCTCTCCTAGGTCCCTGCCAGTTGTGCGCTTAGTTGATCGAAGGTTTACATACCTGAACACGTCCGAAGCCTTGGTAAGGTGACCGCGGGCCAGCACCTCTGGCGCGCTGTACAGCGGCGTACCCTGAAACTTGTTAGAGGCATGCGTCTGCCCCTCGCTCATTCGCACACTGCGGCATTGGGGTGCGATGGGGTGCAGGGGGAGGGCGTTATAGGTGGGCAAGGGGGCATGGGGTAGGGTGCAGGAGTGGTTCTACGCTCGCCGCGTTCTTGTACGTGTGTTGGCACTGCCTTGCACACATGACTAACGGGAACACGCACCTTAGACCAAAGTCCGCGACTTTGGCAACCACGGGTGGCCGCCAGAGACCCCGCAACCTTGATATCTGTGGATATCGGTGGGCAGTTAATACAGGTACCAAGCATGAGGCATAACGCAACAGGGCAATACATCGATAGGGCCGGATGCCCCGATCTTTTCTATGTTGAACCGGTTTTGAATTGTGAACATGGACTCCAAAATCCTTCATTCCGATCCCCAGACAGCTTACCTGGGCTGCCAGATTCCGAGCGCCCGCAGTTCGGCAAGACGCCATCGCATCCGCCAGCGCGCCAAACACATTGCTGGGACCGCCGCCACCGCCTCCCATGCCCATAGGGCCTCCCATGCCTCCCATACCCACGCCCATGGGGCCTCCCATACCCATTCCGCCCATGCCGCCGCCCTTGTTGGGCACCACCTTGAGACTCGTGAGCAGGATGTTGGCGGAGGAGAGGTCCTGGGGACATTTGCGGGGGAGGGGTTTAGTGGTAACGCTTGGAAGGTGTTGGAAGCTTGAAAGGAAATGGGAGCTAGGAAGGCCCAGCCATGCGGGTTGTGAAAGGAGAAAAGTAAGGCTATCACGGCTGTTGGAGACGTGGGATGGATGCAGTGGCACCTGTTGCGCCTGTACCCGAAGACCGCAAAGCTAGTTGAGGCTCCGGAGCGAACCAGTCTCTACCTGCCCACAGCTTGCCAGCAAGCTTTACCCACACCTATGTTGAGCCAAGCTCCGCAGGGGGTCTCCTTTAGAAAACCATGACAGTTCTCCTAGACCCACTAGGAACAAATCCACCGATCCGCAAACTCACGGACCCGCCGACCCACCCCATGCACAATGTTCTTGGCGTGGATGTGGCACATGCCGGCTGCAACGTCCAGCGCCAGTGTCAGCGCACACAGCGAGGCAGCTCCGCCCGACGTGATGCTACCCACCACACCCGCGCCTGAAGTGGGGTGAGCAGAGCGAAGTTGGCTCCCGGGGAACGCAGGCAAAGCACGCGGGAGAGTTGGAACCCGAAGCATTCAAGAGGTACAGCATTTCGGGCATGCGTGTAGGGCCGACCGCGCACGCAAGACCCGAGTATCCCAGCCCTTGTGGAGTACCGGTAGTCCGGTACTCTTCATGGTAGGATTGAGGAATGGGTTCTGCCATTGCGGCCCGCTGTTGACCCACTGTACACTCACCCAGGGCATCTCGAAGGGTCCCCACGTCACAGTACTCCTACGGCAGATGAGGCGAAGAAGCGGGTTGGGATTGCGAATGCAAAGAGAAGAGCGGATCGTCTGGTTTGAGGAGGCATATGAGGTTACGACGGGAGCAAAGGCAAGCAGGAGAGCCGACACGCCAATGTTAAGGCAGGATAAGGGGGACAAAAGGACTTACCGGTAGTGGAGGAAAAGGAAACGAATGGGATACAACACCAGACGGATATCCATCGCACCTGAATGATGTACAGCTTGTACACATCCCCCGCGCTCTCCCACACGCTGCCCTCTTCAGCCGTCGTCGGCTGATTGCCTTCCGACGTCGCCCCTCCCTCCCCTGTCGCTGCCAGCTGCTGCTGCTGTAGCCGCTTGGGTGCCGCCGGGGCTACCACGCCCAACGGCCGGACCTCATAAGCGTACGTGGAGACCACGTTGGGGTGGTGCAGGGAGGTGGAGATGGCCGCTTCCAGGATGGCTCGCTGCCTGCGGCGCGCTTCAGCACCCAGCAGGGCATCGTGCACGACCAGGGACTTGACGGCCACACGCAGGCCGCGCCAGGTGCCTGAATGGGCATGAAGCATGGAATAGAGAAGCATGGGAAGGGGGTAATGGATGCGATGAGCATTGGTGAGGAATGAATAATGCAGGGGTTGGTTAAGGTATGTACCATCAGCCGATCCCAGCGAAAGAGTGAGGTGGTGTTAAGCCGCAAAAGCCGCAAAATAACTATAACTGGGACCAAGATAACTATGGGACCTTCCAAACCGCCCGCACGCAATCACGCTACCCCCCGCCCCCAAACACACCCACCCAGGTACACCACTCCGAAGCTGCCCCGGCCCAGTACCGTAGTGATCCGCAGCTGCTCCTGCCGCCCCGATAACTCAGCCTGCGGGAGCGAAAGGATCAATAAAAACAAGGGATATTATCGGGTTTCAAGGCAGGATGCAAGGCAGGTGGCTGGGGGTAGTGAACACGACTAGCAAGTTGGTCAGTCAGTTGTGTGTTGGCTGGGGGTAGTGAACACGACTAGCAAGTTGGTCAGTCAGTTGTGTGTAGGCAACCGGGACAAACAAGGACGGGTATCCTAGCCGCCCAATGCCTACTACCACTACCCAATGCCTGCCTCCGACTACCAAAAGCCAGAAGAGGCATTCCTCCAGCCCAACCTACCTGCAGGTTGCTGATGGCTGTGGCAAGGTCCTCCCCACCTCGCGTCGCCGGAGCGCTGGGTGCAGAGTCTGCATGCGTGAGACACGCGTTGTACGGGAAGATCCTTTTAGTTTTGATCTCCCCGACATACGGTAGGCAAGCAAGCCGGAGCAGACGTGCGAAAGCACTGGCACCGTCATCATTACCATTGCAGCACGCACGCTGGGGATTAAGGTTCAGAACAGCAGCCAATGGTGCCCATACATGCAACGCACGGCGTTTCCCAATACATTGGAACCAGTGCCGTGCACTAATGTCAGTACGGCACAACGTACGGCACTCACCCGGCGGCGTTCCAGTACCGGCTGGCGCGGAGGTGTCCTCGCTTCCAACGGCAGCCTTTTGAGAGCGGCTGCTATAGGCCTGTTTTGGAGGGGAGGGCATACCGAGGGCGTAGGGAGCAGGACGAACGGCGCTTTCTCAAGTGGTCGATAGGTTGCTCCTAAAAGTCGTGGGTACAGTTGGTCGGAGTTGGACAGGACACGGCATGTTCGAAACGTCCAGGTGTCATCAAGGTGTGCGTCATAGCGTTACCACGCACGCGTGTCTTGAAGCTCGGTCGAGCCTCCCTAAACCTCTTACCTGCAGCGCCGACTCGATGTCTAGAGTCTGCAACAGCGACATGCCTGCCGCCGCAGCGCTGCCGTCGCCCTCTACAGCCGCTGCTGCCGCCGCCACTTGTTCACCTTCTTTCCCGCCGCCCCCGCCGCCGCTGTCCGTCCCCTTCCCCTCAGAAGCCTCCTTATCATCATCCTCAATAACCAACTGAACCAACGGCATTAACGACCCCAGCATGGCAGCTCCCGGGAACATTGGTTTTGAAGCCGCTGTACGGTCACTAACCGCTGTAGCAAACGTTCCCGTGCCCTGCGCCATTCCTATTGTCGTGCGACTGGAGCCGACTGCAGTGGCATACGATGTAGACGCTGACTTTGCCGCCGCCGCCAGCAAAGCCATGGTTTCAGCAGGCGTTGCGGCAGCGGCCGCTGCTTCCGCCGCCGCTTGCACCTGTGTCTGCATGCCTTTCGCCTGTCCCTCGGAAACGAGGCTGCCCTGGTTTTCTGGGGAGGCACGCCCACTCTCGGAGGAAGGGACCGTCCCTGTGTTTGTATTCGTGCCGGGAGCAGTGGAGGGTGGGCTCGCGGTTTCGGTACCGGTTTCTGTGGTGCCTGTGTCGGTGTGGGGCAAGGTCGTAAAACCCTTGGACTTGATGTCCCGTGCCTGCTTGCTAGTGCCTTCCTTGATAGGATCCTCAGAGCCTGAACTGCTACCATTGGGAGAATCGTTAGAAATGCCACCGACCCGCGGGTCATGACGGCCACGACGACGGGTGTTCTTGAGGTTGTTCATCTCAATGCTACCAAGGCCGCCACCGGCGGCGCCAGCGCTGCTATAGCTAGAGTCCTTGCCAGTGGGGCTTCGAGTGAGGCGGCTACGGCGACGGTACAGTACGACAACCGCAGCAACTACCACTGTAACGGTCACCGCACCAACCGAAACACCTATAGCAACACCCATGGGGAAACTCTTGCTGCTACTGCTGCTGCTGCTGCCACTGGTGGTATTGCTGCTGTCACTGCTATGATTCGTTGATAGCGTAAGAATGGACGGCGGAGGGGCTGAGGGTCCGAGTTCGGGAGGTAGTGGTTGTGAGAGCGGAGCGTTGGGGGTAGGAGGTGAGGGTGGAGAGCGGGGTTTGGGGGGCGGTGGTCGGGGACGAGGTTGCGGGGGAGGCGAGGGAGGTCGTGGCGAGGGAGGCGGCAGCGGCGGAGAGGGACTAGGCGGCGGCGAGGGAGGTGGTGGAGGGAAGCTGGTGGCGTCTGCGCAAATGTAAAAATGGTTTGGAGGGAGAATTAAAGCGAACAATTTAAGGAGCAAGTAGGTGGGCGGGAGAAGCGGGAACATGGACAACTGGAGTGTTAAAGGCGTCTAGGGCATGGTAACGTCCTGCGCTTAACGCGGCGACCTAACAGGGAACACGTAGCACATCTGACAGGAGCAGTTAACCATAAACGCAGTTCAAACCTTAATCACTACTTACCGTACGACAAATCGTACGATTGTACGGCTGTTGGCGTTCCCGGTGGCGGCACGTACGTAATGACGATGTCAGTTCCCGTCCAGCCCCAAAACGACATGGACGAAAAGTAGATGGTGTCACTCGTGAACCAGTTAACCTGTTTGCACAAACGCAGAATGTAAGATCGTTTCGGGGGCAATGAGCCGTGGGTCGTTAGCCACACCGGGATGCTGTCTTGACATCATTAGTCCTCACTGGCCTCACAGGCAGTCCGCACCCAGCTCACCCATCCCGGGCTTTCTAATCCGGTCTAGACTATATCTAGTCAGGTCTTTTGACACACGTATCTTCATCCCTCCCTCCTAGTCCACCAGCTCCCAACCCACCAACATCACAGCTCCCCACACTCACCTGCGCAGAGCTTGCAAAGTCTTTCAGCGGCTTATCCGCCTTTCCAGGCACTACCACCACACCACTAGGGGCATACCAAGAAGGAGGAGGAGGAGCAGAAGAAGGAGGTGGCTGCGCCTGCTCCTGTCCTACCAGCGTCCCTGTCTCAGTGGTGTCCAACAAACTGCGTCTAAAGGACGTATCCGCGGCCCTCTTAGCCTCCGGAACCCCAAGATTGGAGGTACTGCTTGCACCGTACGGCACACCTGCTGCCGTGTCAATCAGTTTTCCCGCTTCCCGCAGTACTTGTACGACGATGGCAAAGTCGAAACTTGGTACGACAAGGGTGCAGGAGATCAGGTTGAGGCTCACGCTGCCCTCCGTTCTGAGGAGTGCGGGAAGAAGGGGGAGAGCGGGAGAGGAATTAGACCGAGGTAGCAATGATAGGGGGAGGGGAGGGGCAGGAGAAGGCCTGGCAGGCGGGGGGTTGGGTGGTACTAGAGGGCACACGGGCGGGTGCGGAACTGCAAAAGACAGCAGCGCAAGATGCAATGAAGCTCTAGATGCTCTAGAACTCTGCGTCAGGACACTGGGTACACTGGCGCCAGAAGTAATAACCGACACTACTTATATGGATCCTCTTCTACACACGAGTATTTATGTTCCACCTCACCTGTTCCAAGCTATACATGTCCCACCTCATCTGTTCCAAGCTATACATGTCCCACCTCACCTGTTCCAAGCAAAGTACCACAGCGGTAGCGTCATGTTGGCAAACGCCGCCTCCCATCCCTCCGCAGGCAACGCATTGGCGCTGCTGTCGTTGTTAAACGGTTGCCAGCCCATGCCGTACGCCAACAACCTCCGTCGTACATCTTCCGTTGTCATGCTGACACTGCCGTTGCTGCTGCTGCTGCTGCTGCTCCAGCGGGGTAGCACGCCCCCAGGAGCAAGGTTGTAAAGTACGGCGCTTTGTACGGTTACGGTGGAGGAGCTAGGGAGGTAGAGCTCCCCAGTGACTCCCTGTGTGGGGGAGAAGGAAGACAAGGAACGGTGTAGGGAGAATGCCGTACCGGTTTTACGACCCCACCCCGCACAAGGGGAGAGTATTTTAACACTAGACTGGTAGGGATTATGGCACCTTTGGGGATGTGGATGGGTACATGCGGGGGGCGCAGGGTAGCTATATGCATGCGAGTATGTCCGAGAGGCTGGAGCGGTGTTGTCCTCGATCACCTCCTCCCCTTCTACCACCTCTCTCAACCCTTGGCATGTTACCCGTCCAACCCCAGCCCCAGCCCACGGCCACAGTCAGCGCTTCCTCTCGGCTCAGCTTGCCTAAACCCCCGCCCCTGCAGCCCCCCGCCCCCGCAGCCCCCCGCCCCCGCAGCCCCCCGCACCCGCAGCCCCCCGGCCCCGCAGCCCCACCTGCATGTCCCAGAAGCCCAGCCGGCCCAACTGACGGATGGGCGGCATGAAGAGGCCCCAGCTGGTGGAGGTGCGGTACTGGGGACCGTAGTTGCCGGCAGCCAGGTCGCGAGGGGAGGAATCGGCGCTCACCATGAGGGAGTCTGCGGCGGGTGGTGGGCACACATGCATGAGGGGTGCATGAGGGGGGGGGGTGCACATGCATGCGAGGGTGCGTGAGAGGGGTGCGTGAAGGGGTGCACGTTCGGGCTTGTTGAGATGCGCATGCACAGAGATGGACGAGGGGTGCATGACAGGGCATGCATGCGCATACGGCGGCAGGAATACATCAGGGGAGCTGACCGACGTTCGTTTGCCACAGCGAGTAAAGGAGGGTGAAAAGAATAACAGGCCCATTGGGCTGTTGTTTCCAGAGTGGGGGCGCGGGCATGCGATGCCTTAGCCTAAGGCTACCCCGGTTGTTCGTGGCCCTAGCCCAAGGCTTACCGGATGGCGTGGAGCGAGCAAAGAAGTTTCCAGAGCGGGAGGCGATGTACGGCCCAAGCAGTGACGAGTTCGCGACGGTGTAGCCAAGCTGGAGGGGCAGAGTGTTCAAAGGTTGACGGCTGAAGGTAAGAGGGGGGGGTTGCAAGGTACGGGTAATAGAGTGTAGGGTAGAATAGGGCCAGGCGGAAGCTACACGGCCCAGCAGAGCACATGCGCCCCAGCAGCGATCCTAGCAAAGCATATGCGTCCCGAACCAGCCCTAACCAACCACTTGGAGTAGTGAATAATTACTGGGAATTAGGGAAAGGAGTGCCCGGGATGTAGTAAATCCCGCAGAAGTTCCCTACAATTCACACACAACGGCGCATGACAGTCAAGCGCGCACCACTCACCCCGCTCAGCCATGAGGATTTAGCGGTGTACAGACCCACGGGCCACAGCAGGTCGGGGCTAGCATAGCTGGACGCGGGCGTGCCGCTGGCGAACTCCTTGAGCGTTCGCAGCGTGCAGTTTGTGAGGCGAGTTACCTGCGTTGTGGGTGCAGGCAAGAACATTGCTTGGCCGCCAAAAGTAAAACACAGCACGCCGTACACTACAGAAATCAAATGCCGTACACAGGAAACCGTGCCGTATGACCCATAGGAAAGGGAGAATGTCGTATCGCAACGTCAAAAGGATGCGCCATTTGTCGATTAAGGCCCGTTACCTTATCAGCATCGTCCAGGTAGTCAATAGTCGTCACGCCATCGCGTTGCTGAACGGCCGTGACGGGTAGCAAGAAGTAATCAGCCAACCAGGCGCTGCAGGAGCATGGGCAAGAAAAGGTGAGAGCAAAAACGGTTGATGTTGCGGCGACCCATGGGTCACTCGGCAATGTGGAAAAACAATTCTCAAGTCCACATGTTCATCGGGCCGCCATTTTGACCATTCCCAACTCGTCTGCATGCTTAGCACAGCTTAACATGACCTTTTATGGCATGCAACCCGTGTTCTGCCCCCTCCCCCAACACACAAACCATGTTGACGCCTTATCACTCTGTCAGTTAGTTGTTTCCTCTTTACCTCCCTAAACACACACATCAGTTTTCTAAGACAGACACATACACACAACGCTCAGTTGATTAACATACAGGCACAACGCACTACGCACAACGCACTTGAACTCCAGCGAATCCGATTGCGAGGCCACCCGCAGGACTTGCGACATGAAGCGCGCCTCCCGGTCGGCCACGAAGATGAAGCAGCCGATGAGCTGTATCTGGCGGGTGGGGTTAGCGGAGCCGTCGCCGATCCTGTACGGCAGAGGATAGGCGGGTGTGGTAAAGCCGCCGAGGAGGAAAGGTAGCGGAGGTAACAAGAATGTCATTTGGCAGGCGTGCGCGTGCAGGACAGGGCTAGGTATGTGAGGGGCTGAATACGGCGCCGCATCGTCCCATGGGTCAGTGGCCAGCAGAGCGTTAGAAACCAGGCGTAAGGGCCATGCTCGGGCCTAGGCACAGGATGTTTTAACGCAACCCTGGCCATTATTTCCTACCTCGCCACTCGAAATGCGCCATGCGTCCAGGTTTGGAAAAAGTCCAGGGGCGTTGTGAAGTTGTCCGAATAAGGCGACCCCAATAACGTCATATCCTTTACGCGGAATGCGCCCGAGCTCGCGTACGACTTGGCCGTGAAGGCACCCATGATTCCCGCGAAATCCAATTGTACGGGTTGAATTGAATTTCCCCAAAACGACAGCAGCACACCGGCGGGCATCATGACAGGTTGCCACGTTTTTGGATCCAGCGTGATGTTGGAGGTGACCGACAAATGCAAGATCTTGGTCGTATTTGCCAGCAGTCGTACGGCGGTTTTCTGCAACTCATCTGCCGTACTTACGTACGTGCCGCTACATGTCCACGGCGGTTTCGGACCGCCGTTGGGACATGTGACGGTTGTACTTTTTAAACTGGCACCGTTAGAAGCCGCAGCGGTCGAGTCGCTGGAAGTCGTTAGTGGCGACATTGACATTCGCGCATCTCCGTACATTAGGATGCCATTTAGGATCTGGAACTCGTCGGTGGTGTAACGCCAGCTTGTAGTACGACAAAGCGTGTCTGTAAAGGCTTGCAGGTCACTGCAAATGTACGACAAACAGAGCGGATTTGGAAGCACGTTAGGCGGCAGCGAGAGCGCACGAGTTGAATTTGAAGAGTTGCATTTTCGTGCATGCATCACAATATTGAAATGCGAGGAGCAGCATGCAACCTATAAGCGACACCCACCCGCACCTAGCCCCCACCAGGTTCACACCCTCCAGATATGCCGGTGCCCGGGCCCCACCAGAAACAAGCGTGTACAACATTTGCTCCACAAAACACACACACGCCGTGTACGACACGCGCACCCACCTGCAACTGGCTCCCACCAGCGTTACCCCGTCCAGGTACACCAGAGCTCCCGGGCCCACTGCCACCGCATGGGCTATCATGCTAACCACACCGCTAAGCTGGCTGGTGGGAAGCGGGGGCAGCCGCAGCGTCAGGTTGGAGAGGCGCAGCGTGGCATCTGTGTATGTACGGCAGCGGGGTGTGTACGGCAGAGGGGTACGACAGGGGCGGGGGGAGCGCAACGTATTGTCAGCATGCAAGCGGAAGCGTCAGGTTCGGGAAAGGCAACGGGGAGGTGCTCGTGGACGACAGGACGACAGGAACGGAACCGGGAAAGCGGGGCGACATTGGGATGGTTGCCCTGGCCAGAAGCATGCTACTTTCACGCCATGCACACAGACACATATGCACACAGCACCCGAGCATTGTTAATGCAACTTACTGTTACGGACTGTGAATGCCCGTGGCATTGACTGGTTGGCTGGCGTGGGGAAGTTGGATACGTCCAACACGGTAACCGAGCTGCCTGCCCCCACAAACGTGGTGTTGGAAGTAATGTTGGCGACGGCAAAGGACGAAAGTGTGTAGGTGGCTGCCTGGAGAGTGACCTGGCCTAATGAGGCCGTCGCCAGCAGGCTGGGAAGCGTAACTGATATATTTTGCGCATCGACGACAAGCGACGGCAGCCATAGAAGCAGCAGGAAGACCACGCGCCGCAGCAGGGGCCTCCTCGCCATGACGCTTGAACCCATGGTACTCATGCCATGAGGAGTCCGACGAGAGCAATCTCCCTTACCCTAATAGTTTGTATCGTCATGTGAGCATTAGTTGTAATAATGCTGATATCGGCTGCGGACTTTGTTTATGGTTCAGGCGTTCGTTCTGAACGGGAAAAGGGCTGGAACTACGTCACTCGGTTAGCTATGCACCTATACAGGTATTCACCCTTCTATTATGGTTAAAGCACTCAAGTACGTCTAGGCTGTCGCAAGGACTCGCCGGTGTTCAACGGCCCAACAGCCACAGCAAGCGCAAACGTTTAAGCAGGTATAACCATATTGTTGCGAAAGAATCTAACCAACAAGCAACATTTAAGGGGGCGATGATGTTTGCGGCATTCAGCCATTCTTCGCCAGATACGACGTACAACCGTATGTCCTCTGTAACGACTGTAAGCTGTAGGTGGACTCCATTCAGTTTTAGCGCAGCGCATTAAGAAACACATATGCCACTTGAAAGATGACGGGCGCACACCCCTTACTCCTGGACCATGCGGTCAGGGACTGGGTGTTTATTCCCTTGACCTTAGCAATTGTGCTAATGAAGCTTCTTACACAGTACATGCACCAGGTGGGCTATGTTTGTAATTCCGTATAGCCTACAAAGGACGGCTGGGATGCACGATCGGACATAGACTTTGGAAAGGCAGCACGTGCTAAGACACAATTGAACCGCTTGTTGTACGCAGCTCTTTAACACTCCTCCTCCCAACAATAAGGAGCTTAAAGAAGTAAGGGAAATGCAAGCCGTGTCCCGTTCGGGCCGACTGCGCGGGTTCGGGCGCTTCATCCCAGAGACTTCATTCAAGATGCGCAAGGACTACTTTGCCGGGGTAAGCAGCGCAAACGGCATTACGGGGTTGGCCTGCTGATCTTTGGGGGGCTCCTTCGGGGACCTGCAAGGTCCAAACTTGCACACCCCTGCAAACCACCTTCGCCTGCACGACCGGCCCCCTCGCTCCCGCTGCCGCCTAAACCAGCACGCCCTACCCGTACATGCCCCCTACGCACTAAACCAGTGCCCCATGGCCCCATCCAAACCTCCCCCTCTTCATCCTCATGCGTGCAGGAGAAGGGCCTGTTCTCGCAGAAATCGGTGACTCGGTCGCCTCAGGTTGGTGGGGTGTTAAGCTGAGCCTCGGAAACACTGACCCTGACCGTAGGTTACCGTAGGCTGGTGGCATGTTTAAGGGGCATGACGCTCCACTGGTTACCGTGGTTAGGCGTCCCAACGTGTCCTGACCTCAAGGTCCCTGACAGGTCCCTGGTGGACAACAACCGCGTGTAGTTGTGTTCGTGTGTGTTCGTGTTCGTGTGTGTTCGTTCGCGGTCTTGTTCGCAGCATGGGTGTCGACGACCAGGGACAGAGAGATCAGGGACAGGACAGACAGCAAGAGCGCATACCGTTATGTGTGCTCCTCAGCATCATCTTCATAGCTGCCGCCTTCCATCCAATGCGGCCCACATGCCTTACTAAGCCCCCCTGCATCCACTTCCACCCAGCTCCCACCCCCTTGCCACCACCGTTCAAGGCATGGATCATTCATCATCCCCCCACCCCCCCTACTATCACACCACACATTGGAATTTCCTGTTTCCCCTACCTCCCCAATCCCCCAAAACCCCTGCAGGAGGCCATGGCCACCGACCCTACTGTCATGGTGGATATGATGAAGAAGAACCTCACGGGCATGCTGCCGCAGGTGGGGTGGGCGAGTGGGGAAGGACGTGGGCGGGTGGGGAAATTAACATGGATTAAGTTGAGCAACTGGACTCCCAATCGCAGTGGGAAAGGAGATGGGTGGGTGGGGGAAAATAAACATGAAGCGAGTAAGCAGCTGGAGCAGCTTCGCCATGGTTTGCAACTTGCGGGTGTGGAGGAGGGGACTTGTTGTGTGGGTGGGCCGGGGGCGGGGCCCTGATGGGAGGGGTAAAGAGCGTAAGGAGGAGGAACTAACGAGCCGTATGACGAGGCTACGAGCGGGTGGGCATGGGCTGTTGACCCTTACCGTGGCTGCTGTTGACCAGGCTGTTGTTGTGCCCTTGTTGCTGCTGCTGTCCGAGCCCCGCCCCCTCCGGCTTGTCACCTAGTTTACCATTGTCACACAATACACAACACACAACACACATTCTCCTTCCCCCCCTCTCGCTCTCTGGCTGCAGGTGGGCATGGGCATGGTGGTCAACTTCTTCTTCCAGGGCTTTGTGATCGGCAAGGTGCCCTTCCCGCTCAGCCCGCGGTTCAAGCCCATGCTGCAGGTGAAGGGGGTGGCAGGGGGTGAAAGGAGGTGGATTGAGACTGGGAGCGCACACGCCGATTTCCGCGGCCAGTCTTTCCTTAACGCACACACGTTGCCTGAACACACACCAGTTTTCCTGGACACGTGCCAGTTTTCGTAACACACACATCTACACACAGTACGTTTCGCCTCGCGGCCAGTTATTTTAACGCACACACACCACCTCATCCTAACTCCCACAGCGCGGCATCGACCTGGCCTCTCTGGACGTGTCGTACCTGACCAGTCTGTCGTACTACATCTTGCTGCTGTTCGGGCTGCGAGGAGCCTTCTCGCTGGTCTTCAGGTGGGTGCGTCGTTAACGGAACTGCGTGAAAATTAGTAAAAACACAACTGGCTGCGAGTAGGAACGCAATAACTGGAATGTGTTAAGGAAATTGGCCTGTGCTGTGTGTTAAAATAACTGTGTGTGCATGAGATACCGTGGGGTGCAGGTTGGGAAGAAAGTAAGACCCCAAATTGGTAAAAGACCCGCGCCTTCCCCCTTCACCTCCTTTAGGGACGACGTGGTTGACGAGGCTGAGATGATGAAGCGGCAGATGAACCCCATGGCCGCCAGCCCCATGGGGGTTGACATGGACGCCATGTTCAAGCAGGAGAAGACGGCGCTGGCGGCGGTGAGGCGGGAGGGGGGGAGGGATAAAAGAGACGAAACCACAGGAAACCACGAATCAGGGCGAACAATGGGAAAAGGAGGCTGGAGAGGGCAGGGATGGGTGGAGGCAGATTGGCTAGAGAGGAAGAAACGTACGATCCCGATGGGCTGGGTTGGGATGGGGCAAGGAAGGGGCGGAAAGTCGCAGTGGAAGAGCGTTGAGGTCACTTCACGCCGCAACCCGTACCATTACCTGCACCGGCCGCCTGCTATCGCCCCCCTTTCCAGTTGCTTCAGTTTTCATTTATTCTTTTCCTCCCTTTCCCTCCCTCCCTTTCTCTCCCTTTCTCTCCCTTTCTCTCCCTTTCTCTCCCTTTCTCTCCCGGTCTCTCTCTTCCCCACTCAGACGGACTACGAGTGGGAGCTGGAGAGCGCGGAGGAGCGCGCAGTGGAGGTGCTGCAGCGGCAGCTGAAGGCCAAGAAGCTGTGAGCGAAGGCGGGCTGAAGGCAGTGGGCTAGGGCCTGTAGCCGAGCATGGACCAGGAGGGGTGTTCAGAAAAAGCGTCACAGGCCAGAGCAGGGGTAAATGTTGGCCACGAGGTTAGGCGCCAGGAGGGTTATGTGGCAGCTGTAAGCCAAGTAGCTGCGAATATCAGGAGGGGGTTGTTTGGCAGCGGTGTGTGTGTGTGTGGGTGTGATGGCAGCAGCAGCAGCTCCTCTAGGTCAGGAAGCTGTGGCGGATTATAGGCCAGGAAAGGACTGTGTGGCCTAGAATACGGCATCTGTAACTGAGCATGGACCAGGAGGCGTCTGCTGCAGCGGCAGCTAAATGGCGCTGCGACCGATGCCTACAAGGTGGTTTGTGGCAGCGGCGACTCTTAAGACCTAGCAGCTGTGGGCCACAGGCTAGGGGGGTGCAGCAGCAGGCACCGGGTGCAGCTGTCTGCTGGTTGTGCGCAGTTTAGCAGCGCGCCACAGGTGTAGCGTTTTCTCCTCCAAAACTAGGGGAGATGGGTGCCGCGCTTGCAGCGCATGCCGTAGGGGTATCACTGTGTGGGTGTGGCTGCTGATTGCTAGGATACTGGTAGGTAGCGTAGCTTGAATGAGCTGTTGGTTTGCAACGGGGCAATGATTTGTTCTCTCGCATCATGCTTTCGCAGCGTTGAGTATAAGACGCGTAATGAGTGCCTTGGGAGGTAGGAGGTAGGAGGATGGGTGCTTGGGAACGTATTCTGGAAGGGAGCCAGACGCAGTGGCTCCTAATGTCCTAAACAGAACGCACGGAACGCCCATTTGAGGTTTTGGTTTGCACCATGTAATGCCACACCATGGGCTGTCAGCGGAACGTCACCTGTTCCTGGTCTCCCTTACTTGTTTGGTGCATTGCATCGCGACACAACTGATGACACAATTACACGTTTGCCCTAACCGCACTGCGACAATATGAGCGCCATGGGGATTACCCAGAATGGCGTTCACAGCGTGGAGCAATTGCAGGCGTGAGCTTCCCCGGCCCCACACTAAAAAGCCACACGTTTGCTAGTCATTCATTGAAACAAATAGCTCTCTGTAGTCCTGCAAAGTGCATGAAGATTAGGGTTCCAGACAAAATCTGTCCATTTCAACCAATCTGGGCTTGGTAAATCTCCCCCCCGAAGCCATTCATTCGCACGCTCTCCATACACACACGCTGTTATGGGACTTCCGCCCTCTATGGGCATCGTAAGCGTACCGCACCGCCCCGACAACAACAAGCCCTAAGTGTTAACACGCATGACACTCACGCAAACTAGTGCCGCCAGACGCACCTGGTAAACGTCGGTTCGAGCTAGCACGCTACAATACTTCACAGCTAAACACAAAGCCATGTGAGCGGTCGCAAACCATGTACGGCGTCAGGGACATCAATGCCCACAAAATTATTATTATGCTCCGTGAAATGTCGTAAACCGTCGCTAACCACCACGTGCCACATGTCGTGTGGTTCGTACCAGCACCAACCTGCCACGCATGCAGTAGATAGGCGTTCAGGATTTCGTAAAGGTCGGTGTTTCACCTAGCAACCCCACACTTTGGTTGTCGGAGTGCACCGAAACCAGTTGCGCATGTACATGTTGCATCCAGGATTCAGCAGGGAGCTTGCGGTTGCGGAAGGAGACAACGTAAAACGTCCAAACATCCCAACAGTCTACTAACCGTCAACTGAAACAAAGCCATGCTCGTTCACAATGCCTGCGGTAGTCGTGATGAAGCGAGACCTAAGCGGTCGTTGCTTGTTAACATGCCCTCCAAACTAAACAACCAACACGCCAGACATAAGCCATGTAGGGTCTTAGGTAGACTTGAACCACCAAGTACGCCTGAGCACTCGAGAAGTACAAAGCCGTCGCTACATAATAACTCAAAAGCAATACATCAACTTCCACACGCTGCGAGTGGGCCAAGGCCATACAAGCGCACGTTTCCATGCAATCCGCACAACAAAATGCTGTGGTGGGTAACCTGACAGCGGTAACCCACCTAGGCTGTGCTTGACACTAAAGATGTAATAAAAGGATTCCGTTACTATATATTAGCATCTTAAACCCAATCCCGGCCCGACTGCCCTCCCGGCGTCACATGCATCGTGCCGCATGCGCCGAGGGGCGTGTACAATGACAGAACATCTCACAAGTCCCCACGTGTCATAAACTATCCATCCTCATCCGTGCATGAAGTATCAAGACAACGAACCTAATCCACCCTGAGCTACCCATACCACCAACACAAACAACGATATATCTATCGGCCTTTCCCAGCTCCCAGTAACCATTACCCTCTCGAGTACTTTTGCAGTAATCCAAAAATAACGCAGCCTACATACATAGGCAGCAGTGTACCCTACAGCTCTTTACCAGCATCTCCCGCGGCACCGTTGCCCTGCTTCTCCTCATCGTCCCATGCAGCCTCCAGATTCGGCCACTTCCGGACGGAAGGGGATGACGCCGTGGGGGAACTCCCAAAATCGGGCACAGCATTCGTCCCACCGGTAATGGCAGCAGTGCTACTGCTATCCTTGCCACCATCGAGAAGCGTATCCACCACAACGCACCTGCCTGACGGCGCCCCAGCAACAGCACGTGAAGCCGCCGCCGCCTCAGCGGCAGCAGGTGGTGCCACTGCCGAAGGCCGTGTAGAGGCCGGCACGCTGTCAGCCCCGCCGACGTACGTTTCAACAGCTGTAGCATCGTCCACGTTCAGAACCATGGCACAGCTTATTCGGTTCGGCTGCAGAGCCGTAAAAGCATCCGCAGTTGTAGGCCGAGGGGCAAGGCGTGAAAATGACTTCTTGCCAGCCGTGTTCCCAACAACAGTAAAGGAGTTGAGGTCCCCAGGCAACGCCGTAGTCGCCATCCCGTCGTCATCCTCTCCCAGTTGGCCTTGCTCCGCCGTTTGCTGCCGCGCCTCCGCTGCCACAAGCGCCTTCCTTCGTGGCGCCCAGCCACGCCGCTGCTTTGTCGTAATAGAAGGACTCCTCGCACGCCCCGTCGCTGCATCACCAGCCGCGGCTGTCGCCTCTCCTGCAGAGCCTGCCGCCCCCTCCGCCCTACTTAAACTCAGGCTGCCACCACGGCTGGCCACAGCCGCTGCCGCAAGTGCCAGCAAAACGCCGGTGTCGCCAGCATTGTCCTGCTGCTTCGTTCCTGCTAATCCACCTGAGGCAGCAGCACCTGCCCCATTCCGCGTGCGCTGTATGAGACTTTTCTTTCCAACCGCGGCCGTCTTAGCAGCAGTTGTTAAGGCTGGCAGCCGTGGAGCCGCTGCGACCGCCGCCGCTGTTGCCGCAGGCGCACGCAAAAGCCCCTTCTGCCGCCGCTGTTGCTGCAGCTTGACGAGGCCAGCAGGCAGTTGCAGGACTGGAAGTGGCAGCTCCAGCTCCGGTGGCCGTGCCAGGGGAGGTGTCAGCTTGGCCCCACGAAGGTAGCGGCTGACAGCCTCGCGAAGGGCAGCTGCGGTAGCAGAACGGTCGTGTAGATGTTGGGTGGCTCGGGCTGCCGCTAGGAGGCTGCTTATGAGCCCCGACATGTCCTGAATGGTTGGTTGTGCGGGGCATGGGGGAAAGCAGTCGCAGTGAAAACGTCAGGGAATCGAGATTTTGTATTTCAACGGGGAATGTTGGCTGGGGCCGCCACCTTCAAGGGAGGGAAGGGGCCCCAACTACAGCATGATACACATCAGCACACCACACCAGGTCATACAACCTCACATCACAATGCAAGTAACTGAGCAAGTGCCCAAGCGTCACTGCAGCAATGAGCGAGGGCAACCTACCTCAATTTCCCGCACAGCCATTAGCAGTTGGGCTAGCATGGCGTTGAGGTGCACTGTCAGTGCTTCAATTGTCGCAACCATGTGCACCGCAAGGGCACCGTCGAGCCGTTTCCTCGTCAGCTTGGCTGGTGCCGCATGCGGGCCAAGCGCAGCCAGCAACTGCGAGCGCTGACCGCCGGAGTCCTCCCCATACGTCGCCACCACCGCTGCTGCTGCTGGATCCTCCATACCTTCTGCGACAGGCCCAGGGCCACTGATTGTGGTACCGCCAGTCCTGCTCTGCCTGTCAGCGGGATCTAGCGCTGCGCTGGCCCGTGGAGTAGCCCGTGAAGTGGGACTGACTTCCATCCTGCTGGCCTCCTTGTCCTCCTTGTCTCCCTGTTCTCCTTCCTCGCCTATCGCATCCTGCAGCGCAACATCTGCTCCAAAGGGCTGCAGCTGATGACGCCGGATGGGTGAGCCAACCGCTGCTTCGGCTGGTTGAAAGCGCATGGTTGGCCAGGCCTTCGTTTTCCGGGGAGCCGGTACAACATAGTCCTCAGCAGTAGCGCCGTCCTCACTGTCACCATCTTCACCACAAATGAGGACGCCAACCGGTGCCGTCTGAGACTTCTTGGGTGAAGCCCCTGCCGTGTGAGTTTGCAAGGATTCCAAATCCAGGGAAGAGCGCTCTGGCTGTGGGCCAGATTCCACAGGAGACGCCACAGGAATGCAATCAGTGCTGGCACGTGCGGGTGCTCTGAACCCAAGCGTCATAGGCACATCCGAAGCAGGTGCGCTGTTCAGCTTGTCGGGCCTTCCTTTGCCAGCGGCCTGTCGCGTAGCAGGATCCTCGGTCTGATTCTGCGTAGGAGACCAGCGGCTTGGTGGCATCGCCTGCATGCTTCCGTGCTTCGCAGGCAGCTGCAGAGGTGCAGACAACAGGGATGCGGAAAGCTGCCTGCCCACTCTGCTACTCCTTCCGCTAGGCGTGCTTGAAACTGACAGCGTGCCCTTACGTGACAGGACTTGGAGGCCGCTGCGCTCATTGCCACCGCCAGGAACAGTGAAGGGTGATGCCAGCCTGCTCCTTGTGATTGCCCGGGCAGCAAGCATTGCTCCAGGGCTGCTGCAGAGGACAAAGCCATTGGCAGACGCACCTCGAGATGCAGAACTAGGGGAGAGCCCTGGGCTTGGGCAGACCAGCTCTGCAATGTTATATGCTGCGCTAATCTCCACGTCTTCGCCCTCCATGATGCCCGTCTCACTGATGTCATGAAGCACGTTGGGGAGGTGAAAGTCGGATGCATGGCCGTCACTGCGGCTGCTGTCTTCAACACCACCAAGACCTCCGCTTTGACCAGCACTGCCACCAGCCTCGCTCCGCGACTTTGCAGACGGGTAGTCCGGCAGGCCTTGGGACCCTGGTCGGCTGCCGCTGCCGCTTCCAGGCCGCCGTACAGCCCATGAGTCAGCAGGGGCCGGCAGCTTACCGGCGCCAAGAGTAAAGGTGTGGGGTGCTGTAATAGGTAGAAGACGTGAGCGCGGCGCAGCAGCACCTTCGGTGCTGCCAGCAGCAAAGGCGCCAGGTTCGCTGCCCCTCTGTGCCTGGGCTCCTTCTGCGTCGCTGGTTGAGGCAGCAACAGCAGCAGCAGCGGAAACATCGCCCTCCCGCAGGCCGCTGAGGGCGGTGCCCTCAGGATTAGTAAACCGTCGCCGCGGCAGCTTCCCGCCACGATCCCCTGGTTTACTTTTCTTTGCAGATGCTTCTCCAAGACCCTCAAGACCGCCAGTTGAGGCCACAGCAGTTCCTGTGGACGCTGCCTTGTGTCCAAACCTAGCCAGCAGGTTTGCCATCACCGTATCCACCAGCACTTCGGGTGCTGCGCCAGTCTCAGCAGCATCGCCGGGCGCGACCCTGTGCGCTGGGCGTCCAACACTGGCCAGGACCGTACGTGACAGCCCACTCCGCAACAGCGACATCTTACTGCCAATGGGACTTATCAGCGCCTCAGGGTTGACCCGCCGATTCTCTGGCATCAGCAGTTTGTCGCTGCCACTGCCACGGACGGTGCCGCTGCCGTAGCCTTCATCCTTGCCAGCGGCGCTGTCAACCGGGAAACCTAGATTCGTCCCCAAGCCCCCAGAGCCGCTGCTTAATCCACCGAGACTAGTTGCTGTCGTTCCTGACATATTTCGACCCTTGACATCTGAGCCCGAAGACCTCCAGGAGGGCTGCTTTCCCAAAGTTTTCCCCAGACCACCTCCTGCTGCGTCTCCGATGCTGCCCCCCTTCAGCGTACCGCTGCCGGAAAGTGGTGGCGGAGGCATGGGGGGTAGTGGCAGCAGCCCCCCCCGGGGGGTGACCTTGCAGTCCAAGGGCGGCGGGGCATCGCCTGAGGCTGATATAGACTGCTGTGATGCCCGCTGTGGCGTCGCTGATGCGGATGTGGGTGCCGCGGACATCAATCTTGCGCGTGAAACGGTCTGAAGGGCCACTTGGATGGCATCACAGTCCAGCGGTCGCCGGCTGTTGGCCATTTTCAGGATGGAGCGGTGGCGAGATGGCTGCTGGCTAGATCCCTGCCGGGACCCTGGCCTGCTGCCCCATGGTTGGGAGGTGGTGTATGCCAGGCTACCTGTTGAGCCCGTCGCCTTGGTGACGGTGGTGGCTTCCGGGGTAATCGAAGCCGCGGCCGTGTCTTCCTTAACGCTAACACGAGGCTTCAGGCGGCTCCAGCCGTTGTTGGCTAACGGGCGGGGGACGGCGGAAAGACCCGAAGTAGCGCCCGGCGGCTGGGCGGTAATCGGAGCGGATGATGACAAGGAAGGGCCTAAGCTCGTGCTGGTTGTGTTGCTGGCGGCGGAGGCTGAAAACGGCGCCTTAGCGGAGGAGGTGGAGCTGGCAGCTACGGAGCCGAAAAGGTTGCGACGTCCGGGTGCAATGTTGCTAAACGCGCTGATCGTGGCTCGGAAGTTGGCAACAGAGTGTTGCAGCCTATACAGGACGCTGCGCTGGTTAGGCGGAGCCAACCAGGCCTGCGGGAATGGGCAGGGTCATTGGAGGCAGAAGGGCAAACTGTAAGCTCTGTGCTGTGCAGAGGAGAGGGTGCTGAGCAACAGAGCAAGTGCTACTAGCCGGGCCCGTTGGTTCGGGTACTGGCAACAAGTCAAGGGGCGGCAGAGAGAGCAAGGCTTGCGTAAGACCTGCAGATGCGTAAGCGAACAGCGCAGCATGGACAGACAGGTCCAGCAAAGGCCAGGGTAGACGACACAATCCTGCATTAAGCCTCTGCAGGAGCAATCTGTCTAGGTTTCGCACCTGTAGCCATGTCAGCATTAACTTGTTCTTAGGTGCATTGCGGCTGAAGCGCTGCCAGTACCAGCCTAGGATACGAGACAGGTCCTGCGTTTGACAGGCAGCAGGAACCACACGAGGGGAAATTAGATTGAAGACAGGAGTCAGCCATCTGACAATCACCGTGTGAACACGTAAGTCGGCAACCCCAATCCCTAATCATGCATGTCCCGTGGCTTGCCCGAACAGCTATGCCTGCAACTGCACCAACCGTCTCCAACCGCCCCAACCACACTTACCTCTGGTACGCCAGGCTGACCTGTCACCGCAACCTTGAGCTGGCCAAAGGGCCACACCAAGAATGCAAGGATAAAGTTGGAGAGCACGTAGACAAAGAACAACGGCGCCAGCACGTACAGCAGTCCCGCCAACGCCCACTCCAAGCCCGATTTAGACACCGAATTCCCGAGCAGGTGCTGCATTAAAGGAGGGGCAGTATTGCGAAAGGGAGATGGCAGGTTGAGCAAGAAGCATGCGCTAGACGCACGCAGCGGCTGCCGAGGAATTGATGGCACGCAGTCTTAGTGGCGCTTGGATGCTCTAGAAACTTAACTTCGATTCGCACCACTGTGGGACTACTTCCATTTGCAAACACATGTAAGGGCAGCTAGCCAACTACCCTGCAAGTTCAATCTGCAACTTAAGTGCTACTACGCACCTATCCCAGCAAACTTACCTTGAAAACTCGCCCGTCGTCCTTAAGCAGTACGTACTTCAGCATCAGGTACAGCGCATCACCCCCGCTGGACAGCTGTGCCACCCCCGTGCCGAACACAACGCACGCTGCCGCTCCGAACATTGCGATGCAGATGAGCACTCCCGCTGCAAAGTGCAGCAGGTCGGGTAGGGCTAGCGCCAGGGTGCCTGCAATGATGGAGAGGCGCGGCTGGAAGGACAGGTAGTGCAGCCAGCGCAGGACCACCATGGCCAGCACGAGACTCTGCATGGGAGGGAGAAGCAAAGGGGATAACGGAATGGTTGCTTGCAAGTGAATTCACCGACCAAAAGCCGGGTTTGCCATAAAGGGCCCTGTTAAGAGGATACGCTTCATGCACCTGACAGCGCATGCAGATCCCCCCGATCCTTGCAACCCACCTGCAGGAAGGTGTACGTCACCAATGCACTGTACATGGAGTCTACGCGCGCATACATAGCACCCGCGTCGTTAATGGGCTGATAGTCGGCTGGTAGCGCCCAACGGAGCGCCTGGCCAGCCGAGGGCGCATCTTCACTGGCCGTGGTGGTGGCTGTGCTACTCGCCGTCGCTGAAAATGACGGCGATGAGGCGGCTGCGGCCGTGGTGCTGCTGTCTTGGCGACGCAGCAAGAAGTACCGGGCAGGAGCGAAGGTGTCGGCATCGTAAACGTCGAAACGCGAGGTGAAGTCATCACGAACGGACAGGCGCACGGCGTAGGTGTAGAATACGCCAATGGCTGCAGCCATGAAGGCACAGATCGTGGCCTCATAGAGAACCCATTTAATGTCCATGCGAGGATGGTATTTGCGGAGGTTGCCCTCATGGACATTTGTCCTGTATCGCACCCCGGTACGGAAGCTCCGAACAGGTGCTGCGTGGAGGGGCCCAGCATGGAGGGCAAGTAACGGAAAGGTAACACAGGGCAGGGGAAATGGAATGCAGTTGAGGCTGTTGAAAGGAGAGGCTGGACAGTGGAAATTCATGGCCTTGCCGAGGCAAAGGTACCTTGGCAAGCATAAGCAAGGCTGACTTGCAGAATAGTGTTATCAAGGCAAGTCAACGTAGCTATGATACTCAAGAATACGGCGGCTGCTCTTGACTTGGACGTGTGATGCCGCAACCATATGGCTCCACCTACCTTTGCTTTTTGCATGCGGAGCGTTATCATCATCGTCATCACTGCTGGAGTCACTGCCATGAGCCTCGTCTTCTTGGTTAGCAACCTCGCCCGGCAGCACGCGGTTTCGGCCGCCCAAGTTGAATCCCGCTGCATTTGCAAAGGCGGCAGCAGCACCCCAGGCCTTCCGGCGCTGTGCGAGGGCATGCTTGAGCTTCTGCACACGCAGCTGTTTGTAGATATCGTACGCTGTCATGGCAAAGTAGCCAATGACAAGTAGTACCAAGAAGAAGTCCGGCAGGAAACGAGATATCTGCGTTGCATCAGCGGGCGACAGGTGAGCAGTACGTTAAAGGTCTAACTGTGTAACAGTTTGTTGCAACCATCTGGAAACCCCTGTCCATGACCACCCATAAGCAAATACTCCATCCTGCCCTCCAAGCGCAATACACTGTCTAGCAACCTGCCCTACCGCCCGGGTGGATATGTGCCTGCCATTGTGCTTCAACTTCATCCAGCCCCTCTACATCATTATTTGCATGTAACTTTGACTCTGGTATATGCTTACCTTCATGTTAACTATGGAATCCCCGTAGCTGATGGCGGGCAGGCCCAGCAGCCGCGCCTTGGCGTCAATGACCCCGCTGTCCAACCAGGAGAAGTCCACACGCCAGTAGCCAAAGACTTGGGCGTTCGGGTTGTACGTCACCAGCTGAGCCCGAAGCGACCTGGGAGCGGGGCAAGGCAGCGGCATGCGGCGCATAAGTGTTTGTGGTGCGCATGTGTTTGCGGTCCGCATTGCAGTATTGCCACCGGCCGCCTCAAATTCTTTGCATCACGGTGCTACTACTAGTCCTAGTAAATATCGGCAGCAGGCAAGGTAATGGGCATACGGCCCCTTACTTTGTGAATGTCGATGACAGGTAGCCGCCATCCCGCACAAAGGTGATGGCCTGTTGCGCCCGCTGCGCTGACAGGCGTGTGTCCAGCAGCACGGGGTAACCAGCGGGGAATTGCTCCAGGGGCTCGTGGTAGAAACCGTACGGCAGTCCAGCCGCGTTCAGCTCCGGAGAGCCCTGTATGCAGAGTGCGCGGAAAGGCCGAGTACGGCAGAGGAAAGGCAGACGGGAGGCAGAGTACGGAATGATGAGGGACATAAGGGTGGCCGTGCGCCGTGATACATCGATCACCACTTGATGGGAGGCAGCTAAGGTGTTGTCCTTTCTGAGCAAAAACGGTTCCCTACACGAGGGTTGTGCTTTAAGGCATTTATTTCCCCCGACGTGCGGAATACCCAGTGCCGCCCGCGCACCGTGGAGGTGTTGTAAAAGTCGCCAGCAATGGCGGAGCTGGCGTAAAGCTCACTATGACGATTGAATACCGGGTCGTTGCCGATACCGCCCAGGTCACCAGAATTAGGTGTACGGTTGTCATTGGACGTGTCAGAGTCGCAACCCACAACCAAGTGGTCATAGCTGCTTGAACGGCATATTCGCCCATCCACGCCGGACGTCCCGCGGAGCTCTCTACCACTCCGTCGGACCTGCGGCCATAAACGTTTTCCGTTAGGCCTAAAAAACGTCCTTTAACCGCATATCCGACCATCCACACGCCATCCTCCTTACATGCATTCAAAGCATGCAGCATGCACTGAAGCCCCGAGGTATGTCCTGCAACCCAAGCCCCGAGGCGCGTCCTGCAAAATCAACTTGGCAGCAGCTCACCTGATGCAGTAGCAGCCCCACAAGCACCTTGTTATGCAGCCCAGCGAAGCGAGCTCGGTCCACATTGCGTACTTCCCAAAGACTGTAGTCAAAGCCTTGACCACTGGGCAGATCATAGCCTTCAAACTGGGTAAAAACGTACTGGTTTCTTCCATTAAAGGTCCTGTTCTTGCTGCCAGAGTCGCTAATCAACATGCGGGAAGAAGCCACCCCCGGTTCATGGTCACGGTCGTCGCTGCCATTGTCGGCATGAGCGTTGGAGGTATCGGAGGTAGCCCGTTCCGTGTGAAGCGGCTCTGGTCCCGCGGGACTGTACCGACGGATGCGCTTGTGCGGTGACATACCATGTTCGCTGCTCTGCTGATGGGTCTCGTCGCCAGTTCGCTCCTCAACGCCTGCCACTGTTGAGGACGGGCTGGCATGCACGTCGTCATCCTGACTGCTGCCGCCACAAGCCAGCCAACGCGAAGCCGCCTCACCAAAAGCTCCCGGTGACAGCCAGGGCTTCATAGCTGACACCAGGGCACGCCGGAGCACTTGCGGCATCAGCTTCAGCACCGAAGACGACCAACCGCACCCCTCCATTCCACCGCTGAAAACTGCATTCACAGTTTTACCAGAACGCAGAGCCTCCCCATGGTCGTCCTTGCTGCTGACAGGAGCTTTCCCTTGCATATGGAGCAACAGCTGCCGACGGCGACTCGCTGCCGCTGAAAGTGCGGCCGCTGACGCCGTGTAGAAGGATGAATCCCCAGCGGCGGCCGCAGCCCAGCTGGTGACGAAGGCAAAGCCAGCTTCTTGGCCGCGTGCAAAGAGGCAATTGCTGTAGGATGCGTAGTCTGATTCAGTGGAGTAGAAGGCGTACTCGTCGCCCAGGCCCTCCAGGATGGTGGCAGCGGTGATGACAGCTCTAGTGGTTGCAGCCTGGGCCTCGTTCAGCGTGGACTGAGGAGAGCAAACAGGAAGAAGAAGATGTAACTAGGAGGTGCTGAGTAGTAGAATCCAGGGTGGCAGAATAAAGGGCAGTCGTGTATTCGACATCTTCCAGGTTGCCACCCCCGCTTCTCCAATTGATCCCAACCCGATTCCGCAATGGAGCCACATCCGTTTCTATCTCTCTTTGGGTGGCCTCAAAAGCCCATCAGCTTCTGAGGGCGCCCCTAAGCCCCGCTAACCTGCATCAGTCCCAGCGTGGTTGCTAGTGCAGCCGCGCTGGCCACCTGCGCAGCCAGCGTTTTATCCAGCAAGTCCAGGGCCTCTTGCGACTTGGAGCTAATCGCATTAAACACAGCGACTGCGTTGTCTGACATGGCGGCAATTGCTGCGCGGTAGACCTGCGGTGGCGGGAGGGGGGGGTGGCATGCAAACAATGAGCCGACTGCTTTTATAAGTATGAGGGCTTAAATTCCGCTGTACCATACGGCTAGGGCTCTATGCCTACATGCACATTCGCTGAACCGTGCATACCTAGGTTGCATGTGGACCAAGCATGCGTTGTCACCTACTTCCAGCATACTCTATTACTCTTGCACCTACTAGGCAACCCTGCACAAGCACCTACATCTAACTTGCATCTGCTGCCTTACCTCATCTTTGGCAGAGAACTTGTCATTCAGGCCGCTAAGGAGCGATATCATAGACGTCTGTAAGCGGAGAAACAGGACAGGGCATCAATTAGCTCGGTGTATAAATCAGAAGTATCAGTACCCAACGTGCCCACCCAAGGTACCACGCAAGGGACAAAGCTGCAATTTGGCGCCCCAACGCTGGAACCTTTTCGCTTTCCCACCACTCCATGCACCCTTAGCAACGCAATTACGGTGCATTACTCTTCACACCACACAGTACTCATGCATGGCGGCACCCTTACCTCCTGCTCTGACATCTGCTTCGCCAGACGATCCAAGTCCGAGACAGCACCGGCTATCACCCCCATCGCCACACTCGTCGAGTCTGCTGCCGGACTTGCGCAGCTGTTGCTGACATTGCCTACGCTTGCCACACCACTTGTGAAAGCAGCTACTGAAGTGTTCGCGGCTACCGCTGAGCCGCAGCTGCTACTGCTGTTGCTACTGCTGCTGGTGGTCTGCAGCACCCGGCGAATGATAGTGTGCGTGGCCGCAGCTGCCGTACTACCAGCGGCTGTGGGCTGTTGGTGGTCGACGTAGACATCATTGACTTGTACGGTTGACAGCAGTCGCAGCGCCAGGTCTACTCGGTCCCGGATATCGTACAGAGCGGCCAAAACGCTGCCTTCTCCAGCAATTGTAGGTGCAAACGGAGAGATCCGTGGGTCACCAGCATTCTTCCAGGTCTCCAGAGCCACTCGGCGTCCAGCACCATCCGTTGTGTTTTTCAACGTGCCAAAAGGAAGGCCCAGTAGACCTTGAGCAATGGAATGAAGCAGCATAGCACGAGCTCCCAGGGCTTGCGGCTGGTGGTTGCCAATGCCCTTTGCTGAACCCTGGTGTGATGCGTGGTTCTGACTCAAATCCTCGTAAGCGGCTGAAGCCTCAGTGCTATCATCGTAACCCTCATCCAAATCCTGCTCATCAACGGCGAACTGTTGGCTAACGACGCCAGGACTGCTTGCAGCTACGTACACAAACGAATCCTGTTCATCACCGACAGGCAAGAGCTCCAGGATTCGTCCCTCCGTGCTACCGCTCAAGCCCGGCTCAGCCGTCGAGCTCGCGAGAAGGCTGCGGCGGGCACGGTATCTGCGCCTTGTGGCTGCTGCCGACGTAACACTGGAAGTGTCCATAAAGTCTGAAGAGCCCGTGGTGACGTTGACGCTCACCTGTAGGGGAAACAAGGGAATGGAAAATGGTTGCATCGGTCCATTGGTCCCTGTTCAGGTCTTCACCAACGCTATGTATGTCCATGGAACTCAGGTAACAGCGGTGGTTTAGGGCGGCACAACTTGTTTGGACCAGACAAACCACCATCAGTGCAATGCTGTCGGGTCACCATTCCCTTACCTTCACGACATAATATGCGGTGGAGGAGCCACCGGTCGAGGAATTGGCTGACGACAAGACCTCAGGAGCTCCCAACAAGGACAGCGAGCGGATGCTGGCTGCAGTGATACCGAAGACCTGCGTTGAGGAAATGCCGACGGAAAGTTTAGGAGACATGCATTTAGGAGACATGCATTGCCAGCAGGGACCCATGGTACGAAAAGAAGCGGGGTTAGATAGGTTTAGGCGGTAAAGGCACGGAAGGATCTCAAGCTGTAAAGGCGGGGTGCAAGGTGGCAGCCAGGTACAGTGCTGGCAATCTACGGTACCAGCGTTGCACAGACGTGCATACATGTCTTCCAGAAACACCGCGGTCCGTGTACCTGCAGAGCTGGCGGCAGGACGCTGTTGCGAACTGTTGCATTGCTGGCGAGGCTGACTGCGAACGCTTGGGCAAAGGTAAAGTTGCTGGAGCCGGCGGCTGTCTGGTTGGGGAAGAGACTCAGCTCTGCTACGGTAGTAGTGAGCTGCGGCAGCAGGGTAGCAAGAGGACAGGAGAAGCCGGTCAGGACAAAAGAAGCCGGTCAGTGTACTCTGAAAAATCATGGCGGGCCCTATACCACATAGGACGCAGTTTCAGAAACCACTAGACCTCTACAGCATACGGCTCAACTGCTAACTTGGCTACATGTTCGAATCGCACAGCAGTAAGGAGGCCTCCAAGACACATATCAACTGCTCTATCCTTCTTCCAAGCCTTTCCCCTTTACCTGCTCCACAGCAACATCCAGGGTATCTGTGGTGGTCAGCCCGCTCGAGCTCGTCACGCTATAGCTGATGCGGTAGCGCCCCGGCAGGCACGACCCCGTAGTGAACCCTGCCACGCTGCAGCTGTAGCACGAGCTACTGCTGCTACTGCTGGTGGACTCATTCGTGGTGTCTGAGGTCGTCGTCGTCGTGCTAGTGGATGTGCATAGTGCGGACACGGTAGTTGAGATGCTCGAGGTGATGTCACCATCGGTGGTGTCGTTGGCAATGGCAGCACAGGCGGCGATGCCACTCGATGGCACGCCGTCTGAGAAGCTGGCGCAGGGAGCCAGACTGAAGGACGCGGGCTGGCGGTAAGCTAGGAAGGTGGTCTGGTTGGCCTCGGACTTCGGTTAGGGCAGGCGACATGGGGTTGCATACGGGTAAGGTGCTGGGCCAGCCGGCTTTCCAAGGCATGGAGAACAAATGGGGTTCGGTCAGCTATAGCGGAGCAGAGGTATGTAAAAGCAAGCCTAGGCTAGTCCTTACGACCACAGCAGCCGACACATGCCCTCCTTATGCTACGCCTCGCATCACCGCTGATGACAGCAGGACTGTCGCTCAGCCTTACCAGTGTCAGATTGTCTGCGTGAGCTCCAGGAAGTAGGAACAACCGCGGCGGAGTTGTCGTACTGACGGTGCCGACATCCGCTAGGGCCGTCAGGCTCGCACGTTGCTCACAGCTGACGTCACTGCACACGTACTGCGTTTCGCCGCTTGCCGACGTTTCCTCACAGTAAGATTGACCAGTGGAGCAGGGACTCACGACCTTGATGATGCGTTCAACGGTTGCATTGACCCCCATGCTGTCGTACACGCCGAGCTTTAGGGAATAGGTGGTTCCGATCGCAGCGTTGACCGTGTCAATGCCACATTCGGAGGGCTGCTTGCGATCCGCCCAATGTGCACGACATTGGGTCTTGGCGCAGTTGTCAGGAGGGCACAACGCGATCTGTGTGGAGTGTGGGGAACACGAAACACTCTCATAGGAACTCCGAAGGTGCCAAAGGCAAACGTAACAGCACACATATGTCACGGGCTTTGCAGCTCTATTGCATCTTATATACCGGTACCCTGCATGAATGGGATAGGCCGCACATCATGCATATTACTACCTTGCTGGTTAGGTCGCCATCTTCGGCGTCCGTTGCTGTGCCCAGCGTCTCACACGGCTTGTCTGCCGTTGGCGCTTGCCCACTCGTGCATCGCTGGTATGCTACACCACGCTTAACGGACACCTGTTGGCGTTTCACGGAACACGTCAGCGGTCTGTTCACACATTTGTAAGGGAACAAATGCGTCTGGTAGGACCATAGGGAACGTTCTGCAGTAGGTGGGCGACAAACTCCCGGCAGTCACAGGTACTTACCATCCACATGGGCCGCCTAATGCGTTAACAACCTATTGAACACTTTTCCTCATTACAAACGGCAACCTCCCGTGACAGCCCACCTGTAGACCAACAATGTCAGAAGATGTGTTGAGGACCAGCGTGGGTGCTGAGTTTGTAACAGTTGCCGTACTGATGCTACTACCACTGCTGCCGCTGCTGCTAGCACTAGTGCCGCTGCTACTGGTCCCGCTCTGCAGCTCGTCTTCACACGCCTGATCCACGGAACAGCGCCCATTCGAGCAGGTCCGCTCACCCACACAAAGCTCCTGTACGATGATGTACCTGTACAATGTTGCATGTGTTGCGGACGCGTAAGAATTGAAGAATATGAAGAGTTGTACACGCACCAGATGCATATAAGGATAGAAACGTGGGCGCGGTTGGCATGCCGACAGCCCGACACAGCAGTCGGTGGTAAGGGAACGTACCGGTACAGAATGAGCTCGCCCACGGACGGCCATGTTAGGTGGAAGGAAATGCTGTAGTTGCCGGGGACACGAGTGTCAATGGTGCAGTACTGCAGGCCGACCATATCAAAGGGCTGCGCGTTGCGCACGCCGGTTGCGCATGCTCGGATCTGTGGATGGAGACGGCAGAAGGTAAACAGGCGCGGGGTGATGGCGTGATATCAAGCATGATGCCTTTTCATGCAGTTAAGGAACTTGATTGTTTTCGCAAGGTCAACAAAAAAGGAAGGCCTTTGAAGGCCTTGGAACCTAAGAATAACCCTTGGGACATCCACTACGCACCTGACTGTTCAAGTCGCCGGAGGTTTTAAGAGTAGCAGTGGCACCCGGCTCGCAAGTCGACGTCACGCCATCACGGCAGACGGGGTAGGACGCGCCTTGAGCAACGGCAACCGTTGCGGCAGAGTTGAGCGTAAACCTGGGTACCAGCAACGAGTCACTGTTGCCGCTAGTTGTGGTTGTCGTTGTGGAGGAGGAGGAGGATGACGTCGCCGACGAGGACGGGGCTGTGGAAGATGAGGAGCTTGATACAAGGCCGCAAATGCGACCGGTGCTGCACGTTAATGGGTCGGTATCGCCTTCACGAGGGCACGCAAACTCAGGGTCCGTACACAGAATGTACACGCGTCGACGGGCAACAAGCGCAGCGTTTCCAGAGCTGTCGATGGCCGAGTAGGTAATGAGGTATGGCACCGAGCTACTCGTGTCGTTGCCTGCAGACGTAATGAGAGATAGCGGATACGGTAAGATAAAGGCGTCGGCAGGTAACAAGCGCTTTGCCACGGCTCCATTGTTGGTTAAGGGGCCGGCACGGAAGAACGTGGACCTTTCTCCTGGATAGCCGTCCCGCTAAGATGTCATTCCGATCTCTAGACACACAACATGCAAGGCCGAGCCCAACAAATTTGCTCGCAAACAACCAACAACAGCACCCACCTGTCGGGTTGGCGGTGGACACCGCCGTTACTTCTTCGCCGCTTGGATCCATGATAGACGAAAACACGGACATTGAGACGAACGTTGACGCTCCGCCTGCCGATGGGACCTCATCCGTAGCTGTGGCGCCCGCATCTGTGAAGGTCGCACCCACTTGAACCGTGGTGATCATGCCGGCTGAGCCCGAAGGGGTGACGTAGCGGACGCCGCTACCGAGAACCGTGATGACAGGTGGAATGGTGTCCGGCGGCCGTTCCAAAGCCGTTTGTGTGACGCTTGCGGTGCTGCTGCTGCTGCTGCTCACAGACAGCTTGCAGCTTTTAAAGACGGAACACTTTAGCGTGTCAGGGCATCGGAACTCGCCCGTGGAGCTGCAACTGTCGTACACAGTAACCAACCGCTCCTGCCGGGCCGTGTTGCCGGCCGAGTCGCTTGCCTGGTAAATAACCTGCAATGCATTTTGTACAAGAAAGTTACTTGCACGTCACCTTTGATTCCGCACGTTACATCAGGACTGCCGCACAAACCATTTTAAACCGAGCCCGCTAGTTCAGTCCCGTGCGTGATGCGCACGACAGCGTTGCGTGCTTCTGCCCTACCGTGAAAAACTGGCAGGCGGGCGGTGTCATAACTGACATGCTGACGGCACCATACACACGTGTCATGCCATTCCAGGCAATGCGGTTTATCCTTCCAAAATATACACATGGTGCTTATCCTCCCAAGCATATGCCTTGCCACAACCCTCCCATTGCACCGGGTGCATCCCTACCGTGTAAGGTTTCCCGACGGGTGTCACAGCCGACGTGTTGACTTCATCGCCGACAATCCTCACAGCGACCCGCCCCTCACGCTGGTCTACAGCTGAAGCACCATACTCCACGTACGTCGAGTAGATCTCGAGGGCAACCTCGGAGGACCCAGTTAGCGTGATCTGCACGAGCAGACACAGTTGAGACAGGTAAGCTTGCACACAGTACACCATGGCGTTCTCATCAGGTATGCCCCAAACGGCACAGTTCTTGGAAGCCGGCAGCAACCTGTCATAGCCCCGGCAAGGCTTCTTTCCATCCTCACCTCCGGCGGGTCGATGTCCGGTGTGGCAGCAGGCGGGGGTGGGCGACCCGCTTCCAGCGCTAGCTCGGGCATCTGGGCAAAGCGGAAGGCCGAAAAAAGCGTTAGTGGTTGGTATGTGGATGGAGTTACCGGCAATGACGGCGCTTTGAAGGCAAGGCTGTGTGGCCCAGGTACAATGAGCAGGTAAGCAGATTGGAGGAATGCTAAGCAACCATGAGCTTCCGGGTTTGGCTTGTTAAGGTTTGCTGGAGGCATTCGTAACTGTGCGACATGCAATGTATCAAAGGCAAATGCTTGTTTGCCTAGTCCCGCAGGTGTAAGGTATTCTGGCAGGTCATGCTAGATGGTTCCGACATACCAGCATGACAGGTGGAGGAGAACTTGGACTTGGCGAGTTGAAGTTAAGGATGTTAGGTGGTGGAGAAGGAGCTGGAGAGGGTGGAGGCAAAGGCGGTTTTGGGGAAGGAGGCGCAGGGGAAGGGGGCGGCGGTGAAGGAGGAAGTGGTGACGGAGGCGGGGGTGATGGAGGGGGGGGCGTAGGAGGTGTGGGGGAAGGGGGTGGAGGAAGCAACGGAGGACTGGGCATAGGAGGCGGAGGTGAAGGAGGGCTAGGCGCAGGCGGAGAGGGGGACGGTGGCGAGGGCTTGGGCGGCGAGGGTACAGGAGGAGAGGGTGCCGGAGGAGAGGGTACGGGAGGTGAGGGTGCAGGTGGCGAGGGGGCGGGAGGCGAGGGCGTGGGAGGAGAAGGTGCGGGAGGCGAGGGTACAGGAGGAGACGGTGCAGGAGGCGAGGGCACGGGAGGAGAGGGTGCGGGGGGCGAGGGTACAGGAGGAGAGGGTGCGGGCGGTGAGGGCGTAGGAGGAGAGGGTACAGGAGGCGAGGGCATTGGAGGTGGTGATAAAGGTGGCGAAGGCATTGGAGGCGGCGATAAAGGTGGCGCCGGCAAGGGCGGCTTGGGTGAAGGTGGCACCGGCGCAGGCGGCTTTGGTGAGGGAGGCAGAGGCGAGGGCGCAGGTGGTGAAGGCGTCAACGTCTGAGGTGGCATTGGTTTTGGAGGGCTGCTTGCCGGCGGCTGCGGAGCGGGAGGTGGTGATGGTCCGCTTGGGACGGACCCGAATAGCTTCCGCAGGTTGGGCGTTCGCAAGCAAAGGCGGGTGTGGGCTGCCGAAGACGCCGTGTTCACGCCGTTCGAACCCCTGTTGCCAAAGAAGATGCTGTTTGCGAGAATGCAGGATCCGGTGCTGTAGTCAAACTCCAGACCCTCGCAGGTGGAGTCCTCCAGGCAGGACTCTGCGCATGTGTCGATTGTAGAAACGCCCTGGGCGCTACTTATGGACTTGTACTTGAAACTGTAGCCAGGTGCCAGGCACTCAAAGGTGCCTGGTGTATGTTAGGGATGGGTACAACGTAGAGATGGGACCGGATGGGAGGGCGTCAGCGAAACACTAAGAAGGCCCTGGAGTCGCTTTCCATAACACGTCTTGCGTTATTGGCCTTGCACTAGTAATGGAGGTAGCGGCAGCGATGGTATACGGATAGTCTTAAGCAGCAGGTGTGGTGATGGCGTCCTAACACGTCAAGCCCAAAACATGATGCATCTATTCTGCCGAAAGGCTGACCCTAAGTCGCTCTCGCCCGCTATGCTTATCCCAAACCCACCTGTGGAGCGCAGGCAGGTAGTCGCAATGTTGTCATTAAGTCCGTACGACAGTTTTCCCGCTCCATCGGCCCCAAAGGCGCCATTCATAGCTTCGCAATCCCCATTCCCATTCAGCTGGAAGTGTGTGCAGTCATCATGCTCAGCGCACAAGTCCGCACAATCTGCAACAGCCACATCCTCCTGGGTAGCGACCACAGAGCCCCCCAGGGTCACGCCAGCGAAGCAGACATGCGACCAGAAGAAAGTCGCGTCCGTTCCAGATCCAAACGAGTTGGCTGCCGTCTTCACACACGACCTCTGCGTTGTTTCTGCTGCCACACCAGTTGCACCGTCCGTGCCTGAGGGACGCCACGTAAGTGTACGCGAGTTGCACACCCCGGTGCTAACCGTGTAGGTATAGGAGGAGCAGTAGGGGGTGCCTAAACAAGCTGCAGCGCATGCCTCAGCGCTGGATTGGGTCGCCGGTTCGCCGACGTTGGAGCCGACGATGTCCCAGCCGTCCGGAAGACAGAACCATGGGTCTGTGGGCATGGAAAAGGGTTTGATTGGCTTGCTGGTTAGGGTTAGGGACCCAGAATACACACGGTTACGCCCCTTTCCGTATACCCACGCCCACTGCCCCAAGCGGACTTACCTGAGGTGGCAATGCATGTCGTGATGTTTACGCTGGACACAGCGTAGGATGAAGCCGCATCGGAGCCGAACAACCCCCTCAGCAGATCGCAATTCATGGTAGCGGAGGCTGAGCTGGAACTGGGGTAGTACAGTACGGCCTCACAACCCGCCGTCTTCCTGCATTGCAGCTCACATTGCCGCAAGCCGAAGCCTGACTTGCTGCTTAGCGTTGTGCCCGGCACGCGTAACTGTGGCATACACAGGAACTGCGTGGGACCTGTGGATGTAGGGACAGGACAGCGGCTTGAAGTTAGATAGCGGTAACTAATTATTGCATATGCGCAGAAGCAGCAAGAACGAGTCAGGGTACATAGGAACAGGACGATGTCAGTCTGCGGGAACAAATTATGGATGGGGAGAGGCGGAATGCTAGTTAGGGTTGCGGGTAGGAGTTCGGGGTTGAGGTATTGGAAGTAGGAGGCAAATAAGAAGGTCATAACCATGTTCACTTGGAGTTTCCTGTAAGGCACTTGCCAGGTGGACTGGTGACGTAGATGCCGTGGCAGGTGTCATCGCCGTCGCCCGGCAGCAGCGAAAGTTTCTGGAAGGCTCCTAGGTCGCCGGCCTACGTCAAGGGACACCGTGTTTCGAAGGTGGGATTGGTGTGTCCTTACGTCACTCGGCAAGTACCAGCACAACATGGTGCGTGAAGGAGTGCCGCGGAATACACCAGTTCAAAATCCAGTCAAGTGTTCTGCTTCCCATACACCGCATGCTGACCAAGGGCTAAGGGCAAAGGCCCCTTGCCGCCTGTTCGTGTCCTACACGACAATACAGCCCCCAACACCCTTAGCATGCCATTTCTCCACGCCTCCTAGTCCAACATGTGCCCATCAGGCACTGCTGCGTCCTGCCCCTAACCCACCATAAGCTCCACCACTCCAGTTGACGTAACCTTGACCGCAGTACAGTCCGAATCCGCCGCACACTCAGCGCGCACGGACGCCCCAAACCGTGTCCCAACAGCATTCTGCAACACGCTGAACGCCGCCTCAGGCACGTCCGTAGGCTCTGGGTAGAATGCCGCACCAGTCGGCAGCGGACACAGGCCAGTAGCTGGGGTGACGTCAGGGGAGGGAGGGAAGGGGGGTTGCATGGAGACTGGGTCCATGGGCGGCTCAGGAACAGGGGGTGGATCCGGAGATGGAGGCCTAGGGCTTGGGGGAAGCGCCGGGCGAGGGCTGGGAGACGGAGGTGAAGGAGAGGATGGTGGCTGGGGCGGATTGGGGCTTGCAGATAGTGGTGAGGGAGGGCTCGGCAGCGGGGGAGGGCCAGGGCTTGGGGATGGAGGTGAAGGAGAGGTTGGTGGCTGAGGCGGATTGGGGCTTGCAGATAGTGGAGAGGGAACGCTTGGCGGCTGGGGAGGACTAGGGCTGGGGGATGGAGGTGAAGGAGAGGTTGGTGGCTGGGGTGGATTGGGGCTTGCAGATAGTGGTGAGGGAGGGCTTGGCAGCGGGGGAGGGCCAGGGCTCGGGGATGGTGGTGAAGGAGAGGTTGGTGGCTGGGGCGGATTGGGGCTTGCAGATAGTGGTGAGGGAAGGCTTGGCGGCTGGGGAGGACTAGGGCTGGGGGAGGGAGGTGAAGGAGAGGTTGGTGGCTGGGGCGGATTGGGGCTTGCAGACAGTGGTGAGGGAGGGCTCGGCAGCGGGGGAGGGCCAGGGCTTGGGGATGGAGGTGAAGGAGAGGTTGGTGGCTGGGGCGGGTTGGGGCTTGAAGATAGTGGTGAGGGAAGGCTTGGCGGCTGGGGAGGACTAGGGCTGGGGGAGGGAGGTGAAGGAGAGGTTGGTGGCTGGGGTGGATTGGGGCTCGAGGATGGAGGTGACGGAGAGGTTGGTGGCTGGGGTGGATTGGGGCTTGCAGATAGTGGTGAGGGAAGGCTTGGCGGCTGGGGAGGACTAGGGCTGGGGGATGGAGGTGAAGGAGAGGTTGGTGGCTGGGGTGGATTGGGGCCTGTAGATAGTGGCGAGGAAGGGCTTGGCAGCGGGGGAGGGCCAGGGCTTGGGGATGGAGGTGAAGGAGAGGTTGGTAGCTGGGGCGGGTTGGGGCTTGAAGATAGTGGTGAGGGAGGGCTCGGCAGCGGGGGAGGGCCAGGGCTCGGGGATGGAGGTGAAGGAGAGGTTGGTGGCTGAGGTGGATTGGGGCTTGCAGATAGTGGCGATGGAAGGCTTGGCGGCTGGGGAGGACTAGGGCTGGGGGAGGGAGGTGAAGGAGAGGTTGGTGGCTGGGGTGGATTGGGGCTTGCAGATAGTGGCGATGGAAGGCTTGGCGGCTGGGGAGGACTAGGGCTGGGGGAGGGAGGTGAAGGAGAGGTTGGTGGCTGGGGCGGATTGGGGCTCGAGGATGGAGGTGAAGGAGAGGTTGGTGGCTGGGGCGGATTGGGGCTTGCAGGTAGTGGTGAGGGAGGGCTCGTCAGCGGGGGAGGGCCAGGGCTTGGGGATGGAGGTGAAGGAGAGGTTGGTGGCTGAGGCGGATTGGGGCTTGCAGATAGTGGCGAGGGAAGGCTTGGCGGCTGGGGAGGACTAGGGCTGGGGGATGGAGGTGAAGGAGAGGTTGGTGGCTGGGGTGGATTGGGGCTTGCAGATAGTGGTGAGGGAGAGGTTGGTGGCTGGGGCGGATTGGGGCTTGCAGATAGTGGTGAGGGAGGGCTCGGCAGCGGGGGAGGGCCAGGGCTTGGGGATGGAGGTGAAGGAGAGGTTGGTGGCTGAGGCGGATTGGGGCTTGCAGATAGTGGAGAGGGAACGCTTGGCGGCTGGGGAGGACTAGGGCTGGGGGATGGAGGTGAAGGAGAGGTTGGTGGCTGGGGTGGATTGGGGCTTGCAGATAGTGGTGAGGGAGGGCTTGGCAGCGGGGGAGGGCCAGGGCTCGGGGATGGTGGTGAAGGAGAGGTTGGTGGCTGGGGCGGATTGGGGCTTGCAGATAGTGGTGAGGGAAGGCTTGGCGGCTGGGGAGGACTAGGGCTGGGGGAGGGAGGTGAAGGAGAGGTTGGTGGCTGGGGCGGATTGGGGCTTGCAGACAGTGGTGAGGGAGGGCTCGGCAGCGGGGGAGGGCCAGGGCTTGGGGATGGAGGTAAAGGAGAGGTTGGTGGCTGGGGCGGGTTGGGGCTTGAAGATAGTGGTGAGGGAAGGCTTGGCGGCTGGGGAGGACTAGGGCTGGGGGAGGGAGGTGAAGGAGAGGTTGGTGGCTGGGGTGGATTGGGGCTCGAGGATGGAGGTGACGGAGAGGTTGGTGGCTGGGGTGGATTGGGGCTTGCAGATAGTGGTGAGGGAAGGCTTGGCGGCTGGGGAGGACTAGGGCTGGGGGATGGAGGTGAAGGAGAGGTTGGTGGCTGGGGTGGATTGGGGCCTGTAGATAGTGGCGAGGAAGGGCTTGGCAGCGGGGGAGGGCCAGGGCTTGGGGATGGAGGTGAAGGAGAGGTTGGTAGCTGGGGCGGGTTGGGGCTTGAAGATAGTGGTGAGGGAGGGCTCGGCAGCGGGGGAGGGCCAGGGCTCGGGGATGGAGGTGAAGGAGAGGTTGGTGGCTGAGGTGGATTGGGGCTTGCAGATAGTGGCGATGGAAGGCTTGGCGGCTGGGGAGGACTAGGGCTGGGGGAGGGAGGTGAAGGAGAGGTTGGTGGCTGGGGTGGATTGGGGCTTGCAGATAGTGGCGATGGAAGGCTTGGCGGCTGGGGAGGACTAGGGCTGGGGGAGGGAGGTGAAGGAGAGGTTGGTGGCTGGGGCGGATTGGGGCTCGAGGATGGAGGTGAAGGAGAGGTTGGTGGCTGGGGCGGATTGGGGCTTGCAGGTAGTGGTGAGGGAGGGCTCGGCAGCGGGGGAGGGCCAGGGCTTGGGGATGGAGGTGAAGGAGAGGTTGGTGGCTGAGGCGGATTGGGGCTTGCAGATAGTGGCGAGGGAAGGCTTGGCGGCTGGGGAGGACTAGGGCTGGGGGATGGAGGTGAAGGAGAGGTTGGTGGCTGGGGTGGATTGGGGCTTGCAGATAGTGGTGAGGGAGAGGTTGGTGGCTGGGGCGGATTGGGGCTTGCAGATAGTGGTGAGGGAAGGCTTGGCGGCTGGGGAGGACTAGGGCTGGGGGAGGGAGGTGAAGGAGAGGTTGGTGGCTGGGGTGGATTTGGGCTCGAGGATGGAGGTGACGGAGAGGTTGGTGGCTGGGGTGGATTGGGGCTTGCAGATAGTGGTGAGGGAGGGCTCGGCAGCGGGGGAGGGCCAGGGCTTGGGGATGGAGGTGAAGGAGAGGTTGGTGGCTGAGGCGGATTGGGGCTTGCAGATAGTGGAGAGGGAAGGCTTGGCGGCTGGGGAGGACTAGGGCTGGGGGATGGAGGTGAAGGAGAGGTTGGTGGCTGGGGTGGATTGGGGCTTGCAGATAGTGGTGAGGGAGAGGTTGGTGGCTGGGGCGGATTGGGGCTTGCAGATAGTGGAGAGGGAAGGCTTGGCGGCTGGGGAGGACTAGGGCTGGGGGATGGAGGTGAAGGAGAGGTTGGTGGCTGGGGTGGATTGGGGCTTGCAGATAGTGGTGAGGGAGAGGTTGGTGGCTGGGGCGGATTGGGGCTTGCAGATAGTGGTGAGGGAAGGCTTGGCGGCTGGGGAGGACTAGGGCTGGGGGAGGGAGGTGAAGGAGAGGTTGGTGGCTGGGGTGGATTTGGGCTCGGGGATGGAGGTGACGGAGAGGTTGGTGGCTGGGGCGGATTGGGGCTTGCAGATAGTGGTGAGGGAGGGCTCGGCAGCGGGGGAGGGCCAGGGCTTGGGGATGGAGGTGAAGGAGAGGTTGGTGGCTGAGGCGGATTGGGGCTTGCAGATAGTGGCGAGGGAAGGCTTGGCGGCTGGGGAGGACTAGGGCTGTGGGATGGAGGTGAAGGAGAGGTTGGTGGCTGGGGTGGATTGGGGCTTGCAGATAGTGGTGAGGGAGGGCTCGGCAGCGGGGGAGGGCCAGGGCTTGGGGATGGAGGTGAAGGAGAGGTTGGTGGCTGGGGCGGGTTGGGGCTTGAAGATAGTGGTGAGGGAGGGCTCGGCAGCGGGGGAGGGCCAGGGCTCGGGGATGGAGGTGAAGGAGAGGTTGGTGGCTGAGGTGGATTGGGGCTTGCAGATAGTGGCGATGGAAGGCTTGGCGGCTGGGGAGGACTAGGGCTGGGGGAGGGAGGTGAAGGAGAGGTTGGTGGCTGGGGCGGGTTGGGGCTTGCAGATAGTGGTGAGGGAGGGCTTGGCAGCGGGGGAGGGCCAGGGCTCGGGGATGGAGGTGACGGAGAGGTTGGTGGCTGGGGCGGGTTGGGGCTTGCAGATAGTGGTGAGGGAGGGCTTGGCAGCGGGGGAGGGCCAGGGCTCGGGGATGGCGGTGAAGGAGAGGTTGGTGGCTGAGGCGGATTGGGGCTTGCAGATAGTGGCGAGGGAAGGCTTGGCGGCTGGGGAGGACTAGGGCTGGGGGATGGCGGTGAAGGAGAGGTTGGTGGCTGGGGCGGATTGGGGCTTGCAGACAGCGGTGAGGGAGGGCTCGGCAGCGGGGGAGGGCCAGGGCTTGGGGATGGAGGTGACGGAGAGGTTGGTGGCTGGGGCGGGTTGGGGCTTGCAGATAGTGGTGAGGGAGGGCTTGGCAGCGGGGGAGGGCCAGGGCTCGGGGATGGAGGTGACGGAGAGGTTGGTGGCTGGGGCGGGTTGGGGCTTGCAGATAGTGGTGAGGGAGGGCTTGGCAGCGGGGGAGGGCCAGGGCTCGGGGATGGAGGTGACGGAGAGGTTGGTGGCTGGGGTGGATTGGGGCTTGCAGATAGTGGTGAGGGAGGGCTTGGCGGCTGGGGAGGACTAGGGCTGGGGGATGGAGGTGAAGGAGAGGTTGGTGGCTGGGGTGGGTTAGGGTTTGCGGATAGTGGTGGGCTCGGGTTCGGCGGCTGGTCCAAACTTGGGATTGGGCTGGGAGGTTGTGGAGGGCTAGGGCTCGGCGGCTGGGTCAGGCTTGGGCTGGGAGGTGGTAGTGGGCTAGGGCTTGGCGGCCGGGCCGAGGTTGGGCTGGGGCTTGGCTGATGGGTTGAGTTGGGAGGCTGACGACTGCTAGGAGGCAGTGGCGGGGCAATTGGTGGGAACTGTTCATAACTTGGGGACTCGGGCGGCTCAAGGCCTGGGGGCGGATACCCATCAATAGCACTAGGGGGTAGAGGCGGGTCAGCAGTGGGTGGGTCAGGCTCTGATGGAGGAAAATCATCAGGGCTTGGCGGCCTTCTTGATATGGGCGGTGGCAGGGAGGAAAGCGTTGAGTTTGGTGGTGGGGTGGGCTGGCTTGCAGCAGGGTCCGACGGAGGGTAGTTTAACTCTGATGGAGGAGATGGGACGGGGCTGGCCAGGGAAGGTGATGAGGAGTTTGGAGGGATGGGCTGGCTTGCAATTGGGGCCGGGGGAGTGGATAGGCTGGGGCTAGCCGTGGCTGGGGAGGAGGATGGGGGAGGGGTGGGCTGGCTTGTATCAGGGTCCGATGGAGGGTAGTTCGACTCTGCCGACAGAGGGGGCACGCCAGGGCTGGGCATGCCCAGGGATGGGGAAGGAGATGGTGGAGGGGTGAGCTGGCTGGCGACAGGGCCCGGGGAAGGGGAAGGACCTTTTGGGCTAGGAGCGGGCGGACTGAAATGCGGAGGTGCAGTGCCAGAAGCCGGAGGACTCCCTGAAGGCGGGGGCCTGGCCACAGGCATAGGAGCCGGAGGACGCATTGGACTGGGGCCTGGCGGTGATCCTGACAAGAGGTGTGGCGGTGATCCTGACAAGGGGTGTGGGGGTGGTGCTGACATGGGAGATGGCGACCCTGCTGGCTGGGATGGGGGTTTAGGCGGCGGCGATGGCGTGCCTCCGCCCAAGTATGGTGACAGCAGGTCCAACAGTAAAGAAGGTGGTGGTGGAGGCTGCAGGAGGTTCAGGAGGAAGCGGTCCTTCCTCTCATGCTGTGAGTCCCCCGGCTCCCAGGCACCACCAGTTGGGTCCTGCCGCGCCGCTTTGGCTCCAACAACGGCCTCCACGTCACCCCCTTCATGGAGTGCAGCGGTGCTGGATTCGATGTCGTGTAGGTGGGCCTCTGTGGTGGTCCAGGAGAAGGGGCCAAGGAGGGAAAGCACGCGGGAGGCGCATAATGGTTTACCCTACACTGGGTGGTATGTGGAGTCAATGCTGCGCACGAAACAAATTGTGATGGGATTCACATTGTACACGAGGCATTTGTGGCACGGCATGCCTGGATCATAAGGCCTGGAGAGTCAGTACCTACCTTCCATCACAACGATGGGGCAGCAAAACAATTGTTAGGGCAAGCGAAATGACTTACACGAAAGCGCCTACCATTTCGCCCAGAACGAAGCCCTAGGGGTGAGGACAACGCACCTCTTCTGAGTCCTGTGATTGCTCCAGCCGTGGAGGTGCTGCCAAGCAACACCTCCACAGGAGACTCCTTCAGCTGGCATTCTGCTAACGGGCTACCCCTGTAGAAGCGGCACCATGCGTTGCAGGGAGAGCACTGATGTGAAGCTAGGACACAGAGAAGGGTAGCATGTGGCCCAAGGGCCAGGTGGACAGCCATGCACAAATGTATGTCAATTATACAGCTCATAACTCACTTGTATGTGAAGCCTCCGCAGTTAGCGGTAGTCTGGCATAAATGCGCGCAGGCCTGCCAAGACGAAACTCCTGCTGTCGGCCAAGTATACTTTACATCTTTACCACTCAGGCTGCTGTCCGCGTAGTAGGTAAAGCCATTATATATTGACTCTGTGGGGTCAAAGCAGGGGATGAAAGGTAACAGAACGGCTGGGACAAGTAAGGCATTGTACCTGGTGGAGGAACACCCTCACATTCCTTATTTTGCTTTTGAAAAAGGAACTACTAGATAAGTGTAATGCGACTACTCCACTGCGGCAACTGACAGCTACCAACCCTGACGTCTCTGCTGACTGGAAGTGGACAGGCACATACCTTCTGTAACGCAGTATACCGCCAGGGCCCCAAGCACAAAGGTCCATGCTAGCTGTGGTATCAACATGGACTAAGAATGCCTGCACAGCCTATCAACAAATGGCTGTCCCTTGACAAGTATCATGACGACGGGCCCTCTAGTAAAGCAGGCATGAATCTTTCGTACGTTTAGCACACACTACGTTAAGGCGTTACATACGGTGTAATGCGGTATTATTGACGGCGTAAGCGTAGTAGACGCACAATCGACTTCGAGGCTTCTTAACCGCGCTCGCAGCAACAACGGGCATGGGTATTGTATGTAACAGTAAGTTACGGCTTGCAAACAGATTCGTCATGTTTCCCGTATTTTGGCCGACCTCTGCCGTATCTGTACTGTTGGTTACATTTCTACAATTCCCTAATCACGAAATGCCACACTGCGACACCATCGCACTTAAGCCTGCCTTATCAGGCCTAGAAACCCTGTCGTTAGGTTGAGAAATAACTTCTATCTACTAGCTTGTCCGTGCTCGTCCGAAAGCCAAGCCCCCTCAGGCGCTTCCAGTAACAAGCCATTACACCGGCATATCGCTAGGCATGTTACTTCATGACGTCGTTACTCTGTAGCAACAGGCTGCAGGCCATCCCAACACCGCTTGCAAGTCTGCCGGCTGCCGGTGCCTTACCCTGAGGCGACACCCAGTTATGACTGCTTCACCCTTGCTGCTCTAGCCCTCTCGGCTGACCAATCATGTCATGCACTCCCGATAAGGACTACCTTAGTTTACCAAAGACCCATAACACTGTTGCTGTCCAAAGCCCCTCCTCTACGGCAACCGCCATCTACCACCTCCACAGCAGCGGCCGCTTCACGCAGCATCATGCTGACGCACCAACTAATGCCTCCCCGCCCAAATTCACCGCCTAGGTTCCGCGTCACTAGCACAATCCTGAGCTTGCCACCTGCATGGAACCTGCATCCGCAGGTGCTGTGGACACGGCACTGGCGGCGGCCTGGCCTGCCTCTGCTGCTGCCTGCACCAAGCTAGGGGAGGTACCAGCTATAGGGGAGGCGGAGGGGCAGGCAGGTTCGGCTGGGGCTCTGGGTAAGATGATTGAATCTTTGACAGGCCTGCTATGTTGTAAAGCCTGACTGAGACGTGCTACCTGCTGCTCCTGCTGAAGATAAAAGCACGCTTAAAGCGTCCCTGCTGGCTGCGGTGGTTGTTGCAATGGTGCGTACGACGGCGGCCTTGGGTAAGGGTGCGCATGGATAGGGTAGTGTGGCGCAGGTGATAAGCTGCCGGCATGAGTCTCTGCTGAAGCAGAAAACACGGAAACCGAATTAGCTTCGCCACCGTCACCATAATCCCATTTAGCGCCGCTCCTACTGCCGCCGCTTCTATTATTACTCCCTGTGCCATAGGAGTTGTCGGAGTCATGGGGGCTGTAGGGGCTGCCGTCGCGGCTGCTTACTCCACTGCCCCCGGCTGCGAGCATATCGCTGCTACTGCTGCTGCTTTGCTTGGGCAATGGGCTTGTCCGTACTTGACCCTGTACCCCTGTTGTAGACTGGGATGCGGGTACCCGCCGCCATGCTATGGCAGCCTCCGCTTCTCCTTGCTGCTGCAGATCGCTGCTGCTGCCGCTGCTGCGAGGTTTACCAGGCAGGGGCGGAGTACTAGGGGACGTAGAAGAAGACCATGGCAGTGCGGGTGGCATGGGCTGCTGCTGGCCCTCCGCAGCGTTCCACGGCACAAGCCCTTCCATTTTTCTCGCTAAGATGTTGTCTATACTGCCGTGGGACCGTCCGCTGTCCCTGCCTTGGGTACTTTGTTGGCTGCCGCCACTGGGATGCATGGGTTTGGCGTCGACATTCTGTACGGCAGTAGCGCCCTGTACGGGCTTCTGTGCATTTGGCTGGCTACCAGCAGCAGCGCCACGAGCGGAATTGACATCACCAGCGCTGGTTACCAGGTTTGCGACGCGCGGCTTCCACACCTCAGGTTGGTCCAAGGCGCCAAGCCCTCCGTCGCCACCATGACCTTTATTACCATTAGCTTGGCTTCTGTCTCTGCCTGTAAGTGCAGGAGGCGTTGTTAATGCATTTGTTGCCTGTGACCCATGGGTCGGCACGGCCACTGACTCACTGCTGCTACTGCTGCTGCCCCTAACTGGGAGCCAGATCACCGGCAGATCACGGCCTGCTCCTCCGCTTTCTTCAGCAACAAAGCTGCCGCCCTTGCTGCCATCACTAGCGGTCGCTGGTACACCGTTACTGTTGCCTCTCCTTCCGGGGACATCCCAGACAAGCGCCATCACCTCATCCGCGCTGACCCCGGCTGCCCGCTGCTGCAACTGTTGTTGCTGATTGCCACTGCTTGCCGCGCTGAGCCCTGACGCGCTTGTCGTACTGCCTGCTGAGCTGCTTGTCACGATTGTCCCGACGAGCGGAGGGTACCAGTAGGGATCTCTGTACAGGGCATGACAGTATGCACGGAAAGCCATGGTGGTCCAGGAATCGTTGGTGTGGACTAAATATGTGATCTCATGAGGTTGTTGCATTGGGACTTGCATTGTGCACTCACTGGTGGGTCCACAACACTTGGCTAGCCCCTCCATCCCTTGACGATGGGTATCCCTTCACCCCTTATCCCGTTCCCCTTCCTTCATTCCTTCCCATAATACCACTAACCCTTTCTTTCTAGGAAGGCAAGATGTAGCACGCATTTCCCTCACCTGCTGGCTCGGTAGCTCCGTACGTCAGCCGCCGCCTGGTCTAGAAGCGGCCCTAATGAGGCATTGGCCCAGCTCACGATGACATCCGCAATGCTAGAGTTTGCGGGTAAGGCCGTGCCGGTGCTGGTGTCATTGCTATTGCTATTGCTACTGCCAAAGCTGCTGCTTGCCGCAGGTGTTGTTGTGTTGCTTAAAGAGATCGGTGGCAGTCCAAAACTGCTGCGGAGCTCATCCCAGCTATGTCGCACCCGGCTAGCTGCCCGGGTGGCCTGCGGTCCGTACGGCGGGGGGGTCGGACGTACCGGGACGTACGACGCATGAGGGGCATGACCCGCGTTGGTGAGGAAGTCGTGTACGGCACGTTCCGTTGAAGCGATACGGTAGGGGGAGACACAGAGCATTGACCAAAGGAAGGAAGCAGCACCCATTCATTTGTGCATATCATGTCTGCGCTCTTCCCTCATGACACGATCATGTCAGGATGTGCCATGCAACCAAGCAGCTTGCGGCGCAACGGTTGACGGAAAGTTGGAACGCGCCCGCACCTCCTACCGTACCGTCGCATTGATTGCCGACAACACCCCTGCGCCCAGAGGTCCCGGCCCGATGTTGCTAGACATCCGCAAAGCTGCGGTGTTGAGGGCTGCCTGCCGCCTCTCCAGCATTGCGCCTGTGCGCTCCTGTGTTGGAGAGGATAGCAGGTAGGAAGCATGGAAAGTAAGATGGAATGGTACGTTGGAAGCAAGGCAGCAGGTAACAAGAAGACGCACGGAACCGTTGCCAACGCTGTCCGTGAACCACAGGAGGACCTACGGAAGCTTGTTGCCCACAGGACAAAGCTAATACCGGTACGTGAGCGAAGGAGCTTCTTTTCCGTATCCCGTTGTATCCCGTGTGCTGGATAGTTACTGACCTGGATACCCTCGATGGCCCCTTGAAGCCGAGTTACCCACTCTCGTAGCGTTGATTCGTAAGCCTGGGGGGGTCAGGAGTACGGATTGCCGTGCTCAATGGCGTACGGGGAAGCTCGACTAGGGAATCTTAAGGGGGGGTAAAGAGGAAACAACTAACTGACTAGGGGGGGTGTTACTCATGTGACGGCACTGTCCAGTACATGTTGCCCAGATGCCGAGCATGACAAGCGTAGGGGAAGGAGCAAATCCTCCAAAGTGTCCAGAACGCACATGGATAGCCATCGCCTTTCTGTCGTACCCATTCTACCGCACCTGTACGGCACGCCGTGTCACCGCGTCGAGAGGCCTGGCTCTGGCGGAGGCAACCGGCCCCGTATCGCCGCTACCGCCACTGCCACTACCATCACCTTGGCTCCGATACTCTTGGGTCCTTGCAGCGCTCATGGCGCTGCTGTTGCTGCTTACATTGTTCACGTTATTGTTGCTGTCAATATTCGTGTTGCTGTTACTGTCATCGTTTTCATCCTTATCGCGCAGCACCTCACGCACCGCAGCCACCACGGCCTCTCCAATATCCAGCCAGGAGGCGGGCTGTTGTACGACACTTCCATTGCTGCTGTTGCCGTACATGCTTCTGCCGTACAGGATCTCCGTTGCCGCCACCCCGAGGGGCGAGAACGGAAAGCTACGGTAATCACGGCTGCGTTCCGTAGCACCGGCAGCTGCGTTGGGGTAGGCTTCGGTTTCATTGTTGACGTGTGCTGAAGTGCTGTTATTGTCGAGCAGCGCCTGCGTTGATATGATACCAAGAGGCGAGAATGGAAACGCACGCAGGCCGCCGTCCTCCAGCAGGGCTCCCATGGGGCTCCTCAGCGACACCTCCTCAGCATCGGCGCCGCTCAGATTACTGCTGCCACTCACGCTATCGCCAATGTCGCTATTGCTGTTGCGGCTGCCGCCGTTGCTGCTGTTAGCGTCATTGCTACTACTCCGGAAACGCAATGGGCTAGTAGTGCCGCCAGGGCCAGGCCCGCTGTCGCCACTACTGCCCTCGCTGCCGCCGCTGCCACTTTGCAAGGGTACCAAACCGCCACTGCTGCCATCAGCGGATTCGCTATTCGCCGACCTGGCTGCTAAGCCCAGCCCGTCGCCGCTTATCGGAAATACGCCCATAACTCCGTTCCCGGAAGAGGCAGAAGGGCGCCGGTCGCCGGCAGCCCCCGCAGCAATACCGGTACTAGCTCCAAACGTCAGCCTGTTGCCGCCCAATACACCGCCGCCGGGCCGGAATCCACCCGCTATGAAGTTATCGAAGGCAGCTGGAATGCGGGGAAGGGTGGCGAGGCCTGCTGGGATGGTGGTGCTGCCGTCACCGGCGCCGGGTCCCATAGCCGCGCCGCTGGGGTTGGCTATAATACCTCCAGTTACGCTGGGGATTGGGATGAAGGTTGCCTGTGTGAATTGCATCGAGCATTACGCGGGGTGTGCCAGGGGGAATACCGTATACTGTTGGTTGGTTGGTTGGGCCTACCTGCTTGCGTGCATGTGTGGAAGTAATCCGATCTCCGATGCATCTATAATGCCAAGTGGATGCTCCGCAGGAAGCATGTGAGTCAGCCTTTGTAGGGCGCACGGCGTACGGCAAACGCGTAGTCGTACCTGGGCAGAGCCAATCAGTGTCGTTGCCAGTACGCCATCCAAGAGGTTGAGCAAGATACGTGTGATGATGAACCGCGGATTGATCGCCAATTCCTGGCCAGGGTCACAAAAGGGCACAGCAGTAAAGCATTAACAATCAGGCGCCACACATGGAAAGGGTCAGGACGACCCATGGGTCAGGATGGGTTTATTATCATCCTTCACATTAAGGCAGAGCAGCTCATCACTGACTGTTGCTTGCACACCACCCAACCAGGGTAACTATGCCACACAAGCAACCACTGTCCTCTACCCAACTGCTAGCTAACTACATTCCTAGGACCTAGCAGTTACCGCACGGCAATTACCGCTTTCTTTGCGTACAGCGCAAGACCAATGACAGCATCAAGGTAAGCGGATGCGTAGGCGATTGTGGCGGACTCGTAAGCCGCCTCGAACAGCCGCGCAGTTAGATAGCGGTGCACCAGCGCTGCTTGCTGCTGCATCTTTGGATGCTGCTCTGCAATCCGACGGGCGTATACCGTAATGATGCAATCGTGTACGACATGCCCAAGACCAAGATGGATGGGGTGCATGGGGTGCATGGGGTGCATGGGGTGCATGGTTGTTTTGGACAGCAGGTGTTGTAGTCATCCAGAAGCCATACACTGCACCATCTCACCTCTAAATGACGCCACCGCATCCCTGATCCGCTGTTCCAGGGAAGCTAGCCGGGCCGCTGCTTGCTGCCTCCTAACCATGTACGACTGCAGCACACGTCCCTCAAAATCCGCAAGCCACTTCCGGAACGCCGGATCCCGACGCCCCACCAGTCCCCTTTCCCGGAGTCTTGCCCTAACCCCTACCCCTGCTCCACCGCCGCCGCCGCCGCCACCACCACCACCGGCAGAAGGGCCGCCCCCAGGACCTCCAATCTCTGGCGGCTCTACTCGGTAGTAGCGGTTATAGCACAAGTACAGATCGCGATGACACAGCTCAAAGCGCTGAATAACTCCTGCAAGGCCCGCGTATACCTCCGCCGCGATGTCCCAGTTCGGATCCCCACCACCTCCACCGCTGCCGCCATCACGGCCGCCGCTGGCACTTCCACGGCGCAGGCGGCGGCGGTCCTGTAGGCGGGCTAGTTGCGTTCTGAGCTGCTGCGCCCAGTCCTTGGAAAGTCCCTGCTGCTGCCACTGCTGGTGCTGTTCCCGTAGCTTTGAGGAAACCGTGTCAGCCACCGCAGTTGCCGTGGCGGATGCTGTTGATACCTTGTCAGTTGCTCTCTTCAGGGATTCTGTCAGCTTGGATGCGGCTTTTGAAACCCGGTTCAACGCCGCTACTGCTAGGTCTTCAGCGTCCCGCGGTGCATCCGCAAGGGCCGCAGCCATTTTCTCCGAAGCTGTCGCTGCTGCTGCGGCTGCGGTTGCTGCGACCCCTGATGCCCTGTCGGTGGCCTTCCTCAGCGCCTCCGTTGCTGTGGACGCGGATTGTGAGCCGCGGTTCAAGATCGCGACTGTCCGCTCCTCTGCGTTCCCGGAGATGTTCGAGATTGCAGCCGCCGCTCGTTCCGCCCAGCTAAGCAGCCGGTTTGCTAGATCCTGTGGTTCCTGAGCCAGGGTGCCGGTTGCTGCTGCGGCCTTTGCAGACTGGGCCATTGTGTCGCTGTTGGTTCCATTCGCTGCATCTGCAGCAGCAGCTGTGGCACCGACTGCGGTTGCGGCTGTTTTCCCCATGACCGTCTGCCCTTCACCAGCAGTCCCATTACCCTGCATGGAAGCACCACCAACACCTCCACCTCCACTAGGGCCACGTTTCCGCTCTTGTAGCTTTGACGATGACGGCTGTAGTGGTGGCGGCGGCGGCAGTAGTGCGGCCAGTCGATCTACGGCCGGAACGCTCCGCCCACACAGCCTTAGCTCCCAGCCAAGCAACTCCAGGGGAGGCTTCCTGAAGGCCTCGGCCAGCGCCAATTCCATTGCCTGTGATGCCGCCGCGTTCGCTGCGGCAATCTCCGCAGCTGTTGGTCGCGCCGTTGTTGTTGCTGTCGTTGCAGCAGCTGGTGTTGCGGTAGATTGCGCCATCCCTTCGGTACGGTTACCGCCAATGTCAACAGCTGATGCAAACTCACCGTATCCGTCGTACTCAGGGTAAGTGGGTACGGCAGCATCCGCGTCGGCTATGCCACCACCCGCTGATCCGTCAATTACTGGTAAGCTGCTGCTGCCATCATCGTCCCCATACACATCTGTGCCGTACACCAAATCTAGTAATGGCAGTGGAGGTGAAGGTGTCGGCGGTGGCGGTGGCGGTGGCAGCGGAGGAAATGACGATGCTGGTAGCCGCAGTGTCAGCGTCCAAGTGCCGGCGCTACCGCCTCCTCGACCCGCAAACACGCTGGTACTGCTACTGCTGCCAACGCCACTGCTAAGTGTGTCGCTGCTGCTACTGCTGCTGCATTGAGATGTCAGCGATGCTAGCGGCTCCACAGGAATGAGGCGGCGCATGGGGACAGTAGCAGTAGAGGCAGCGGGTGCAGCAGCGACGGCGCCGGCAGCTCCATCGTCACTGAAGAGTATACGATACAGCTGCGGAATAGATGGGTATTGCAAGGAAAGTGGTTACGAGACGGGGTGCGGGGGAGGGGCATTGAAGGTGCACATCACGGACCTGAAGAGGATGAACCCCCGGAAGCCGAACTGTGTACCGCAACGTGCTAGCCACCATGTCTTCTCATCTTCTGTTGCCAATCCTTGGCTGCCCTCTTGCGGGCGTTGCGGCGATGGCTTTCCCCAAAGGTTGCTGTCCGCGCGCATCTACCTATTGCATCTACCGCATGGCATAAGCACGCATACGGATACCCCACCATACCTTCACGCCACCAGACACTGCGGTGGAGTTGGATCCTTCTTTAGAGGCGCTGTCCACTCTCCCGGCTGCCTGCATGTATCCCCCACGGTAGCAGCAGCGACAGGTCAGCGTCCGAGCGGGGAATAGTCGAGCTTCACTTTGTGGTTGTAAAGGTGATGAAAGAAGGACAGCCTCTTTATTTTCGGCAGTTGGCTATGTCGTGTACTGCATGCGCGTAGTGTTGAAATGAATAATTGTTACCCCAAAGCCCGAAGGCGAGGGAAAACGGGCGATACTCAGCCCAGTGTACGGCGACAAGCACGGGCGGGGCAGGTACCGTAGCACTCCGTCTCGCTCTCCGCCCGTGCATTGACGTACCCACCATCAACTGTGTTTCCAGGCCACCCCCATAGGGACACACTCCAGCATCAGCTTGGTTGTCAGTCGCTCCAACAGTGGAATCTTCTTCTTCCCATGCATTACCAGGGTCCGCCGCTGGTGCTGGTGTTGTTGCACTGCTCGTACTCGGCGCGCATTGTCGTACGGAAGTTGCTGGAGGGCAGGCCGTCAGCCATATCTGTGGGCGGCAAAAATGGACGTCACAGATGCGACCGCGTTAGGATTTGTGCCACATAAGGTTATGCTCTTTGATTAAGGTAGCCAGAACCCGAAGGCCACGTTAGTTCCGCCGTTTCCCTACAGCACCCCTGCGCCGTTCCGAGGCAACCTACTCGTACTCTTTTCCCTCCAACCTACCCTTGCCCAAAGTGCACCGCCAAGACTTACCTCGGGTGGATCCACGGCGGCAAATGTCACCAGCAGCCGTACGGAATCCAGTACCAACGGGTGCCGTACCTGGGGCCGGAACAGCCGGAAGTACCGGTAGCAGAACTGCCTGCTAGCCTTGGTAGGCTATATTTGTACAGCACATCAGTGAAGGCCCACCTGTATCTGGCTTTGGAGCTCCCAAAAAGCACCGGAAGGCTGCATGCTGCTGGTGCTGTCGCCTTTACTGTCATGCTTTTGGAACACAAGAGATGAAGTGTCCGGCAGCTGCCGCTGGGCTGGTGCAGCAGCCATAATAGGGTTGCCTGGCGACGGCCACGGATCTGAAGCAGCAGCAGCAGCAGCAGCAGAAACAGCTTTGGATGGTTTGCCGGCGAGCGTGTGCTTGACTTGTCGGGCAGTAGCGGAAGGGCCATGTATGGCAAAGCAGCGGGATTCGCGATACACGTCCTGTTCAATAAGGTGGTAAAAGCATTAACGGCTACATCATTTTCTGCATATGAGCATATGACGCAGGACACCGTGTAGCAACCCTGACTATACTTGCACGCCGATGGATGGATGCGCGGGAACCTTTCTGACCTGTGAGAATGCAACCCGCGAACTGGTTATTGCGAGAACTGTAAGAACGTTTGTAATACATATAAATAGGTTTCTTTGTGAAGCCATAAGACTGGGTGAAAAAAGTACAGCGACCGCTGTGATATGAGATCGGTTCGTGAAACCGAGAGCGACAAACAGCAGACCCAACTTTGTAAAAACTGTGAGGGATAATGATGAATGAATATGTATATTGCTCGGATGACAAAATAACAGAAGGTTCTTGGATGTCCCGAAGACAAAAAGGCTCACGTAGGGCTACTTTGACGTGCGCAGGACAGAGGTCACGCGATAAACAGTGCGGTGTAGGCTACTGAAAAGTAAAGCAGGCATGGCACTTGCAGCAGCTAATGTGGCAGAAGACATGCGGCGTTGCCTACTTTTGCGCATCCCGCGGTGTTGTCATTCCCCGTGTCTATCTCACCCTTTCTCACATGCCTTCCGGACTTCAAATAAATATGGCAGAATATGGCATGACAAAGGGGGCGCAAAGCAAAAGATTTAGTGGCACGGCAAAAACGCAATGCTGGTATCCAGATTCGAACTGGAGACCTCCCGCTTACTAAACGGGTGCTCTATCCAACTGAGCTATACCAGCTGAGCTGATCCCTGATGTCAAATGCAAGATGTTTAATTAATATATATTGTATTTAAACTTATAAGCCCTCTGTCCACCCACACTTCCTGCTCGAAGATTCCTGAGCACCCGGCGCTGCTTGAAGAAGCGGAGACTCCTGTAGGCCTTATAGGGGCAAGATCAAGGACGATTACGCTCGGCAATCCCTTAAATGCTGCCAATAACGCTGCTTACATTTCCTTCATCGTCCATCTCTTTCATTACCTTCATTCACACACACACCACATCACACCCCTCACGAGCTGTCGCCCGTACGTCACTACTCACGACTCAGGACCCACACACACCGCAACAGAAGCACATCCCACATGATGACTTGTTACACGCTTCTCCTTCACTCAATGTGATGTGTGTTGTTACCACACATGTGGAGGGCCCTACCTATAGGAGGCCTGAGAACACACGTCCTGACCATCTAGAAAGATCTAATCCAGCCGGAGGCCAGCCGGATCAGGCCAAGGCACCGGCCGGCCGGCCGGTAGTAAGGTCAGTCTAACGACCCATGGGTCATTCACTCGTTATTAATTGCCATTGCCCGCTCCCTCGCCGCGCGCTGCTCCTCCTCAAGCGCCTCTGCCTCTGCCTCCCGCTGTTTTGCCATGAGCTGTTGCACCCTCTCCACATTGTATGCGGCCTCAAGCAGGTTGGGCTGCTGCGCGCGAGGGCTGTGATAGATTGGATGATGGGCAAGAGGGAGGAGGGGAGGCACACGAGTACCGGTAAGACCATCAAGACAGGCAAGCAATTTGAAGGGAGGCAGGCGGGTGTAAGACGACTAGGCAAGGTGAAAGGGCCCCATCAGCAGGTGATGGAGGTGGAATGCTGGACACTAATTACATGGACAATAAATGCCGTACAGCGCCCACCCAGACGATACCTGATGGCATATCGGTAGAGCTTCTCGTTCCACTCTCCGTCCGTGCCCGCGTCTCCCTCCTTGTGCTGAGTAACCCAGGTGCTGTAGCGCCGAGTGTACGGATCAGCCACGTGCCAGCTGGATTTGACAAAGATCTGTTTGTACGACAACAATTGTACGACAGAATGGTTAGGATTGAGACGCCACTGATTTGTAAGGTCACCGAACAGTGAGTAGTTCTTCATGACAAACGGACAAGCATACATGTTATACTAATAGCGTGGTGAATGATATACGTTTAACATGTAGACTGAGTGTTGCACTTAGCCATAGCGCACCGTTTCGTACGGATGAAATCCAATGCCGTCGTACGTGCCGTGCCTTGAGGGATGGACCATGTCGTTGCAGCCCCAGTGTCTTCGGTCCCTCCAGTCAACATTCTGCGACATCAGAAGCATGGGTTTCAGCAGCAGGCGACAAAAGGTGAAGCAGCAGAAAGCACTCTGCTGCATTAACCACTCGTTGACAATAGCAACAGCAACGGCGGAGGCGGAGGCGGAGACAGGCCAGGCCAACAGCCATACAACATACCCGCAGCCATACAACATACCCGCAGCCAGACAACATACCCGCGCGTACTTGGACATCAGCGTTGCAACATTGTAGCCGGCCTGGGTGGGAAAGTGAGGGCAGGGGAGAAAGGGGCTGGGGTTGGCAACACTTGCCGCCTTCATTCGCAACTGCTGCTGTCCACCACCTTCCTCCAATGAAAGAGAGTAGGCGTGAAACGACAGGCATACAAGTATTGAAACTGGTATGCTGGGGTGATCGCTTCTTGTGAAGTTGGTTCGGTTTGACAACACAAGAAGGCAGTAGGACAGCACCAGCAGAGGAACTTCAGAATGTACGACAGTTGTTAACTTGTCGTACCTCCAGCAGTACGGCGGTTAGGCCGTACTCGCCTCCCACGACGATACCCTCCTGCTCGTCCTCGCAGGTCTTGCATGTGCGGATCTGGGAGGGGGAGAGGGAAACAGGAAGAGGGGGTCGAATTCCCGAATACCCAATACCGTACAATCATTTACACTTATCATGCCCCGTCCCTCCCAGCCACCCCTGCGACGCATGCATGCCCGGCCGCCGCGCCTCGTCAACGGACCCCCGGGATGGACCCCCGGACCATGCGTGTCAAACCCAACACTCCCCCCCCCCGGTCCTCTCCCCTTCTTCCTCGCCCCCCCCGTCCCGTTCCCCGGCCCCACCCGAAACACGCCACGCTTCATCGCCAGCTGGAGGGCCTCCTGGTCTAGGGCCACCGCCCAGGACTCGAGACGGGGGCCGGGACCGCCTGGGTAGGGGCGAGGGGGGGGGTCACTGAGAGCATGGAAGGAGGGTGAGAGGGAAATGAGACGTAAAGTCATGTCAGAAAGACTCGACACCTCATTAACATGAACGCTTGGACACCCCTAACCTGCGAAAAACTAAAATTCACCCATCCCCTGGCCGCAAAAGTACGACTTCAACCCAGCCATGGCAGTATACCCTACCTGCATCCGCCTCCGGCAGGCAGACCAGTGAGGAGCCCACTGCCCGCACCACCGGCGGACCCATGGGTCGGTGATGACCCGCGAGCGACCCGTCATCGCCAGCAGCAGCGGATGAGGGGCCTGAGGCGTTGCTGCTGGCAGCCCGGGGCAGGTAGGATACGCCGGGAGGGAGCACCCTTAGGGAGGGCGGTGGGGCCCAGCGGGGGTCGTCCTGCGGGGGTGGTGTGAGAGGCGATGGTGGTTTGCCGGAAATGGAGGTGCTGGTGGGAAAGAATCCGGGATGCAACCGGGGTGAGCTGGTCATCAGGAAAAGGCAGGACTGCCTGCCCATAATAACCACAGTAAAGGGAACATGCCGATGGCCAAAAGGGTGGACTCAAACCGCCCCTCTTTCCCGCCCTCTTCCTCTCGGATGGGCCGGGTCCAATGTAGCAATCAACCCATGCTGCAACCTCGTTAGGTGAAAAGAAAAGAACAGAGAGTGAACAGCCTACATACAGCTCACTCGTCAGTTTCCTCCTTACCCCCTTCCCTCCCTCACTGCCAACTCCTACCCCATTGCTTTGCCCTAACTTGTGGTCTCCTATGGTTTGGTATGGTCTTTGACCCCCCCCTCCCTCACCTGCGGCAGGGGCTGGAAGCGCTCCAGGAAGGCGTGGCTCCAGTGCCACCAGGGGGGAAGGTAGGCGGGGAACAGCGGCCCGCGGACCGAGCTGTTGAGCAGGAAGATGTAGCGGTAGCGGCTGGGAGGCAGGGAGGGACGGAGGGAGGGAGGCAGATGGTGAGGTGGGGAGGGAAGGGAAGGTACAGGATTAGGAGAAACGGGATCCAGAGCAGTGGGTAGGCAGGCATGGAGGGAGAGAGGGAGGAGATGGAAGCAAAAGGGTGGGCAGATGGTGAGGTGGAGAGGATAGGATAGTAGAGAAAGGATCCAAAGAAGGGCAGTGGTGTAGCTTACGGGAAGGGAGTTCTTGGAAAAGGATCATCTTGGCCTCAAGCCCCTGACCCCAACCGTTATTCTCAACCGTCCTTCAAAAAGCAGTTTCATAACTAGCTGAGCCCATCCCCATGTGTCCCATACGGTGACCTCCAAACTCACAACCCCAACCGTTCCCTTAAGGAACCAGTGTTGTGTGCTTCCTCTGTAATCCCCAATCCCACTATCACGTCTCTCACCACGTCACCAGCCCCGCCTCACCTGAGTCCTTCCCCGTGCCGCATCAAGTACTCCAGGGTTACATTGTGGCTGGCAAAATCCATACCAACATTCTCGCTCCGCCATAACAGGTAAGTTGGACCAGCACCCGGACAACCGTCAGTTACGACACTGCTAGTGCTGCTGATACCGGCTTGCTTGCTATTGATTTTTTCGCTACTGCCGTACTGTTGCTGTTGTTGCTGTTGCTGCTGGTTGTTGTTCTGTTTGGCGTGTTGGTGGTGGGGATGATGGCGGGGATGGCTGATGACCCGTGGGTCGGTTCCGCCGCCAGATGTAGCGTCGTTGTCATTGTCGTCGTCAATGCGATCTTCTTGTCCAGGATCTTCAACGGATCGTACGATACGAGTGGCCTTTACGACACCGATGTCGGGATCCGCAGGTAGAGGGGCGCTGCGGGGTTGGGGGAGGTGAGGTGTGTGAGACGCGGAGGCTGGGGAAAGCAAAAGCCATGTGAACGTTTTAACGAACGAACGCCATGACAACCACATAATAAGCATTAAACCGCTGGTTTAGTTAGTGGCAAACCTGATCTCTCAACCGCCTCCTTAGTCAGCTCTTTTGCCTCAGGCAACCTCTCTCCCGGCAACGGGTGCTTTCCCAACGCCTCCTCCGCCTGAACACTTTGCTGAACACGGCCCTTACGTGATGGGAAACGTCCCGGAGCAAGGCGAGCAGGCCTCTCCAGCCACCACAAACACCCACGTAATCAGTGGAGGGGAGCCGCTACCGCCGCAACTGCTACTGCTGCTGGCGCCCCTGGTACGACTACTGCCTGTCCTGCTGCTGCCACTGCCTTTGTTACGTCTGCTGGTGTGGCTAAGTGGCGGCGCCACCCAGCCCTGCTGCAAGAAGAACTCAAAGTTTGCTCGCTAAGGGAAGGGAATGAAAGGGCGGAGGGCGGGAACAAGTGGAGAGGAGGGCGGGTGAGACAAGGAGGGGTAAAGAGGAAACAACTAACTGACGGGAAACGAGGGCTGGGTTTGGCGTTGGGGCTAATCCCTGAACAATCCACCAAAGGTCGGGTTGTCCCAAAACGACATCAGGGAAACTTTGAGTGTGAACAAGAAGGTGTTATCATATCTGTACCTGTATGGGGTCTTTTTCGTAGTAGGCATACGACACGAGGATGGGCGCATTGAGGTACGACGGTGGCCTCACACCTTCTTCAGCCCCCGACTTCGAGTCTAACTGGTCGTTGACTTTTTCTTGACTGGATGTAAGGGTGAAGTCACGTGTGCGTAGGTGCCAGCCGTAGAAGAGAAGGACGAGCGCACAGAGGCTGAAACAGATAGCCCAGATGATGTCGCTTGGGCGCAAGCGTCTAACTGGTCGCCGCGCACGCTGAGTTCCATGCTGTAATGTCTGAGCCGACGAGGTGTTCATAATGAACGTCGGTGTTTAGTCAGTGTGATATGCCGTGGTGCAAGCACTTATCCATGGAAATGCGCTTGGGGAAAGATTGCACTCTTGGCGTTAGCGGTCTTCCTGAAAGCGACTACATAGACATTAATATATTAAGCTGCCTCGTAAAGCTTGGAGCGTTTTCGAGCTGTTCTGCGGAATGAACACTAACGACAACGGTAACAGACACTCGGAAATATTCTTTGCCTACGTCTGCGACTGCTCTTAAATGTGCATCGTTATATGCTATAATCCATTCCTTTTGGTAGATCAACGCCAGGACAGTTGCAAGGAATTAGAAGCATTTTGCCATTTTGCAGTAACGAAAGCTGTATAGAATACTATCCTTTGTAATTTCTAGATGTTTTTGTTATAAGGAATACTCGACTATAGCATTGTCGGAGCGTGCTCAGACTGATCCTACAACGAAATGGCAGACTTGGAAGGGTTGTTCTCTAGGATCTTCGCTGTTAAGCTCTACAATGATGCGCCTGGGCCAACGAGTCAAAACCCGCCTGTGGTGGTGCTCTCAGCGCTGGCTCAAGTATGGCCATAATGCGATCTAGCTTCCCTTGCGCGTCCACTTATAGTCACCACCGGTCCTCCCGCCTTGTCATTTTCGATCCCTATAGGAGCTTGAGGCGGAAGCGGCTGCTGGTGCGGCCAGGCCTACGCTTGACGCTGCTTTGATGGACAGGGTGTTGGTCGCGCGGCTCATCGAATCACCACCAGCAAACTATCCGCAGCCGCCCATCCACTACCTCTTGGGCTGCTACGAGCGATCATCGGAGGAGCTAAGGAAAGCTGGCGCGAACGAGCGAGTCAAGGTGGGCCAAGTTTACTGGGGGCTAGGGCTGATGGATGGGCATGCCTGCAACGCATGGGGGCATGGCTGAGCGGCCAACCGCCTCGCATGGGTGGTTAACATGCACTGGGATAGGGCACTCCTGGGCTCAGCTATACCTCTGGCTCAGCCACGAGTACCTTACGTGGCGAAATGTTTTGCCCGCATGCATGTTCACGGGTATACTTATCCCCATTGCTGTCCGACTAGTGCTCGGCTTAGCACGCGGGGTCGGGGACTGCAACACTGCATAGCTGCCGGAGAAAGGGTAGACGTTACGCGCTTGAGGACGGGACACGCTTACGGCGGGTTGGAGCTCAGGGCAATAGATTATGCGCGCTGGAACGTCTACCCTCCTTTCTCTGGCAACTATGCAGCCTCCAGCCCCGCCCCCTGGTCATGTTGTTCCTTTGGCCACATTGGAAACAGCGAATTACTGCCAGATTCGGCACACGAGAGGAACCCCCTGCCGGCCTCTGAGCAGCCAACCGCTTTGGATCCCCTACCGTGCCTTGGCTTGATGTCCCATACCTCCAGGGTAACCTCCACTTCAGACCTTCAGTGTTATCCCGTGCTCACCTGTGCCTTCCTCCCCTCGCTCTTTTCAGGCAGCAGTGGCTGCGGCTCGCGACCTCATCCTTAACTACACCGGTCTAGCTCTCTTCGCCGGCATGCTTCCCCAGCCGCCGTCCCTCGAGACCCGTGGGTCACTCCAACTCATGGACGCCCTGCTCCTTCGCCACGGCCTCTCTACGGTTGCGTTGGCTACGGCCGTTGCGCCGTACTTTGCGAGTGCCGTACAAGCAGGAGCCGTACCGTACGGCGGTGCTAACGCTGCAGCTTCGTCGTACGCTTCGGGTGTCGTACCAATGCCGGTTGGGTTTCTAGAGGAGTTGGCGGGCCGGTACGACAACGATGAGGGGCTGGCGGAGGCTGCTTCAAAGATGGGTAAGTGTTCGTACCGGAAGTTTGTAGGAGTCCTACAAGACTTTAGGCGTCTGATGTTCTCGACCGCCATGGAACGATATGCTTTCACACACCCTCCGTCCTCACATCCCCTACATCCCCAAAAACGGACTCACCCCGCAACCCAGTTGTGGCGGGCTCGTCAGGGGCTGTCACCACGGATTGGGGATAGGAGTTGCCACTACCTCAATCAACAACTCGATCTTCTTGTTTACCTGTATCCATCCCCACCCTCCCCCCTCCGGCCCCCCAGTTGTGGAGCTGTCTCGCCTGGTCTCCCGCATCTCCCCACTCGGAGACCCCGCGCCGCACCTCACCTCCCTCGCGCACATCCTCTCCTGCGAGCCACTGACCCGTGGGTCAGTGCTGGCTGCCGCTGCCGGCGGTCCCGCAGCCGCTCAAATGAGTCGCCACTGGCTCCCGGCGGATGTGCGGGCGGCGGGGGCGGGCAGGGCGGTGGTGCAGCCGGGGAGCTGCTGGCTGGGGCCGTTTTTCAACATCAGGTGCGTCACGGGTCATGGTTATGTCTGTACATGCGTGCGTGTTAAGAACACGGGCCGCGAGTCGGGACGTGCTGTTATGACCATGTGTGTATCTGTTTAAAAACACTTGCCACGAGTCGGAACGTATCGTTCCATGGCTGGGGAACTTGCTGATCCCCACAGAAACGCCGCAAGTGAAGTAGAGTCCGTTGGCTGTGTAGTAACACAGCTATCGAGTAGTATCGGAGTGAATGAAGAGCAGCAATGTCGTTAAGCGACCGAACCCTCCCCTCCCCCCCTTTCCCTCCATGCAGCCCTATCCCCGACGACGTGCAAGGCGCTCCCCCCCAGGAGCCCTCCGTACTCGCCCAGTGCTTCGCCGGGGCCGAGCAGCGCCGACCGGGGGACATGGCGTCCGCCAGCAGCGCTCTCAGGCTGGCCATGCGGAACATCACCGGGCAGCTGCATGGCTGTGTCAAGGTGAGGGGAAGGGTGACCCGTGGGTCGGTGGCAGGGGGCGTGTGAGGTGGGGGACACATGGCCGGCGCTCTCCCTATTGGCTTGCCCCCTATGTACGGTAGCTTAAAGTTATTATATAAGTAAGGGACGTGTTGTTTTCCATCTACCGGTACCCCTCACCGCACCGCCCCCGGCACCCTCCCTCCCTCCCTCCTTCCCTCCCTCCCGCCAGCTGCTTCCCTCCATCCCCATTGCTTTGCCCTAACCTGTGGTTTGGTATATATACCTGACCCTCCCTCCCTCCCTCCCTCCCTCCCTCCCTCCCTCCATTTGAGATGCGTGTTATTAGTGCCTCCGAATGCGCTCACTGCATGAGTCGGGATATGGGATTGGGACTCGTTGTTTCACTTATATAATTTTTTCCCTCCCTCCCTCCCTCCCTCCCTCCCGCCCCGCAGTCGCTGCTCAAGTGCAGGACCACCAAGTCCCCCATGCTGCGGTGGCTGGGTGCGGTGCTGGAGGCAAATGCGGGGCGAGCCAAGCTGCAGATACAGCCCGAGGCGCTGGCGGGGGAGGGCTTCCTGGCCAATGTGGCGGCGGGTGAGTGGAGAGGGATGAGGGTAAGGAGTGGGGAGAGGGGTAAGGGGAAGGAAAGAATCATGGAACAGCCGCTCGTTGCTGCTACCCCTGACGATGCGGAATCAGCGGTCCGGCACCGCTATCCGACCTATTTATGTTCCTGAAACAACCCCTCTACCTCCAACCCCCCAACTTACCGGTATGTTACCGGTATGTTCTGCAGTACCTTCTTGTCCCCACCCATCCCAACCCTTATCCCCAACCGAAACCCACCCCCAGTCCTGCTCAAGCTATGCGGCCCCTTCCTGGCCGACGAGTCCGCCTTTTGGAAGCGAGTGGATCCGGGTTTCGTAGCGGCAGCGGAACGTACGGCAACGCCCTCGTCATCCAGTGGTGGCAGTACGGCAGCTCCCGGAGGCGGCATGCTGGAAGTGTCGTACGGCAATGAAACACGTCTGGCGGCGGGGCGGGAGGAGGAGGCGGGGTGGCGGGAGCGGGTGCTGAGTCATGCAGCGGCGTCCGGAAGCGGTGAGGGGGTAGTGGGGCGAGAGGCGGGAGGCGGGGCTTGGGACGTGTTTGGCCTGGTGATGGGGTTGTAGAGTATTATTGCTGTCGGCCATCACTTCCCCTGCCAGGCTGTCCTCCACACCCTCTCTCTCCCACGCTGTCACTTCATCTGCCAGGCATCACTTCCTAACCCGTTTCCTCCCTCCCTTTCGTCGTGTATGTGTCCCTTTCGTCTTGTATCTCCCAGGCAGCCCCGATGTGGACAGCTACCACTCACCTCCCAGGCGCATTTCCTAACCCCCCTCCTCCCTGGATTCTCTTCTTTTCCCTCCCTCCCTCCCTCCCCCATTCGCCGTGTATCTCCCAGGCAGCCCTGCTAGCCCCGACGTCGACGGCTACCACTTCATCTGCCAGGCGTTCTTCCTGACCGCCCAGGCGCTGCACGTGGGCCCTGTGCGGGGCATGACCTACCTGAGCGAGGACATGGGGCGGGAGCTGAGGTGGCTGCAGGTGGGGGGGGGGAGCGGGGGGAAGAAACACACACACACACACGGCCAGTTATTTTAACACACACACGGTTACTTATACCTACCTACTTACTACTCCGGTCCTTAGGTCCGGTCGCGTTACGACATTGCTGTTACTGCTTTACACTGATTCCGATACTACTCGATAGCTCTATTACAACATAGCCAACGGACTTCACTTCACCTGTGGCCTTTTCGGTGGGAGGACTCCATCTTTCGGCAATCAAAGTACGTTTCGCCTCGCGGCCAGTTATTTTAACACACACACGGCCAGTTTTCTTAACACACGCACATGTGACACGGGGCGAGGGATGAGAGGTGACACGAGCCGTTGAACGCTGCTGCTCTCCTCGCTGTCCTTCCCCTCCCGTCCGCAACTCACCGTGTCATGTACCTCCACCGCCCTTCCCCTATCTCTCAGGGCGTAGTGGGGCAGTTCGAGGCGGCCATTCAAGAGTGAGTGCTGGTGTTGTGTGTGTCGTACATCGGCCATCAGTCGGGGGAAGGGACAGCTGCCGTACAAAAGTAGTAGTAGTAGTAGTAGTAGTGTGTGTGTTTGTGTTGTACAGGTCACATGTGACTTCTTTCTTGTTTAGGGTTACAGGGGGGGTTCTCGATAAAAGCCATACTCGTGATTGCGCTGATTAGGTCACCGATGCACGCCCTCGGCCCATCCCTGCCCTCCCTCCTCTTCTATCACCCCTTTCCCTGCCCGTCCCCCGTCCCATGCCTTCCCATGCCTTCGCCCTCGGCCCTCACCTCCTCCCACGCCAGGTCCTCGCACCCCGCCGAGCGGGCTATCCTGGAGGGGCGGCTGCAGCAGGCACGAGGCCAGCTGGACTACATGCAGGTGCCCGGGGAGGGGGAGGGGGAGGGGCAGAGACCATAACGAACCATAGGAAAGGTGAAGTAAAAGCCCGAATGCAGGTACGGGGGGTTGGCAGCTGAACTACATGCAGGTGCCAGGGGAGGCAGAGGCAGAGGGGGGAATGGGGAGGGGGGAAGGGTGTATGGAGGGTGGGATAGCGAAGATGGAGGGGCAAGGGCTCTGTCCTCCCGCTGCGCGTAACCCCATGCACGTTCCCCCCTCACCTCCCCCTCACCTCCCCCTCCGCCTGTTCCCCCATTGTTGTGCCCTAATCCGTGGTTTGGGTCTACTTTGCCCCCCCCCCCCTCCCCCCTCCCCCCCCTACCTCCCCCCTCAGGCCCGCTACCAGGCCTACCTGGCAGTGCTGCTGGACCCCGCCCTGGTGGGCGACATGCTGGCGTTCTACAGGTTGGAGGGGGGAGGAGGGGCGGAGTGACCCATGGGTCGGGCGTTGGGCTGCTGCCCCCTTTTCACCGCCATGGCGGCACAATACCTTGGTAACACCACCACCGCTTGGCTGTCGGTGTGGTGACAAACACCATTGCCTTGCCCTAACCCTGACGTGGTTTCGGTACATCTCTGACTTCCCACCCACCACCCCACCACCCTTCCCACCCAGGCTCATGGCCTCCTGGCTTTTCAGCCTGGCCACCAGCGGAGGAGGAGCAGGAGGAGCAGGGGGGGCACCTCCCCCCCCTGCGGCCTCCCTCACACTGCCGCTACCGGAGCCGGCACCGCAGGCTTTCACCTGCATGCCGGTGGGGCGGGGGGGGGCCAGGATGGAAGGGGGCGGGGATTCCTGTTGGGGGTTAAGAGGAAGAAACTCTCTTGGGGGTAGGAGGATGTCTCTTGCCTTTTGTCCCGCCTGGTATCACTCCATGTTTGCCCGTTCAGCCCTTGGTCGTGTTTCTACGTTTGCTATGCTGTTGCTCATTATCTATTCATGATCACCTCCCCCCCACCTCTCGTGCCTGTGGTATCTTATGGTTTGGTATGGTCTTTGACCCCCATCACCCCCCCCCCAGGAGTACTTCCTGGAGGACATGTGCACCGGGCTGCTCTTCCTGGGCCGCGCCGCCCCGCAGCTGCTGAGTGCCGCCGCGGAGGGCAGCGGAGTGCGGCTGGAGCGCTTCGTGGAGGTGTTCACGTGCCTCATGGCGTCGCCGGGGTATGTGCGGTCGGCGTTCCTGAGGTGAGGGGGGAACTGGGGTTGGTTGTTAAGAAACCTGTACGGCACATCGCCATGTGATATGGGAGGGGGTAGGGGTTTGGGCGGTGGAGGTATGTGTGTGCCTCGAATGACACTGCACCCCTCTCTCCCCCACCACTGCATCCCCCCCCCGCAGGTCCAAGCTGAGTGAGGTGTTGGAGCTGTGGTTGCCCCGGGGGGAGGGGGAGGAGGAGGCGGGGTGAGCAGCGGGGGGCCGGGGGGCTTTGAAGGGAACGAGAGTGTGTGTTTTGGGGGTGTGGCAGGTGGGAGATGAAGGGTTTGTGTTGCGTGGAAAAGTAGGACATACGGGGGGATGCGTTTGCAAAGTCCTTCCCCTTCCCCTTCTCAATCATAAATCACTTCCATGGCTCTTCAAAACACACACGTGGTTACACGTCTGAAACCCCCGTGTGCCCCCTCCCCTCCCCTGCCAACCCCCATCCAACAAACCACCACCCAACCACCAACGCCTTCCTCTTCAACAGTCGCGGCAACCCCTTCCGTCGCTCCCTTCGTGCCCCTTCGTCTTCCTCCTCCGGCCTCTCAGCCGAGCTCGCCGCGCTCTTCAACTGCAGCCCCCTTGTCGTACGACACCTCGCTCCCGTGCTCGTACAGCTGTACAACGACATCGAACACACGGAGCGCCAGGGCGCCTTCTACTTCAAGTTCAGCATGCGAGTCACGATTGCCAACATCCTGCGATACCTTTGGCAGCAGCCGCAGCATCGGTAAGACAGGGGGAAAAGCCTGGGAAGAGGGTAACATTAAGTGAACAGTGAAGCAAGTCCCCACTGGAGGGGAGTTTGTATAGGGGGGTTGCACGGGTCGCAAAAAACATGGTCAGCTTCTGTCTCATGCCTGCATGCGGGTTCCGCCCCATGCCTGCATGCGGGTTTTGGAAACCCATCCTTTCACTCTCCCCCCTCCCCTCTCCTCCCCCCTTTCCCCCCCCGGGCCCCCTGCAGTGCCGTATGGCTGGCTGCCGTACGAGCGGAACAGTACCGCGGGCACGGAGAGCGGTTCGCCAACATGCTGCTCAACGACCTGACCTACCTGCTAGATGAGGTGAGGAGGGGTGACCCATGGGTCATAAACATGAGCGCTTCTGGCGCTTCCTATTGTGGCAACCCGCAACTGCGCCACTCCATGCAGCTCCAATACTCTTCATACATACTGAAAACTCGTTCCCTTCCCACATGCTATTATCCGCGCTTTCTTTCTGCCTCCCTGTCTTCTCCCACCCCACCCCCCGCGCTGCTCCCAGACGCTGCGGCTGTTGCGGCTGGTTCGAGAGGCGGAGGAGCTGAAGGGCGATGAGGCGCGCTGGGGGGCCATGCCGCGGGAGGTGAGGTGGAGGAAGTGGGGGGTGGGAGGTGGAAGTGGGGGTACGTGTCAGCACATTTGCATGGTGGGGCCTGTTAGGAGGTGTAAGGAGCAAAGGAGGAGGTGGGGTGACTGCCAGAGGTCCGACTGCCAGTGACTGCAATTGAGCGGTGTGAGGTGCGGCTTGGTTGAAGTGGATTGGAGCAGGAATAGCAGGACATGGCGGTAGCTGTTCGAGGGTAGTGGGCCATGTGCGTTTGTTACCTGTGACCCTGTTTCGTTGCCTGATCCGCCGTTAACCAACCAACCCTGCCCTTCCCTGCCCTGCCCTGTCCTCTGCCCTTCCATTCCCTGCCCTGTCCTCGACCTCTGCCCTGCCCTGTCCTGTTCCGTTCTGTTGCCAGGAGCGTGACGAGTCGTTGCGGCAGTTGGAGCTGAACGGTAACAACCTGCGAGCCATGATCCAGTCGGCAACCTCCGTCATCGACACACTCAACTTCATTACCGAGGAGGTGGGGGGAAGGGGGGAGAGCACTTGGAGGCATGCTTCATCACGTAACGCGGCTTTCATGCCGTACGTGTTGCTTACACTGTGCAGTACACTCCCTGCCGTACACACTTTACACACACCCCCTCACAGGTTGACACACCCGCACGCTGCTCCAGCCGCACATGGTCACCCGCCTGCTGTATGTTTACCATGCACGCAAACATGGAATGTCGTACTTATGTTACAATACACGCCTGCCGTACAATCCCTCCCCCCCTCACAGGTTGACACCACCCGCACGCTGCTCCAACCCCACATGGTCACCCGCCTGCGTGACTCGCTCAACTACTTCCTGGCTCACCTTGTGGGGCCGGAGCGGCGGCAGCTGAGGGTACGGCAGCCGGAGAAGTACGGCTTCAATGCACGGTGGGTGGGTGGGTGGGTTAGGCCGTGGATTCGCCTTAGGCGACGCGAAGCGCTTTGTGTTTGTGGATACTTGCTTGTTTAGCTGGACGGCCATAAACTCGCACATCGCTGCAAGGTTTGTGTTCTAGTCAACACATCTGCAGCTGGCTGGTTAGGCGTGATTATCTTTCATAACCTCCTAAGCCAGCCCCTTACTTTCAGCACGTTGCGAGTACCAGCCCCCCCCCCTACGGTAACGGTCCACTTCCCTCCCTCTCACCCTCTCACAATGGTCCAACTCCCTCCTCGCTTCCTCCCCCCCCCTCTCCCCCACCTCAGCGAGCTCCTCCGCGGCCTGGTCACCGTGTACCTGCACGTAGACTCGCTGGACCGAGCCGCACCCGGCCCCGGGGGCCCCGTGTTTGCAGCGGCAGTGGGGGCGGACAAGCGCTCCTTCCGAGCAGAGTACTTCATGGAGGTGAGTGAGGAGGGGTGGTGGGGGTAGTGACCCATGGGTCAGGGGTGTTTGCAGCGGCAGTGGGGGCGGACAAGCGCTCCTTCCGAGCAGAGTATTTCATGGAGGTGAGTGAGGAAGGGGAGGAGATGGGAGCTGGTGAGGGGGAATGACCCGTGCGTGGCGTGTGTTTGTGTTTTCCAGGAAATTGTGTGCGAGGGCGGGGCTCTTTCTCTCCCTTCCCATACACACACAGGCATGTTTGTTACCTCTCTCTTACACCCCACCCCCCTTCCTTTCCACCCTACTTTCCCAATCCCAAATCTCCACACACCCAGGCTCTCTCCGTACTGGACTCCTCCGGCCTGCTGTCGCTCTCCCAGCGCGAGCAGCTGGGCTCCCTGTCGCAGCGCGCTCTAGCCGCCAGCAGTGCGGAGGAGGCGGAGGAGGAGGAGATGGGCGGCGAGGTGCCGGAAGAGTTCGCATGCGGCATCATGAGCACCGTCATGAAGGTGAGGGAAGGGGGGTGGCGGCTGTTGTGAAATGAAGCAACGGAGTCGCAATCCCATATCCCGACTCGTGCAGTGAGCGGATACGGCAACACGGGGTGTTTGGGGGGGGGCGGCTGATGTGTGTTTGAGTGCGGCGGTGGTGTGCATGCGTGTGTGGGCACAGATCTCCGTGTGAGGACCGCTTGCTCGCTCTCTTCCTTGCACTGCACAACCCCTACTCCTTTCCCTCCTTTCTTCCTCTTTTCTCCCTCCTTTCCCTTACAAAACTCTCTAACCCCTTGTTCCTCCGTTCCCTCCTCTGCCACCCCTCCCTCTATCCCTCCCTCCCCGCCCCCACCACAGGACCCAGTGCAGCTGCCCAGCGGTGCGGTGGTGGACCGCCCCAACATCCTGCGACACCTGCTGTCCGACCCCACCGACCCCTTCTCGAGGCTGCCGCTGGCCGAGGAGCAGCTGACACCGCTGCCGGAGCTGGCGGCCAGGATTGGCGAGTGGCGGAGGGCGCGCAGGGGGGGACAGCAGTAGGGGGGCGGGGCAGTAGCAGGAGGGGGCGCAGCAGTAGCGGGTGGGTGGCAGGGGGGCGCAGTAGCGGGCACAGCATGGGGGCAGTAGCGGGGGGCTGTAGAGGATGGTTGAGACATGAAATGGACATGAGGAGGTGTCCAGTTAAGGGTTACGGCGAGATAGGTTGGGGAGGGGAAGGAGCGACCCACGGGTCATGTGGTGTCTGTGCAAAACGTGGATGCTGTTGCTGGTGTTGCACTAGCATGTTGGGGCCGGTAATGGGGTACACGGTTCTTGTAGAAAGGTGAGCGGTTGAAGAGCGGTGTCGCATTAATAAACGGTGTCGGTAAACGGTTTGTCAGCCGTACATGCGTGCATTGGGCTCATTAGAGGGTCACATCATCAGATACCCGCACCATCAGAATGCTCGTTGTCACCAGCCATGGGTCCCATAAACGAACGATCGCGTTCCTCCGCTGTTATGGTGTCACGGTCAGCTATCTTTGGAGGCGTGGTACGACGTCCACGTTCCACTCCTCGTTCACGCCACACAAGTTCGCAGTAAGGTTCTAACGCACACCCCTTGAGAGCTCTCTGCACACAGCATCATTGCATGTTACGCCTATACAGGCACAGCACATGGACACATCTGCTACAGCAGTACGGCAGTACTGCCATTCGACGGCAGTGCTGCGGTTTACGACACGACACGCACGCCATGCCGTACATCACGGTAAAACCACTACCTCGGTCATGATGATAGCGTAATGACGTTTCCATCTTGCTTTGGGTTCGCATACTAGGGCACATACTACAGTTCTTCACTCATATCCGTCACTACCTCGTCACTTACAACGGTGTTTCGCTCCGCTTCGCTTCCCTTCCATTCCCTCCTCGGTTGGATTCACTTGGCCTCGCCACGTCTTGCCTCACCTCGCTTCAGTTCAAGCGACGATCACCCTAAACACACGCACCTGCCGTACTCTTGTTTACTAAGCACACACACACACACACTTCATCTTTCGGCAATCACAGTACGTTTCGCCTCGCGGCCAGTTATTTTAACACACACTCGCCCTCCACATCGCACCCGCCCGTGGACCCCTCCTTCTGCGGACAACAGGCAACCCTCACTACACATACCGGTATTAGTTCCCTCCGATGCACGTGAATGAAAAACGTGTGTCACTCCTCGTATGACTTCGCTTGCAAACCGTGTGGGTCATATCAGTGCTCTCTGTCTCTCTAACAACCGGCCTCCCCTCCTCTACAATTTTTATAGTATAGTACGTTCCGACTCGCGGCCAGTTTCGACAACATACATTCACCATCCCTCGGCCCAAGTTGCCACGGCTGCTGGGAGGAATCACGTCCTGTTGCTGCTGTTGATCCTCCGTCGGTTCCGGCGTTGCACCGATAACATCTGCTACTGCTGCGGCTTCTCGAAGAGGTAGTGCGCGACGCCCCACTCCTCCCCGCCTCTGCTGCTACTGCTGCGGCTTCTCGAAGAGGTAGTGCGCGACGCCCCACTCCTCCCCGCCGTTGTAGCGGAACAACTCGCTGCGGGGGGCAGGGGACCGGAGCGGGCAGTGAGGGATACAGGGGCGGAGGGGAGCGTGGTGAGGGCGTTGTTACCATGAAGTGTAAGGGTGTGTGTTTTTTGAGGACCCTGCAAACCCACATGAAACCCGTACCAGGCGGCGTCGCCAGTACCGGTATCCTTCCGTACTATGTGCTAAGGCTGCCTGAATGTGATGAACGGATGGTGTAACCCTTCCACCTGCACCCTGGGAGCCCGGGTCGCTTGTAGGGGAGCTTAACCCAGCCCAGCCCAGCCCAAACCAACCCACACCTGCATGCGAGGTAGAAGATGCGCCAGCGGTGGAACCACACGGAGGCCGAGTCGGCACTGCCGCGGTAGGCGCCCGCAAGGATGGAGAGGACCTGGCGGGGGGAGAGGTGGGGGAGGAGGACGAGGGGTAAAGAGGGAATAACTACCGGTAACAGACCGTGTGATGAGGCGTCATCAGGACGAGGGGAGGGAGGGGAAGAGGAGGGGTTCATGTAGACGCCGGAAGGAGAAGGACGACTGGGCCATGTGTCCCCTTAAAAAGACATCAAGCCAGAAACGTTGGAGGGTACGACACGTTGGGGCTCATTGGATGCCGCAAGCAAACAACGCGTCCCTGCCAGCAGCACACACGTACGCACCTCACGGCGGTTGCGGTCGTGCCGTACCAGCCAGTCTTCGAGTGTACGGGAGTAGTGCCGGCCGTTGACGTACCTGAAAGGATGAACAGAGCAGGATCAGATGTTATGGAGATAGGGCAATATGAATGCGCAATGACATGCATTGTACGGCACCGTTCGTGCATTGAACCTGAATTCAGTTGTTCCTCATGCCAAGTATCGCATTCCCAACACCGGTAAGAATAGGCTTTTTGCAAGTAAAACCTGTCGTACATTATGATATTCCTTGCAAACCTTACCATTGGTTTCGGATGGTGAGGTCATCCTGGAAGTAGAGCAGCAGGTCCAGGGAGGGCATGGTGCCACCCGTGAAAAAGTACTTGCTCATCCAGTCTAATGAGGTGGGAGGTGGGAGGAAAGGGGAGGGGTCAATAGAAGGCTTAAGGGGCGGCAAAACAAAATGGGTGGTAGCCGAGCGCGTATGTAGGAGCGAGGGTGCACATGCAGGCGAGCCCAAACGTCGGAAGTCGGACAGACGGATTGTTACCGTACATCAACATGCATGCGAGGGGATGCGACCACAAAGAAAGAGCTACGAGCCTGTGACCGGGAATATGACCTATTGCAGGGATGTTTCCTGAGCCACGTAGGCTCGTACCTTCCTCCGATTGGACCTCGAAGTGGTAGGGAGTGGTGCGGTGCACGAAGATGTGTACGAACAGCTTGCCGCCCGGCCGCATCCAGCCAGATACCTGCAAGGCCAGATATTGCAAGGCGATTGCAATCGATAAGAGACCCATGGGACACTATGCAGGCTTGCACAACCACGACCTACCTTCTTAAGCAGTTTCTGGTAGTTCTTCATGTGCTCAAACATCTCAATCGAAACCACTCGGTCATACGGCTCCCCCGGCGCCTCGAAGTCGACCATGTTGGCCGTTATGACCTGCGTGACGACCGTTGACAGTTAATGATAACCGTGGATCTTTACTAGCAGGTGATGCGGCTCCCATCGTCCCATGCCACATGCTACCTGATAGCAACACAAGTGACATGCCCAGCACATGAGAAAGCAGAGAAATCACAACCCATGCAAGCCTTAGTCATTTTACCGTTAGGTTAGTGATGCCGCGCTTGCATGCTTCCTCATCAATGAACGCCTTCTGTGTAGCGGAGTTGGACACGGCGGTGAAGGAGGAGGCGGGGTAGCGCGCTGCAGCGAAGAGCGAGAAGGAGCCCCAGCCGCATCCCAGCTCCAGAACCCGCTGGCCGGGGGCCAGCTGCGCGCGCTGGCAGTACATATCTGTACGGCAGTTGTAGGTTGTGTACATCAGCAAGTTATCAGCAGTATTATATAATACTTAAGTGTGCGACAACGTGCGTGATGACAAGGGGCCGCTCTACATCCCTGTACGGCATCCCTGACAGGGTTGCCACGCAGCACGCAGCACGGGTTGGGGCACTCAAAGCGCATAAGGCCCCATGCGTAAGGGTCTTGTTAGGTAGCACTGCGCCGTGCCCTAACGCTGGCTTGGCCCCATTTAAGGACACCATTGGGGAGCAGACTACACGTCAACCTGGTCATAGCTATGCCAGCAACTGATGCCAACTGACGCCACCCAGCTGGGTTTCGCTTCAACCGATTGTGGCTGTTCGGTGCAGGATACGCATCTAGTTAGGTGGTACACGGCCTTACCGAGCATGTTGAATTCCGCCTGCGCCAGTGTGTCTCGAGGGGACAGGTACAGGCAGCTGCTGTACTTGAGGTGGTTACCCAGGCAGAGCAGGTAGTACGGCGTTGGGATCTGCACGGTGTACGACAAGGGGACAATGATGATCCAGGACTACTGCTTGATGCAGGCTTGGACTAGATCTGTTTCGCGGGGGCATGATGCTCAAAGGCGATGAGGGTGTCCTACGTTCCTAGCTGAGGCAGCAAGGTTGCAGCTGTCGAGGGATGTGGCGCACCTCGGTACTAGTAGTAAAGACTACATTATACTTGAACAGACATAAGACAGCAGCGCGCATGCTGACCTCTTTACGCGATATAGGAAGAGGGCAATCGGCAAGGAAACACACCTCGTAATGTTGCTCGTTCGCCTCGCAGGTGTTGACGGCAATTGGCATTCCTTTTAGCTCTTCGACAAATTCAATTGTCCGTCGCAGCCGCGTTTCCAGGTCCTTTGGCACCTGGTCAGCAAGGATACATCCCAAGACGTGCAGTGCACTGCTAAGATAGGCAGCAATTGCGGATAAACATTAATGATGAGGTCCTGGGCGTGGTCTCACCTCGGCAACGCGGACGCTCAGTAGGTAGCGGATGCCAAAGCGCAACACGAAGTCTGGGACCATGCCTGACTCCGTGGCGTTCACAAACAGCTTTACGAGACCATTGTAGAATGCCCCCAGACCAAATTGTTGGCGTAGAGCTCGAAGGATAGCTAAAAACATTATTCAACGGTGTCAGTGACGACTCAGCGAACGACAAGAGCAGAGCTTGTAAGTATTGCACTTATCAAAACTTTGCTGCACATATAGCTAACAGTTAAGTCGTTGAGTGATATCCTGCAAGCGAGTGGCTCCGAAGGCGCACGTTTTGCACGGTCATACATTAACGGTTCGTACACATTGCGATCTGCTAGGAACCTGAAATCTGCGTACTGTGCTAGCTGTCAGGCATATGACGATGAGCTTTCCAACCAAGGATAAGGCATAACGTCCGGGAAAGGCACATCGCTTGCTTCAAGGCGCGTTCTAAAAGGGGAGCACGCGCGCAACCTCCCCAGCACCTTGCCCACAGCATGACCGACGACCCAATTCCTTGTGTAGAAGTCCAAGGGGCAACCCAACCACTAGCTTTTCCCTTTCACGCCAATCCTCGCTCAAGGCTCGCCCTATGTTACCGGTACTGCAGGCGTTCATTATTGTGGCTGTCAAGCCGCTTACATAGGCCCTAAACACACTCCAAAGTGAGGTTCTTCCTTCTCGACGTTCCCTTCAACCCTGTACAGCAGCTTGCAGTACCGTGTCTTCTGTCTTGTCATTTTGCTGATACACCGCCACTGTCTTCTGCTAAGTACAGCTAGAAATGTCCGTCGCAGTAGCCTACGTTAGATTGCAAGCGGTCTGACCGGTACTGCAAGGCCTGTCTTACAATAGGCCTTCTACAGGTTTGACGTTTTGAGTTTGACCTGTTCCGTGTAAAAGGACCTGTTCCTTGTAAAAAGTTGGCTAGGCTTTACCATAGCTATCATATCAGCGTTCTTCGTATACTGGTAGCAGACGCCAGTAAGACTCTTAACCCATGCGCTGATTGCAAAACAACGAAAAATGCACGGTGGTAGCTTCAGAAGGAGAGGCCGCTTAAGCTGACGGCTTGAATGCGCCTCAGCTCGATAGCACTTTACAATGGGCAGCTGCCTTTCCTCAGAGAGCGGCAGCCCACCTGCTCCAAATCAAGGCAATGCTATTGGACAGTTGTATGCACGAGGAGGTGCCGAACTCGCTCAGCGGAGTTCCGCGGAATGTGCAAGCGGGGCGTCGACTGACCCTTTGCCTACTCCTGCTCCTCCTCCCGAAGAAGCGAAGGATGTTAGCGCGCCTGTATCCTTACAACCTAGCAATAGCGTGAAGCCCAGCACGCAGCCGCTGCCTCCTCCCCAGCTGTCGATCAACGTGCAGTACACAAGCTCGGAAATCGTTCCAGCAAGCCCAACCAGCGGTGAACGACCTCGTCATGCCTTTGGGGCGCCCGACAGCTGTATAACAGGTGCGGCGAGTACCGTTCTGCCTGGCTATCCTAAAACCTATCCTGAGATGCCCGAGCATTGCTCCCGCAGTGTACGCAGAACCCCTCAAAGCTGACGCGGTCGCGGGCGGAAGGGTGGCTTCGATACCCCATGAGGCGAACATTCCCTCCGCTTCCGTCACGGTAAGGAGGATGGAACCCATACGGTATGCCGCGTGCGGCTGCTTTTGCATCCTAGTACACCCTACTGCCGAAGCCCATGAGCCTTGTACGTGGGCTATGAAGCCACTCCCCCGCCTCTCCTCTCCTTATCCCCAACCTCGCCCACAGCCCGCCGGCAACGCCCTGTTGTACCTAAATCGCGCCATGATCTACCGCAACCGAGCGGAAGCAGGCGGCGTCCTGCCGCCGCTGGCGCCACCTCCCTTCTCGCCCGCCTCCGCCTCCAGCACCGAACCACCACCAGCATCATCCTTAAACACCCACGGAAACGGTAACGACCTGAAGGACCGGCTGTTGCGAGAGAAATCAGCACCCGCGGCGCCCTCACCAAGGCCGCCATCCGTGTCGCCGGTCGCCGTTACCTCAGCCGCAGCCACCACGGGGCTACCCCGGGTGGTCTCCATGGGCTGTGTAGGGGACGGTAGCTCCCACCACCCATGCAGCACGAGCAGCCTGGGACCGGACGCCACGGGCGACTCGGGGCTGTTTGACAGCCCAGGCGCTTTCATGGCAGCCGCTGGCCCATTCAGCGGCGGCCTATCCACCACAACCAACAGTACGGCTGCGGTTACCGTTGGTCCAACGAACACCAGCACGGCGACTGGACTAACCACCAGCAACTACACAACCCACATCACCAGCAACCTCCTGAACTCCGCTGCGGCTGCTGTCGCCGCCGCAGCAGCAGCCGGGATATCGAGAGGAGCTGCCAGGACCATGCCCGACGGCTTGACGCCCCAACCCCAACCGCCGCCGACAATGGCAACAGCGTTAGTTGTTGCGAGCGGCGCCGCCCCCGCAGCAACCGGAGGGGGCACGGGCTCCGCAGGCAATAGCGGTGGAGGGAACAGCGGTGGTGGGCTGGGACTGGGTGGCGGCGGTCCGTTGCTTGGGCAGGGGCTGGAGGCGACGCTTGGGGAGATGCAGCAGATGGCGCTGATTGGCAGCGGCGGGGGCGGCTGCGTGTACATCGGGCGCTGGCGGGGGGTCACGGTGGCCATCAAGTGCATCGTGAGCAGGTGGGGAGGGAGAGGACGAGGGGGAGGGCAGCTGGGTGGGTGGTGAGGGGACGTACGGCGGAGCCGGGCCTGCCTGGCTAGCCAGTCTGCCAAGGGGTAGGCCGCGGGCTAGCCAGCGTACAGGGATGCTCTGGTGCACCAGCCACACCTGCAATACCGTGACCTTCTTCCCTGCCCTCCTCTGCCTTCCCTCCTGGCCTCACCCCTCTCCCCATGCCTGCCTGCCCGCCTGCCTGGCCTCGCAGCACCGACGACCAGCTTGTTCGCAGCCAGCGTGAGGCGCTGCTGAGCCGCCTGGCCAGCCACCCGCATGTGGTGCAGACGTACGCCACCAGCGTGACGCAGCTGACGGAGGCGATGTTCAAGGTGGGGGGAGGACAGGGGAAGGGAGGAGGCCTAGGAGGGGAAGAAGGGAGGGAGGTGAAGGGAGGGGTGCTGCTCGTTACGTTTGGCACTCAAGTGCCTCCCTCTTCTCCGTCGTCCACTGCCTCTTACGTCCCTGCTCAAGCTGTGGCTCTTGCAGTCAGTCCATTTGTACGACACAGCAGCTAAAACACAGCTCCCCTCCTCCCTCCTTCCTTCCTCCTCCCAACTCCTCTCCGTTCCGCCTCCCTTAGGCCAGCACCAACAGCGACCCGCAAGGCGGGTTCGCCGCCACCGACCCAAACATTTCGCATGACATCCTCGCCGGCATTACCTCTGGATCCTGGATCCGAGGCGAGCTGCAAGCCGCGCTGCAAAGCGGTGTGGGACAGCCTCCTCAAACCGGGGTTCCTGCTGCTGCGGCTGCTGCTGGTGCCGCTTTCGGGTCCTCTGGACCGGTCATGGCGGCTGTTGCTGGTGGCGATGTTGGTGGTTGTGGTATTAGTAATCTCCCTGCCATTGGGTTTGGCGCGGCGGCCGCCGTTGCCGTCATGCAGAGTGCTGGCGGCGGCGGTGCTGGGGGTGGGTTTGGGGCCGGCCATGTTGCCGCTTCTGCTTCTGGTGGGGGTTGTGGGAACGGTTGTTGTGGGGGCCCCGGGGTTGCTCATGCCGGTGGGGGCGGAGGTGGATGTGGAGGAGCTGCGCCCGCCCTTCCCACCATCATGGAGAGCTTCGCGCGGTCGCATCCGTCCATGTCAGGGTGCTCCCGGTCCGGTTCGACACGGGGAGGAGGAGGAGCAGCTGGAGGACTAGGCATAAGCGCCTTGGGCGATAGCTACCTCCCCTTGACTATCAGTGCCTATGAGAGCGACCTCTCGCGTTCGGAGGATGAAGCGCGACGAGGCAGCGACGCCGCCGCCGCAGTAGCAGTGGCGGCAACGGCGGTGGCCGCTAATGGCGGAGTGGGCGGCTGCGTCGGGGGAGGCGGAGGCGCTGGGGTTGGTGTTGGTGGTAGCTGTGGTTGTTGCTGTGGCGGGGGAGAGTGCTGCTGCTGCCATGCTGGAAGTGTTGGAGGGGGAGCAGGGGCCGCGTCGTCAAGCCGCGAGGACGAGGATGCGGGATCTGGGTGCGGCTTAGGGCGAGGCGAGTCGGGAGTGACGGCGGGGTCGCATGGGGCCGGGGCTTGCGGCGGCGTTTGCCGGTGCGAGGGGGCGGGAGGGGGAGGATCGAGAGGGGCATGCGGGCGGGTTGGTGGTGGTGCTGCTGCTGCTGCTGGGACGGGGGCAACGGCAGCAGCAACGGTGGGAGCTGAAGCAGGTGGAGCTGCTAGTGGTGGCGGTGCCGCTGCATGCGGTGCCTCTGCATGTTGCGGTGGTGGTGCTGCCGGTTTGGTCGGGGGAGCTGTGCATCCGTCACGGGGTCCCGGAGTGGGGGCGCATCCAGGCGGCGCGGCGGATAGCTTTGATGCGTCCTTTGTGCGAGACCACTTGGTAAGGGGGCTTGGAAGGGTGGGAAACGGGGTTTGGGGTGTTGGGTTGGGGAGGGGGACGTGTCACCTGACGCCAGCTGCTCCGCCGACTGCTCATGCTTCCCCTTCAGCACGCGTCGCTCGGAGCTCTTTTCTGTTTGTCTTCGACCCGCCCCTTCCCTCCCTCCTCCTCTTCCCCTCGGGCGTTTGCATTCGGGTGCTTCACGTATTCTTCATTTTCTTCTCTTGCAGTTTCACGACACTTCCCTCCTGCTGCCCCTGCTCCTGCTGCCCCTGCCCCTGCTGCCTCTGCTGCCCCATGCCCCTGCTGCCCCTGCCTCTGCTGCAGGGTCGCACCAAGTACTCCACCCACGAGGTGCTGCGGCAGCTGGGGGCGCTGGAGGGGCAGTTCCTGACCATGGTGGTCATGGAGTACTGCGACGGGGGCAGCCTGCTGGCGGCACTCAAGGAGGTACGCGTGCGGCGGGATGGGGGGCTTTTGTTGGCAGGGGCTGGTGATGATAGGGGCCGCGGGGTCTGGATGCACAGGAGGGAACACTGGGGAAGCAAGGGGAGGTGAAACTGGAGTAGAAGGCATCATTCCCACCCCAACCCTAACCCCACACCCGCACGCCCTCCCTATACACATCACCCGCCACCACCACCAGCTTCGCTTTCCATTCATTCCTCCAGCCGCTCACCCACCCCACCCGCCCAGGGTCCCTTCAACCGCGACACCACCTCCTGGAGTCCCCGCATGCTGCTGCGATCCACCGTGCGTACGGCACTGGAGGTCGCTCACGGCATGCAGCACCTGCACCTGTCGGGGCTGGTGCATGGGGACCTCAAGCCGGGCAATGTGCTGCTAAAGGTGGGGGTGGTAATAGGGATACACATTCCGCATTAGGCTGGGGGTGGGGGTGTGCTGTGGGGGTGGGGGTGGGGCATTACCGGTATTAGGGAACCATATAACGCATTGGGCTGGATAGCTGGACGGGTCTGAGGGAAATCAAGGCGAGGGAAGCCGCAAATGGCAGTGCAGGGCAGTGGGGAGAGGGGGCGGTGGGATGCCAGAAAGGCGGGATGTGGGCTAAGAGGAGCGCTAGGAGGACTGATAGGCGATTCCTTGCTTGTCCGTGCTGCTTGCCACGTGGATATTTCCTCTTGAGCGCTGCCTACACCTCTTCACCCTACCCGTGCATGCCTGCCTGGTCGCATGGCCAGTCATTTCCTCCTTGCCCCACCCTCCACCTCTCTTCACCCTTCCACCCTCTCTCTCCTCTCCTCCTGCCCCCACTCCCAGGGTTCCAACCAAGACAAGCGGAAGTTCGTTGCCAAGGTGGGTTGGTGGCGGGCTGGAGGGGGGCTGGTGCATGGGGGACGGGAACGTGTTTGGCCGGCTGGGAGCCCACCTCGGCTCCCCATCTGGAGCTGTGCATGGGGGTTGGGTCGGGAGTTGGGGTCGTGGGGTTAGGGTTGGCCGGTTTGGGAGCGTAGGCTTTTCCACCCTCATCGCAAACCATCAGCCCTTCCTCTTAAGCTCTAACCCCACCGCCCCATCCCATGGTCCCACCCGCCCTCCCGCTGCAGGTCAGCGACCTAGGTACGGCACACCCCGTGGGAACCGGAGACGAGATGGCCATTGACGACGGCCAAATCGGATCCATCGCCTACATGGTGGGTTTTGGGGGATGTGACGGATGGCATGAGGGTTGGCATGGGGGCATGAGGGTTTACCGTACATGGTATGCGGGTACTTACCTAGTTTTGCTGTACGATCCACCTATCGAGAAAAGAACCGGTACTTCATTTCCTACGTGATGTCCCAACACGTGCCCGGAGGGAAGGGCAAGCTGTTTCCGCCCCTTCTCAGCCATCTTCCCGCCCCTGTAGCCTCACCCCCGCCACGTTTTCTTCGCTCTCTCCTCTCCTCCCTCCTCAAACCTCCTAACCTCCTCCTGCCTTCTCCTATCTCCGCACACGTCCCCCCCCTGCCTCAGGCTCCCGAGGTGTTCCGGGGTCGCGTCATGAAGGCCTCCGACGTGTACTCCTTTGGGGTGCTGCTGTGGCAGCTCACCTCGGGGACAGGTGGGGGGGGGAGAAAAGAAGAAAATCCAATGTGGGGGGTAGCGTGTAGGGGGGGTTTCCTCGATACGGGGACAGGTGAGGGGGAGAAAAGAAGGAAATCCAATGTGGGGGGACGGGGTGGCGTGTAGGGGTAGCGTGTAGGGGGGGTTCCTCGATACGGGGACAGGTGGGGCGGGGCATGCATGGGGTTCATCCGGAGACAGGGACAGGTGGGGGTTGGGAAAAAACCGGTGCTGCTGCTGCTGTAGCCTCTACAAGCACACATTCGCCAGGGGCTTTCACCCCTATCGTTGTCACCACCATTAACACCTTGCTGTGTCTATTCTCTTCATTCATCTGCCTCTCCCCTCCCCCACTCACTCAGGTGCTGCCCCCTACGAGGGCGCGCATCCCATGGCCATTGCCCTCGGCGTCTCCGAAGGAAAGCTCTCCCTGCGCTGGCCGTCCGGCGTCTTCCGCCCCCTGCAGCAGCTAGGCGAGCTCTGCACGCAGCCCGATCCCGCTGCTCGCCCCTCCTTCAAGTCCGTGGTGGGAGCACTCGAAAAGTTGGAGCGCCACATGCAACGCCTGGCGACGACGGGCGGCGGGAGTTCCGGAGCCATCGCAGCGGGTGCGGCGGGGATGAGTGGCGGCGGCGGGAGCGGCAGCATGGGATTTGGGTCGCCGCCGTCTTCGACGATGTATGTGGGTGGGGGCGGGGTGAGTGGGAGGGGGACGGGGCAGGGGTAAGGGAAGTGCAGGGGAGGGGAAAAATTGAAGTGAAAAAGTGAAACAACGAGTCCCAATCCCATATCCCGACTCATGCAGTGGGCAGGGGAGGGGAGGGGATGAATGGGTGAATGACGGTTGCCGTGCCTGGGTTTGAAGAATTCATGAAAACGATTGATAACGGTTGATGAAGCAGTGGGTGATGGGCGGGATGGCAGGTTTGGGAGGCCTGGCTAGCAATGATGGGGATGAAAGGGAGGGTTGGGGAGTGGGGGAATGGAGGAAAGGGAGAGGCGGAGTGATGGCAGGTGGGGCGGGAGAGTTGCCCTCTCCATAGGTGTACATCTTCATGTTTGGGCTATGGGTGTAAAGCTTGGGTGGGGTGGTGGGTGTGTCTGTACTTTATCACCTTTCTGTGGATTGGGGAGTGTGGAACCCGGACGGAATCGACACGCGCTGACGTAGACCACGGTGAAAGGTGTATGATGGGGCGGCATCTAGTGCGGAGCAACGGGGTTCGTTACACTTGAACAGTTGTCAGACAACCGCAGCAGCACAACAACAGCAGCGGAGTATGTTGTCAGAAACCGCTAAGGAAAAGGTGGGGCGATGACGTTACATGGCCATTTCCTCTTCTGTGCATGAGTGCCTCTCTGGCAATGATGGCAGTTGGTAGCTGGGTAGCGTTGTCTCTAGAAGCTTTGGTGTGCTAAGCCAGAGCGCTGCTGCTATAGCTTGGGCCGCATTGTAGCTGAAGGGTGCTGTTGTTTGTTGGATTTCGGCAATCTGCTTGAACTTCTAAAGACGCAGCCTACTAACTTACGGACCCTTGACGTCGTCGCCATTTTTCCGAGCGTGCTGGCGTTTTATAAGCCCGATTACTCGCTGCGACCCTGATTTGCGTATCGCTCTATGTCACCCTGGTCAAATAGAAAATCTATTTCTCTTACTTGATCGCGCTAACCTTGCCTTGGCGCAGCTTGGTATTTCACATTTCTCGTTTCACAAGTTTTGGGCATATGTTTCGGGTGTGGGAGGGAATAGCTCTGGATCAGCTGCACATAACTTACGGATAAGTCCTTTACTTGACCGTTGGTCCTGCGTCCCCCGCTCCATATGCCCTGTGATTTCAGTGTAAGCTCGGGTAAATAAAGATGATTGATTTGGTGGTTCCTTCAGGGCGTCAAAATCTGTGTGAAATTCGCATGTGTAGTAGTTTGGTAGCTCGCTGCTGTTGCTTCCATTGCTGTTGCCGTGACAGTGGTCGTGTGTTAATCAGCAAACCCCCACCGTGTCGTCCGGTCCCAAGGAAAAGGCCCTTCCCTATGGCCGCCTCACTCGAAGGTCTCGTGGGTGTCTTCTGGCTCAGAGGCCGGGGCCTGCACTTTTCTCTAAGGCTTGATGTGCGTCGCCGGAAGCCGGATAAGAAGGCTTGCTTCATTGCTCTACCTGTGCGCGCGCACGGAAGCTTGGGCCTGCTTGGGCTGTGTTGTAATGCTGGGTTTACCTGCGAGGGAGCACTAGTATGTGCGGCGCAGGTGTGCAAGCAAGCGTTAGGACACCGAGGCGCGCGTGCCATCACACACACCTTGAGACGCGCAGATACGTGCGCATGTTGTGTTGAAAGGGGTGGGATGTTGGATGCTTTGGTTGTGCCGTTGGTGGGTTGCTGTAGCCGGTTGCATGCTCTTTAACGGGTCGGCCATTGTAGGGGGTGTGGGTCGTCCGCCGGAGGAGGATGTGACGTGTTGGCGCAGCTGTGTTCGTGTGCTTGCCGTGTTACTGCATTGCAATGGTCCCGCCTGCCTCCTACCTTGCCTTGTACGTTACAGTGCGCTGTAGCAGCATTGGATGGGGGCGGGTGGTTGGTGTAACTGCGCGGCGTGTTGTGGTTCCGGCATGTGGCACGGCATGCTTCAGCAGCGGCAAGGCTGACGTGCAGGGCTGCACATGCCGATGTTGCTGGATGGCTCTCCTGCTTTTGCTGCTGTTTCTGCACATGTTACCGCCGTGGGTTCTGCTTCTGCTGTTTCTGCTTCCGCGGTTATTGTTGTGTGGCGCGGGCTCATGCGGGCTCATGGTTCCATGCGAGGGGGGCCTTCCGGCTGCCGTCCCTATGGGATGACGGCGTTGCCTTAGCGGCCGGGTATTCGTGGCTAAGTACGTTCATCAGTATCGTCGTCGTGGTGTGGAGAGCTAAATACAACTAGAGGCCGGGCAAGCTTCCTGCGAAGCCGTGATACCTTTGATAACTTTACTACGAATCATGTTATTGTGCGGTCCGCGATGTGGTTATGGTCGGCTGATGATGAAGTTACTTTTACTTGCCAAAGCAGCAGCGTCACTAAGGGAGTCACTAAGTTGACAAGATGTTTATAACGAACATGGAACGGTGTCGAACTGTCGTTAGCATTGATTAGCAATAACGTATAATCACCTCTTTCAAGGAGCCGTACAGCCGTTAAGAGAGTCGGGTGCGAGCTGTAGACCTGCGTGCTTCCTTATAAGCATGTATGCTGACGGGATGTGAGGAGGCTTATGGGTGAAGCGGTTGTACGGAACAATTTTATGTTCGGAGCGTACGCGTTGGCGGTTCTGTTAACTGAACTGTGATCTTCTGGAAGGTGTTAGGTTACGGGTCTGCTGCACAGACCCGTAACCTAAATGCAGCGTGCAGTGGTTTAATGTAGGGTACCCGAGTGGTGCCTCACTCACCATAATAGTTTCAGCGTGTTGTTAAGCAGGTTACGAGCCGTACAACGCAGCACTGTCCATGAACCAACGTGCGGAATGGTGGTAGTTTGCGGGCAGGGAGGCGGATCAGCCAATCTTCTGGTTTGGTTGGTTGTAAAGATACCCACTGTGTCTATTGAGGTGAGTTGGTTGGCTCTTTGAAATACCAAATGGCGGCGTTTTTGCCGCTATTGCTGCTGTCCGCTGCTGCTTTCCAGGACCGTACCGAACTGCACGCCATGGGTATAGAATATGTGTGCGTGGGTGTAATGCTTATACAAGATAGCAGCATAGCTGCTAACACCTGAACCCATGCTGCCGAGATGGAACACGTCCGCGGCTGTTGAACGAATTACCGTACCATCGCCCATGTGTGTCGGGTATGGCATGTCGTACATCGCGGTGCTGCCACAAACCGCCGGTCATCATCGTTTGCAAGCCACAGCTGGACGGGTTGCGAGAATTCCCTGTGGATTTACGGCAAGGAGAACCGTAGCCGTCCGATCTACCGCCGTACCTGACAACGAACTCTACGTTTCCTATTAGCAAGCTATATAGTTTCTCGCATCGATTGCGACTTTCATTCGGATGTCATGTGCGACTCCGAAGCCTATGAATCCTCAATCACGTGGCGTTCCATGCAAGCGGTTAGCCGTTAGCGATTGCTTTGCAGTGTCTTCTGGGATCATAATTACGTGCCACTTGGAACCTCCAGCCAGAGCCCCGTGTTGTAGTACCTGCGAGCTATTGCGTCTCTATCTCACCGAATATTTATTTATTTATTAGTACCAGCTGTGTTGCTCTCGGCTTATGACGTTGTCAGTAGTTACTGCAAAATGCTAGAAGGATAATAACAATCAGGTTACCTTGCTCCGCATCCTGCTGGCTCTGAGCCATGGAAGCAATTAAGGAGGCGGTAGTGCAGTCGCTTGAGAAGCAAGGCGTCTTAGGACAACTAAAGGTATATAGGACAGCGTATAGCAGGATATGGTCTCAAGGTTGGCAGCAACACGCCGTTGACCAGCGCCAGACCGGAACGCGCAGGCACAGCTACGCGCCCAGGTGTTTATAGCAATTGAGGAATACGAAACTGCTTCTTCTGGTAAAGGTGCGTGGCAGGCCTTCGTTCCTTTTAGTTTCTCGCAAGCCTGTAATCAACGCCTTCGTGGCTTGTTCGTTCAGGGCTATCCTCAAAGACTTCGGTGCCTGCGCGGAATGCATTATTATCTGACCCTGATGGTAAGGATATGGGGAGCAGACGCTGTCTGTGCGGCTTTTAAACTACCTGCCTTTCCCCGCAGGCCATTTGGCAATCCAGCTTGTACTTGACCTATTGGACACATGCAACCTCGCCTTTACCAAAAAGGTAAGGCTACATTAGTACCTTTTCGTCCGGTCGCTGGTTATAACAGTTACACTAACCCTTGGCCCTGGCCATGTAGGTGTTTCAGCCAGAGCTAGGCCCCAACGCCCCAGAAAGCGGGCGACAGGCGGCGGCGTCACGATTGGTAGGTGTCGTCATAGCTGCTAACACCTCCCATGGCCAACTTTCTACACGAGGTGACACATTTGTGTGGTCCTGCAGGGGCTGCAACCCTCCAACCTCGATGAACCCCTCCTCCTGGCCCTCATAAAAGCGTTCAAGTCAGGTATGCGACATAATCTGAGCAGCGCCAGCATCTACCTACGCTCTCCAGCACGCACGTTCCCATCCCAACTCTGCAAACCTCACTCCCTCTTCTCACCCCTGCACAAGCACCACTCCCACGCGTCTCTCCCTCCCACCCCCCGCCCACAACAACACCGCACAACGCCCCCACTTCCCGTCACACCCACTTCCCGGCGCGGCAGGTTCCTCCTCCCCTGGAACGTCCGCAGCCCCGGTCAGCTATGCCCCAGCCTCATCCTCAGTCCCAGCCGCTCCCGCAGCTCCCACCTCATCCACCACGACCGCTGCATCCACGGCTGCCACCTCAGCAGCCCCCACCACCGCACCTCCCGCCCGCCCCACCGCTGCTCCGCTGCCGCGCTTAGAGCCGCTAGCCCCAGTCTCCAAGTCATCCTTGGCGCCCCTGGCACCCTTGGGAGGCGGCGGCGGAAGTGGAGCAGCACCCGCAGCAGCAGCACTCTCATCAGCAGCCAAACCTCCGGAACCAACAACGATAACAACAACAACCACGACATCAGCGGCAACACCCGCGCCTGCTACTACAGGTCCTGCGGCTCCTGCGAAGGCCACAGCAGCAGCAGCGGATTCATCGCTGGAGGAGTCCGGGTACTCCAATGAGGACTTTGAGGAGGAGCCGGTGGAGGAGGAGGATGTGGGGCCGGCGGAGGATGACGACGATGATGACTACGCAGCAGCGTTGGTGCGTGTTGCATTGCATTGCCGGGGGGTGGGGCTAGGCAGGGGATGTGGTGGGGGTTCCGCAGGGGTAGTCAGGCTAGCCATAGCCGTAGCTGCTGTCCAAGGTGCTGGTCGGAATGTACGGGTGGTGCATGGGCGCATTGTGCCGGTGCGAAGAAACCCACATGCAAAGAGACTCAACCCACATGCGAAGGAAAGGAAACCCACATCTGCTGCCTCTCACGCTGTCGGGCTGATGTGGGTTGCCTGCTGATATGTGTCATCCTGCCCGCGTGCCTGCCTGACCTGCTGATTTGTCTCATCCTGCCCGTGTGTCTGCCTGCTGGTTTGTCTCATCCTGGCTGCCTGCCTGCATGCACAGGGCTTCAAGTCCGCACCGGCAGCGAGCTCCAAACCAGGTAAGCAGCCCCGCAACCATTACCATACGTGGTTAGGAGGCAGCGCCTGCCGTTAGGAGGCATCACAGCCCCTCCCGGACGTTCCCGGAGCTGTCCCTCCCAGTCCTCACCAGCCGCTTCACTTAAGGATTTATAAAGACGCCTTCCCGCTCTGCTCCGCTTGTCCTTCCAACGCAGGCGGTGCAGCCTCCAGCAGCAATGACGACGCGGGGGAGGCGGGGCGCGGCGGTCGGCTGGGTGGCGGCGGTATGATGGGCGGCGGCGCTCGGGGTCGTACCACACTGGACTCGGATTTGATGGCTGGGGACAGGTGGGCTGAGGGGGGGGTGGGGGTGGTAGCGGGGGCTGTAACTCGGGTTTGGGGTTGGCGGTCACAGCAGGATGCTTGACCCCAATCAGTGCCGCTTCGTCTTGGGCTCTCTACCTTTGTCGTTACCGACGCGGCCTCATTTCTCCCCTCTTCTCTTTTCCTTTCAGGAGCTTTGGCGTCAGCAACGAGCTCGCCGGGCTAGACGCAGGTAGGCGCAAGCACCTCCCAGACTTCCGGGTTGCCCTGACTTGTATTGTGCTGTGTGCTTGGTAGCGGCCGCTTGCGCCATGAAGGGTGAAGCGTTGGGCACCGTATTGGTGACGTTCGTTACCTTACCCTTGCCCCCCATGCCCCCACAACAACAACGACAACACTCCAGGCAACAGCGGCGGCCTGAGCTATAGCGCCGACTACAGCGCCGCGGGCGCACCCAGCGACGTGCGCGGCTCTCTGTCCACCAGCCAGGCGCTGCTGTCGCCCCTGAGCGAGGGAGGGCCCAAGCCGGCGAAGCTGGAGCCGCTCAGGTGTGAGCCGCCGCAGAGGTGGCACTGACCCTGGCTGTAGGGTGGTGCGGCAGGAGGCGCTGTCACAACGTATGTTGGTGTGCGCGTGTTTGGCGCCTGCAAGGGCCGCATCCGCTGGCAAACGGTCAAAGTAGATCGCAGCTCCACTCAATATACCATCCAATGTCACACGCGCTGCTGTGCCACTCCTCAACTCGCCGCCCCGCTCTCGCTACTCCGCAGGCCGCTGGGAGGCAAGCTCTCCCCGCTTGCGCCCCTGGCCCCGCTATCCAACCCGCTCTCCTCCAGTCTGTCATCCAGCAAGGAAGACCCGCTGGGAGCCAAAGGTGGGGTGCTGGGGAGCTTGGAAGCCAGCTTGGGGCTGCAACCCTTCCCGGGGCAGGGCTGGTTGGATCTCAGTGTCAGAAAACCAGTGTCTTGCATGTATATGTTGCATGTAAAGTTTGAAAATGTTGAATCATGAGTAGATGCACATCAGACATCACTAATGAATTACCCTGCCGCATGGTAGCTAACTACTAACTAAACTAACAAAGCCATGCTGGTTGCAGGTCCCAAGCCGCTGGGTCCCCTGGGCGCTCCGGTGCGCAAGTCGCTGAACGACATTGAGAAGGAGAAGGAGGAGCTGCGAAGGTGGGGGCAAGGATAAGGAAGAAGGGAGGGAGCTGCCCGCGGGGTCAGGGAGAAACCCAACCAGAGGACACGGCACGTCCTGCAAGTTATGGTTCCATGTGTTCTTGCCTGGTAGTAGCCAACGTTTTGGGCTAGCTCGTGCCTCGCTTCTGGAGGGCACATGCTTGCCTGGCCTGCATTGCTCCTCCGAGCTCCGCAACCCTCACTTGATGGTGCCTCGGTTCCACGCAGGCTGGGGATCCTGCAGTCGGGCGACTTGAGCACGAGTATTGAGGTCGAGGTGGGTTAGGGAGGGAGTGATAACGAGGCCTATTCCGAGTAAGCGGCTATCCCATGTCATCGCAGTACTCAGCCTCTCAACGATCAGTCCTTCAAATCATAACCTGCCATGTGTGCCGTGTGTGCAGACCCGACCTCGCCCGGCGGGGGCGCCCCCCAACATCTACGATGCTGAGATGTCTATCAGCGCGAGCATGGTGGGTAGAGGGCATGTGGTGGAAGGGCGGTGTGAAGGGGAAAGCGACGGGCTGCTGAGGTACCCCTGCAGCCCCTACGGTATAGCCCTTACGAACCCTCTCTCTCTTTCTCGGTACTGTGTTCACCATTGCGTTCTTATCATTGCGTTCTTATCATTCTTTTCTTGTTGACACTGTGTTTGTTCCTCGCACCCCCCAACCCCCCCGCAGGATGACAGCGGGTGGGGCGGCAGTCGTGAGGAGCGGCCACGACTCGCCAGCAAGGTAGGCGCGCATGCAGCCAGGAGTTTGGAAGCGCGCGAGCGCTCCATCATGTGCCGTACACCCGTCCCCCCGCACTTGTACCCCGCAAGCGCTGTTTTGTTCGCCTAAGTGTGTCGTGGCAGCTAAGTGGCCGTGTGTGCATTCCTCCTCCACCTTCGCATTGCTTCTCGCAACTTGTTCTCATTACTCGTTTGTCCCCCACCTTCCCCCACCTCCTCCCCCCACCTCCAGGCCCTCAGCATGGACATGCGCGAGACGGGGCTGTCCGCTTCCGACCGCTCCGGTGACATTGAGCACATGGGCGTGGACCTGGCGGAGACGGCGGAGTGGCACTGAGCACAGCGCCAGACGGGCGGTGCGTGCGTCGTGCGTTCTCGCCATGCTGCAACAACAAGACCAGCCAGAGCGTGAACTCCCGAGCGTGAACAAGGCGTGACAAGTTAATGAAGTACGAGGCGTCCGGGGGGGTAAAGAGGAAACAACTAACTGACTGAGGCATAAGGCGTCCGGGGGGGGGGGGGGGGCGGGCGGGGTACCCCGTGATTGTGGCCTGCCTTTTGCGGGGACTCTGTAATGGTGGGCTGGTAGGCAGCTAATCCCACTCGGAGCTATGCCGGGCTGGCTAGTGGTAAAGATTGTATGCGTGGGTTATAGGTGCTGATTCGCCGATGGAGGCAATAATGGCCTGATGGAAAGGCGGGCTGCAGGGCTATGTATGAGGCTACTGTGTCTGGTAGAGTGTGGGTAAGGTTAATTAACCATGGGACCAGGCTCCACCATGGGGCTAATTTTGGACGGGTGGTGAAGGGCCTGCATTGTGTGCGTGCAGTCAATACCAAACAGGTGAAGTTTGCAGCGCTGCAAGTGTGCAGCAGAGCCTGCAACGCGATTTTCCCGGGGGCCAGGGACTGGACTGATAGCTTATACACTATATGACAACAGTACTGTTGCGTCATGGCTACGAGCGAGCAAGTGGAAAGGGAGGAATGTGTGCGTGACTTTTGTGTATTACGACAACTGGCGTGTTTGATTCGTGCGTGATCACAGGGAGTACCGGTAGTTTATATGGATCCATTTGCAGGGCCTTCCGAAAGCCTGCGGCTCCTTACTACTCATGGTGTATTGACTCAGATGTGCCGTGCATTGGACGTCTGATGTGTGCCGTACAAGGAGTGACGGACTTCTTCCCTCAGCCTCTGGCGTGAGCCCGGTTGAAGCAGATCTTGGTGGTAGTAGCAAATAACTCAATTATTTGCTGATTTATTTGCAAATAACTCAAATATGAACTCTTCCCACGGTTATCTTGGCAATTTGCCAAGTTGTCAGATCCATCGCATCTTTGTCAAACCTTGGTAAATACAGTCAAAAAACCAGGATGGCCTTCTAGCAGTGCCGCGTCACGTCGTGTTCCCCCAAGCGTGTTGTGTTCTCCCGCTGCAACAACTCACACACCGCCGCAGCGTTACTAACCCGCCCACAGGCCATCCAACAATGAGGGTGTCGCCTCTACGTCACGGCAACATCCAAATGCGGTCTCCGCAAAGGGTCAACGGTCCCCAAGACCTCGCTTTCTATGTACAATGCCGCCCGTTAGCGCCTTCCCATGCCACTGCCCCCCTCTCCAAGCCCAGAGCTCAGGGCAAAACCCCTCCTCAACAAACCCCTCCTCCCCACAACCCCAGCCTCCACGCACGCTGCCGCCTCCTTCTCCGCCCCCACCTTGTTCCTCCAGCTGCTGCTTGCCACAGGCCCCATCAAGGCCCCATCACGCTGACGGCAGCCCAGCATGCATGATGCGTCCTGACTCCTGCTGCCGCGCCTGCTCCCGAACCCTCCTCCTCGCCCTCATCGGCGGTACCTTGTGCGCTTGAAGTTGAAGTAGACGTGCAGGATGCCTCGGTCGTAGGTGCACTTGAAGCCGCGCTTGTGCGAGTACTCCCACTCCTTGTTCACGATCCTGCACAGGAGAGGAGGAGGAATATGAGGCAACAATCCAGGCAGGTCAGGTAGCAGGCAGTTGGAGATTTCGGTCCACGGAATGGAGGAGACGACATGAGCACTTTACCGCAGTGCCTCATTTTATCGTAGGGCAGAGTATGGGCGAGGATGGAGTTACCGGATCATGTTGTCTCCTTTGTGAGAAAGGAGGCAAACTATGGGGAGCAAGCATGCATGCAGGGAAGCCGCCATCGAGTACCAGCAGCGCGGCAACAACAGCAGGAGTCGTGGGAATGGCCGTTACAATGGATCCCTAAAAGGGAACACGGCTGATGAACACAGGTGTTGGCCTGCAAGTCGTTCCCTGCCCATCCCCCACACCCGTCGAGGCCTTCATCGTCCGACACATTAATTACAGGAGGTTCTCCTTTGTGGCCAGTTTTCTCGAACACACATGGTTACTTCTTCTCCTCCTCTTTACCCCCCCCCCCCACCTGAACGCTATGTCCTCGTAGGGCGGCCCCGCTGAGAAGATGATGAGGCAGGTGGAGTTGTCGGTGGAGGCGGGGTCGGGCGCGATGCGGTAGGTGGGAGCCTGGGGGGTTGGGGGTGGATTGGCGGGTTAACGGACTTGAGTGGGGAGCGAGAAAGGACGAAACCCTCACCTGTCAGTCCCGCAGGCGCCTTCTTGCCCCTCCTTGCTTCAACCCTCGCCCGACTGTCTGATCGCCCCACTCACCGCCCTTGCACCCATTCTCCCTCGACCCTCTCTCCCTCCCCTACCTTGCTCTTGTCTATGAGGTCGAAGTACATGATGTTGAACTTGTAGCCCTGCACCACCTTGGGAGGCGGATTGTCGCTATCGTAGTGTGTCTGGTTGTACTTGTTCCACTCGTAGCTGGGGGGGGTGGGGAGGGAGGGGAGGGGGGGGAAGGGAGGAGGGGGGGGGGAAAGAAGAATCCCAAGGTGTTGAATGATGATAGCAAACAAGCCGACGAGGGGGGGAAGAGATAAATGGGAAGTGAAGCAACTGGAGTCCCAAGCCCGTATCCCGACGCATGCAGCGAGCGCATACGGAGACACTATCCTCGGAATACGCAAGAGGGGGGAACAGGTGGGGCGGGGGTAATGTGTATAGGGTCAACCACATTGGAGGGGACAGGAACGAATATGACATGCATGGAGGGGAGAGAGGAGGTAAGGGGAGGCAGAAGAAGGTTAATAGCGACTAGGTACAAGCGAGGAGCGAGTTAACAAGAGGCCTGACGGCCGTCCTGCGCCCATTCTTCCAAACGCTGCTCCCTCCCCTCTGCTCACCCCGTGTGCACTCGGTTGAAGTACTTGGGTTTGCGCGGCTTGTACTTCTCATGCCACCAATACACCTTGGACTCGAGCGACACCTCCCCGCCGAACGTCCGGTCGCCCTCGTCCTGACCCATGGTTCGCTCCGACTGCGCTCGGAACATCGCCAGCGCCGCCGCATCCTCATCTGCCTGGCTCCGAAACTGCCCCGCACCCCGAAACGGCACGTACCCGCCCCCTCCTGCCCCTGCACTGCCACTGGGACCCGCCTCGCCTGCCGCTGCTGCCGCATCCGAGGTTAGGTTTCGGAGCATGGGGTGGCCTAGTCCTGCAGGTCCCAGGCCTTGTTCGCGCATTAGGAGGGACTGGTAGGCTCGTTCGGCGGCGTTCTGGTTGTTGGCACCGGGTACGGAGGCGAGTGCGGCGGCGGCTTTGAAGGCGTTGGCGGCTTGGAGCTTCACTTGTCTTCGGAGCAGCGTGAGGGCGCTGTGCGTGTGTGTGTGTATGTGGCGGGGGCGGGTAAACATAGGGGGGAGGGAAGGGAGGAAGTTGGGGAAAGGCGGTGGCTAGGTTGGCGACGTGAGGATGCGAGGTGAGGATGCAAGAGAAACAGCGGGCCGCATCTAGCCGCATGCGGACAAGTTGACATGTGCTGTGCCCCACCCCTGCGCCTTCTGCCCCCAACATGCACACGCCAGACCCCACTCCTGTATCCCCGCCCGCCCGCATGCAAACCCCCGCACCCCCAGGTAAGTTTCCCGTAACGCGTCCCGATAACATGTGTGCTCGTATACCCCATATGCGTGTTGCTTTGCTTTTCGTGACCGGCGGCGCGGCGCATGTCTCCCTAGTGTTATCACGCAAGGCGGCTTCTTCCTCAAGTCGTCTCGGTTTACGGTAAGCAACGATTCGGTAAGTAATTTGAGATGCGTGTTATTAGTGCCTCCGAATGCGCTCACTGCATGAGTCGGGATATGGGATTGGGATTTGTTGTTTCACTTTTATATAATTTTCCCCCCGCCCCGTCCGCATACCCCCCCCCCCCGCCCGCATGTACCCACGTGTAATCATCCTCCTCATTCACCACATCCTTCCCAGCCGCCTCAGCCGCGCTAACCGGCGGGGGACTGTAGCGGCCATCCGAGATGTGCGGGTCCAGAGCCCCCTCGTCATCCTCCTCCTCCTCCTCCGCTGCTGCTGCTGCTGCCCCGCCGTCCTCGCCACCCTCACCCTCTCCCCCTGCTGCCTCCGCCTCCGCTGCCGCATCTCCGCTGCCGCCGGCGCCTTCCCCGGCCCCTTCCTTTCGCCCCGCCGCCCCTTCCGCCTCCGCCTCCCGCTCCTCCTCCTCGCTGTCACTGCCGCTGCTGCTGCTTGTCTCGAGCAGCTCCAGCTCAGCCGGGTCCCGACCCTCGGCCTCCGCCTGCGTGCATGAGAGGTAAGGGGGGGAGGTTGGGTTGGGTGGGTGCTTGGGTTGGGTCAAGACACAAGAAGTCGAGAGGGCAGGTTGCAGCAGGAAGGTGGCCCTCTGCCCCTCCACTCAACAAGCTCCCTTCCCCCAACCCAACCGAACTCCACTGCCCCGAAGCCCACCCCCACCCCGCGCCCCCACTCCACCCCTACACACCTGCTTCCTCCGCTCCTCCGCCGCCCTCCGCCGCTCCTCCCTGGCCGCCTCCCGCTTCATCACCTCGGAGGCGATGTGGCGCTGCATGATGGCCGCCTGCACCTCGCGAACCTTGTGGTAGGGGAGGGGAGGGGAGGGGAGGGAAGGAGGGGGGATTAGCAGGGAAACAGATACGGTACCGCATTCGTTTTGGGTTAACCAGGATCACACCCCCTCCTCTTTTCTACATCCCTCCCCCCTCCCCACCGCCCCCCTCCCGCCCTTCCCCCCTTACCTGCGCCTTGGCCTTGTGCACCTGCAGCCTCCTCCCCACCGCCTCCCAGTACTCCGGGTCGCCCAGTCCGCCCCGCAGCGCCGCCTCCACATCACCCTCCATGGCAAGCAGCGCGGAGTGGGTCTGGCCTGAAAGGGGGGAGAGGGGGTAAGGAGGGGGGGGGGGCACGGTACGTAGGAAGGGAAGGCAGGGTATGTCACGTAGGAGGGGGGGAGGCAGGGCACGTTACCGTACGTGGCTTGCGTAGTTTGCGTTACCAGGGGGCGTTGAGGTTACCATGACAGCGACTTCAACACAGCCGTAAGCCCCCTCCTTCCCACCAGCATCCCTCTTGTCCACTCTCCGCCCGCCATCCCCTTCCTTCGCATCCACATCCCAAACCCCCAACAACCCCCCCTCCCATGCACCCCCCAGCCACCCACCTGCCAGCATGTTCTCAATCTGCACCTCCACATCCGAGTGCAAGCTGCTGCGACCACCAGCACCACCCGCATCCTCGTCCGCGCCTGCCCCGCCTGCTGCTCCCCCTGCTGCACCACCCCGGCGGAGAGCGGCGCGGTCGGCGGCGTCCCTGCGAGTGGGAGGTGCGTGGGGTGTCGGCAAGGAGGGCGCGTGGGGGTTTATGACAAGGAGGGCGTGTGAGGGGTTATGACAATGAGATGTGACCATGTGAGGGGTGTCGACAATGATGCACGTGAAGGCGTGTTGAGTTGGGAGGGGTATGGGAGGTGCGAGGTGCGGGAAAGGGTGCGGGAAAGGGTTGGAGCAGAACCTCTCCTTTCCTCCCGCCCCTCCTCTCCTCCCTCCCAGTCACCTCTTCTCAATCTCCTCCAGCTCCGCATCCGCCACCACTCGCAGCGCCGACCAGAACTTCTGATGCAGCTCGTCGTACTTGTCGTACTCCTGAGGGGGTGAGGAGAGGGGGTGGGGGGAGAGGGGGTGAGGGTGTGTATGGGTTGTGGTTTGGGTGAGAGAGTGGCCCTTACACCCCTTGCAAAGCCCGTCTTAGTGCGGCACTTGGTGCGTTGTGACCTCACGACGACGCACACCTGCTACTGGCACGCCCCACCGGATGCAAGCTGTGCAACCCACCAGCGCCCCCCCCTATCACACAGTCGCATGTGTGCCCCCCCACCCACCTGGTAGTCGCACACCCCCGCATGCAGCTCCCGCGCCTCCTCCAGCAGGCGCCCCTCGAAGTAGCTCCAGGGCTCCACCATGTCGCACCCGTAGGTGTCAGCCAGGTGCAGGTTCTTAGCGATGCGGTCGATGGAGGTGGGGCGACCCTGGGGGGTTGGGGTGGGAGGTGGGAGGTGGGGGGGTGGGAGGTGGGGGCGAGGAGGGCAGAGGGCGCGGGCGAGAGCAGGGTCGTGATGGAGTTAGGAAGCGGCTAGGCGCCGCCCGAGGGAAGCTGCAGGTGCGGAGCTGCTGGTGCTGCTGCCCCCTCCTCTTCCTCCTGCTGCTGCTGTCGTTGCAGCTGCGTTGACGCTACGGCCTCCTCCTCGTCCTCCTGCTGCTGCTGTTGCCCACCCACTTCTCCGCCGCTTGCCCGCAGTCGTGTGGACCCCCTCACTCACCCTCCACCCGCCCTTCCCCTCTGTTGTGGTAGTTGACGCCAACAGCACCTACTGACCCACATGCCCGCCCCTGCCCCTGTCCCTCAAGTCGATACCCTCTCCACATACCCACACACACCGCCCCTGCCTGCCCCCCTCACCTCCCCACACACTCCCCCCGCCCCTCTCACCTCCATACACCCTACCCGCCCCTCTCACCTCCACCCTCCCTCCCGCCCCCCTCACCTCCGCGAACCGCTTCTCCGCCTTGCCCACCAGCGCCTTCAGGTAGAACTCCTCCTCCTTGGCCTCGCTCTCCATCGCCTCCTGGGCCGCACGCAGCCGCTGGATGAGGGACTGTACGGCAGGGGAGGGAGGGAGGTGAGGAGGGGGGAGGAGGGAGGGGGTTAGAAGGGAAGGAGATGAGGAGGGTGAGGGAGGGAGGAGGTGAGGGGGGGAGGAGGTGAGGAGGAGTGATGAGCGGGGTTGGATCTCGCCCATGTCTTCGCTTTGCTTCCCTTTTACCAGCTACCCGCCCCGTCCCTACGCAGCCTTAACGCCCTCCCTACAGTCTATAGCCCCTGCCAGCCCTCACAGTCCACACACACACGCCTCCCTTCCCACCTACCCCGATCCCCCACACCCTCCCACTCCCACCCCAGCAACCCAACCCACCAGCTCCTCCTCCCTCCGCGCCTTCTCCTCCTCGCGCTCCGCCTGCCGCTTGCGAACCTTCTCAATCTCCTCCTGTACGGCAAAGGGTGGCGGCAGCAGCCGTGTTCAGGCACAGTCGAGCAGTAGCACTAGCAGGGGCGATATAGCCCTTCTGTAACCCTTCCCAGGCCTAGGTAGCCCACAGGCGGAACATCACCGCAGCATCCAAAGCTTCCCGTCCACCCCAGTCGAACCGCTCAGGACACTGCGAATGACATAAATCCCCCCTTCCTAACCCCATTGGCCCAGGCTCCTCCACGTTCTCCCTTCTCACCAAACGCTCCGCCTGTGAGGTGCGAGTCTGCGCTGCTGCGATGTCGCGCACCGACTTGCCGCTCTCCAGCTCACGCTCTATCTTCTTGGTCCAGACGAAGGTGGGGCCGCCGGATGAGGCGCCGGTGCGTTGCAGATGCGCAGCGACCTTGGTGGCCTGGTGGGAAGGAAGCAGCAGAGGCGACATTGAGTGGGGTTTGGCCCTCAAGGCATCGCTCTTGGCAGTTATGCACCCAAATTTTCAAGCTGCCGTATCAACATGTAAAGGGTCTGTTGGGGTTGGGCTTAGGATAGCTGCATAGCTCTCCTACTGCCGCCGACCGAGTGGGATCTACTTTGCTGCACCGCCGTTGACTGCTGATCGGTTATGGCTAATACATAGGATACCCCGTAGACATGCAGCCTAGAACCAGGCGAGTAACCAAGACCTACCAGCTTGTCCACGCGTCGATGCGGCTCCCCCTCCGACTCAGACGAGCTCTCGCTTGTTGAACTTTCATCGCGCTTGCTTTTATGGCTCTTCTTCTCCTTGCGTTCCTTCCGTGACTTCTTTTCCTTGCGGTCCTTCTTGCTTTTCTTATCTTTTCCCATTTTCCAGCTCTAGGTGACCCCGCACGAGTAAGACGTCAATCTAGCGTTTGCATGACCAAAGGTGGAACATAGGAAGTCTCGTAGGAAAGCGCAACACTATTCCACTCAGAATCCTCTCCGGAAAGTACCAGAACGATACAAGCGATTCGCTAGCTATCAGATGAAAGAAACAATTTTCCAATTACTACTAAGTGGATTGGTAGATTTCGGAGAAGAACGCTCGTTAACCCCCGGGTCAACCGGCATGATTAATGCCGTACTCGTGCTAGAACATTGTTGCTGCCCCTTCACCCTAGAGGTAGCTACATGCTTCGGCTTCAGTGGCTTAAGACGCCACAGCCAGCTACCATACGCGCTCTTGTCGCGTTGCGCTCTTCCCCGACCTCGCCTGCTGTATGCAAGCGGTGGCCTAACGACGGGAGCGCGAGACCTCCCGGGAATGGGAGGCCGCTAGGTGTTACGGGGTTACTCACCTACAGTACGGGTATCTCCTGTGGGTCGTGCCATTCCATATGAGCTTAGCCATTACAGAATCGGTGCGTTCTCTGCCTCTATAGGGCCCTTACCATGAGTCCATCACAGCAGCAGCTGCTTCTGTTGTTACTTCAACGCACACTAAGAGCCTGCTACCGGTCTACCGCCCTACCCTGCCCCATTACTCCGTAACAGTCCAATGTACGGCAGCGCACAGGTTGGTACCGGCATCTAGCCTCCCAGCACCTAATCTCCTCGCATCTAATCTCCTCGCACCTAATCTCCTAGCATCTAACCTCCGCAGTGCGCCATCCCTTGGCGAGACCGCCACACCCGTCCGATGCCTTAAGAGTTGAGACACGCAAGGGGTAACGTCGTCGCTCGTTGGACGGGTGTCCCTGCGTACGCCTCCGCTGCAGCCGCAGCCGCCACCACCTCATGGGACACGGGCACATGGCATGTGTCGCAGCGCAGCCGCCACCGCCACATGGCACGTGTCGGAGCGCAGCCACCACCACCTAGGAGGATCCACCAAACGTCTCCTCCAGGTCGGCGAGGTTGACGGCGTCCCAAGCAGGGAATTGCATGGGGAGCGCCTCGGGCCTACAGGAGGGTGGGGGTGACCGGTCAGGAGGCGGGTGAAGCGGTGTGCGAACCGAGGTGATGATGACTTCATGAGGTACGAACCACATGTATCGACGGTTACCCCACTGCTACTGCTACTACTCCCTGATCCCGCCTGCTGACTGTGTGGTGAAAACCCCTTTAAATGGCCGCACTGCCCCCCCAGGTATGGTCTTGGACCCCCCCAGTCCCCAGCTCTGCACGGCCCTTCGCGACTTCGCCCATTTGGGTCGGCCTGGGTGGTGATGAGGTGCCAACCACTTGTATTAACTGTTACTCTAGTACTACTACTGCTCCTTCCCGCCTGCTGACTGTGTGATGAAAACCCTATACATGGCCACACTTCCCCATTTGGGTCGGCCTGGGTGGGTCCGGCGGGTCCGTGGCCTGACGCGAGCTGGTCCGTGTACCCTGTGTGTTTTTTCCCTCTTCTCTTCCCTCCGGCCCCACCTGACATCCGGCCACTCCCGCTGCAGCAGCTCCCTCAGCAGCGCCCCCAGCCGCTCCTGACCCGCGGGACTGAAGTGCAGTCCGTCGCACAGCAACCGCTCGCCCCAGTCATCCTCCTGGGAGGGAGAAGAGCAGTGAGGGAAAAAGGAGGATACCCAATGTGCTAACTGGCAATGGCAAAAGAGTTGACAAAGCCCTTGGGGAATGGACTTGAGTGAGTCCAGCAGGAGCACCGGGTACAGGGAAGAAAGGATCCAAGACCAAGACGGTGAGCATGGGGGCAGCCCGTGATGTGAGTTGATGTCCCTGACGAGCAGGTGGAGGCAGCAGGGGTGGTAGCCTGGTAGGCGAAGCTTGCTGAAGACAGCTTCAAAGTACCAACAGCAGCAGCACCTACCCCTCCTCCCACCCCACCTGCTGATTGGGACTCCGTTGCTTCACTTTTCCTAATTGTCTCACCCCCACCTGCTGGATGAGGGTGTGCAGGTCCAGGCAGGGTAGGCCCAGGTCGGCTGCCACGGCGGCTGCTGCGCGCGCATACTCGGCGGTGACGGCGGAGGTGCGGTCCAGCGGCCACTCGCGCGCCTGCTCGCCCATGCGCTGTTGGGGAGAAGGGGAAGGGGGAAGGGTCAGGATGGCCATACATGTAGGGAGGGGGATGTGGCCTCTTAGCAGCCCTACACCGCCCAGAACCCGGATCACTCGCTTGCCTTGGCATGCATGGCATATGAGCTTCGCATGCAAGGAATAGGCACTTGACACCACCATGTAACACCCAAGCCAACCCAAGCCGGCCCAAGCATCCTTTTGTCCTACTTACGCTGATCTGGTGCACCTTCCGCCCCGGCTCCCACACAGGCGGCGGCGTCAGCAACACGATGCGCTGCACGCCCGCATCCCGCATGTACGACACCATTTTACGGAGGTTCTCGCCGTACTCGGGTACGGGAACGTGCTGCCGCTGCGAGTGGCTGGTAGTTGTGGCAGTTGGGAAGTGGCGGTTGGGGAAGCGGTTGGGGAAGCGGTTGCGGAAGCAAAGTGAGGAGGGCTCTGTGCAGGGTGTACGGCAAGATAGCGAGGGAGGTAGGCCAGGTCGAGGCCATGAGCGACAAGGCCGCTCTTACCTTGGCCCTTCAAGTCTAGCTGCATCGTTCGCGCCAAAGAACAACGTCGCAAAGAGCACCTGGCTCGCAGCTGCTGCTGCAACGGCGCCTCCAGAACCAGAAGCAGAGGCGGAAGCTGGGCCGAAGATGTACGGCATGGTTTTGAGTGCCAATCGGGTGTTGTACCCGGAGAGGCCTCGGTTCACCACATCTGCCTGTGTGGATGGGCAGGGAATATGGTGTAGGAATGACAAGTTTCCGCAACTGCCGTGTTCCAAGAGACACGAGAGATGGAGACGTCCTAGGCCCCATGCATGACCGCTGAGGCTATCGTGGCGTGGTATCAAGGATCATGGATACGCCCACTCTCGCCCACTAACGCGTTACTTTGACCGCCAGCTGAGCAACACCCTCCAGCCCCAGGGCCCCAGGCCGTACCCTGCGCGAGTAGTTGGATGCCAAGGCTGCGCCCCAGCCGCTGGGAACATCGAAGCTCCGTTCTGTTAGGCTGTCGCCAAAAAGTATAATCCTTGGACGTGAAGGAGCCACAAAGAAAGGTGGTGCTGATGGGCTAGCTGCCACACCGACTGCCGTTGCCGCCATGTTTATTGTAGTCTTCTTTTCAGCACCGGATGCTTTAACAACGGAAGTCCTATGAACGCTGGATGCTTGGAAGGCCGTGTCTATTACCGATGATGTGCGGATCAAAGTTACAACAAACAGTGCAAGGGGGGCCAATACGACTATGCCGATGCTAATTGCGATCCATAACTGTTGTATAGCTGATATCGAGAGATTTGACTTTTCCGGCTTTAAGGGTTGAGACGCTTGGTTATGCATCCAATAGAAGAAAAGCCTACGGCGTGCCCATTTTCATCTTCTTGACCATCCTACTGTTTATGGCGGTGAGGACTAGCCGAATAGCAAAGCCGTGCAAATCACCGTACGGAACCCAGGATCAGGAGGGAGTCCCTCAGCGGATGCTTCCCAACATGTTATCAACGCTGTTCTCATTTATACGGCTATGATGGGTGCAGATAATGTAACCAGTATTGGATGACAGACGCTCTCTACCCGATGAGACTCTTGCAGCGATCTGAAATCTACTCGCTACTGCCTTACGCCTATTAATGCGTATGAGATGCAGCGTGAATTTGCGAAGATGCGCTGCTCGGGGGCAGGCGGCTTGCAAGCAAGTCTTGGGCCATGCTCGACAACGTCGTCCTCGGCGTTAGGCAGCAACTCATCATGGGTGCTTACTCAATACAGCACACCCATGCCACCCCATCGTCGGCCGCGGTTCCTCGCTGTCGTGAAAGCAATCGGGCCAGCAAGCGCACACCCATTCGTGGATTCGGCATTAAGCAGCCCTCAAGTAGCGGTCTGTCCGAACAGGTAACTCGCATAAGAAATCATCGATCAAAATGTCTATCCGCGATCGGGTTGGTTGTGACTAGTCGCTCGCTCCAATCCTGTGGCCGCCATGGAACGCAGGGCCTCGCTGTGTAGGCAAGCAGTATATCAACCTAATCCAAACAAACTGCATATGGTGAGTAAAGCTGACAAATTCATCACACCAATAGATTCTTTGCTTGCAGCTGCCGTTCTCCTGAAGCAAGAGCCAACGCTCCTGCTTGCCTTCACTTAGTCTCGATCACCACCTCGCACGCGAATAACCTCCGGCACCCAAGCAGTCCAAACCCTCCTGTCGATTACCCTCCCGTGGGGCCCTATGCCCTCGCAGGTATCTCCGTGTACGGCAGGATCGACGGCCCAGCCTGTTGTCGTTTCTTGCGACCCAGACCTCGAAACAGCCGTTGACGATGCGCCTTCGGTGGATCTCATCCAACAGCTAGCGCAGCGCCGTACGGCTGGCAGCGAGGAGGCCGCGGAGAGCTGCGGCTCCAGCCAGACATGGGATCCTCCGTCTTCACTGCCTACTCCCGTTGAAGACGGAGGTCCAACACCAGGCCCGGCTGCCACGCTACTTCCGCCCGATGTACGGCACCCCGGCAGTCATGGAATTCGGGAGCAGCAAAGCTGCCAGGGGATGACTCAGCAGCCCCCTCAGCAGCCCCCTCAGCAGCCGCCCCAACAGCAGGGAGTACGGCAGGAGCAGCAGGCGGAGCGGCATTGGCAGGCGGAACAGCAGCGTGAGTTGCAGGAGCAGCAGCAGCAGGAGCAGAGACGGCAGTGGCTCTGGGAGCGGCAGCAGCAGCAGCAGGATAAGGCCTTGCTGGTTGGTATGCTCCGAAGCCGCTCCTGGAGGGAGTTGCGGGAGCTGATGAAGTGGCGTGAGCAGCGGCATCTGGAGCAGGCGAGGGGGCGGCTGGTCGCAACCTCCGGTCCTGGTACCGGCATTGCTGCTCCTGCCGCTACTGAGAGTGCTGCTACAGCTGTAACTGGGGTTGCTGGCGTAACCCAGGACGCCGCCACTGCCGCCGCTTCAGCGGTAGCTGGCATGCCCACAACCGCTGTAGGTACCGAAGGAGCCGGCAGCCCGGCGGTGGCGGACGTTTCCAACGACGGCAATCTCTCGGGCGCCGCTGCAGAGCAAGCAAACCACTTGCCCCTGAGGCAGCAACAACAGAGTCAGCAACCGCAACAATCACAGCAACCGCAACCGCAACCTTATCCATCGCAGCATCCCCAGCAGCCCCACAGCAGTAACACCCCGCAGCCCTCCACCCCTGCTGCCGCTGCTACACCCCCTGCAACAGCTTCCTTCAGCGCGCGGCACCTCGCCACGGCGCTGCTCGTGCTGTCCAACGTAGTGGTTTCGGAGCCGCGTGATCTGGGTCCCTCAGAGCGCATGCAGCTCTCGGACTTTGTACGGGCGATCGGAGCCGCATGCGCCGCCCTGCCCCCGGGCTCCTTCGCCCCGCCGGATGTCACCATGGTGCTCAGGTCGCTGGCGAAGCTGCTGGGGGCGCTGCCGCCGGCGGCTTCGCCGGCGGCAGCGGCGGCGGCGGCTCCGCCGTCGCCGCGAATGGAGGGTAGCATGGCAAGCGACGGCGGCATGGAAGGTTGGAATCACGGTGGTGTGGGTGCGGGTGAAGAGGTCTGCATGGAAGGCGAGGAGGAGGGACGCTGGTGGGAGGGACGGCACAACGCCGAACCGGCCGCAGCAGCGGCATCATCATCATCATCATCATCATCAAGGGGCATCCGCAGTCGTGGTGACGCTCCAATGATGCCGTCCTCCTCAACCCCACCAACCTATCAACCCACATCAGCCACCAGTCTGGTATCGGAACGAGGCCTTTACGTCAACTGGTTAGACCAGGCCTGGATTGAGCGGCTGCTGGCTCCCTCCCTGGACCCCCAGGGACCCCACCTAGCCGCCTTCGAGCCGCGCCACGTGTCAGGGGTGCTTTGGGCTCTCGCCAAGTTTGATGTACGGCCGCGTGCTGAGCTCCTTGCGACTCTATGTGAGCGAGCAGCGCAACTGGCTCGAGACGCAGCTTGCTACCCCTACGCTTCCTCGACCTCAGCCGTCGCCACTCAGTCCACACCAGGCGCTTTACATCAGGCCGCTGACCCTTCCTCTTCCTCCTCCTCCTCATCATCATCAACATCATCAGCAGCAGCAGCAGCAACAGCAGAAGCAGCAGCCTCTTCCTCTCCTCCACCGGTTGGCGATGCCGACCTGAAGCCCCAGAGCCTGTCGCTGACGCTTTGGGCGCTGGGTCGTCTAGGGTTCTACCCGCATGGCTCGGTGATGACGTCATTGCTGGCGGCATGCGAGGCAGACATGCGGGCGACACTCGTGCGCGATGCGCAAGTACGGCAGCAGCCGTACGGCAACGGTTACCGCTGCCGTGCAATTGATGTAGCGCATCGGCTTTGGGCGCTTGCAGCGCTGGGGTACCACCCCGGGGAGGAGTGGCTGGACTTGGCGACGTGGACGTTCCTGACCCGTGGGTCGGTTGAAGAGGTATGTAGGAATTTGTGCTGGTACATTCTGCGGCTTCTTCACTATGTGGGGTTGCATTGTAAACAGATACCGCACACAGGGCGTAGGTTCAAAAGGCCATGCAGCAACATTGGCTTGCTCGGGAATTGGTCATGGTTGGAGAAACACGCCCTTCCTTGGCTTCTCATCCTTCCCGCATGCCCTTCTTCCTCACGTGCCTTTTTCTTCTCGTCCTCCTCCGCCCCACCCCCCATCCAACAGGTCTCCGGTCAAAGCTGCAGCATGGTCATCTGGGCCTTAGCCACACTGCGCCTACATCATCAACCTCAACCGCAGCATCAAACCCAGCCGCAGCAGCTCCAGGAGGGTGATACCCCCGCTGCCGCTGCGACCCATGGGTCAGGACGACCCATGGCAGCGGTCCCCCAAGCAGAGGCTGCACCGGCAGCATCAGCAGCAACAGCGGCACCGACTGTACCCATGGCACAAGTTGACGCCCCGGGGGAGGAGGGTGATAGCAGCTGCCACATGGCTATACAGTCCTCAGCACCAGCAGCAGGGGCAGGAGCGGCGGCAGCATCAGCAGCATCAGCAGCAGGAGCGGCACCCACCTCATTGGACCCCCACCTGCTGCTGGGCCTGCTGGAGGGCTGCCTGGAGCGCATGAGCCCGCAGCACCTTGCCACGGTGCTGTGGGGGCTGGAGAGGCTGGGTGTGCGACCCAGTGAGGCATGGCTGCAGGTGGGTGGGTGGGTGGGTGGGTTAACAAAAAGGGACTAGAGTTACAGTATGATCGAGCTGTGTAAGGCTTGGCCTCTGCTCGGCCCCTGCACCTGTCCCAGTTGAAACCCCCACATTGCTACCTCCGCGCCACCCCACCCGCAACCCCTGCGACCCTTGCGACCCCCCCCCCCCGCGCGTTTCAGTGTTCCTTATTTTTACCCCCCGCCTGTCCACCCCCCTTCCCCCTCCCTAGGGCTTCCTGCACGTCTCCGCGCGTCACATGGCCGCCGCCCTCAGCCCCCTGCGCGGCTCCAACGTCTCCCCCGCCTCCCTCTACTACTCCTCTTCCTCCTCCTCTTCCTCCCCTGCCTCCTCCCTCACCTCATCCTCCTCCGCCGCATCAGACCCCTCCGCAGCATCCCAGCTGTCTCCGGAACCACATGTTATGCCGCATCAGCCGCAGCAACCTCCGCAGCAGCAGCAGCAGCCCTTCAGCCCGCAGTCGCTGGCCATGATGCTGTCAGCGCTGGCGCGACTGCGCTACCGGCCGCCCCCGCAGTGGATGGAGGGCTTCCTGCATGTGCGTGCGTGGGGAAGGGGAAGTGGGTGCTAGAGACTACGTGTTTCCCTCTGCATGTACGGTAACCCAACCATCCTCCTCCTCCTCCTCCTGCTGCTGCTATCCTCATCACTCCTTCCCTGACGCCCTATTATAATCCCCCCCACCCACACAACAGGTCTGCCGCATGCAGCTTCCCTACTTCAACGCCCATGCAGCCTGCTCCCTCGCCTGGGCCCTCACACGCCTAGACCGCCCAAACCTCACTTGGTGGACGAAGTGGGTCAAAGCCTTTACCTCTGCAACGCATCCGCTGCTGCCTTCCATGCAACCCCGAGGGCTGTGCATCCTCTTGTGGTCTGTCTCGCATTGGCGTGACACGTTACCGCGGGATTGGGTCCTGGATGCCGCCGCGGTGGGGGCCAGGCAGTTGCGCGAGGGGGCGGCGGATTGGAACCGGGAGGCTGCTGTTCTGGAGGCGGCAGTAGCACAAGCGGAGGCCGTAGCCGCTGCTGCCGCGACAGCAGCAGGTAACGAGGGTGTTGCAGGTGCCGGAGGGGGTTCAGCGCGGTCTCAGCGGCTGCTTAATCAACGGCGGTTGCGGTTGCTGCAACAACAGCTTCAACAGGAGCTGCAACAGCAACAATGGCGATTACGGATGCGCTCGGAGTTCCTGGCGATTTTGGTCTGGTCCCTTTCTCGGTTAGTCGTACGAACGCTACCCGAGGCTTGGCTAGCACAAGCGGATGCGGCGACGCAGGCGCTCATGCGCTACAGCCGTGCTGCAGCCGCTGCAAGCGCAGTTGTCGAAAGCCTTGACGGACCCACGGGTCACCCACATAACAGTAGCGGCAGCAACCTCACACCTACCGCCGCCGCTGCCCAGCACCACACCCTGGGCCCTCGGGAGCTAACCATGCTGCTGCAAGGCTGGGCTCGCCTCCGCAGCCCGGTATCTGAGAGCTGCCTGTCGTACGCCTTGTCGTACATTGAGGAAGCGGGCTTGTCGTACGTTGAGGCGGCCGCCACATGTACGGCACCCACTGCCTTACATGCCGTACAACAAGCACCCCATGCGGGACCCTATTATGTGGGACCCCAGCATGTGGTGTTAGTGCTGTGGTCATGTGCCGTGGCAGGTTGGCAGCCCTCAGATCAGCTGCAGCGGCTTGCGGACCTCCACTCTCGCTTACTGCTGCTGCTGCTGCAAAAGAATAAGAAGCTGGCCGGAACTTTGACAACGCAATCACAACATCAGCAGCAGCACCAGCAGCCACAACCAGGACCACAACCACAGCAGCTCGAGGCGGAGGCGGCCGGAGGCCCATTGCAGCAGCAACACCAGCAACAGCAGCAGCAACACCAGCAGCTATGGCAGCAGCAGCAGCAACAGGGGGCTGCTTTCCACGTGGCGCAAGAGCTCGTGCTCCGTCGTCAATCCGAGCTGGGCATGTTGGTATGGGCGCTGCAGAAGTGCGGCGCCCCGCACCCGCCCCCCTGGTTTACCGAGGTGCTGCATGCCATGACTGCCAGCATGGAAGCAACGGCGGCGGCAGCAGCAGCGGCAGCAGCAGCAGCAGGTCCTGCGGCACAGAATGTCAGGGGTGGTGGTGGTGGTGGTGGTGGCAGGGTACCTAACACGTCGGTTGGGTTTCGCACAGCTGCGATAACCCTAGTGACGGTGGCGACGCTGGCTCGTGCATGTTTGACCTGGCAGTTGTACCCAGGAGACCGTTGGGTGGCAGCAGCGGTGGCGTGCTTGGATGCGGGGGCGCTTCCGACGCGGATCCGGAATCCGCATCGCCGTACACAACTGGAATCCGGCGTACGAGATCTGCTAGAGCAGCTACTAGAGCTGCCGGGCGCTGGGAGCGCGGAGGCTGTGGGGTTGAGGAGGGCGGTGGGTGGTAGCGTGGGTAAGTTGGAGAAGAAGGAGGAGGAGGAGCGTGGGCGAGGGGGTGCGGGTGAGGGTCGGCTGAGAGGGAGAAAACTGGCGTGGGAGGAGGCGGCGGAGGTGGCGGCAGGGGAGGTGTTGACGAATGCGGTGGCGGCGGTGGCGGCGGGGTCAGCTGCGGCGTTGATGCAGGGACTGCTGTGGTGAGAAGGAGGAAGGGAAAGGAAGGGAAAAGGAAGGGAGGAGGTTAAGGGCTTCAGACAATTAGGGTTAACAGGTGGTGAGGTGGCGCGGCGTGGTTAAGACGTGGCGGTAGCTGCAGCTGCGGCAATTGAGCAGATGGAGAAGTAGGGAGAGAACGCTGTATTCATGCTTTTTGAGGATAGGAGGAGAGGAGAGGATATGGGTAGCAGCAGCAGTTGCAGGCATCCAAGTGAGCGAGAAGGAAGTGCTGCCCAAGGGAGGAGCTTAGTGCTGGGACATGTATAGGACTGGCCATGAGGGCAGACCGGAGAGGGACGGGGCGCATGTGCAACGACGCACGTCACATAGAGCGCATCAGGCAATCAGATATTGGAGAGGCGTTGCTAGTGGGCGTTAAGTTACTGAATGCACGAGAGTTGCTTGAAGTTGTTGTTGCGTCACATACGGTAGACTGTTGCGGTGCATGTTGCAGTGCGTGCAGATGCTCGCGCTGTTGACTTTACAAGGGACACAGGACCCGTCAGGACTTCCTGCGTTGCACTTTAATGAGAATCCCAATTTATGGAATTTGCAATGGTTAGATTACAGCGAATCTACTGCGAACCCTAAGAGAGCCAAGGGTGTTGTAACTAGGAACAAACGCGCTGCTGAGGAACACAGGATATGCTGTGTGCTTGCAGCAAAATAAAGGTGGTCCATCTGAAATGCAGCCGCATAGGCCAATGCCACCCGGAAGTCAAGGTACCCGTACTGATTAGTGAGACAAGTCAAACGAGGACTTGGCGTGTTCAAGTGCTCGGACTATTATCTACGCCTATCATCCTTTTCTAATCGCACTAGAAGCACACCCTTATAGACTTGCGTCACGTAGGCGGTTGCCTACAGTTGAGGAACCAAGAGCAATAGCCTGTTTACGCTTACGATTGCGGTGCACCTCACATTCGCTTTATTATGAATTGCTCAGGACTGATCGCGTGACAGAATTGCAGACTCCGGCACCATTGTGCTTCGCGTTTCGGACGCAGCGGCGGCGTAACTGAGACAAAGCCCCTGCGGCAGGTATCAGTCTCTTTACTGACATTTACAGCGCTTTGGTTCGGACTTTCCTCGCGGAGCGTGTTGTAAACAATCGTTCCAGCTTAAAGCAACTGCTTGCGCAGTAGACTGCTTTACACCACGTGACATAAGAATCAGCTATGAGTGATCTAACGTGTTACCGAGGTGCCGCTGGGGTCAACCTTGGCGCTGCCTGCACTAGCAAGGCCAGGGCTTGCCATAGGATGCTACCGGGGATACCCTGGTCGCGGCACGCGACATTGGCTCCCAAGCACGCCATAAAGTAAGCTGCAAAAGGGTTTCTACCTCACTGTTCCAGAATATCCTAGTTACACAGCTAGGTGGTGTACGACAAGCGTCTTGTCCTACCAGCTACCGCCACCTTACATCCTCACCTCTCCATTGCCCTGATCCTTGCCCCAAAATGTTTTCCGTTCTCATCCTACTCCCATGCGCAGTCACTGCGCCTTTTCATCCCGTAGCGTTCCCCACACGGCGCAACATCCTCAGATACCAGTACCCTGCCAGCCGTTATCCTCCACTTCATCTTCTTCATCATCAGCAACAACCCTCGCGTCGTCTTCAAACCTCCATGCACGCCGCCCCCATAGCTGCCTTGACAAGGTGCCGTACCGTTACGGTTGCCGTACAACCATCGTCGCCGCATCCACCGCCGGCGGCAAGAGCAGCAACAGCGGCAGCAGCAGCGACGCAACCGGCGCCGCCACAACCGCCGCAGTCGCTAAGCTCGCCACGGCGGCAGTCGCCGGCGCCGTGGCGGCGGCGGCGCCACCTCCGCCGCCCCGTACGACAGCCATTCGGCTGGTACAGCGCACCATTGAGCTGCTGCGGCCACATTTCTTGGCGATGTTGCTTTTGTATGGTATTCGCGATGCGGCAGCTTTTGTCGTACATCGGTTGACGCAACGACTCACAAACCATGGTAAGTGTACGGCGCTCGCGGCCTTTGCACAGGACGCTGAGGGCTGTGGCTCCTCCGTCTTTCTCCTCCCACCTAGCACACAGCATGTTACCTTTGTTCCTTTCCCCACCTAACCCCTGCTCTCGTTTGTTTCTTTCCTTTGTCTGCATCCCGACAACAACCCTTCCTGCCTTGCCTCCTTCCCTCCCCCCTCATGGGATTGGGACTCCTGTTGCTGCACTTATTATTTCTTCCCTCCCCCTCACCTCCCAGTCGCGGAGGTGCTGCTGGGTGTGCCCACCTCCTCCGCGGGCAACCCCTGGTGGCTCTTCCTGGACCCCGCCTTCATTCGGGCGCATCCAGGTGGGTGAGGAAGGGAGGTTGGTTAAAGGCGCACTACCTGCACTCGTAAGGGGGCATCCAGGTGGGGTAAAGTAGGGGTGGCAAGACGGGAACTAAATGGAAATGGAGCAACTGGAGACCCAACCCCATGTCCCGACAGGCATACAACACACTACTTATGTTGGTTGAAGGCGCATTTCCTCTTTTTACCGATTCCTAGACCCTTCTTCCCCACCCTCCCAGGCTACGAGGTGTTGGTGGGTTTCTTCTTCCTGGCCAGTCTGCCCCTCACAATCGCACTCAACGCAGTCGCATTCAGCGTCGCAACCCTAGTGTGCGCGCCGCCGGAAGTACGAGTCGCCGTCGCCGGCGGCGTCGTCAGTGGCGGCGACTCGGCGACTGCCGCCGCCGCCGCCGGCGACGCCCCAGTCGCTGCGAGTGCTGCTTCGGCGGCGCTCGCGGATATCGGTATTGTGGCTGTCGCAACGACGGCGGAGGCGGGAGCGGCGGCGACGTCGACGTCAGCGGAGGCGGAAGTTGCTGCTGAAGCTGATGCTTCCGCCGTGCCATTGGCGCCGACGGAGGTGAGTGTGGCGGCGGAGGCGACTGAGGAGACGACGTCGGCGGCGACGGAAGCGAGTGGAGGCGGCGACGGCGGCGGTTTCATGGCGGCGCTTCGCGCCGCACTTCAGTCGCTGGCGGCGGCGCTGCCGGCGGCGGCGGGAGTCGTACGGCGAGTGTGGTGGGCGGACCTGCATTTGAACGCGAGAGCACTGCCGCTGCAGGGCCTCTGTCTTCTGGTGCTGCCCGCTCTGTGGGCGGCACCTCGCCTAGTGCAGATGCAGCTGGCCCTGCCGGTGGCTGCGATTGAGGGAGGAGAGAGGAAGGAAGGCAGCAGCAGCAGCAGCCCGGCAGCAGCAGGAGCTACGACAGCGCATGGGGAGATGCAGCAGCAAGGCAACAGCCCCAGCCCCAGCAGCAGCAGTGGCGGCGGTACTCGGCAGGGAGCGGGTGCGCTGGCGCGGTCTCGGGAGCTCATGCGGCATGCGGTGGGGGCGTACGGCGGCCCCTTTGCGGCGTTGCTGGCGGCCGGGCGATTGCTGGAGTATGTGCAGGTGAGGGGATGGTGAGGGGATGGCGAGGGGATGGGTCATCTTGTTTAGAAAGGGGTAGGTTGGCGTGGCTTCTTCGTGGGTTCTTGCATGCCGTTGAGGCTGCTAAGGGCTTCAATCCATGCGAGGCAGCCTCTCACAAAACCGAAAAACGCCTCCTCCTGTTCCCTCGCTCCTCCGCTCCCTCTCCTCATGCGGTATATACATGTCCCTGTTAATGAAATCCCTCTCCTCGCCGCTACTCCCCCCCCCCGCCAGGGCCTAGTGTTCGCCGCGCTGCCGCCCCGCTGGTGGCGGGAGGTGGTGGAGCTGCCGCTGCTGCTGGGGGCGCTGTTCCTGCTGGGAAAGGCGGCGGTGCAGAGGTGCGTGAGGGCTGGGTGGGTGGTGGTGCAGAGTCTGCCTGTCGGCCCACATCATGCCTGCCTGCCTGCCTCTCTGACTGCGTTGTTCCACACCGTTCCACTCAACAGCACGACTCGTATCCAACTGGGCTGCTTACCGGTAGTCGCCGATGCCACGCCTCCTCCCACCCGCATGCCCCCACCCAACTCATTCCTTCCTCCCAGGCTTCAAGACCTGCTGCCCCTGGCCACCTACATGGAGCTCACCGAGCAGCAGCAACAGGTGCAGCAGATGCAGCAGGCGGCGGGGCAGCTTGTGACTGCAGGCAGCTCGCCGCTGGACAGCAGCAGCAAGGAGCAGTCGCAGCAGTCGCAGCAGTCGCAACAGGAAACTCAGAGGAGCGGCGGCGGGGCAGCAACATCAGCAGGAGCAGCAGCTGCTACGCCGGCGGCGGCGGCATGAGGCTCGGAGCAGCATGAGCCCGGCGGCGGGTTGGCAGCAATAACAACCGTAACTGCAACTGTGGCAGCAGCTACAGCTGCGGATGCCAGCCCTGAACCAGCAGCAGCTGCAGCAGTGCTGGTGGCGATGGCGGCGGTGGCGGCGGCACGGCAGGATGGGAGGTGATTGCGCAGCTCTACCTGGCCCAGCGGCCCTCAGGGAGCAGCAGCAGCAGGATGTGGTATAAGGCATGTGATAATGATGATGGTGCACGTTTGCACGTTAAAAGTGGTAGCCCTTTTATTACAGCAAGCAAGCAAACAAGCACCCAGGCGTTAGCTGATGTGTTTCAGGAGGCGCTGGTTCGTTATTGTGGGTTTGAGTTGGAGGCGTCGGGGTATAGGTTCCAAGCATGAAGACTGGTAATCGAAGTGGTTGTCGGCGTTCGAAATAGTTGTCCTTTGTTGGCTCCCTGTCGTTTGCAGAAGAGTGTATGCGGGTGCAGCAGAGGAGGTCAGGACCGAGAAGGCGGCATGCGCGCAAAGGACGTGGCACCCCTCACTCCTCATCGCACGGCGTGCAATGAAAGGACGACATCTAGCCGGGTGACAACTGGTGACACATGCAAAGGGCGCATAGCTGTGTGTGTGTGTTTTGTGTAATGTGCTTCTGCAACCTGCGATACCCAGCACAGCAGTTGCTGTAACAAAAACCACCAAAAAGCTCACCATGGCCTGATGGCCACCAAGGCGCTGTCGTACAGTTTGTTACATTGGACAAGATATCAGGCGACGAAGTACCGGTAGAGGGTTGGTGTTCTGGGTCAAACAACAGTGTGCCATCTGATGCAACGTCTACATGTAACATCTGGATGGGCAATGTATGTCAGCAGCTACAGTCCCCCATACCAGCAAAGGCGTTTCTGCCATAGCTGTCGTACAACCCCACTTCGTGGATCCAACCGTTTCCTGTTTTGCCCGTACGAAACGACCTTCCGTACAACTCCATGCCGTACTCTGGGCCCCCGCATTTCCCTGTGATCACCAACCACATGAGTAACCTAAATAACCGACTGACCAACTCGGACGAACAGCACAAGAATTGAATCCCGCAATCTGTTGAGTAGTAAGCGAGGGGAAATCCTGTCTCCAATCATACCATCTGTGTAGTTGCACCCAGATAACGCCGCTAAGTAATTAAGCAAAGCTCACCGCCGCTCATTCCTAGCAGCCTAGGAATGCATAAACTCCTTGGGCTACAAAACTCCCAGTCCTGAGGACAAACGTCACGATTGACCCTTGTCTGCCTACCAGCCAACATCGCCAACGTCCTGTGTTTCAAGTTCTGCCTTCCGGCCTAGAGTGAAAGGTGCGTCACTGGTATCATCACGCACCCTGTCTCTCTCCTCTCTCAACACACTCCCAATGTAAAGCCTCCCAGGAACCCAGTGCACATAAATAACCGTCGGTATGTCTAAAACAGGCAACGAACCCGAAAGGGCCTTGCGCAGGTAATTCATCATGCCAGTTACGGAACATGCCACACAACTGTGCCTATGTTGCATCGCGTGGCTTCAAGTCAACCTAGCTACCCGTTACGGGAGCGTCCCAAAGCATCTCAGCTATCGTCGGCTATTTCAGTACACCTTGTAAAACAGTTGGCTTGGTTTCAGCCGCGCCGTCGTCACAAGGACAGGACCGTACACAGGTAAACGCTTTGCCAGCGAGTAGATCTCCCGACGTCTCATCTCTGAGAAAGTATTCAAGAGAATGTTAAAGTTTCGGCACCAGGAGGGCCGGTGCAAGGAAACCAATGAAGAAGTGAAGAAGAAGTAAACGAGACAAGGCTTGTAAGACCATCGTTTGGGGGGCAGTCACCAACAAATGAGAACAATGGAGTACCAGCAACAGAGGGCGACAACGGTAATTTGGGGCACACCGACCCATGGGCCAGCCCAGACAATGTAACCCGAGTAACCAAACCGTGTATTGAAAACCTGTAACACCAGGAAACCAAGAATTTGGCACAAGATTATAATAACGCTAGGAACACCATGACGCCAACAGTGGTGGGCGGCCGGCGCCACTTACAAGAGGAACTAGTGAGACCAGTGTCAACAGAAAAAGGCGGTCAGCAGATAAGGCACGCTCGCAATCCTTTGACAGTTCATCTCTTCAATCGTAATGACGATCCTATTACAAACAAGGGACGTATGCGCCCCGTGACGCAGTCCCGCCCAAACGTATAAGTAAGCCGTGGCATGGCGGCTATACCCCTCAGAAACAAGTGAAAAGTGAAATGAGGCCATTTCGAGATGTGGAGAACACACGCCAAGCAAGGAGGTCCCATTAGTGTATGGATCATGTAGATCAAAACGGGCGCCGTACGGATGACGTGCAACAGCAAGTATGTACCAAGTGCCAAGTGGGCATGTATAGTTATGCAGGCCGTGCCTCGACGCGCCTCGCCGTACTTCAACAGGAATCCAGGAAAAAGAACTTAACGGCACACAAGCAACCGTTGTAATGGCACGCCTATAGCTCCAAAGCGGCCCAAAGTAGAATTGACACAGCTAGACACAGCAACTCGTATCTTGTGCTGTTTGGCATGAACAAACCCCTCTCTTTCAGCAAAAGCCCATCTCTGACATGCGTTAATAGCCATACAAATTGTAGAGTCAAACAAGCCCGTAGCATCTACCCATACCGGCCTAAACCCGCTTAGAAGTCTAACGCCACATACCCGCCAGGCCTCTTGCAATGCTACCATAAAACTGGATGGATGGCTGTGCCAGTCTGGCATACCAACTCGCAATTTACTAAACAAGGATTCAAACAACACGGATAAATCTAACACCAACGGGTCATCGCACACAATCAGGCATCACACCAACGGGACGGCTAGGAAGAAGTCGCCCGCATACACGTCCTCATCTTACTTTTCGTCCCAGGTTATAAACCTCAAGGCATGTGTGCGAATAACTCTTTCTCAAGAGCGCTGACGGACAGCGAAACTCAAGACGTCATCGCTGAAACACATCAGCGCCATCAGGAGCTACCAACCACCGCCAACGGATTCAGTTACCAACCGGATTCGCTAAGGACCAGGCGCCTTAGCATGTAGCCCAAAGGCTAACAGGCAGCAGCAGCACAGTTGCCCCACATTTGCTATGTCCCCGTAACAAAACAGATGGGAAAGCAAAATGTACCCTGTTTAGGAAACAGGAAAGATTAGTTCATTGTTGAGTTCTGAACAAACATGACAGGACGTCACAGACGTGCGAGACTAATAAACAGAAAAAAAGAAAGAAAAACAGAGGAAGTGGGAGATACCAGACACAGACACATGCCAACCTTATTGGCCCCTGCCCAGGCCCCCTCCCCTACACTAACAACCGGATTTCCAGCGTTCTAAACCTCCGTGGCATGACAGCGAATATTTACCCATTACCCATTTACCCATTACCGAGCAAACAAAGCTTTATCAAGTGCTCCTCTTTCTCACAAAAAACATCTCTCAATGCACCCCCCACTCAACGGCCATGTCCCAATTCCCTTCCCCAAGTACAGAACCCAAAGATAAAGAAAATCCAATGCCCCCAAAGCCGTATATTGCTTCCGCTGTTTCCCATCGGGGAAACAACCCAACTTAGCAGCATGGGAGATGCTTAGCCCAACGATAGCCATGCGTTAAAAATATGTTTAACATTCGTACAGCATGCGTACGTACCGGTAATGCCGTAGAAGTGCAGTCACCATCTATTTCAACCACAACCCTCGTCAGCAGCATCAGCATACTCACACATGCTCTTCACATACTCCCATTTCATAGACCTCAATACGCACATGCATGGACGCGCACATCCCACCGCCACGCATGCATATGCCTCTTCCCACCTTCATGATATATATTGCATGCGTTCTCCAGCGTTCTCCAGCGCAGCATTTTTGACCGAGCAAACATGCGCCCACCTCTCTTAGCATGCATGCCACCATGGCATGCGTTGTTCGTACGGCACGGCATCTGAGCCACGCATGCAACCTTGCCGCATCCGCAGCACCATGGGTGCTTGCACGTGCGCGATGAGCGATGAGCGTTGATGCACGCACGGTTTCGCCTCGCCTCGCTCCCATGCACCCGGCTGCTACCCGGCAGACAAGAACACTTTTCCCTTCACGTGAAGCTCTCGAGCAAGGAGGCAACCAGCCCTCGCTGCCTCTTCACGAAAGAGGAGCGTTAGTTGTGCCATCATGGCGGCGCAGTAATGCGCGCGTGACACGGCATGTACCTTTTTGCCCTTACTTTCTTCACGCGAAGCTCTCCAGCAGTGCTGCAACCTCGGTTCGACCCCATCGACGAGCCAGCACCGCTGCAGCGGTCAAGGCGCTGCTGTTCCGCAGCCGGGGGCCGGCCGCTTGCAACAGGAGCTCTGCGATGGTGCGGTGACCCTGGAGTAAAGGAGTGGTGCAGGGGGGGCAGGAGTGGGGGTTGTGCAGGTGAGGTGGGTGATGAGGCCGTGAGGTGGTGGATGTAGGATTAAAGCGAAGGCTTGAAGACTCCCGGCCTCTAAATATGCCATGATGTGGGAATGAAGACACACACAGGAAACACATCGAGGCCAGAAACCCAATACCTAGGACACGTGGTAAAGGTGACAACACGCGTACACATACCTGGTATGCAGCCTCACTCAGCGCCATGCAATTGTCGAACATCGGATCGGCTCCGTGTCGTAGCAGCTCCGAAACCACATCGGGCCGGTTCGCTCCGGCCGCCGCCACCAGCGCCGTACCCAAATGCGCACTCAGTGACGGCGCCGCACTCAGCAGCGATTCGACGACTCGCGGGTGCGCGGCGACGAGGAGCTCCGACCCATGGGTCACGTCAATCTGGGCACCTCGTTTGACGAGTGTCGCAACGGTTGTGGCGTGGCCGGCAGCGCAGGCAGCCATGAGGGGAGTTGTGGTGGTTGCGGATGCTGACAAGGAGGCTCGGCGTTGGCGGTTAGCCGGTTGGCCGCGACGACTCAAAAGAAGCGGTGGCGGCGGTAGCAGCAGCGGAGGAAGTGGGACGGACAGAGACGGCAGCGGCGGCAGCAATGGCAGCTGACGTGGCGGCCCTGCCGCGCCGCGTGTGGCAGGCGTGGATGCCGCCGAGATTGCAGGTGACATAAGCTGCTGCGGCTGCTGCCTCCACATGACCCGCGGGTCACTAGCAACCGGAGTACCGAGGGTACGCAGCGTGCTCGGAAGAGGCCGGCTGTGAGCGGGAGAGCAGGGCACCGGCTCGTCTTTGACACCACCAGCAGAGGGCGACATTCCAAGAAGCGTCGCCGCGGAGTTCAGCTGCGACATGGGTAGGGATAGGGCGCTTGCTGCAGGGACCTGCTGAGCGAAGGCGCCGGTGCTTCCTGGGTAGTTGCCGCCAGCGCCACCTTGGGAGAAGAATCCGCTGGGGAAGGAGCCGCTAAAACCGCCGTACAGGTCGGTGATGCTGCTGCGCCGCCGCCGGTGCTGCTGCTGCGGAATGTCGCGTGCAGCATTCGACAGCCCAACCTCTGTCATGGACGACGTTCCAGCCCCCTCACTTCTTCCTCCCAACTCACCAGCGCCGCCAGCTGCAGCTGCAGCTGCAGCGCTTCCGCCGACGCTAACTGAGCCGAAATCAGTCCACGGCCAGATGAAGGGGCTGGGCGGCAGATGGTGTTGATGAGTGGCGGGCTGCTGCTGCTGTTGCTGCAGGGGCCCAGCTCCTGCCGCCGGAGTTGACGGCAGCGGCAGCAGCTGCTGGGGGGCAGCTGCGGCCTGATGACTGCCACCGCTTCCTCCTCCTGCTCGGCCCACACGCGGTGTGGACGACGCGTCGACTCCCTCCACTTTGGCCCCCGCGTCCAGAAGCAGCTGCACGGCCTCGTGGTGACCGCTGTGCAGGGATGCATGGGTGCGGGGATTAGTTGCTCTGGCCGTACCAACCAGCCTGAACACCGGTAAGCATAAATGGTTATAGCGACGAAGGTCAAGGCGGCAATGGCGCGTCATGAAGCTTGCATGCGCAATCCCCCAGCTATCATGTCGCCGCACACCCGTCTGCATTGGGATTATGAAAGGCATGTTCATTGACCCTCGCGTATCTTTGCTATGTAGCCCGACCAGCGTCGCTCGCTGCTTACTTGCGCGATGCCTCCAGCAGAGCACATGGCCCGAAAGGCTCTGCAGCATCAGGATCGGCTCCCGCTGCTAGAAGAAGTTGAATCACGGGACAGCGACCGAATCGACTCGCAGCAACCAACGCGCCTTCATGAGGACGAGCTCCGAGGCACAATGCGGCCGCGACAACACGGAGATGCCCTGCCGCCGCAGCTGCTTGCAAAAGGTTGCAGGCGTGTGGCCGGAAGATGGTCCTGGAAGCGGCGATGCTGGCTTTGAAGACCAAGTTGGAGTTGGCATTGGAATTGAAGATGCTGGGTAGGAGGGATTCGGACAGACTGGTGACGGTTGACAAGGCTGTTGCGGCATGGGTGCTGCCGGATAGTAGTAGCAGTTCTTGGATTGCGGTCGTGACGGCGTGGTCGGTGCTTACAGCATGGCGCACGGCATGCTGAGATGGGTTGATGTAGATGTGAGCTGGAGCGCCGCTGGGACCGTAGTCGGCTAATAGCGCACGTGTTAGGTATTCTGGTGTAGCTGTGATGGTGCGATGAAGGGCGCGAAAAGACGAACAGCAGGACGCAGCGACTGCCGATGACCGGAGACCAGCCCAAGCCAGGATGAGGAGCCAAACCTGTGGTTAATGTTTTCACGTAAGCATGAAGAATTTAGTGTAAATAAGGCGTTAGCGAAACATCTTGTCTAGCGGCGGCAGCTTGGCTAACGGTAGGCAGTTCCCTCGTTGCGGAGCTTGCAGCAAATTGGCGGGCACTTGCCTCCCAACCGTTTACATGCAGACGACGACCCACCTCGGTTGGAAGCTTGGAGAATATGTGATATTTTGTGCAGGGGTCTCGGCTGTCAGCCTCGTTGCACACGGAAGGCGTGGGGCGCGACCGCCGGTCGGTCGCGCCGTAGAGGCTCACACAATGAGACGAATGATTGCCCAAGAAAACATGATGACCGGGGCCCAGTAGCATTGCTGGTCTCCGTCTGCAGTCTTGGGTCATTTTCTGAGCTCCACCCAAACGGCGGAGCGCTGTGAGGCGCGACTCTAGCTGATTGCCGACGGGGCTTGCTAGCTCTGGGTCCTAACAGTCATACAGCGCACTGGTGAAATAGCTGATAATGTATAGATGCAGTTTGACTGGTTAAAAGTCTCCGCCGTCGCTGTTTCGTCTCGGTCAACTTTGCACTCCGGAACAACTTCACAGTCGGTATCCAAAGCGGCTTGTTTCCTTTTAGCATAAGATAGTAATTAAGCTGAAGTTCATTTCGTTGCAGCACTAGTTATGGAAGTACAGTAATGTCTGTTAATCTTGGTGCGGGCTACGACGTACTTGTCGCACTGTGAAGTTGTGGTAACTTGGGCATCGCAGGTGCAAGACCATGAGTGATGTGTCGTCATAAAAGTGGGCTATCATTCGATTACGGAGCATACCGGGCAGCATCACCTTCCAGTTGGCTTACATTTTTCCGTACGGCCCTTTCATCTTCGTCTTCTTCGGTAAAGATCTTACTAGACTGCACAGTCTCTTGTGCGGAACAGTTACCCACGCATGTGTTGTTGGCGTTGGAGCAACGCGTCGTCTCTACGCGCTCATGCCATCATGCAAGAGCTCACAAGCAACGGCCGACGTGCTGCGTCCCCGACACACAACAGTTTGGACAAAGTAGACAACCGGTATCATCATCCACAGCTATCTGGACCATTTGCCTCGGCAACCTCGGTGCCACCCCAGCAGGTCATTGGACGGGTCGACGCACCATCCTCGCGGCGTTCGCACCTTCAAGCCAGAACGCGAGCGGCAACCTAGTCGTTCACACAAGAGGTTTAGCACCATACAGGATTTTTGAGCAGGCGCTACCGATACCAGAACTTATAGGTCGAGATACGTGCGCGGTGATTATATCATCCTGCTTGACTAAGATTTGGATAAAGGCTGAACTTGCTGTAGTCCTATTATGTCGGCAGGTGCTTTTTCCTGTACGTAATAAACATATAAACATACTCAGCAAGTAAGTCGTCACGACAAGCTTGCGTTACGGTTCAGATTTCCTCGCCAGCGCAGTGTCCTAGGAGCTAGTTGCGGCCGCGAAGCAGCAAATGCGCTGCATAATATGCATAATAGTCTTCACGCATGATTAACGTGGTCTTAAATTTACCATTCAAGCGGCATTTTGTGCATACTTTAGCACCGTACACTGTACAGCAGTGCTGCTGCTGCATGCCAAAGCCAAAGCTCTGGCTTAGCTAAGCCACACGCGCGCATTCGGCCCAATCCGATTAATCACGTTCTTATATGCACAGTAAGGGCCCTTACAGTTGGTCTTAAAGGGAGTTTCGAGATGCATGTATCGGTATGCACCGGCAAACAGCCCCCGGCCCTCCTCCCTTCCACGCTCAGCCTGTCATGTCCCTGTACATCCCTCCTCTCCACCTTTCCCTCCTCCCTCCCTCCTTCCCTCCTTTCCCTCCTCCCCCCCTCCTTCCCCCCTTTCCCTCCTCCTTCCCTCCCTCCCTCCTCCTTTCCTTGCTTCCTTCCCTCCCTCACGCCTTCTCATAGGGCCTCAGCGCCGAGTGGCGGAAGGTGATGCTGATCCGCCGCTCCCCCACCACATCACCCGGGGCGATACCATGCGTGTAGCTGTAGCGAGCGGCGCGACTCAGAATCTGCGTTCGTGTTTAAGCAAATTGGCCGTGTTAAGACATCTACGGTGTTGATGTGCCGTACAGCAAAACGCAACAGCAGCAACAATGCGATGTGAGCGAGTCATCAGAATCAGCTGGTTGTTGGCAGCCACGCCTTATCCAGCATCATTGTTAGCGCCTCTCCACCCATGACCAGCCCCTGCAGCCGTAGCCCTCCCTTCCTGCTCCCGCGCGCTGCCTCCTTCCCCTTCCCCTTCCCCTTCCCCTCTTCCTCCCACCTCCCTCGCCCCCTCATCACCTGCAGCGACCGCGGCTCCAGCAGGACGCGTATCTCGCCACCCTCCTCAGGGTCCTCACCACCTCCCGCGCCCCCGCCCCGCGCCCCTGCAGTCCCCTGTTGCCCGCCACCGCTGGTGGCTGGGCTGTTGCTGCGAATGATGTTGCTGCGAGTGTTGCTGCTGCCGCTGCCGCTGTTGCGGATGCGGCCAAAGGTCATGACCGCTGGGCCCAACAGCGACAAAGTCACGATGAGCTCGCCGCTCAGGATCCTGCAGAAGGGCAGCAGCAGCAGGGATCCGCAGTTATGGGCAGCAGCAGCAGTAGGTAGTAGCAAGCAGCCAGTAGGTAGTAGCAAGCAGCCACCGCGCAATAGCTACCTCCTTTAACGCTCCGCCCTGCCCCCTGCTCCACCTGTCAACCCCGCCCCCACCTGCCTCCGCCCCCCCACCTGTCATCCGCATGGGGTCGCAGCCATGACCCACGGGTCCGTCGGTAGTCGATTGCGTTGGCCTCATTAGGGAAGAACGACTGCGGAACGAGCCGGACGAATGCGATTCGGCAGGACAGAGGTGGTTTGAAAGTGGTTATGCTCGCGTTGACGAGGCGTTGCCCATGCGTTGACCGGCGTTGACAGGCGTTTGGGTAGAGTCGCGGACGGCAAGCAGTGTTACAATGTGCGGGAGTGTGGGGAGCAATCAATGCATGCGTGCAACATGCATGTGAGGTAGGAAGGGGTGATGGATCTGGGGGCAGGCACGCGACTCTGAGGCCTACTATGCCCCTGACCACTACACGGCTCATTCAGTAAGAGCATGGTACACCCAGCGTCCAATTACGCCAGGGATGCCTGGTCCCTTGGACCCTGTCCGTGTTCACACATGCGGCTCCTCTCCTCTCATCCCCCACCCCTCATCCCCTGCAGCCCCACCCACCCTCAGCACCCCCACCCGCTCCCTCATCCGCGCCGCCAGCGCCGTCAGCAGCGGCGGCAGCGGGTGGGCGGCAGGGGCCACCCCCCGGCGGTGGTAGTCTGGGAGCACACCCCAGCGCTTGGTGCTGTGCATGAGGAGGAAGATGTGCGGGGCAGAGAGTTGGGGTTACGACGGACGGGTCAGGGGTGTGACCTCCCACAACCCTGTCCTGCCAACCTTGTCATTTACCACGCCACGGCATGACATGAGCACATGACAATGGATGGCATGCACCTGTGCCGCATTCCCCCCTGCTTTCACCATCACCACCACAGCAGCAACCAACAACACTTGTTTCGTTCTACGCTGTCGTACCGTGCCCGCTGTACGACAGCATTGGCGTACGGCAGTCCCGGCCATGGACTCCAGGGGGGCTGTTGGTGCGGGGATTGCTGTCGGTGCGGGTGCGGGTGCTGTTGGGGGATGGTGTGCGGTGATTGTTGGTCGTCACAGAGGGTTGTTGTCAACGGGTGCTGGTGCTGGTGGTGCTGGTGCGGGTGCGGCGGGGCGTCAGTTAAATCGCACAGGGCCACCACCTCGGCTTCCTCCTGGGGGGTGATGAAGTCGGGGATGATGAGTTGGCCCTCCAGCCTGGGGTGCGGCAGCTGCTGGGGGGTGGGGGCGGGGAGAGGGGTGGCGGTAGGGAGGGAGGGCGGGGAGAAGAAAGGGCGATGGAGGAGAGGGGGCATGGGAGGCAAGGGGAGGGTGAAGTAGTGATTCTACTGGTACCGCCAAGCTGCTAAGGGCATTTAGTGTACAATGGGCCACCCCACCAATGGCTGGCAATCGCACCGGCTGTTGAAGCAGACAGCGCAGGGACCGCCCCACCGGTGTAACTCGGAGTGCCCCTGCAGCCTCATCCCGCCGCCCCTGCTGCTGCTGCTGCTGCCGCTGCTGCCGCCCCTGCTCCTGCTCATCCCGCTGCTGCTCCTGCTGCTGCCCTCCCTGCTGCTCCGGCCGACGCTGCCTCCTCACGACGCCCCGTGGCAGGAACATGGCAGGTACCCGGGGGGCAGCAGCTGGCAGCTCCGTCGAGCCCTCCTCCTCTTCTGCCTGATCCTCCTCCTTGCCCTCGGCCTGCTGCTGCTGCTGCAGGGCCCTTGCCTGCCCCTGCCAGCCCTCAGCCTGCAGCAGCAGCTGCTGTGGCGCGGTTGCCTCAAGCCCCTGCCAGCCCTCAGCCCTCAGCAGCAGCTGCTGTGGCGCGATTGCCTCCAGCCCCTGCCAGCCCTCAGCCTGCTGCTGCTGCAGGACCTCCCCCTGCTGCTGCGGTCCTGCATCCTGATGTCTCCGAGCAGGTTGTGAGGCCCTATATGCAGCAGCAGCACCATCACCACCCCCCGACTCCTCCCGCGGGCCCCGACCCTGCTGCGGTCCGGCTCCTCCTGATGAGCCCCACAACGCGGCTGGCAGAAACTGATCCATGGGTCGCGACACCACGCTTCTCGCCGCGCTTCCGCCTTCTGTAGCTGCGGGGGCTCCCGGGCATTGTGCGTCTAGGTGCAGGTTGATGCACAGCAGAGGGACCTGGTGGGAGGTGCGCAATCCAAAAAGTGGGAGCAAAGTTAGCTCAACTTGTGGGAGTGATAGCGCAATATGATGGAGTAACAGGGTGGAGTAGTGATATCCAAGTGGGAGTAGGGTGAAGAGGCCACAGCACTCAGCAGGTGAGGACGTTGGCCCAGCCCACGTGGGGTGGGCTGGTGCAGGGAAAGCTGGGCAAGGGCGGTCACGCGACTTCTTTTTGGGCTCAGTATGGAACTAACGGTGAAGGTAGCGCACCTGTTTGCCGCAGATGGGGCAAGCTGTGAAGGAGCTACCGGTAGAGTCGCGGCGTTGCTGCTGATGCAGACGATGCCGCTCGGTGCCGGATGGCTGCCGGCTGGAGCCAGACGCGAGATTATTAGTTTCATTGTTTTGGTTGTCTCCAAGCCTTTGGCGCTTAGACGCGGGACCGCCAAAGGACAAACGTTGCTGCCCTTGCTGCTGCTGCTGCTGCGACATTGGCTTTCTGAGAGACATCGCGTCTCAATATCATAATCTTCTTCGCTGCTCTAGGGATGTCGTGTTTAATTTGTGGATGGCAGCTGTTCGGCAAGCCTAGAAGCGCGCCGGGCATCACCGGCAGACAACGGCAGTCTTATTAGGTAATCTGGCGCGTGGTTTGCAAGCAGCTAGCCGACAAAAGGCGTGTAGCTATGATGCAGGGGGTATTCGGTCTTGTCCGGTTTGCACTGCAGTGTGGAATCCGGAGGTAGCTTGTCAACTTGAAAGCAACACGCTAGCAGGCGCATGCCATTACGGCCTTGCTTGTGCAATCCCTTTGTGCTCGAGACCTCACTGAGACAATCCTAGATGGCATATTTCCTACCTATACAAAACTAGGTCTAGCCCAGAAAGTTAGTCCAGTACAGCAGGTAGTTGAGATGGACCACACCTTGGTACATAGGTGGGCATAAATTCCTGCTTAAGAGAACAATAGAAACCTAATAATACGTTGTTACGGAGGAACTGTACCTTCGCATGGACAGTTTGGTCAGTTTCTAGCGATTGCCTCGAATGCCGTACGGTATAGCAGGTGTTCAACCTCCAATGGTTGCAGATGCAACAAGCAACAGTAACTTGGCCGTTTGACACGGTGCAGCTATCTCGAAGGGGGCTCTTCACTTTCCAACAGTTGACGAGGGCACTGTGTCGAGAGCCCGAGACCCAACAGGCTTATTGGTGTCTTATTTATACGCACTGGTTACTTCTTGCCGAACTTATACGGGCATTATCGGGTCGAACTGTTGGGGACCTGTGTGGGGACTGTTCATCAGACACGTCTCTTTGCAGTAACTGGACCTGAGGACAAATGGGTTTATGCAGCAGCAAATGCAAGCATGAAAGGTATTCTGTGCCTGATGGATCTCCACCGCCTGCCTATGCTCCGGGCGGCTTCGCCGCGTTCAAAAGCCCTACAATGAAGTTCAGGTGCGCTTCGCTGCCGCAATGCAACCCCTTTTGACGGCTCCGTAGCATCAGTTTGCCTTCTAGGCTTCTGTGGGACCTACCCGTCCACTGCAGGTTGACTTGCGCGTCACAGGAAGGTGACAGTGACTTGCCAGCTGCGGAGGTGCAAGCGAGTACCGTTGCAAGCGAGCTACCGTAACTCTTTGCTGCTTTAACCGTCTGAAAACCTAATCTGCCCTGTGGCCTTCCGCTGCTTGCCATCCCGTCCTCTCCATCCAGGGCAATTTCCGACCAGTACACAACGCTAACACAGGTCCAAGAGGCGCTGCGGAAAGGCGGCTTGGAGTCCTCCAACCTCATCGTGGCAGTTGACTTTACAAAGGTAAATTGTTGTTGACGTGAATGTTCAAAACTTAGAATTCCGCGAGCTGTCGACAAACGTGCGTACGACATACATCATGGGCTTATCCGAGGCTTACTACCTTCCTTGCGCCTCGCCTTTCGTGCGCCCCAGAGCAATGAATGGACCGGCAAGCACAGCTTCGGTGGGAGGTCCCTGCACGCCATCGGTAAGGCGGGGGCGGAAGGAGGGATGAGAGAAGAGAAGGGAGTAAAGGAAGGGCAGGAAGACAGGGAAACGACAGGGAACCGAACCCTGCTAAGCGCACACCCCTACACCCACCAACACATGCCCCTATATCCACCCGCCTACACTCCCACCCACCCCTCCTTACGCGCACCTCATAACAGACGCATGCGCGCCAGCTTTCTTCGCACATCGGCTTTCTTCACACGCCAGTTCAGTTAACGCACGCCGGCTTTTCGAACACGCACGCAGGTTCCGTGCCCTCCCCCTACGAGGAGGCCATCAGTGTGATCGGCCGCACGTTGTCCACCTTCGACGACGACGGATTCATCCCCTGCTACGGCTTCGGAGACGGTGCGTGGGTCCAGGGGGGGTGGGGTGGGGGAAATGGCGTTGGAATCCGCTGGAATGTGAGGTAACTCCCGAGTCCCGCGTGCTTCCCATTGTTCCCACCCTTCCAAGCCTATCCTTCCTTGCACCTCTCCGCCCCTATTAGCCCCTGTACGCTCCCTCACCCCTCCCGCTTCCAACCCAACCTCCACACACACACCTCTGTTACCTCTGTTTTGCCTGTACTTGCGGTTCACATGCGAACCTATCCCAACTGCTTGCTCTTGTTTCCGCTCAACTACACACCCTTGTCATACAGCTCGCTAGTTGCATTGTCAGCGTCTCTTTATAGCATGTTTTTACCCCCCTCCTCCCCCCCTCCCCAGCCACCACGGGCGACCAGTCCGTGTTTTCCTTCCTGCCGGGAGACCAGCCCTGCCAGGGCCTGCAGCAGGCGCTGCTGAGGTACAGGTGAGCGGGGGGGCGGGGAGGGGGGAGGGAGCGCGGCCCGGGGAGGGAGGAACACAGAGGCTACCCGCTAGACACGAGCTAGACACGATGCTTCCTCCCCTTCTCGGCTCTTGAAGATCCTACAATTCTGACACCTCACGTCGGCACCTCACGACTGTTCCCGACTGTCCGTGAACCTCCTAGACAAATCAACTTGCCAACTTATCTCATCGTTCCTTCTTTTCCTACCCCCTCTCCCCTCCTCTCTCCCCCCCACCCCATGGTTCGGTACGGTCTTTGACCCCCCACCCCATGCCGCAGGGAGTTGTGTCCCCACGTGCGCATGGCCGGCCCCACCTCCTTTGCGCCCGCCATCCGTCAGGCCTCCCGCATCGTGGAGGCCTCGGGCGGGCAGTACCACATCCTGCTGCTGGTGGCGGACGGGCAGGTGGGCGCAGCAGGGGGGAGCAATAGGAGAGTAACCGCAAGGGGGGAGTGCTAATGGTGGGAGGGGCGGACTACCACACACCCAACGCAGTCCATGAAGCGGGGCACCGAAGAACGAAACGAAGGTTTCCCCTCTTTCCCCTCTCCTGCCCCCTCCCCCTCCCCCTCCCCCCCCAGGTGACGCGCCCCGCCGGCATGCCCTCCGGCTCACACAGCGAGCAGGAGCGGGCCACCATTGACGCGATCGTGGAAGCCAGGTGGGGCGGGTGGCGGGATGGGCGGGTGGGTGGGGCGGCTTGGGGTAGCGGGTGGATGGGGCGGCATGGGATAGCGGCGTGGGGTAGCGGGTGGATGGGGCGGATGGAATAGCGGGACGGGGTGTCCTGGTAGCGGGCGCGCCCGGGTAGGTCGGGGCCGTGCGGGGTGTGTCCGCATGCCTGCCCTGAAACGTACCGTATCCTGGCCTGCCCCGGTGCCCCACAGCCCTCCTCAGCCCCGCCCTTCTTTCCTTCGCCCGACTTATCCCCTTTTACCCGCCCACCCAACACGCCTTCCCTTCCCGTGTCCCACTGCCTTCCATGCACGCGCTCTTGCCATATCTGATCCTGCCGTACCTGCTCCATATCTGATCCTGCCGTACACACAGCCACCTGCCGCTGTCCATTGTGATGGTGGGTGTGGGCGACGGCCCCTGGGACCTCATGCGCGACTTTGACGATGAGCTGCCGCAGCGCAAGTTCGACAACTTCCAGGTGAGGGAGGAGGGGGGGGGAGGGGTGGGCAACTCGCAACGCACCGTAGTTGATGGGATTCATCGGGATACATACTCCGAACTTGGCTGGGTTATACCAGGGACACGAGAAATAGTCATGCTTGTTGGGTTAGTAGCAGCATTCTCATTCAACACATTGTGTATCCTTCTTTCCCCCCAACCCCTGCCCCCCCTCCGTTGCTTCACTGTTCACTTATCCCCCCTGCCCCCCCTGCCCCTTCCCGGCTCCCCCCTTAGTTCGTCAACTTCACGGAGCTGGCCGCCTCCACCGCGGGCAACCCGGATCGGCGGGCGGCGCAGTTCGCGCTGCGGGCGCTCATGGAGGTGCCCGAGCAGTTCTCGGTAGGAGGAGGAATGAAAGAAGTACTAAGAAGAGTAATAACTATGCGCTAATTCATGCGACATGCTGCTTTGGCCATTGCTACCTGGCAGCCGCCGCAGCAGCAGCAGCCGTACTTACTCTTACCGTACTTGTGTGTTGTTCTGGTCGCTTAGGGTTCCCGACTCACCAACCTCAGCTTCCCCACCACCCCACCTGCACACCCACCCGTACATAACCCGCTCACCCACCCGCCCCACGCCCACCCCACAGGCCATCCAGCGGCTAGGCCTGCTGGGCAGCTCAGCCGTCGCCGCCGCCGCCCGCAACCGCAGCTCCACCTACCGTGCTACCCTGCCTCGTGACCCGCCACAGCCGCCGCCGGGCAGCGGTGGCGGAGGCGGAGGCGCCGCCAGGAGCAGCCTCTATGGTGTCAAACTGCCGCCGTTACGGACGCCGGTCAGCGGATCGGCGTTGGGATCGGGGTCGGGAAACCCCACGCTGCAGAGCAGCGGTGGAAAAGGCGGTGCTGGGACGAGTTGCGGTGCCTGTGGGAGTGGCGACACCACCAACAACAACAACAACAGCAACACCGGTGCCGCTGCTGCTGGTGGATCTGCTGGTGGCAAAGGCGGAAAGGCGGTGACGTCAGGGTCAGCGGCGACCCCAGGGAAGGGCAGCAGCAGCAGCAGCGGCAACAGCAGCTGTGGTGCCGCGCCGCCCGGCGCACGGGCTGCCGCAGCACCTGGGAGGAGCAGTTGGGATGCTGGCGCCAGTTGTAGCGCAGCAGGTGCCAGCGGCGGCGTGTCGGCCGCAGCAGATGCGGGTGGTGCGAGTGGTGCCGGCGGCAGCGGAGGAGCGGAAGGTGCAGATGCAGCAGCGGAGCCGACGCCGGACCCCATGTTCCTGTGTCCTATCACCCAGGATGTGAGTAGTACGGTACCTTTCGCGCGCGCGAGCGATGCATGCACGTGAGGGCTGCTGGGCCGGATGTTCCGGTAACCCAGGCCTCACCCGGATCCCTTTTGGCCCAGTTGCATACCGGTACCTGCCTTTTTGGGCGTGTGTACGACAGCGTCGGTAATGGTACTGGTATGTGGGCACCTTGTACTACTGTAACGGTCAACCAACCATTCATACCGTTGCCACCCATACCTGCACCCTGACCCCGTTCCTGACCCGCAGGTCATGGAAGACCCTGTCATCGCCACCGACGGCTACACCTACGAGCGCTCCGCCATCACCAAGTGGCTGGCCCAACACGCCACCAGCCCACTAACAAACAAGCCGATGCCGGGCAATGCAATGCTGATTCCCAATCACGGCCTGCGATCGGCTATCATGGAGTGGAAACAGAAGACCGGGCAGCAGTAAAAGCGAACCGTTTTGAGTTGCTGTTGTTGGTTGCCGTCAAGTTGTTGCTCCTGCAAAAAAAGATGCTCGGATTGATTTATCTGGACGTGGTTGAGTGGTGTGGGTGTTGGAGCCTGTGTACGGCTCGTTACGGTTTTTTGTTAGCCGAATTGCTAAAGTGCGCTTTGTTTCGTTGGTTGGTTACTTGGATAAGTGTCCTTCGGCGAAAGTTGTTTCGGAATTAAACGTAATTGCGCTGAAGATGCGTTCTCGTTGTTGCAATTTGCTTAACGGCTAACGGTTAGGTACTTTTGCGACCCGCCTGCATCCGCACATGTCCTTGCAGTCAATACTCCTATTTTCCCTGAACTCAAAAGGCAAAACAAAGGCACTGGTTTGCATTATTCAAAGGCATGGGTATGCAATTGGGGCTCGAGCCCCGCCGTGACCCACATGAGGGAATATTGGTGGTAATCTACGGCGACCAGAGCTCCCATGCCGGTTATCCCATGTGCAGTTGGCAGGCTGTTCTGGTATCTTAGGGCCCAGCTCGTGCCCGGGCTGTTCAGAGGGCGCTGAGAAATGTGTACATATGTAAAGCCAGGGGGCTGCGTTGTGGTCGCGGGTTTGGAAGGGAGGGTCTATCTGGGTAGTGTTCACCTGCCGTACGGCCCTCCAGTATTGTCGTACAGTGTGCCGTACAGGGCAGCTGCGATACTCCTGGTGTTTTTGGATGTGGGGTTGGCTACTATCAGGCTTTGCCAGTTGGGCATGCGGGGGTGTGGTTGGTCTGCCTCCTTTCTTTTTGTGGTATCCTGCCAGCTTGTTTCTGTTCGCTAGGTTTGACTCGACTGTGAAACGTACGGTTACGTCGCAGCAGTTGATATCTGAGGGGCGGCTTCAGCATAGCTTTCCCTTAAGTGTTGGCGGAGAAACGCGGAGAAGCGCAACAGTGTCGCTAGCGTGCATGGTGGAGGTGGAAAGGGTTGTATATGGATACGGGTGCGCCAGCCTTTGGAGAGTGCTTGGGTTCCCGCCCGCTTTAATTGCTCTTCTGTGAAAGCTGTGGATGGTAACTGTAACGCATAGAAGTTTGGGTTTTGTGTCATGATCATTCATATGGTTTACCTTCCTACGTCAAAGGCGGTCCTCTCTCCTAGTCACCCTTTCCCCGGCATGCACTGATTAGCGTGACGGTCATGTGAACAACCAGGGCCCAGGACAACTTAGGCCCCTCCTGGCGGTGTTTTGAACGGCCGTACACATGTAGTTCCGATTCAGGACTTCCAGCTTAGGCATATGTTGCCCCACTCTTGCTGCAAGTTGCTTTTACTTTGCGTTGTCAGCGATTCATGAGCCTCCTTAGTCGTCTGGGCCGTGACGCTTAGTATTCCAGATCAGCAAACTTGGGTCTAGCTTTTATGTCGCTCATCGCTGTAAATGCTTGCATCCATAACTTACTTACCTGCTTGTATGGTTGTAATATGTGCTAGACCCTTGAGCAGGCTTGTGAAACATTCCCACGAAACGCCTCCTACGCCTACAAGGATCTACAAGCCTTTGATGAGATCATCGTTGAACTATTGGTCTTTAGGATACAGCACTGTACCGAGCGCCAGCTGTTGGAATTAAAATGTCCCATGGCGGAAATGCGCACACAGGTCACTAAGCAGCAGTTGCAGTTATACACAGTATAACTGCATCGCTTACGGGAGTCGCTTCCCTCATGTTGCGTAGGGTCAGTTGTTGGCGTCGCACAAATAGGCGTTGGGCCAGCAGGCGACTCCCCAGTCACACCCGCACGCCCAGTAAATGGTCCGGGTGCAAGCGGCATGGACTTGGCAGCTGCACCGGTACGTTACACACTGGGTGATGGTGGGTTCTCTTCGTGTGATGCTCTTCGCCCTGAAGTCCTGGACATGTCATGGTAGTTTGGTTCTCAAGTGATTTCCCCGAATGGTTTCTCCCTACCTTTCTCTGCTATCCTTGTATTTACCTTTTCCTCTCGACAAGCCAAGCCTAGCCGTGTCATCGCTGGATGCACTTCTTCCCATTTGCCTTGCTTGGTGTCCAAGCCTAATGCCCAACGCACTTTACGCTCTTGAATTCCGGCAGGTGCCCCCTCAGCCTGGCAACCAAGGCGGGAATGCAAGCGGATTTAGCACGCAGGAGACTCAGGTGCCTTTCCGCGTTGCTGGGTTGACAGCGCCTGGTGCAGTTGCTGGGAGCGTGTCGACGGACGCCTTTGGCTTCCCCGTCTCTCGTGATGCCATACGCGCTGACGCAAGCGGGCCCTTTGTTAATGCCTCGTCCACAACATCTAACCAGTCCTCCAGCTCGGGCGCTGCATCCGTCCCGTTGTTCGGCGTCCCTGGAGTGTCGACCTCGTTGAGCAGCGTACATGCAGCATCGGCGCCGTCCCTCAGTTCGGGTGGCATGTTTGCTTCTAAACCTCATCGTAGTGGGTCATCAGTATCTGCATCCAGCATGGGAAGTTCTTCCGCTCCGGCAAGCAGCTTCGGTGGAGCATCGGCAGCTGCATCCCTCATTGGGAATGCGTCCGCCCCTGCAAGCAGCTTCGGTGGGGCATCGGCGGCTGCATCTCTCTTTGGCAATGCGTCCGCCCCTGCAAGCAGCTTCAGCGGGGCATCGGCGCCTGCATCTCTCTTTGGGAATGTGTCCGCCCCGGCAAGCAGCTTTGGTGCGGCATCGGCGGCTTCATCTCTCATTGGGAATGCGTCCGCCCCTGCAAGCAGCTTCGGTGCGGCATCGGCGGCTGCATCTCTCTTTGGGAATGCGTCCGCCCCTGCAAGCAGCTTTGGTGCGGCATCGGCGCCTGCATCTCTCTTTGGGAATGCGTCCGCCCCTGCAAGCGGCTTCGGTGCGGCATCGGCGCCTGCATCTCTCTTTGGGAATGCGTCCGCCCCTGCAAGCGGCTTCGGTGCGGCATCGGCGCCTGCATCTCTCTTTGGGAATGCGTCCGCACCTGCAAGCAGCTTCAGCGGGGCATCGGCGGCTGCATCTCTCATTGGGAATGCGTCCGCCCCTGCAAGCGGCTTCGGTGCGGCATCGGCGCCTGCATCTCTCTTTGGGAATGCGTCCGCCCCTGCAAGCGGCTTCGGTGCGGCATCGGCGCCTGCATCTCTCTTTGGGAATGCGTCCGCCCCTGCAAGCGGCTTCGGTGGGGCATCGGCGGCTGCATCTCTCTTCGGCAATGCGTCCGCCCCTGCAAGCGGTTTCGGTGCGGCATCGGCGCCTGCATCTCTCTTTGGGAATGCGTCCGCCCCTGCAAGCGGTTTCGGTGCGGCATCGGCGGCTGCATCTCTCTTTGGGAATGCGTCCACCCCTGCAAGCGGCTTCCGTGCGGCATCGGCGCCTGCATCTCTCATTGGGAATGCGTCCGCCCCGGCAAGCAGCTTTGGTGCGGCATCGGCGGCTGCATCCCTCATTGGGAATGCGTCCGTCCCTGCAAGCAGCTTCGGTGGGGCATCGGCGGCTGCATCTCTCTTCGGCAATGCGTCCGCCCCTGCAAGCGGTTTCGGTGCGGCATCGGCGCCTGCATCTCTCTTTGGGAATGCGTCCGCCCCGGCAAGCAGCTTTGGTGCGGCATCGGCGGCTTCATCTCTCATTGGGAATGCGTCCGCCCCGGCAAGCAGCTTTGGTGCGGCATCGGCGGCTGCATCTCTCTTTGGGAATGCGTCCGCCCCTGCAAGCGGCTTCGGTGCGGCATCGGCGGCTGCATCTCTCTTTGGGAATGCGTCCGCCCCTGCAAGCGGCTTCGGTGCGGCATCGGCGGCTTCATCTCTCATTGGGAATGCGTCCGCCCCGGCAAGCAGCTTTGGTGCGGCATCGGCGGCTTCATCTCTCATTGGGAATGCGTCCGCCCCTGCAAGCGGCTTCGGTGCGGCATCGGCGCCTGCATCTCTCTTTGGGAATGTGTCCGCCCCGGCAAGCGGCTTCGGTGCGGCATCGGCGGCTGCATCTCTCTTTGGGAATGCGTCCGCCCCTGCAAGCGGCTTCGGTGCGGCATCGGCGGCTTCATCTCTCATTGGGAATGCGTCCGCCCCGGCAAGCAGCTTTGGTGCGGCATCGGCGGCTTCATCTCTCATTGGGAATGCGTCCGCCCCTGCAAGCGGCTTCGGTGCGGCATCGGCGCCTGCATCTCTCTTTGGGAATGTGTCCGCCCCGGCAAGCAGCTTCGGTGCGGCATCGGCGGCTGCAATTCTCTTTGGGAATGCGTCCGCCCCTGCAAGCGGCTTCGGTGCGGCATCGGCGCCTGCATCTCTCTTTGGCAATGCGTCCGCCCCGGCAAGCAGCTTTGGTGCGGCATCGGCGGCTGCATCCCTCATTGGGAATGCGTCCGCCCCTGCAAGCAGCTTCGGTGGGGCATCGGCGGCTGCATCTCTCTTCGGCAATGCGTCCGCCCCTGCAAGCGGTTTCGGTGCGGCATCGGCGCCTGCATCTCTCTTTGGGAATGCGTCCGCCCCTGCAAGCAGCTTTGGTGCGGCATCGGCGGCTTCATCTCTCATTGGGAATGCGTCCGCCCCTGCAAGCGGCTTCGGTGCGGCATCGGCGCCTGCATCTCTCTTTGGGAATGCGTCCGTCCCGGCAAGCAGCTTTGGTGCGGCATCGGCGGCTTCATCTCTCTTTGGGAATGCGTCCGCCCCGGCAAGCAGCTTCGGTGCGGCATCGGCGGCTTCATCTCTCTTTGGGAATGCGTCCGCCCCTGCAAGCGGCTTCGGTGCGGCATCGGCGCCTGCATCTCTCTTTGGGAATGCGTCCTCTACATTCGGCGCTGGCAGCACATGGGTCCCGGCATTCAGCTTCGAAGGCGCACAGGTGCGGGCGCCCAGTCCCGGCGGCGCACACGCCGTCCCGCCCATCTTTGGATTTGGCAGTGCACCCCAACCGTTCGGCTTTGGCAGCGCACCAGCCCAACCGTTCGGCTTTGGCGGCGCACCAGCCCAACCGTTCGGCTTTGGCGGGGCACCAGCCCAACCGTTCGGCTTTGGCAGTGCACCAGCCCAACCGTTCGGCTTTGGCAGCGCACCAGCCCAACCGTTCGGCTTTGGCGGCGCACCAGCCCAACCGTTCGGCTTTGGCGGCGCACCAGCCCAACCGTTCGGCTTTGGCGGCGCACCAGCCCAACCGTTCGGCTTTGGCGGCGCACCAGCCCAACCGTTCGGCTTTGGCGGCGCACCAGCCCAACCGTTCGGCTTTGGCGGCGCACCAGCCCAACCGTTCGGCTTTGGCGGGGCACCAGCCCAACCGTTCGGCTTTGACGGGGCACCAGCCCAACCGTTCGGCTTTGGCGGGGCACCAGCCCAACCGTTCGGCTTTGGCGGGGCACCAGCCCAACCGTTCGGCTTTGGCGGGGCACCAGCCCAATCGTTCGGCTTTGGCGGCGCACGAGCCCAACCGTTCGGCTTTGGCGGGGCACCAGCCCAAACGTTCGGCTTTGGCGGGGCACCAGCCCAAACGTTTGGCCTCGGTGGGGCGACGGCCTATCCAATCAGCCCATACGCCCCGCCATTTAGCTTCGGTTGCTTCCTCGCACCTCCAGTCGGCTTCTCCAACATGCCTGCCCTCGCATTCTGGTTCGTCGGCCCGTTTACCACATCCAACGGCCCATGGGGCGCGTCCTGGACGTTTCAGAGTTCTGCCAACACGTCCGCCTCATCGTTCAGCTTCCCAAGCCCCAGTTTTCCGGAGTTCAGCTTCGCGACCCCGACATCCGGTTTCGGCGCCGCATCACCTTTCAACCCCAGCGGCATGCCGCCGGCCCAAGCCTCCGGCTTCGGGTCCCCGCAGCACGCCTCTGGTGCGCCTGCTGGCAGCAGATGGTTGGCCTACTGGCGGACCCCAGCTCATGAGGGGGACTCCTCGGGACCGATCTACCTCCATTCAATCTCCGCTCTCCTGGGAGCTAGGCAACCGCCACAGCATTCGTCACATGAGGAGCTGCGTTGGGAGGACCACCAATGGAACCAGGATCATGGTACGGCAGCCGGCAGTGAAAGGGTGGTTTACCGGCGGACCCCCGAAACCCGGGACTCAGCAGGTGCGTGCGATGTCCTTACTTCCATATCCGCTGTCTTGGAGGATCAGCGACCGGCTGTGTTCAAATCCCACGAGGAGCTGCGATGGGAGGACTGCCAGCGCGGATCGAAACACGGCAATGCACCGCCCATTCGGAGGGGGCACCCGAGAGGGCCCTGTAGCATGCCCACACCCGCTGCTGAAGCCTCACCCGGCCCCTCAGGCGCATCCACAAGTGGTGCAGCGGCTGCCGGCCGCCGGCCTTTTTCCATGTCAATAGGTGCATTGGCCTCTGCTGCGAGAAGCTCTTTCAGGGCCAGTGCTGACAGCATATCATCATTTCTTGGCAGCTCCAAGACCGCAGCAGCAACCGCTTCACGGTCTGGCACTGACGGCAGTAGTGCCGGCAGGAGTGCCGGCGGGGGTCCAGCCGGGCCGGCAGGAAGCGCAGCTACGGTCGGGATGACTGCGGAAGGGCTGCAGCGCGCGAGGGTGCGTGAAGAAGGCGAGGCGGCAGCAGGGACAGCACCTGCAGCTTCGCCTTCCGGCAGCGCAGCAGCGGCAGCAGCACCTGCAGCGCCACCCTCAGGTATTGCAGCAGCGGCAGCAGCACCTGCAGCGCCACCCTCCGAAAGTGCAGCTGCAGGCGCTGCAGTGGTGTCCCCAGCATCAGGCGGCGGCAGCAGGGGTCCCCATGCTCACCGCAATGCGGCCGAGGACGCGGCAGAGGGGGCGGAGGCGGCGGTTGCAGCGACGGTAAGCACTGGAAGCACCGCTAGCGTCAGCATCCCTGCTAACGAGGGTGGCGGTGCCGGCCCTTCCACTGGAGGTGTGGCGGCGGCGCCGCCGCCAGGCGTCGACTCTGGCGGCGACGCGCGGACGAGTGCGAGTGGTGACGACAGGGCGAATGGCGGAGCCGGCCGCAGCGCCGCAGCCCCTGTGGGTGGTGACGGCGACCGGCTTCGCAACGCCCTGGAGCCGGACCCCTTGTTCCTGTGTCCCATTACGCTCGACGTGAGTATACCTCCCGGGGGGGCGGCGGCTGTTGTACTTGGGTGTTGGGGCAGTTGGGTGCCGAACTGTCGGCATCTGGTGGCTGGGGAAGGGCAAAGAGGTGCTAGGGCCGCATGCCAGGATTCCCGGGGATTCCCGGGGCGCTATAGGGCTCCGTGTGCGCCTGCTTCCAACCGCCAGCAGAGTTGTCGTTTGGTGTTCCCACACTGCTTAGGCTTCCCAGCAGTACACTTATTCCAGCCGTGTGTCTTGTTTCCGAATCGTCTTTATTTCTCCCAACTCGCGGTTTCCCAATTGGGTTCACAAATCTCTGACCTGTACTTACAGGTCATGGAAGACCCTGTGGTCGCCACCGACGGCTACACCTACGAGCGCTCCGCCATCACCAAGTGGCTGATGACACGCAAGAGGACAAGCCCAATAACAAACCTACCGATGCCGGCCGATACCTCTCTCATTCCTAACCGTGCGGTGCGGTTAGCCATTTGCGAGTGGAAGCATAAAACCGGACAGCTGTAGCGAGTAGCAATGCAGTATGTAGATTATGGCAGCTGGAATTGCAGCAGACTTGGCCGCAGGATTGCATGTTGCCGGTTGATGTTCGTAAGCCTATACATGAGGCTTCCCCTACCTGCTGTTGGGGACACATGGCAGGGCCCAAGGGCTGCTGTAGCAGCGTTACCGTACGTAACGCGAATGTAGCAGCTGGGGATGTGCAGGTATGGGGGAGCAGGATTGGATAAGGAGGAATGACGGGAGTGGTACCAGCGGTTGGTACCAGGCGGACACGTGCTTTCCCCATGTTCCCAGCTGTAGGGGACGCGGGGCAGCTGGCAGGAGCCCAGGGGACTTAGGCAGAGGTGTTGAATGTAGGCAGGGCTCTTGGACGTGGCGTGCGTACGACGGTAGACATGCATGTACGGTGTCTCATCTGTTGTGCGCAGAGTGGCTTGTACTGCGGAACAGCCTGGATGCTTGGCTTTTGTAGTCGTATAGGGCCCATTAGCCCATTGCACAAACTGCATCCATGTAGAGTTGAGAGGCCATCCATATAAAGTGGATTGAGGTCTGTAATGATTAGCAGTTTAATGTATGTTCATATGCTTTAAAGCGCCTTTGTGGGACCGATGCGGAGTCACGGGGGAGAGTGATGAAAGTCGGGCTGAGTTGTGAAAGGGCTGCGTCCGGCAATGTAAGCATGTAAGATGTAACACGCAACGAGCAGCAGACATGCGGAGAATGAAAGTCCTCTGGGATGCACCTGGCCAACACCGCCTAAGGATGCCAATGCTGCAATCAGGGCTACCGGTAAAGGGGAATGCAGTGCAACATGCCACCGCTGCATGCTTGCCGTTCTGTTTGTTTACACGAGTGCTGTATGGATGGTGGAGAGCAAACCACTCAGCAAGATTTCATGCAGGTGCCCTACTGTAGGGATAGCATTGGAGCAACCTATCCAGCTTAACCAAAAGTTGTTTTTGAGCTAGGGTCATTTCCTATGGAATTGCTCATGCAAGCTCGCGCAATTCACAAAGCTGTTGGAGGGGGTTGGACGGGCTTTTTAAAGCGCTGCCAGCCAAACCTTGCGCGGCCATTCCTAATAGGCTCTAGAAGAATAGCTACAAGACCATATGCCCGGACTTGAAAGTGTCTTCTAAGTGGCCGGGTGACGGTCAACGCAGAAGGTGCATGCCAAATTAAGGATGGCCGTTGACTCCCTCCAGCATGACGCACAGCGCGGGCCCCGCCAATCATTATCCTTGCATTTTGTTCTGTTTGCATTAAGTGCCTCGGTACAAGCCTTCGAACTTCGGTGCCCTCGCTTCCGGCGCATACATGGTACCGGTACCGCCGCCGATAGTTGACTTTTTTGGACTCACAGTCCGCTACAATGACATATCCGACACAATTTCCTAAGCGACTTAGTCTTTCTTCGAATATTGCATGGATATATGCGATACTAAACAATATACACTGCAAAAGAATATGTTCCGGGATGCGGAAAACCCCTTGCGTCCCTATCCAGCAGGCAGTCTGCAGACGGTAAAGTTTATAAAGGAGTAGAAATCCGACGTGCGGAGTCTAGTTGGAAAAGGCTGCAACCTTTAAGGTAAAGCCGTTACAGGACACCTATAATAAGAAAGTTAATCGCTCCTGGCGCTGCTCCTGCTGCGAATTTTCCGTCGAATCGTGGCGACCTAATAGTGATCATTTAAACAGAGCTACATGAGGTTTCGGCCCCTCCAGTCAGCTGCACGGCCGCACAACTATATCCCTGTAGATCCTATGAATGCATGGGGACCCCGCCTTGGGGTCTTGTGTTGCCGTTGTAACATACCTAAGTTCGGCCATTATATATAAGCCTTTATTATCCAACACTTTCTTGGGCGCTAGCTGTTTCGGTTCGGAATGTCCCATAGCGGAGGTGCGCACGCAGGCCCTAATAATGGAGTCATAATTCATTTGAATAACATTCATTGTATTCGTTACAATTTGGTAATACGTATGGCCAGCTGTTGGTGTCGCACAACTAGGCAATACGCAAGGCGGCCACTCACTTCCGCCCTCCCGTCCAGGCGCTGGCGCAGGTGCAAACAACGCAACCTTAAGTAGTGCACAGGTACGTTTTCTCTGGGTGCTCAGTAGTTGTGTAAGCGAGAGGCCCTAAATACTCGACATCCCATGCTTAGATGCTTTCCAGCTGGGGTCTCCAAGGTGCCGCTACCCATCTATCTAAAAACGTAAACACTATAAAAAGGATACTAAATTCCCAAACCCTTGACGTAAACCGAACTTAGACGTTGTCATTGACAAAAGCGGTTCTTCCTTCGTTGTCTTGCACATGGGAGTCCCAGCCCAATGCATAACATGTGATTGAAAGCCCGCAGGTATTCTCTGGGGCTGCGACTGTCTCCACCTCGACCGCCAGCGGAAGGGTTGCTTACCAGCCGACTCGTGATGATACAGTCTCGCCGCAGTCGAGCGACCTCCTTATTTCAATCTCGGCTCATTTAGCCAATCAGCCGTTTCCACAGCATGAGTCCCACGAGGAACTTCAATGGGAGGATTATCTACGCGGGATGAAACACGGTAGCGGAAGGGTAGCTTACCAGCCGACTCGTGATAAGTGGCCGCATCCGAGCGAATTCTTTGCTTCAATCTCAGCCCTTTTCGAAGATCAGCAGCCGCCGAAGTATAAGTCCCACGAGGAACTACGGTCGGAGGATTATCTATGCGGATTGAAACGCGGCAGCGGCAGCGAAGGAGTAGCTTACCGCGGGCCGATACGCGACCAGAAGTTCCCGTTTCCAAGCGACGTCATGACTTCGATCTCCGCATTCTGGGAGAACCAGAAACCTGGACAGCCTGAATCCCACGAGGAGCTGCGATGGGAGGACTGCCAGCGCGGATTGAGTGCAACCATTCGGAGGGAAGACCCGAGAGGTCCCTTTAGCATGCCCACACCCGCCACTGTAGCCTCACCCAGCCCTTCAGACGACGCATCCAACAGTGCGGCAGCGGCTGCTGGTCTCGCGTCCGTGGATCAGCCTGCTCCCAGCTTTGCTGCCTGGTTCGTTCGGGAGGCTGCTGCCGGCAGCCATTCACCATTGTCTGGCAGCTCTGTTTGGGGGCCTGGCGGCACTTATGGCAGTAATGTCGGCGGGGGGTCAGCCGGGCGGGCAGGAAGCGCAGTTACAGTTAGCTCGAATGAGGAAGGGCCGCAGCATGCGACGGTGCGTGGTGGAGGTGAGGCGGCAGGAGTTGTTGCAGCAGCGGCGGAAGCAGCAGCAGGACTGTGGCAATGGGGGGCCACCATGTCGTCGGTCGAGGCGACGATACACACGGGAAGTGCGGCCAACACCGGCACTGCTGCAGGTGAAGGCAGCGTTTCCCGCCCTTTCATTGAAGGTATGGCGCCGCCGCCACGCATTGCTTTCGGCGCGCGGGCGAGTGCGAGTGGTGACGACAGGGCGAATGGCGGAGCCGACCGCGGCACCGCAGCCACTGTGGGTGGAGGCGGCGACCGGAGTTTCGACGACCTGGAGCCGGACTCCTTGTTCCTGTGTCCCATTACGCTCGAGGTGAGGTATTCGCCCCGGGTGCCGGCTGCCTGGGCGCTTTTGCCTTCGGATAATGAGTTGTAGGGGGTTAGGACGCGCATGCCGGGGGTCCCGGGCACTCGAGGGGTTCGTTTGCGGCCCTTTCCCACCCCATTCATGACGCTCCTGCTGCCAAACGCCATTTGTTTGGTGGCCTCATGTTGCTGGGCTTCCCCACAGAACTGTTTTTCCTTTCTAACACGCAGGTCATGGAGGACCCCGTCATTGCGACCGACGGCTACACCTACGAGCGCTCCGCCATTACCGAGTGGCTGGCCCAACACAACACCAGCCCCCAAACCAACGAGGCAATGCCGGATAATGCCATGCTAATTCCCAACCACTGCCTGCGATCGGCCATTATGGAGTGGAAACAGAAGGCCGGGCGGCTGTAGCAGCGTGGTAGTATGTAGTTGTAGCAGCTAGGGATGTGCAGGTATGGGGAAGCAGGATTGGATCATAACATGAAGGTGCCGATGTATCGATCTATGGTACCAGGCGTACACGTGCTTTCCTATGTCCCCTGTTGTTGTGGACGCGGGGCAGATGGCAGGACCCCCAAGGGGCTTCGGATTTAGGCGACACATGCAGGCAGGACGCATTGACGGGGCGTGCGTACGGCGTATGCATGCATGTACGGTGCCTTGCCTCATGAGCGCTGGTTAGTTGGAGCTTGTAATTGTACCAGTATGGTCAATTCACGAATTCTATCTTCCCATATAGCTATTTTTTATACTTGTCTCAGTAGATCGACAATTAGGGTACCGGTACCGTAGCTTATCCTAAAGGCAACATCCAAGCAGAGGACGTCCGCAGAGAGCTTTATTACTATGGCTGTCGTCATGTATGTTATGCACTTATACAACACTGTTAGCTTCAGCGTTTAGCGCCTTTGGGGCCAAACGCTAGCGTTCAAGTTTGCGCCAGCTAGATTGAGGCGCACACAGCAGCGCAATGAATTTGCATTCTACTTATCTCGTTATCTGTATCATTCAAAATTAAACTTATTGCTTGCGGAGCAAGCTGCTGGCGTCCAGCGACCTCGTCTGGTTGGCTTCCAGCAACAGCTTTCGTGCCCGCCAGCTGCTGGCGCTGGAGTAGGAATCGAACTAACACCTGCCGCAAAGGTAAGTCGGATCGAATTTCAACAACGTATCTCGGCGGTGGGCCCTGCGTGTAGTCATTCTCATGGCGGTTGGCTCACACCGCGCCGCTCCAGCGCGGATTGGACACGCACCCCTTCTCAGTGCCTAGCCACCCCACTTGACCTCACCCGTCATTTCGCCAAGCGTGCTTCGCTATCAATCACATCCGCAGGCCACCTGGCTTACCGCTTACTGCTACTTCGTGCCTTTCCACACCCATACGACCTCACATCGCACCCTTGAGCCCTCCTGCTTTCCCTTCGGACCCGCCCACGCCCTTCCAAACGACAGATGACCATATGGGCCAGCAGCCATCCGGGAGCTGCTGCGAGCTGCTGCCCGGGCCCGCCCTGGCCCCAGCAGCCGCTCGCCGGCGGTGCTAGCATATCCCCACCTGGCTCCGCTGCTGTGCAGCAGTCCCCAGCGGCTGGCTTCGGCTCCCCCGCCCCCGCGTCAAACTCAGCCGTCCCCAGCAGCCCTCCTTTTGGAGCCGCGGCAGCCGTACAGCCGCCCCCTCCGGTGCCCATTTTCGGTGGTACCACAACGTGTGCCCCTTCGTTCTGCGTTGGCGCGACAACGGGTTTCGGCGCTGCCACAGCCGCTTCATTCAGCTTTGGTGGCGCTGCTCCCCCGTCGTCCAGCATTGGCACGAGGAGCGATTTGTCAGCCGGATTTGGTGCGGCGCCTGCTCCGGTGCCCGGCTTTGGTGCCGCCATGCCTGCTGTCCTCTCATTCGGCTTTGGCGCCGCACCTGCTGTCCCGTCACAGCAGGGCTCTGGTGCCGCATCCGCCCCTGCATTCGGCTTTGGTCTTCCGCCTGCTCCAGCTAGCAGCAGCTTAGGAGCCCAACCCGCACCACCTTCATTCGGCTTTGGTGTCGCAGCCGCCCCTTCGTCAACAAGTGCTTCCGCCTCACCTGCCTCACCTCCCGTCTTCGGTGTTGCACCTGCTGTCAAGCCGCCCGGGTTTGGGACCCCCTCCGCCCCTTCATTCAACTTTGGCGTCTCATCACCCCAGTCACCCGGATTTGGTGGGTCACCCGCCCCTTCAGTTGGCTTTACCGCCTCACCTGCTCCTTCATTCGGCTTTGGTGTTTCGCCCGCCTCATCTCCCAGCTGTGGCGCCGCGTCCGAACCCCCGTCGCACAGCCCTAGCAACCTCACGCCGGGCCCCGCTTCCGGCCGCAAATCCGCACTCCGAACCTCGGCCTTTACCATGCCCGCGTCATCAACACTGGGCTCTGAAGCCGCCGCCTCCCAACCGCCGCCAAACGCCAACGGTCGTCGTCATGTTCGCTTTAATGCGCCGTACAGCACTGCCCGCGTGCTGTACGAGCTAACCGAGGATCCGCATTCAACGCGCCGTGGCCATGGTTTACGCTTTTTGACCTCCATCTCTGCATGCAGCGACTTCCAGCCTCCAGGGGTGCCAAAGTCCCATGAAGAGATGCGTTGGGAGGATTACCAATGCGGCTTGCAACAGGGCTGGTCGACACCGGACGGGGAGGTGGCTTTGCAGCGTTTCCGTGAAAATGCAATCCGCCGAAAGGCTTTTACCCTGCACGGAACACGCTCTTTGTCGTACAATGTAGAGCTTCACATGTGTGAACCGATGTGCTTGTTCAAGTCCGTATCCGCGCTGCCCGTCTATCAGCAAAACGGCATGGATAAATCTCACGAGGAGCTGCGATGGGAGGATCTCATGAACGGGGGACATGCGGGCTTCCGCGGCGGCTGCAGTGGAGGCAGCAGCGCCGCTGCTGCTGCTGTCCGGGGTAACGCCACTGAGGCCGGGGAAGCAACGCATCTGTCGAGGAAACGCAGCTGTTCACGAGCAAGTCGCGAGCATGAAGTAGCCGGGGGGCATGTGAGCGGCGGCGGGGCTGCCAGCGGTGTTGTTGGTGCTGGTGGCGTGGGTGACGGTGTAACGGCGGCGGACTCGGCGCCGCCTGCCCTCTTCGAAGCTGGTGGCAGCGCCGGCAGCGGGCCACATGCGAGTGGGAGTGATGGGGGATGCGGCGGCAGTAATGGGCCGACTGGCGATGGCGATGGAAGCGACAAGACAGCAGCGGCGACGGCAGCAGCAGCGGCAGCGACAGCACCCGGCGAGGGAGCCGGCCTCGGGTGCTTGAACGTCATGGAGCCGGACCCCATGTTCCTGTGTCCCATCACTTATGACGTGAGCACGTGCGTGGACTGCGAGGCTGCATGTTTTGTGGGGTATGGGCTCATCTGGGGTAGGAGGAACAGCTTACGTCATTACATGGGTTGGCCGCGCTGCAAGGGGAGCGCGGTGCAGGAGGGAGTGCGAATTGGGTTTTTGCGAGCACTTGGCTTGCCGTACTTTCCACGACCACCGTCCCTCCCCTTCCCTTCCCTGCACACCTGCCGTAAGCCCATAACAACCCTTTCACCACAACCTCGCTACCCTCTCGTAGTAACCTTGCTGAATTCCTTAGGTCTGATTATTAAACCTCTGACGCCGTTCTTACAGGTCATGGTCGACCCTGTGGTCGCCACCGACGGCTACACCTACGAGCGCTCCGCCATCACCAAGTGGCTCAAGTACAGGCGACCCAGCCCCGTGACCAGCCAGCGCATGCCGCAAAGCGCGCTCCTCATCCCTAACATCGTAGTGCGTTCAGCCATTCAGGAGTGGAAGCGGAAGACGGGTCAGTGGTGGTGAGGTGGTAACGGGCTGGCGATGTGGCGTTAGGTGGCAATAGCGACAATGTCGTTGAGGCAGGCGCCGCCGCCGGAGCAGCATCGGCAGCCGCGGCGGCGGTGAAAAACGTTGAGGGCAGGATGGCGAATTTGTGAGGGCGTTTGGTGTTGACGGTATGCGGGAAATGTTCTGTCAAACGGATGTGGCCTTCTCCCCTCAATACATTTATGAGACTCGGCAGGGGTTGGGTCCATGGGTAACGGTTGATAGTTGTGTTGGAAGTACGGTACTTTTCGAACAGTTCCGTACACGTACGTCGCCTTTGCGATGGCTTAGCTTACATGGTGTGTGGCGGTATCGTAATTATTCATATTTGGCGGCTGTGTTACGCTCAAGGACCCGTGGGTCCCGGCTACCCATGCTACCAATAATGCCCAGGATGCGGTCTGTTTTGGACTCCTTAACTCAAAATTTGAAGTGAAGGAGGTTAGCAAGACATTTGTGTCGTATTGGCACTACCATCACTGCTTATGTTGTTGACGGTTGGACGGCAACTGAACCCAGGTATGCAGCCCCCTTTGCTGCTTCGCTGCCTCTTATATAGCATACTTTATTACGCGTATTAGTCACCCAGATCCCCACTTGTTAGTGCCCATCTGGGTTATTCACCGTTTTCAGAAATCCAGTGTTTGTCGTGCTTGTAGTTCGCCACGCGTACCATCAGAGTGTTTGGCCGGGTAGAACGCGGCGAACATAGGTTACTGCCCCTCCTAGCGGTTAGCGGGATACTGGCATGCTGTATCCTAGCTAGTGTATGTACCTGTCCCGAGTAGCTGGCATGGGTGATCCAGACGCCACTTGTATATAGAGGTATTGACTGTTGAGGTTTATGTCTTGCTGCTGGCCGGCAGTCGGGCCGGTGCAACAACTATGACCCAAGTGCCGTACGGAAAGATCTGACGTGGATGCATCTGTCCTTCGTACAACTGTATAAATGCCCGTTCCGGGCATACACAATTGCTTGGAGCTGTTCACGTAATCATATGTTGATGAGGTGTTGAGAGTGTGCCCTCTTCATACATCCATGTGTGAGGTTGTAACGGTGTTACGCTGCTTTACATATGTGAGGAACGCAGGATCTGTATGGCGTTGGGAGGAGGGAGGTACCGCACATGCATGTCTCTTGTGTCCTCTGGGACCTCACGCCCAGCACCTGACGCCCCATGCATGGCTCAGCACAGACTCGCAGTAATAGCCTGTGGTGGTCACCGGAAGTAGGCATGTAGGCGCGCCCGGGCCGCGATAGCAAAGGGTTTGTCCTTTCAGCTTCCCTGCTGCTCAGGGTTTGGATAGGCTTTGCACTTACCACAGCGGTGATGTAGTCTTTGTTGCAGCTTGCAGACACACAAAGTAATGAGAATCCGTTTCTATCAGAAACCCGGCAGATAGTTAGGGTCAACTACGATTACATTGTACGGTATAAGGCCCCTCCCGCCCTACTGCACAACTTCACGAACCAATCTGGTCAAGGGATGTAACAACAAACGACTGGAAGCGGGAGGATAGAACTGTTGTTGGAACCTAGTTAGGGTTGGTGCGCAAGTCGCACATACATGCAACACCTTGTCTCTTTCTTTCCGGTAGCGTTCGCTGGACGTTCCTTGCCTTAAAAGGAATTCAAAAACCACTCTTGCTGCAATCAAGTCTAGCTGTTGCTCCCTCGTTTAAGCTGCCTGCACAACTCATGGACGCTTTCCTAAAGGACTGCACAACATAGGCTTCCCGCTGAACCTTATCATAATTGTTGTAGTTAACAGAGCTGCATTTGAGCTGCGCTTTTTCCTGGTGACCCCAACCGTCTAGCTCAGCGCTCTGGAGGTGCGCGCTCAGCGCCACGCATGGATGCTGAAACTTTCTACGACGGGCTTGTGGAGCATGCGTAACTGCTATTTGAGCGGGCCTTGCAGGCTACCAATACGACGTGCACACTGAGCCTGCAGCTAGTCACCAAGCCCTTCAGCTACTTTCCCCCTCTCAAATCATCACAACAACCCTGACCCAAATGCTTTTCATTTCCGATTACGCTTCAACTCTCCGCTTATCCTTCCAATCTGCGGGTTCCCCTCCCATAGGCAGCTCCGGTGGCTGCCACTCCACAGAAGTCATGCACGGCTTCGGAAATGTCAGCACGCCAGCAACCTTCGGCACCTCAGCGTCCCTTGTAGGGGGGCCGAGCGCTTCAAATGCCTCCGCAGCAGCACGACCAACAACGGGCATCGGAAGCGCAGCAGGGGCAGATCCTTTTTCGGTCGGCCTAGCTTCTGCCCCAACTTTCACGATGGGCTACGTAACCTCGGAGGTCGTGGCTTTCGGTGAGGGGTGAGGTGATATGGGTTGGGCATGGTTGGGGTTAGTTCGCCTTTGCATGTGCGCACGGCTAGGCGGATGTGGGACGGCATGCATGACCTTCCTCCTAATCATGACAATCTTTTCTGATTGTCGTACATCTTCATTGTTGTACAGAAGGTTTAACCTAGCGGGTACGGTACGGAGCCAGGCACAGCTAGATGCATTCTTGTTTGAAACCCTTCTCCGCGAATTAATCCCCAGGAACGTCCAAGGCGCGAGGTCGAAGTCAACGAGGCAACCCCAGAGTCAACCCCACCGCCCATGCTCCTCCCCACGTACCCACCACAAGTCCTTTCGGCTCGGCAAGCACACCCTCCCTAGCCACACCCTCTCCCATGGAGCCTGACTCGAACCTCGCCGCAGCCAGCAGCAGCACCAGCAGCTTCGCATTTCACTTTGGCGCCGCAGCCCCTTCCCCAGCTCCCAGCTTTGGAAGCGGAACACCGGCCACAACGCTGCCCTCTTTTGCCGTACCGTTTACCTTTGGCTCTGCAGCACCTCTGCAGCACGTCACCTCGGTGCCAGCCCCTGCCCAGGGCACCTCCACAGCAGCAGCGACCCTGAGCACCGCTGGCCTAGCAGGAATGAACCCATTTGCGGCCACAGCAGCAGCCATCGCTAGCGACGATGTGGAGATGGAGTCTGTCGCTGCTTACGCCGCTGCTGCTGGCGCTGCTGCTACCGCCGCTGAACGTACGATGGCAGGTACGACATTCGTCAGCGGGGCTGTTGAGAGTACGACATCGTCGTACTCTTTTGCCGCCGCCCCCGCACCCCCATGTCCGAGTAGCTCAAGGCCGTGGGGGCTGATGTCTTCGACACCGCCGGTGTCAAGTGCATCAGCGTCTGCTGCTTTTCAATCTGCTCCTGTGCAAGGGTTGGGACCTGGAGCAGCAGCAACAGCGGCAGCAGCTACCCCCATGGATACTCCTCAGCCGTCATTTTGGGGGGCTGGCTGTCCAACCGGTGCCCATGCGACGCGCGGCAACTCTTCAGCAGCCGCGGCAGCTCCGGCTGCGTCCAACGGTCCCTTCGGCCCGTTTGCCGCTGCAGCAGGTAAGAGCTGGAGGAGACGGGACGTGTTTGTAATGGTTTGGAACGGTAGGTCAACTCGCATGCGGGGAGGAAGAGGCAGCGAAGGGCCATGGTATCTTTTTATTAGGCATGTAGGCAAAGGGCATGACGGGATATACCTCCAGCTTGGTATGGTCACCCTTTAGGGTGCTTTGGCAGGACGTTGCAGTTGGCTCATGGATTGATTATGTCGTATTGCCGTACTTGCAGGATCGATGTCATCAGGTATGACGTTTTCATTGGGGAGCGGTTGGCCGAACAGCACGGATGGCTCCTCCTCGGCGCTTCTTGAACGTGCTCGCATGCGCGCGGATCAGCGGCTTCGCGCTCGCCAGGTGCATGCGCGCCAGGTCATGGTGCACGGCGAAAGCCAGCAGGCCGGGCAGCCCCGTAGGCTGCCAGTGGCCCCAAGTGCCGTACGGTCCGGCGCCGCTAGCGGTAACGTCACGCGCGCAACGGCAGTGAACACGACAACAGCGGGGGCGGCAGCAAGCCGTAACGCCACCCCTGCCGCCGCCGCCGCCACAGCAGCAGCGGGGGCGGCAGCAAGCCGGAGCGCCACTCCTGCCGCCGTCGCCACAGCAGCAGCGGGGGCGGCAACAAACCGGAACGCCATTCCTGCCGCCGCCGCCACAGCAGCAGCAGCGGGGTCGGCAACAAGCCGGAACGCCACTCCTGCCACAGCAGCAGCGGGGGCGGCAACAAGCCGGAGCGCCACTCCTGCCGCCGCCGCCACAGCAGCAGCGTGGGCGGCAACAAGCCGGAACGCCACTCCTGCCGCCGCCACATCAGCAGCAGCAGCGGGGTCGGCAACAAGCCGGAACGCCACTCCTGCCACAGCAGCAGCGGGGGCGGCAACAAGCCGGAGCGCCACTCCTGCCGCCGCCGCCACAGCAGCAGCGTGGGCGGCAACAAGCCGGAACGCCACTCCTGCCACCGCCGCCTCAGCAGCAGCAGCGGGGGCGGCGGCGACAGCAACAAGGACTGCAGCGGTATCGGCTACGCCAGCTGGTGCGTCCGCAGCAAGGGACGTAGCGGAGGCTAGGCTGGCAATGCTCCGTGTCAGGGCGCGCCGTGATGCGGAGACAGGGGAGAGCGTGGGCAGGGATGGCAGCGGTGTGGCGTCGTCTAACGCACGTGATGAGGCGGCTGGGGCCAGCAGCTCTGCAGGCGGACTTGCGGTGGTTTCAGACAGGCCCGGAGGGGCTCATGCGTCCGTTAGCGAGGCTGATCCTGGCGGCGTACGGCGCTCAAGGTACACAGTCGCAGCCCACAACACGGGACCCGGCCGCAGTGATTCCGGCAGCGGTGCAACAGCGGCGGTTAGGAGCACAGAGCCGCCGGCAGCGCTGGCGGCGGCGGCGGGCGGCAGAGGTCTTCCTTCAACGACAGCCGCCCCAGCGGCGCCGGCGAGAAGTGGAGGAGCCCCGGCGGCTCCCAGCAGCGGGCCTATCTCGAACAGCCGTGGCAGCGGGGACAGTAGTGTGGCCGCTGCTGGTTCAGCGCTGCCGACGCCGCCTCGGGATGACAATGGCCGTGGGCAGCCCAGACGAGCAAGCGGGAGCAGCCAAGGACCCGGTGGCGGTGGGACAGCGGCTGCTAGCGACGGCGCCGGCGATGCCGTACAGCCGGATCCCATGTTCGTGTGTCCCATTACACAAGACGTAAGTACGGCCTTGGTGCGGTTCCGCTCGGGTGTGGGGTTGCATTGGGCAAAACTTACATTGCTACCCTGGTCAGCGCTCTAAGCATTTTGCGCCGTCTTAAGCAGTGTCATTAAGCCTGGTCACCTAATGTACCGGTATCCTGTTTTCCGCATCGTCCGTGCAGGTAATGACCGACCCCGTCGTTGCAACCGACGGCTATTCGTACGAACGTGAGGCGATCGCAACCTGGCTGGCTCGCAAGAGGACCAGCCCCATGACGAATCAACGCATGCCTGAGCCGTCTTCAACGCTCATTCCAAACCGGGTGCTGAAGTCAGCCATCATGGAGTGGAAGGAGAGGACGGGCCAGTAAGTAGCAACGCACGGCAGGCGCCAGACATACGATGGTCTTTCGAGGATTGCTGAAAGCTGGTAGGAAGGAAAGCTTGTAAATTGTCCTATGACTCAATGAGGAATTGAGCGGATTTTGCACGATGGGCGCACTGCTTTAGATGATTCCATCACAAGGTGATTGGAATGGCGGCTGCAGGGTCGCAGGTGGATGTAACTCTAGGGATTTGGAATCTTACAGTGCAGGTGTGATCTTCTAGCGAGAGTGTAACCTCAAACTGCTCCATGTGGTGTATAGGTTTACAGAGTGGTGAAGCGTACATAGTCCCGCATTAAGCGGGTGCTGGATGACATGGATGTCATGTGAGCATCTAGTGCTGCTTTATATAAATGACGGGATTATATTGAAAATTTGCTGCTGCCTACATGGCTGTAGCATGCTGCTGCCAATACCTTGCAAGGTCTTGTTCCCCTGCTAGCCTTATCTCTGTACCACATCACGCTACCTATCCTACTAATAAATAAATTTCTGTACCACATCACGCTACCTATCTTACTCATAAATGCTCCTCGTAAAAAATGGCTCCAGCCCGGTCTGTGCCGGCCACGATGCATATGCACGAGTGCGAAGCCGCTTTTGCTATAATCCTGTCTTACCCATGACACGCACAGGTGTATCCCACGAGGACATGGCAGCACGTACGACCGCGCAGTAAAACCAGCTGTACACAGTGCCTGCATCCCTACCCGTTACGTCCGCTAAGCGTTCTAAACCTGCAAAACACCGGCGACCCGTAGCAAAGTATATGGTGCGCCTTCAAGCAAATTACCGAATGCTGCGCAGACCGCTGAAGCCCGCAGCGGACCCTGCCGCCATGGCACCGCCTACGGCACCACCCAGCAGCTTGCTGTCGGCGTCCTTGGGGGCGGGCGGCTCGCCGAACGGCCGCCAGAAGCGCAGCGTCTCGTCCGCACCCGCCGTGACCACGCTGCAGCCGTCGGGCGAGGTAGACATGTGGAGGACGCGACCTTGGTGCCCAATCATCTCGGCCACCTACATGGAACCGGGCAGTGAAGTGTAAGCACGGCGTGGTAAGGAAGTACTGTTGGTCATGCTCCATGCTTGCAATGTACGAAGTAGCCTCAGCCCCATGTGCGCCGCTTACCTTGTTAAGGCTCGGGTACTTCCACAGGCACAGCTGGTTCTTGGAGTAGCCGTGGCTGGACAGCAGCTCGCGCTCGTGAGGGTTCCACTGGAGCGCGCAGACCTGGTAACGGCGGGACAGGAAAGAGAGGTAAGAATCACAGTAACTAGGCGAGGCAGGGCGAGCCGTTCGGCCTTATTGCGCGTTGGCAGAGGCATGCACGGCTGGTAGCGCAGAGAAGAACAAAAGGCGCGAGCAGTATTGGGATGCGAGCCTGCTTGCCTGTGAGCCTGTGTCGATCTGGCTGAGCATGGCGCCGGTGTGCGTGTTCCAGAAGCGGATGTGGCGGTCCGCCGTGCCGCCGCCGGTGGCCAGGAGGTTGGACTGGTAGGGGCACCACGCCAGCGCCTTGACGGCGGCGGTGTGGGCCTGGACCTGTAGACACCGGGCGGGATCGTGCAATGGGTTCAGTACAGTGTAGGCGGCCTGTTTGCAGAGCTTGCGGCAAACAAGCGAGGAAGTTGCATGCCCTGCCTTCATATCACGGTGTCCTTATAACGAAGCAGCACCGTGTCACGCTTTACACGATATACCTTGTTGACGAGGCGGAAGGATGAGTCATGGATGGCGAGCATGTTGTCGTTGCCGCCGCTCCCGAGCTGCTGACCGTCCAGCGACCAGGCCAACCCGCAGACCTCCTGTTAGATGCAGGGGCATCAGGGAACCACGGCTGCTAACCCGCACGCAATGCCAACTCTACGATTCAGTCCTTCTGAAGCCGATAGAGGGAGTCTGCACTCTTTAATCGATGTGTCCGTTGCTGATCCCGGACCCGAATGCAAGAAGCACAACCCCACCTGCTCGTGCACCGCCAGCGTGGCGATGCAAGCCTCGTCGCGGCGCTTCCGTACATCCCAGTTGGCGATGGTGGAGTCACGCGAGCCGGAGCTGAGTATGGAGCCGTTCCACGACACGCACGAGACGCGGTTGGTGTGGCCACAGAGCTCGCGCACTTGCTTACGCCTGCATGACGTCGGTTTGGGTCTTAGCTGACGCGTGCGTGTGCGGTGAAGATGAACGGTGGCCGGGGGGCTTCAACATACCTGCTCGCGTCCCAGATCTGCACCTTGGCGTCCGACGTCCCTACTGCGAGGAAGTTGCCGTCGCTGCCCCATCGCAAAGACGAAATGTAGTCGCCTGTTTCGGCCCGGAGCTAGATGTGAGGACGGGTATGAGGTATTGTTTACGAATGAAGAGCCGAAGCGCTCTTCGTGTACTTGCATGCAGGGACGGCATTCCACTGAATCGAAGGGCTTACCCTCGTTGGGGGTGGTGCACAGCTCCTCAACATCGCCCGAGCCCGCGTTCCATAGGTACACCGAACGCCCCAGGGCGATGGCGATCTGTACAGCATATGGGTCAGCAGGGCGTCAGGGCATGGGAGAAGGCGTAATGGATAAGAACAGCTGCAGGCGAGTCGTCCTCATACAGAAGTATGCAACGTTGCACTTGGCCGTGGGCAGTGAATTACCAACTGTCACGAATACCCATAACCCGTTGGCGCCACCAAGGTAGGCAACGCAAGGTGACCTCCAGCAAGTCATGTCCGGCAGTACCCACCAGGTTTTGGCTGCCCCAATCCAGCAGGTTGAGGTAATAGTCGTCCATAAGCTCAGGCGCGTCCAGGATTCGCTCTTGCGTCGTTGGCACATGTCGGAATTGCTTCTTCGGAACAGTTGGCGCAAGGTTCTGGTTGTACAGGGACGTTAGGCGATTTTCGTAGCCCTCCGGCGCTGCGGGGGCCTTCTGCTTAAAAGCAAGGATCCGACTCGAGTCGTTAACACTGAGGCTAGCCGCAAGCGCCTTCTGGTAGTCCTCCTTGGATGGCGAGGATTGAGAATCACGCTGCTCGGTACCCTGCTTGTTCTCCTTGCTCAGCGTGTAGTTAGCGGAATCGAAGTCCATAGCAGACCGTGTTGGAATGAACCGGTCCATCTGCGATAGCGATGCACCACAGCTTATTTAAAGCAAAATATGCGTCTGTCGCAAGAGCCCAGTTCCCTCTGTTGCAAGGTTGCGGCTAAGTAGACGTAGCGGTAACTGCTTAAATGATGTGGCCGTCCTCGGTCGGTGCCCTCGAGGGTATGAAGCATTGGCAATCGACGAAGCATTGGCGATGGCCGCACCTTCTCCTTATTCTTGCCATTTCCAGGTGTCTTGGTTCCAAAAGATAGTTTTACGCTCTTGTTGGGGCTTCCGGATGACTTGTTCCCAGGTGTCGACATTTCTGCTGGTGTGCCCACAGTCAAGTACAGGTGGTCAATAAACGCAATGTAGTAGTTGACGTTAACAACGCCTGGTACAACAAATGTCAGCAGGTCTCAAGCTTTTCGCTGGCTCATCCTGTTATCAGCTGTTGGATCGCGTTTCGCCGTACCTTTACACACAATTCTTTATTTACCGCAATCCTCGTCAGTCACACGCGGCGATGGATTAATGATTTGCAGCGCTTGTGGTTTGCTCTTATTAATTCCCGGATTCCATGAGCCTGTCCTCCGTATGGGCGGTTGGGCAAGGCACCATTCCGCTCTCCTCTAGGCCAGCGAGCTTACGTTATACCATTTACGTTATAAGTCTGGCCATCTTGCTACGTTAAACATCTGTACAGGGGCGCTAGTACACCCTAAGCCCCATGCTCATTCCATGCACCATACCCCACCTATGAATGACTATCCTGCACACGCGGGGTGGAAGCACTGGCTAAGCTGCGGCTTAATGCAGCCATCAACCTGCATTTTCACCATCTACCACTTGTGGTGAACTACTGGGAGCAACTATAGAAGCGACGACACGCCCTGGACAGCCATTTAGGTCAAGTGAGGTCATCACGTCAGGGTTGGGTTGTTCAACACTTAGTACAACCCTTCCAGCTGTTGGCGGCCCAAAGGCTTATACGTCAGCAACCGATATCAGCACATCCGTTGGACAGCATGATGCTTTTCCCGGCGGATTCCCCTGCCCCACATAGTTAGCTAGGGAGTACCTGCGGCCAAGGTTGCGGGGAATGAAGAAAGGGGGGTGTGACCTATGCGCGGCATTGGGCGTCAACGATAGGGTGGAATACCACGCTAGGGCCTCAACTTTGATCCCAACTGTGGTTGATTGCTAAAGCGCCGTAGGATACCTGTTGCTTTTACAAGGCAACCACGTAGGCACTCGACCGCCGTACACCCAATTCCCTTCCTTGCTTCCATTTTGACACAAAAGGCCTCATCCCCAAGTATGCAAACGACCTCCCCTCCTCACCTGCAACCAGAGCTAGGACACAGATCCTCCAGCCGAGTGCAAGGCGACTTGAGCATCAAACACACAAGTGCGCCGCCAGCAGTATCCGACGTAAGGCCCAATCCGCCCACCCGCAACAAAGGCGGACTGAGCTTAGTCATCACTGGTTTGGGTTGACCGTTGACTTCAGCGTACGACACGGATGTCGTACAAGCCGGCGCAATCTCCAGATCAAAACGTGCCAGGTTAAAGTCGCAGCACGTTGCCGTTGACAACACTGGGGTGGCGGCTGTGCTGTTGCTGTCCGGGGAAACAGGTGGGGAGCTAGGAGCAGCAGCAGCGTCGGCGGCAGCAGAAGCTTTAAAGGCTGCGGTGGTAAGGTTAGCGCTGCACGGCGTCCGTACGACAGAGAAACAAAGGCGTCGCAAACCCAGATACGTGACTCCGCCAGAGCTTGAGTTTAGTTTGAGAGCGTAATTGGTGTTGTTGCTAGAGCGATCGCAAGACCGACTATACGGGAACGTGCCGTACTTTGAGACCTGCATGTGGCACCGAAAAAGGTAGGGCAGGTAGGTAGGATACGGTCAAGCTTCTTGTGTGTTTTTAGGCGTTGTCAGTTGCACCAGGTACAACGGTCCACACCGTAAATGCAACAAACCGAGCAAGGTACGGGTATCGCAGCACTGTTGCGTGCACGCACGTTGTCGACTCGGCTGCTTCCCATCTCTGCTAAGCATACATAGTAATGGTGCTGTGACTATTCACCAATAAGAGGGTCCCATGAAGGCGAAACACTGACATGTCGTACCGGTAACGCGGTAAGTCTCACCCAGGGAGGTGGAGAAGTGGGTAGCGGTGGCCGCCGTTTCGGAGGTGGTGGTGGTGGCGGTGGAGGTAGTGGTGGAACCGGAGTTGACGGCGGCGGCGGTGGCGGAGGGGGAGGCGGCGGAGGCGGTGGGGGCTGCTGCAGCTGGCTGTTGTTTGCCGTACGCTCGGAGGCCGATTCGGAATAACTAGCAGTGGACGTAGAAGCCCCCGTTTTGGAGTTGGCAGCTGTGGTGCCAGTTGCGACGGGGATTGCGTCGGCAGGGCAACAGTTAGCAGACGCATTAGCGCTGCTAAACAAAGCGACTTTGCAGGAACCAGTAGCAGAAGCAGTGCTGCTGCCGGCGGTGCTGCTGCTGCTTTCAGGGCCACTGCACATGCGCGCCAGGGAGGGGCAGGCGCTGTCGTACAGGAGGGTGAAACACAGTTCCGTACGGTGCATTGCTGCTGTGGCGAGGTTGACGAGGCCTAGGTTTGAGAAGCGCAACGTGCCCGGTGACGACGGTGCCGAGGCCGTTGCTGCTGTACCTATTGCTGGTGGTGGAGATGGAGGTGCAGAAGCGCTTTGCTGGGCACTGCTGCCGCCTCCGGATGCGTTGGCCACGGGAATGCCGTTGACTGTTAGGTTAGTCACTGAGCTGACACAGGAGGGATCTGCGTGTCAGGAAAAGAAGGATACCCAGTGGGTTGAATGATATGAGCAAACAAGAAGACAGGAAGGAAGGAAGAAGCCCGTGTCTCATGTTGGTACAACAGCGCAACCGCAACAACCGACGTGCAAGTCCCAAGTCTCTGCATGGACAACAGCACCAGCAAAGACACGATTATTCAGTGCGTAATGCAACACCCTGCATCGAGAGACATGAAAGCCTCATGTTGCAGCGCCAGCTTGAACTGTCAATGTCGTGTGCCTCTCTCTCTCATGATTTCCGCTGCCGTATCCGTTCGGTAACCCAAGCAGACCCTGTAAACTCCCCACAGATTTACCTAGCGATAGCTCCACACACACACACGCCCGCAACCCTTTCCCTTCTTCAGTTTACTTCCTCGCTATCCCCCTGCCGCCCTTACCTATCGCCATTTCAACAGTGTCTAGGCTGGCAGCGCCGCAGCAAGGCTCCAGGAAGGGGCACGGCACCAGTCCAACCGTCAGGCAGTAACGCATGCCGGCTGCTGTTGAGTCGGGTTGTTGGGGGCTGGACCATCGAAGCCGGAAAGGTGATTTGGTCTTGCCGCTCTCACAGCGAGTAGTGTTGGGGTAGGCGGGCCAGGGGTCGGGACCGGCCGCGGAGATGGCGGCAAGGGCGGCAGCGGAGGCGGTGTCCAGAGGCCAGAGGACGGAGTTAGGCAGCTGGGACAACTGGGGATCGCCTGTTTGGCAGTTTCCAAGGACAATTTATTGAAGGAGTGTTGAAGTTACAATAATTATTATTGTTGCGCAGGACAGCCTGAGAAGACGACGTCAGCGGCGGTCATTACCAGTAAATGCCAGCGAGATGTGCGCCAGAAGCGGAAGCACCAGCAGTAGGCTCCAGCTATCCAGTAATATGCGCGTCATGAGATGCAGGTGCTTGATATACTTGGTAGCGTGTCGATGTCAGTAAAGCTTGATGTCATGTCCATATGAGATTCTGACGACCATAAACCGGCCTAAATTTAAAGCTAACGCTAACTAGCTGAGGGCTGTTGAGACAGTCTAATGGGCATCAGCATGCTTTGGAATTTTGGTGTGCGTAAATGCACACCAAGTGACAGTTGCAACCGGCACGCTTTCCTTAATTCGTGTTAATTAGCGCAAGAAATATCAAAGTAATGTATGGGAGACGGTCCTGGTCCTTGTTTTGCGGAAGCCGGTCCTTCTAACGACCGTCAGTTTCAGTCGTTGACGAGCGAGGTTGGCGCGACCATGGTGACGCGACATGAAGCATTGCCCGTACATTAGAGGTAGGTGGACTGCTTCGGACACTTCGGTTACCAGTAAGGTGGGGGCCCGCTAACGTACCTCACTGTGGTCAGCCGCTGGCCGCCATCCATCGAACTTCGGGGAAAGCGTTGTGTCGCGCCGATCCAATTTTGTGATTGGTATTTTTAAAGCGAGGTATGCTTCCGATATTGCGCGGAGCTTAGCGGCGAGTTCATAGCAAGCACTTTCGGTGCAGCATACAACGGACCTCGACATGACCAGGCTTATCCATGCAACTCCGCCCGATCAACGCAAGGATTTATCTGTATCTGTGATTGCCTATACCGCTGTACAGCAGGCAGCCGATACCGGCGTGCATACGTGCCCACTTCCCAAGAAAAACGTCCAGATGTGCTTCCATTAAGGTCTACGCAAGGTCGGATGATCTCCATGAAACGCAACTATTCCAGCCTTTATCCTTTAGCCACACCTTGTGCTGCCGAGAATGAAACTGAGTAAATTGTCATGACGTATCACGTGCTGTTGCGACGGAGGCCCGACAGTACAACTAGTGGGTTGGGAGTACGGGAGTAGTCCTGGGTGCTTGTCCAGGCTCCCGCGCGAGGGTAGAGAGGAAACACTAGAGAGTGGATGCCAATTGGTTGTAATGTCCTTTTACACGCACAGCGATATCAGTGGCGCTTTTAGGCGGCCAAAAGACACGCAAGAAGTTCAGTCTTCTCCGCTAGCTGCGCTGGCAAAGGTGACTCCACCGAGAGTCTCCGCACCCTTGCCAGCATGCCGATACGGTACGGCAAAGCTCACGTAAATATCCTACCTTCCCTGTAGTCAGGATATCATAGACAAATCAACAGACAATAGCAAGATGTAAACATCGCGGTAAATAGCGTCTCTTCTAATGACAAGTCGCACAGCAAGCATGACATCATGTCCATGGCCAAGCGCTCACACTAGTCACGCAACTTCCAGCGTTTACTCAAGCAATGGCACTATCATCACATCCTCTAGATAGACCACAAATCGCATACGCGAGACACGGTTGGACGAGCACGTACGGCAACTCTAAGCCACACGATATGACAAGCACGCGCTGTGTCATGACAGCTGTCATGACGTATCACGTGCTGTTGCGACGGAGGCCCGACAGTACAACTCCCCCCCCAGCTGAGAGCCCGGAGGTCGGAAGCTGTCTACAGCGGCCACAAGCAACACACAAACACAGCGCACCAGAACTGACAGCAAAGTAGCACAGCAACCTCTGCATCCCCTTCAACACGCGCCTACTTCACTTCAGCAACCAGACCTCATTTCGTCCTACAACCGGTTTCAACATCCTCTCCCGCCACTCGCGAGTGGCAAACACGCAGACCCACACACACCGCCTCCCCATCGGCCCTCTTGGCAGTCCCAGCAACAACGCAAGCCGTCCTTCCTCCTGCAGCTTCGCCAGGTACTTGGTCCGAGCCGCCGTAGCATCCGTCACGTAGTGCCCCGGCACGTGAAACGCAACGACAGGTGCAAAACGGGTAGCCAACGGCAGTGCAACATCAAGCACCGCAAACCAAGGAGACGCAACAATGGCCTCGTAGGAATAGACCTTCATAGCCTCACGGTACGTGCCAGGCTGCAACGCGTCACGGTGCATGTGAGCAACGCAAGCAGGGTTGGCGTCATTGCCAAAGACCGAGTGTCCCGCCTCGCGAAACGCCCTGGCGACCCCACCTGTTCCACACCACGGGTCGAAGATGCCCGCACACTCATCAAAACGAATGCTCTCCAGCAAAGGCCTCACCTCCTCAATCCCCGTGGGTACACACTCATACTGAAACTGCTTGCCCCCTGGCACACGGTTAACCAACCTGCCCAGGTGGCGATCACTGTAAGCCCCCGGCATGAGCTCCCCCATCGCCGCACTCAGCCCCTCACGCGAAGTTAAGTCCCAGCTATCCGGGAGCCGTGCAGCACGGGTAGTTGCCACAGTACGGAGGGTGCGGGCTGCGCCCCAGGCTGACTCCTCGTCCAGAAGCAGCTGCTGCGCCACACTGACGTTCATTCGCTCAAAAGCTCCTCCCCCGTACTCCACCATCACTCCAGCGTAGTCCTCCTGGACCTCCTCCCCGTTGATCACGCCTATCTCCTCCCTCAGGCAGAGCGTCTTCGGATCCTTGACTGACCTCCTCAAGACGCGCCCCTGGAGCGCCTCAGCGGCCTTGGCGCGCCTCCTCTGCCTGGCGGAAGGGAACAGTTGGGGAGCGGAAGCAGGTGCGGGTACCAGCGGCTTGGCGTCAATCTGCTGCGGGGTCACTCCTTGCTCGACGCAATCCGGGCAAATCCAGGTCCCCTTGGGCACCTTCTTGACGGCTGGCTTCAGGCAGTGCATGTGCCACCCGGAACCGCACGAGTCACAAAGCAACATCTTGCTCGGCTGGTCCGGGAAGCCACAGATTTCGCACTCCAGGTCCAAGGGCGGCACAGCAATGCGTGGGTCTACGATAGGATCCAGGTCAGGCAGATGACAGGGCGCAAGCCGTGTCACATGCTCCTTGCGCTCGGTCCCACAGCGGCCCACCAACGTAGCTACACCGTTGGGATCCACTGAGACGACTCGCAGCACATTCTCCCGCACCGGCATCTGCAGCGTGCTGTTCGTGTTGTTCAGCATCACGTACACGTAGTCCCCAGGTTCAAACCGTTCGAACCGTGGCTTGTATCCCCCGGCGCGCTTCCTAGCGTACTGATAGCAATCACGGTGCTGGGCAATCAAGAGGTTTCCAGCTGCGGCAGGGATCGCGTGCCTAAGTGCCTCCCCCCTAACCTGAAGGAAACGTTTGAACTCCTGTTCGTTGGTCGGGTCCAGGGGCTCCGCGAACCTCTCACGCACTGCAGGCGGCACCACAGGATCCACCCCGTACAGCAGAAAGTACGGCGTCATTCGTGTGGACGCCTGAGGAGAGCAACGGTAGCCCAGTGCCATCCATGGCAGGAACTCATCCCATGCTTGAGCCCTACCCTCCTGCGCGCAGTACTTTCGCAAGCCTCGCTTGACCACCTGCACAATCCGCTCTGCTGCCCCATCGGTCTGGGGGTGCTCAGCGGACGTTTCACGGTGATCAATGGCGCACTGCTCCAAGAGCGCTGCGAACTCCCCTTGCCATTCCGCGCCCCTATCAGTCAAGACCTCGGCAGGTGCAGAGAAACGGGCTAGGACATTCGATAGGAAGGCCTGCGCCGTGCTCTTCGCTGTCTTGTCGGGCAACGGAATCAACTCAATGTGTTTGCTGAAGTGCTCAATCGCCACCATCACGTACCTGTCTCCACGTGCTGTCTCAGGGAATGGCCCACACAGGTCCACACCCCAACGATACATGGGTCCCTTGATGGGCAAAGGCTGCAGCTCCTCAGGACGCACGTTGCCAGTGGTGTTTGCCCTGTCGCAGAGCTTGCACCTTGACACCACTGAGGAAACGTCAGCATGCATGCCACTCCACCAATAGCTCAGTTTGATCAAGCCCGCGGTACGGCGCATTCCAAAATGGCCCAGGCGCCGGTGGCTTTGCTCAATCAGCGCCTCCCGCTGCTCAGGCGGAGGGCAGATGCGAGTTGAGCTATTGGCCATCAGCCTAAGCAGTTCCTGCCCCTGGAAGCGGTAAGATCGTGCCCGACGCAACACCCTCTTCAGCTCCACGGCATCCACGCCCTCTGGGGCGGCCATGTTGCGAAGGTAGTGCAGGGTATTCGCGTCATCCCACACATCCGACAGGTTGGTTGGCTGTGCATCCAGGAGCTCAGCTACAGCTGCCGCATGCTGGGTGCACTCATACAAGCTGACGTCACTGGCTGTGAGCATGATCAGGCTGAGCCCAAGCGTAGGCAGCCCAGCTTCCAGTGACTCACCACTCCCCCCCAGCTGGGAGGCCGTAGCTAAGTCATCATGTGCCCACCGTGGCTGGAGAGTTGCCATGTGGTGCGGGGTAATGTAGGCTTTGTGCAGGGCTTCAGCCCACGCTGCTAGATGAGATACCACCGGCGTGGCTATCCCGCTGCGTAAGGCTTCCTTTCTCAGGTCATCCGTTGCACCCTTGGCGGCCGTTGTCCCTGACCCGTAACCTAGCACTCTTTCAAGCTCACTGATGCGGAGCGGTCGTTTGGTGATGTTACCAGTGGATTCAGGTAGGCTCACTCTAGTGCTCCACAGGTCTCCTGGAGGTACGACAGCACAGGGTTTGCCGGGTGTGTTGCGTGGAAAGTGGGGGCTTTTCTCCGCTTTCTGCGCAACGGGCAACTGTTCTTGTGCCACCTCCAGGCAGAGCCGTAGGTCGTGCATGCCTTGAGTCACCTGACCATGTGTTTTAGCTATGCTGTGAAGGTGTTGAGTGTCAGCCAGGTTGGTATGATACACCATGAGTGCGTGCCTGGCCTGACCCAGCTGAGCAGTGTCAACCAGCAAGGTGGGGCCAAACGAGTCTGCCCACTGCATGCCTGGCTGAGCTTCAATGACGTAGGCAGGTGGCATGCGAGGCTGAAGACGTTGCAGGGCACCTAGTAGGTTTCTCACGCCGTGCACGTCCTCCGGTTTGGCATCCACAAGGCTTGCCGTGACCATCCACTGCTCGCCCTTGTCTGCTGCTACGCCTTTAAGATCTGCTTCTCCCAGTCGTGCGGAGGGTGGCCAATGGAACACGTGGTTGATGGCTCTTGCCATCAGCTGTTCGGGGTACTCAGCACGCAGTAAGGCTAAGCGGTGCCTAACTATGATTTGCTGGTCGGGTGTGTGGCCGTGTACGAGATAGCGACGTACACGCCATCCAGCCCGCAGGACTGCTTCCAGCCCAGCGGCATGGCCCCCGCCGTACTCCAGTACAACTAGGCCTTCGGTGTGCGCGCGGTCTAAAAAGTGATGGGACACTAGAGTGGTGTTCAGCGAGACTGTGTCTCCTGGTTCTTCCTGAGTCCCCATCACCGTTTGTGGTCTTGGCGCATGTGCTGCAATCCCCCTAAGAGCATGACGCTGTTCCCTAGCCAGTTTGTGAGCCCCCCGCTTCAACGCACCAGTGCGCTCCTGCGCCTTGGTGAGTCCATCTACCGCCGGTTGTTCAGCGCTGTCAGAGGCGACTCCATTGCCTCCGGACAGCAGGTCGGTTGCCGTGGGCGCCAGAACCGAGGCGATTGTGTTTTCCTCGGCAGCTGCGGCCATCACGGCGTGGTGCTTATCCAGCTGCATTCGCGACTTCAGGGCTATGACATCCGTGACCGTCTGCAGCATGGCCACCGACCCGGTAACTAGCGGCGCTCCTGCGGTTACTCTAGCTGGGTGGGGTACTAACTTTGGCGGCTGGGGCACGGGATCTGAGTCGTCATCCATGCGAGCACCCGTTCCATCCTCAGTGGTTGGCAACGGGCTGCGGCTCAGCGCGTCTGCATTGTTGTGCAACTTTCCCGGCCTATGAGCTACGTCAAAGGTGTACTCCTGCATGGTGAGTGCCCAACGCGCGTACTGTCCTGTCAGGGCCTTGTTTTCCATGAGCCATAGCAGAGGCGCATGGTCGGTTACTAGGACGAAGGAGGCCCCAAGGAGGTATGGGCGCATGATTTTCATGCCCCAGCATGCTGCCAGCATTTCCCCCTTGTACGACGTATAGTTGCGTTCGTGTTCGTTTAGCGAACGGGAGGCGCATGCCACCATATACTCGTTTCCATCGTCATCTAGCTGCCCTAAGACGGCACTAACCCCTAACGTGCTGAAGTCAGTGTGTAAGATGCACGGGCGCATGGGGTCCATCCTACGTAGGAGTAGGCCTGGTTCTGCAAAGCGGCGCTTAAGGTTGTCAAATGCGGCCTGGTGTTCTGGTTTCCAGGTTTCACTGTTCCAGATGGTGGACTTGGTCGTGAGCCTGGTGAGCGGTGCTGCCAACTCACTGTACCGGGGTAGGTAGCACCGGTAGTAGTTGCAAAGCCCTAACACGCTCAACAGCTCGGTCGCATTCGTGGGCGGCTTAAGCGCTTGTATCGCTGCTATTTTCGCTTGCATGGGTCGTAACCCGTCCGCACTCACCATGTGGCCAAGGAACTCCACCGAATCCGCTGCGAAGACGGTCTTGTCCGGGTGCAGCCGCACGTTAATGCGCTTCAGCATCTCCAGCACCAGCCGTACATGCTGAATGTGTTCTTCTGCGGAGTTTGAGAAGATCAACAGATCATCCACGAAAGCAACACAGCAGTGCCCGAGGCCCGCCTTGCGGATCTCCGTGTCCATCATGCGCTGAAACTGAGCCGTGGCATTGCGCAAGCCGTACAGTGTCCTAGTGTACTGCCACAACGAGTTGCGCCACCAAAAGGAGGTTTTCTGCCTATCTTCTTGGCGCAAGGGGATCTGATTGAATGCGGCACGGCAATCACACTTTGTGAACCAGCGTGCAGGCCCTATGCGTTCAAACAGCTCTTCCGGGTTGGGAGGCCGGTAGAGGTCAGGAGTGGTGGCGGCATTTAAGGCTCTTGCATCCAGGCAATAGCGCCGCTCAGTCCAGGACCCATCTGCCGCCTTCTTAACCGGCATGGTGCTGTTCATTGCATACTGCGAGCTGGTTGACGGTTCTATGATGCCTGCGTCCCTAAGCTCTGCGCACTTCTCATCCATGAGCTCATACTCCTTGTGGGAGTACCGTCTGGGGGGCTCATAGATGGGCCTACTGTGCGAGAGGTGTATGGTTGCTGGCCCGCACTCACCGTTGTAGCAGCCCAGCTCCTTCAGGGAGCGGGCAAACACCTGATCATTGGCCCGGACCAGCTCCTGCAGCTGCTGTCGTTGCTGCGGGGTTATGTCCGGACGGTTGCACCAGTAGTAGCCTCCGGTCTCGTCTCTCTGCAGGGTCGAGGCATGTGCAGGGTGACGCAGGCCGTCCGGGGCCGTGAGGTGTGCGGGTGAGTCAGTAGCCAAGGCTGCGGGCTGCGCGGTCTTGTCGTGCGCGATCGTGAGGGTATGGTACGCACGTTGCAGGATAACGGCAGGTGGTAGGGGTGTGAGCACCCCGCCAAGGGGTTCTGCCTCATACTGCGTGGAAAGTGGTCTGTGCGGCGGTGAGCTGCCCTGGTTGACACACCAGGCGACTAGCATGAGCGTGAGCAGTGGCCCTAGCGACCGAACCGCCCTGGCCGTCCCCATGCCCCATGCTGCGGGCGACGGCATCGCCTCGCGTTTCTCACGCCACCAACCACCCCAATTGCGACCTGGCTCACGTACCTGCTCCTCCTGTCGCTCCTGCGACAGCGGGAGGCCTGCCCTGAGCGCACGCAGCTTCTTTTTGTAGGAGCTGACTGCCTCCTTCCGCAGCCGTGCAGCCTGCGCAGCCGCAGCCTCCTTGGCTGCGCTCTGCCGCAGCTTCTCCTTCCGCAGCTTCTTGAGGTGCCGCCGCTTCAGGCGGCGCGCAAGGGTCCGTTCCCAGCTGCGCTTCCACGCAAGTGAGTCCCACGGCTCCTGGTGCTGCCGGAGGGCCTCAATCTCATCTGCCATGCCGGGCGGGTCGTCGTCCTCCTCCCCAGCATCCAGCCCCTCACCGGCATCCGGTGGCAGCGGGATGTCGGCGGCCCACTGCTGGGCCGCCAAGTGCTGCGGGGTGACGGCCAGTGAGGTGACCCAAGGGTCAGTGCTCCTCGCTGGGGTTGCTCTGCGCTGGCTGGGGCTGACGGAGGGTTGCGGCGTCTCCATCAGCATGAGCGTGGGTCGAGTTGCCTCGTACGAGTGCAGCGGGCGCGTCACCCACTGGTTGGCGCCCGGTGGGAGCAGTTCGACTAACGCGTGGGGCCCACACGTGATGCGGCCGTTGGTAGCGTCCAGGAACGCCCGCCCTATCACGACCGCGGCTGGCAGATTCGAGAACACCAGCAGGTCCCCATAGAAGTCGTGGGGGCGGCGCCCATCGAAGAGGCTGATGGCGCCGTTGGGTACGTAGCCTACTGCGTAGGTCGAGCTGCCTGCCACCTGCACAGGCATGGGCTCCCGTACGAACGGCACCCGGGCGTGCTCCACCCAGGCGTGATCCACGGCTCCAAGGAAGCTGCAGCCCGTGTCGAAGGCCACATGTGGGGGCGTGCGACGTTCCAGCTCCCTGTCCATAGAGGGCTTGGACCCCACGGTGATGACGGGCGCGGCAGAGAGGTCCTGGGCAAAGCTGAGCAGCGTCCGTTGCTGGGTGCCGTGCTGGTACGCTTGCAGGCGCCCGAAGACACTTGCCGATCCTGCTGCCTGCGTGAGCACTGGGGGACCCCTTCCGGGCGGCGCCTGCCCCCAGGGGTGACCCCGCGCATGCTGCTGGCACTCTCGCGGGGGCGAGCGGTCCCTGTACCTCGGTGGCGGCGTCGGCGGTCTGCGCTCTCGAGAGCTGCGTCGTTGACGTTCACGTGAGCGCTCCCTGGAGCTGCGCCGCTGGCGCTCACGTGAGCGTTCTCGGGAGCGGTCGCGGTCGTCCTCATGGGGCGGCGAGCTGGGGGTTCCGCTGATCTCACGCTGCAGGTGCCTGAGGTAGCAGTTCTCCGTGCTGTGGTGCTGTCGCTGGCGGCACCCCGGGTGTTGGCAAGGGCCCGTGCCCTTCGGCATGTCGGGGTACAGGACCCTGCCTCTCCTCAGGAACCCCTCCCGGTGGTCAGCCTTGTGAGCCGCTAACATGGGGCCCGCATTCTGTTGCAGGAGGGCTCGGCGCTTGGCGTCCTGGATGTGGCTAAGGTCCAGGGCGTCCTGACGCTGTTGGGCGGGCTCCTGCTGGGGGCCCTGCCGCCGGTTGCCTCCTGAGGTGGCGGCGCCCGCGTTGGCGGCAGGCGTCCGTACAGCTGGTGGGGGCGAGGGCACTGCTGGCCGGCTGGGCTGGGAGGGGCCGGCAGCAGCAGGGTCGGCTGCGGGGTCAGCTGCGGGTTCTGCCAACAGCAGTTCTAGATCCTCGTCCTCGGCCTCTCCCCCCTGCTCATCCATCGGCTCATCGTCATAGTCCAGCTCCTCTTCCTCCGTCGCGTCCCCTTGGGCGGCGCGGGTCATGAGGACCGAGGGTGTCCGCTGCGACGTTGCACGGACGGCGGAGGCAAGCTCACAGAGGCGCGCCTGAGCGTCAGGGGCGTCCGGTTCCTCCTTGTTGACAGTGGGCAGCACGACAGTCTGCGGGGGTTCGTCAGCACAGCGGTCTAGGTTGAGGATGTACGACACCGACGGCTGGGGGAAGCTCAGGGTGGAGACCCCAAGTGCATGCATGCTGCTCTGCCCCCACAGGAAGTCGAACAATCCCCTAGCCACTGCGTCCTGTACGACCAGGGCCTCCTGGCGGCTGCGGCGTTCATAGGGTGTGCCGGGGCACAGGACGACCTCCAGGCCCCCCTTGACCCGACCCAGACGGCTAGTGCGGCCCCCCACGGTCACAACTGCGTGGGCATCAGGCTCTACCGTGAACTCACCGCTGTCGGCCACGTGCTGTGCTATCAGGCACACGTCGCTGCCGCTGTCGACCAATGAGAGCTTGGGCCGCACCAGGCGCTGTCCCTTCCCCACCGCAAAGTGCTGCGAGGACACGTACTGCAGCGCTCCCGGGCTCTCACGGTACCTGCGCAGGGCATCCATGCGCTCTGACTTAGTCAGCTGCGCGAACTTGCTTAGCGTCAGCACCCCAGGCGCGTGGATGGGTTCACACGGTCCGAAGCTGCAGCTGACAGGTGTGGTCGCGGCTGCTGTGGGTGGTCCGAGCGGGCCAAAGGTGTCCGCCCCCCACTTCGTCGGGATGGCCTCCAGTCGTAGGGAGATGCCCTGCGACCCCTGCCACTGCATGCGCTGCACGGCGTCACCCACCGTCACCTCCAGGACGATCTCCTGGAGGCCGTAGCGGTTGAGAGCGGTTGGCTGGCTAGGCTGCACAGGGCGTTGCAGGAAGCCGGCTGGAAGGCGCTCACGAGCGGCAGCGGCGCGCTGCACGTCGTCAGGCTCCTCCACAGCTGAGGGAACGCCACCCGTTGGGGCCGGCTCTGCTACCTCACTTGCGGCGGTCAGCACCTCAGAAGGGCTGCTGCCGTTGCTGCTTGGGGTTTCCTGCGGCAGGCTGGGAACGGCGTCCAGCCAGGCAAACTGGCGATCTGCCAGCGTCACGGCGCCACAAAACTGCGCCTCATCCAGCGGCACGTCCTCAGCTGCTGCGGCGGCGGCGACGACTGCCGGCTTCTTCAGGAGGCCCGGCGGTATGGGGATGTTGTTCTTGCGGCTGAGGTCAACATAGCACCCTTCGGCGCCATGGTGGGCTGGAAAGGGGCAGCCCGGCACCGTGCAGGGCCCCTGGCCCTTGGGCGCGTCGGGGAAGCGCCTCTTCATCTCCTCCCGCCAGTTGCTAAACAAGCGCCGGTTGCCGGACTGCTCCTGGGGCTGCCTGCGACCCCCCGCGCCGTCACGGTGGCCACCGCCCCCGTCACGGTTCTGCCGTGGCAGTCGGGAGCTGACGCTGGCGGTGTCATCCCCCCTGTCGAACCCACGCTGATGGTGCCTGGAGGAGTGGCCAGCATCCCGCTGCGCCCCCCCCCTGGCCCCCCCACCGTTGCTGGCGTTGCCGGTGACGCCCATCGACTGATACTGGGCCATCTGCTGCCGGAGCTGGCTCAGTTGGCGGGCCAGTTCCTCCACAGTGGTGGTGGCGGCTGACACGCTGGGCTTGGGCTGGGAGCGCACGTGGTGGTCCGGAAAGTTGTGGTAGGCCTGCGCTAACTCCATGATGCGCAGCACGTCATATAGTGTCGTGTTGCTGCGCAGGAGCTCCCCCTTCACGAAGCGAGCCATCTCGTCGTCCGAGATCCCCTTGAGGAAGAACTGCCCGAATGTGTGATCTGTGTAACGGCCCGCTGGGGCGCGCTCCTTCAGGGTGATGAAGCGGTCGTACGCCTCCTGGGGCGCCTCCCCCTTCTGGAACCTGAACTTCTCAAGCTCATCAACGGCTGCTACATCCATCGTGCGGAAACGGGCCTCCAGTTTGGCAAGCATGAACCACAACAACACGGGGACCTTGGTCCCAGCTGCGGTGGTGTAGCCCTGCCCTGTATAGGTGATGGCGCTGCCCAGCAACGTGTACCCTTCCTGGTGTTGCTGCCGGATGTTTTCCTTCTGCTGATCCATCCACCTTTGCCAGAGTGGGTTGGGAGTACGGGAGTAGTCCTGGGTGCTTGTCCAGGCTCCCGCGCGAGGGTAGAGAGGAAACACTAGAGAGTGGATGCCAATTGGTTGTAATGTCCTTTTACACGCACAGCGATATCAGTGGCGCTTTTAGGCGGCCAAAAGACACGCAAGAAGTTCAGTCTTCTCCGCTAGCTGCGCTGGCAAAGGTGACTCCACCGAGAGTCTCCGCACCCTTGCCAGCATGCCGATACGGTACGGCAAAGCTCACGTAAATATCCTACCTTCCCTGTAGTCAGGATATCATAGACAAATCAACAGACAATAGCAAGATGTAAACATCGCGGTAAATAGCGTCTCTTCTAATGACAAGTCGCACAGCAAGCATGACATCATGTCCATGGCCAAGCGCTCACACTAGTCACGCAACTTCCAGCGTTTACTCAAGCAATGGCACTATCATCACATCCTCTAGATAGACCACAAATCGCATACGCGAGACACGGTTGGACGAGCACGTACGGCAACTCTAAGCCACACGATATGACAAGCACGCGCTGTGTCATGACAAAATGGCTACAACATTATCGATATTAACCCAGCCCAGCATTTGGATTTACACGTCATCACTCATCAGTCCTAAGGAACTCCTCCTTTCAGTAGCCACAAGCGACAACCAGACTCTTGCTCCAGTCAAGCACGGTCCTGTGCACAAAGCACGCACCACGCACAACCAGTAAACCTTTACCGCGGCAACAATGACGAGGTCGTTGTACGACAAACACATGCAACTACATTACACGTCTACATACCAGTTTTCTTAACACAACAAACTGTATGGAGGCCGTTGCCCACCTAAAGTTTACGAGGTGCGTCGGGTATCTGCAGAACAACAGCCGTGCTGTGGAGCAGCCTGGGTTATCCACCAGTGAATGGTCGGGGCTAGTGCTCGGGGGTGTTAAGCTGGCTGCTGCCTTGCCACGCACCTCCAATCGCCCCCATCCCTGCCGTCACTGCCACCATCCATAGCTGCCATCCATCTCCATCCATCCGTCCGTCACAAACTCACCATCCATCCATATCTATCGTCACCATCGACTGCTGCCGTCATGCAGACACCGTAGCCGCCCCAAGGCATCGTCCAATCCTCGTGCAACATCTAACAACTTGCGCTTATAACCTTTGGAAACCAAGAGAGAACCCATATCACAGGGCTCCTGTTAGCAGCATGCAGTAACACTGTGTCATCTTCTCCTGCGTGGAGAGATCAGTATGGTAAAGCTCTACTGTTGGTAGCAGGTTGTCGATAGAGCGCGTATGCCGCCTTGCGTATGCAACCGGTAGAGGTAGGTCCGCTGCTGCCAGCGGCAGCAGGAGAGGGATCTGCTGATCCGGAGTTGTCCTACCCTTGATGACCAGCAGCGTGACATGGTCCTCCGAGCTACGGGAAGACGCCAACACCGCCTGCCGCGCGCGGCAGGAGTCAAACAACGCCAGCCGTAGACGTACCAACGCATTCAATTGGCGTGAACTCTACAGACTTCCTGCCATGCCTGCCCATCCTCATTGCGCTGGCGTTTGCCGCGGCATGTCCCTCGCTGGAACCCAGCTGGCGAGACACCCAACCACCGCTGCTGCACTCTAGACCACCGCCCACCGCCGGCTTCTCCTTGCTCTTGCTGTTTTGGAAGAACGAAAGGCTCTTTATGCCTTGGAGGTTAAACCTGACTTCCCTGGGCTTTGAAGCGGTTGCTGTGGCTGCCGCAGCAGCAGCCGCTGCGGTAGCAGCAGCAGCAGCAGCACCGGAAGATCCGTCATCACCGACCCCAGCGCCGACCGAAGTACGGGTAAACGGTGCAAACAGCCGCGGAATCGCAGACCCAATCCCTGATGGAAAGCTCCTGCTGCTAGCATCCGTTGCTGGGTACACAGCCGCAGCGATAGTGAAATCGCCGCTGGCATCGTCTGCCTCGTAGATTGTACTACAGGTATCAAAGCCGCTGCAGGTATACGTGTGGCTGCTTCGTAAGGTACTGCTGTTCCTGCCGCGATAGCCGCCTCCAGCAGGCCTGCCCTGCTGTGGCCCCTGCGTAATGATCCTCGGCCTGCCGTCTAATCCCTGACGGGTCCGATACATCAGACGACTGTCTTTAGACCTAACAACCGGCATCGGCTCCTCATCCTCTTCCTCATTCATCTCACCCACGTCAACCTTCCCAAGGTCTGCAATTTCTTCGTCCTCACTCCCGTTCACAACGCCACAGCCACCGCTGCTACTTCCATCACGGTTGGGCATACCAGGAAAGGAGCCGTTGCCGCCGTTGCTACCACTGCTGCACTCCTGGATCACCGTTGCAGCAGCACTAGCAGCTGCAGACGCAGCTGCCGTACTGCCTGTAGCTGACTTGTCGTACCCCCAAGTGGCCATGCGCTTGATGAACAACATAAGGCCCTTTGCCTTGCTGCTGCCGCTGCCTCCACCTTTGCCTCCGCCTCTGCCTGCGTTGGCGGTGCTGTTGGTGTTGGGGCTGCTCTTGCTGCTCCGGGTAAGCGTCGGTTGGTTCCCAACAGCAGCAGCAGCAGCAGGCGAGGCGCTATCAACCCGGTATTCAAGATATTCGACATCGTCTGCACCCGCAGCCGCCGCGTACCGGGCTTGCAGGCGTGCATGCTGTAGGTTGCTCCCGAACAGCCATTCATCCGGTTGTGATGACGAGGACCAAGCACTCCCCGACGCATCTGGCAACGGAGCAGACACCGGCGTCGCCGCCGACGGCGCCCAAGCACGCACCTCCCCCGTCTTCTTCAGAAGCGACGAGGAAGCCGCTGTGAACAGAGGTTGAAGCTCTTCATCACAAGTGGTGTCCAGAAGCGCTCCCACGTATCCTAAGAAGCTCTCAGAAGGCGCATGCCATGTCATGAGTTCTTCTGCGTTCGCCGCAGCGTCAATGGAGGCTCGGCATGTGTGCTTCCGCATCGGCAGTTGTTGGGCCGGATGATTACTGCTGCTGCTGCTGCTGCTGGTGTCGCCAGCAACGGTGCTGTACGGCAGTTGCTCCTTTTGCTTCAGCTGTTGGCCGCAGTCCTCATCCTGCTCTATCACCAGCCCGTCGATTACCCGCTGTGAGGATGGGCGCAGGTGCTGCTGCCGTTGAGGGAGGAGGCCGTCCTCATTGGTGGGGCAGTGGAGGTAGCAACCAGGCGGCTTTAACCCGCATGGCAATCCCACCGGGCTGCTAACGGTGTTTGGTCGGTCCAGAATGGGCGTGATCTCAGCACTGGCTATGAGGGGAATGGGGCAGGTAACAACACCGCCGCTCTTGCCGCGTGGAGGTGGCAAAGGTGTCATCATGTCCGGCTGCTGTTGTTGGTGGTTTTGCTGCTGTTGTTGTTGCCCACGCTGCGAGGCCTGTTTCTGGGACAGGAGCTGCTGCATGCCTGGGAATTCCATACTGAGTCTGCGTGCCGTACAGCTGCTGGCAACAACAGGGAGGATGGCGGTGTCGCTGCTGGCTGAAGCTGCTGGGCGGCGACTAATACCGAAAGTCGTTGCCAACGGTCTGCCAGCACTACTGCTAGGTAGGACGGACAGAGTTGCGGCTCTTCTAGCCGCGGCTGGTGGGCTTGCGCTGCTTGAAGAAGCGCCCGGCAGGGCTATCGGGCTGCTAGGCAAAACAATCAACCCGGCACTGCTGCCCCAAGCTACGGCTACGGAGGAAGGAGGAGAAGCAGTGGTAACCGTGGTCTTGGAGGCACTGGGAGTGGTGTCGGAGGTTAAGGAGGGTGTTCTTGGGGCCCTTGCTTGGAGCGCGGCGTGGTGGCTGCTGGAGATGGGCAGCACGGATGCTGACGCGACCTTGACGACTCGGATACTTTGGCTGCTGCGGTTGGGGAATGACGGCACTCGAGGCCGCTCCTGCAATGAAGGGGTGCCAGGGGGAGGAGGTTGGCGCCAACTAACATGTCAAGTGCTGAGCACCGTAAGAGCCACGTGGCGTTACATATGGGTTATCTTTGGTCAAATTGCAGGCTGGTGAACGCGCTATTAGAGGCCTTGAGTTGGGCCCGTGTATACGACGTAGCCATTACAGCCCTGTATGCGCTACATGTTTGCTTGCTGCGCACCTTCAGGGCCAATCCATCTAGCTGCACCTCGTTAAATTCCTCAAATTCCTCACGGCTGTCGTCGTCGTCCATCATCGCCGTTGCGGAAACGAGCGGAGCCAGAACAGCTAGGCGAGGGGCTAAGTTATGCCTTATATTGGGAGTGCACTACTGCTATAATCTTGCTATCATTGGAGTCGCGTGCCTCGTAAAGCTGTCGTCGAGGCATACATACATGTCATGGCGTCGCCCGACCCGGCAGGCCGGCACAGGCAGGGTCGCAACCCGTGCATAAGAGATTCCCTCAGTTGTGTACGACGCGCATACGAGTTGGCAAATTAACTATGTGGTTGGTTTGGGTCCTCATAAAGCGAAACTGGCGTCGGCGGTTGCTTGATAACCGGCGGTTGCCAAGCGGCCGAGACAATTTTATGCCATGCAGCAAGGTTTATGGAGTATTATGAAAGGAATAAAATTCATAAATTGATGGAGTATGCATTTAGGTTGACTTGGTGCTTCGTGCAAGTGACGCGACAGGCGGCAGTTAAGGGCCTCTTGCTAACTTTATACGGAGAACAGCACGCATCTTTCGAGGCGCTTGTACATACAGTGTTATGCTGTAACAGAACATTTTCGATTGCTTTGTGCCGTCTGGATTCTTTGTGCTGCAAGCCGTCTTTGTCATTAGACTCTAATGATGAGCAAGCCCATCCACAGTATCCGACAAGTATGGCCTGGCTAACCCTATCACATCGCTTAGAATGTATGCTTTCGTAATTATTGCTATCACGGTGCCTAGTAGCGCAAAGCGCGCTGCAATGTGGACGCCATCCCTGCCTTGGAGGCCATGTATGTTACAAAGTCAAAGCCATAACCCATCAGCATGCGCAGGGATAGAGCAAGGAGAAAGTCACGTTACACCTACGTAACGTACCGGTATTTCGAAACGGACCATAGGCCATACTGTAGAGCCCCCAGGTTTCAAGCAATTCATCGTGTACAACACGCCATAGGTATGCAACAGCAGCAGCTAAGGCCTCCACACCTAGCTCGCAATCTCCACACCTAGCTGCCCAGTCCCGTCCCCACTCAACACATACCAATCCCAAACGTTACTCACCACCCAGGTATTCCCGTTACAAACGGGATACAAACCAAAACACACCAACTGCCGAGCTTGCCATGCGAAAGATAAGGGAGAACTACGGCGCACCACACACGCAGCAGCCACCCATTAGTAATGCTGTAATACTCCCATCCATATCGTCTTTTCCCACCACTGCATAAACTGCGCAAACGTTGAACATGCCATTTTCCTTACGGAGCCCGCCTGCGGCCCTTACTTTGAACGGTAACAATGCGGAAACCACGAACCCAACCTGCAGATACGCCCCCTTCCAACAACCAAACCGACCATCAAAGCATGCCGACGCTGCCCCCTGCTAATCATCAGCCGTCGTGCAACACCCGGCGCATGCAAACATAAGGCAGAGCTCCCAACACATCTAAAACGGAGCCACAATACACACTGCCTTGTGACCAAACCAACATGTGCATGGAGGGGCCAAAGCCCATCCCACTCTCTCCTCTCTTGTAGTAAGCACTTCTTCTTGTTGTGATTCAGCCCAGCCTAAGCAAGTCAAAAGGCTCGCACGCTCGCTCGCTTAAAACTAAACTTCAAAATGCATGTCGGTTATCGACATCTCATTATCATCCCATGCAAACAAACCGACCGGAAAGCACGGAACTTGCACACAGTCCGTGTTACCAGGGCTGCTCTCGAGTAAGTACGATCAATCAAGATGATGGCCTTCAATTGTTGACATGCAACAGATGCGTCTAGCTACGCACATGCCCCATGCCTAGCTACTCTTCTGCCGCGGCTGCGCGCCATCCCAACATTAAACAACGCCGCGCTCATGTTGCCTTCACACATACACGAGGGCTCTCAGTCCCTTGACCGACCGACAGCGAGAACTGGTGTTTAGTCACGCGCTCAGTTCACGCACATGTCCTGCAGCAAACTCTCCGTGACAACAGCACCTGTCCGCTCTTTCGCATGAGCCATAGGGCGCTGATGAAGTACGGCAGCGCAGGAGGGCCCCGAGACACCCCGAGACCCGCCCCACACGTCGCTTCCTCCGGAGTTGCAGAAACCCCGTCAACACACCCTCAGCTCATAAGGAGTAACTCATCCATTCGGTTCAAGCTTAGGTCGCCCGCGTTTGTACAACCACCGCCGCCGTTGCCGCTGCAACCGCGGCAGCCGTCCATGCAGTCCTCCTGTTGTCGTACATGCATGTAGTAGTCCATGAGCATCCCCTAACATATCGTGGTGCCGTACCGTCCGATGCCGCCACGCCAGCTGACATCCGACATTAGTAAGGCCGCCGCCGCAGCAGCAGCGGCGCCGCTTGGGTCATCGCCATCCAAACCAGTTCGGGCCCGGGGCAGCTGAAGCAAGGCATGGCTGTTACTCCTGCTGCTGCAGGCCGGGAGACGGGGAGGAGGTGAGAGGGCAAACAGCCCACCTTCATCATCACCATCACCACCACCTCCCTGTTGGGTGGTGCGTTCCTCATCCTTTTCAGCTTCAGCACCATCTCCTACTCCACTGTTGCCGCTTGGAACGGAGCCTGCTTTGGCAACAACGCCCTTTGCTAGCCTCCAGCCACTGTCACCACCGCTACCACCGCCTCCGTCTCCGCCGGCGGTGACAGTGGCGTTGGTAAGGGCTCCAAAGCTGCGTTTGCCGCCCATGGCCCGCCCAGCCAGCGCCGACAGCAGCCTCAACGGCCTCCAAGTGCCCCCGCCTCCGCCTCCGCCGCCGATGCCCCCGCCGCTGATGCCTCGGCTCCTCCCACCGGCGCGGCGACAAGCAACATACTCGATGTCCTCCGCGCCCCGCATGGCCTCATAGCGCGCCTGCATGCGCGCACGCTGCAGGTTGGAGTCGAACTTCCAAGAGCTTAACGCTGCAGCGCCCGCCGCCGTCGCAGCCCCCGGGCCTTCCAACGCTGCCGCCGGGCCGATCACCACCGCCGCTGTTGACAGCGGCGGCAGCGCCGTCGACACCGTCGCAGAGCGCTCCACCACACCGGTGCCAAGGGCAGCAGAACTGGAGGAAACGCACGGTGCACAGGCGGCAACGGGGTCTGTGAGTGCCGTACCAGGACCAGCCGAAGCCGTGGGATCTGGTAGAAGCCTCGGTCGGTACGATACCGCCGCAGCTGCATGCTCCGGGCCGTTATCCGCCTCGCCACACGTGCCCAGCTCCTCCGCCCCCGCCGCAGCGTCTATGGAGGGACGCTGCTGGTTACGGACGCTGCGGGGGGCAGAGAAGTCGCCGTTTTTTCCCCCGTCACCACCGCCTCCGGTCCAGATGGTGCTGGTGCCGCCACCGCCGCCACCACCTGCGTTGCTGCCGCCGCCGCCTCCGCCAACGCAGCTGTACGATAGAAGTCTGCTAGGCAGCGGCGACAGCTGGGCCCTGCAGGTGCCCATGCCTCCGCCGCCGTAACGCGGGCTGCCGCCGCTTGGGGCTAGGTTCGAGGTGCGAGCGAGACGGGCGTCCAGGCTCATCATCTGAGGGTGTGTAATGGATCCGGTACGGAGATGGCCGCTGCAGCCGGATGAAGGTCCGAATCCTGAGGGTCCCGACCCTTGGGTCGTTTCTGGGAGATCTAGCGGTTGGATGCAGCCTGGAAGGTTGGTGACTGACAGCAGGTTGCTGTTGCTGCTTGTTTCCGCGGAACTGGGAGCCAGGTCCGGAGACCAGAAGCATGAGGGCTGTACGGAAATGAAGCATGCGGCTGATGGGGAGATCGCGTCCGTGAGGGTGGTGGCAGCAGCGGGGCTGGGGCCGGCGGCTAGGCGCGGGCTGCGACTTGAGGGCCCCTCGATGGGCAGGGGCGGGAGGCGTGATCGGGCAGCCAAGGGTGGCAGGGAGGAAGAGGAGCTGTGGACGGGTGCGGAGATGCAGGAGGAGGCTTCCAGAGAGGCCTTATGATGCTGTGTTTGGCGTGGTGGGCTGGGGGAGTAGAAGCTGCTGAGGAGGAAGTCGAAGGGGGACTGCGGGCAGGGCTGAGGGCTGTCGGTGGGTTGGGCGTGGGGTGCAGCTGGAAGGGCAGGGGAGTAGGGTTCGCAAGGGAAGCAGGAGGGGGAGCTGCGGCTTGTAGCATTGGTGGTGGTGGTGGTCGGGTCCAACCGGGTGCTCCGCGGCGTGTCCTCGCGATAGGGGCGCTGCGTGCAAGGTGAAAAGTAAGGCGGGTAAGGCGTCAGCCTAATGTGCAGGAACTAAGCGCGAGCGCGTGTATTAAGGATACTTGTTTGGTGGAGAAAGGGAGGTGAAGGTAGCAGAGTGGAAAGGTCAATGACGAGGAGATACCTTAAGGTTCTCAGAGGAGCCCGCTTGAGACATAGCCGTTGGATGTCAGGCCGCATTGAGTCGATAAGAGCGGCGCTGCGTTAGGAAGGCACAGCTAACTGGCCGTCGGTTCTCATGGGCCGTACGGTGGAAGCCAAAATACGCCCTTATCTGCTCCTATAAGAGTAATTGAAGTTCCCAAACGACTTTTACTCCTTCGCCTTAAGACCTTCACTCGTGCTAAAGGTAGGGGTCCGATAAAGCCTTCTAGAGCCAGGTGGTGGTGCCCAATAAGGATAGGAGAGTCTTCCACGACTATCGGACTAGAAAACGCTTTTGCAAAGCAGAGCGCTGGAAGGTTTACAAGTTTCAATCCTCTATGACTCGGTTGCGAAACTGCCAAAGCCTCTTACTACCGTTTCATATAATGTGATGGGCGTCTGTGCAATAACAGTACGAATTCTTCGAATTGGACAAAGTAACCGTGCCTTGCGGTGGTCAACAGTAAAGGGAAATGATTGTACGGTATCGTACTTCATCAAGCCGCATAGCATCCATAGCTACTCTGAACAAATGGATGTCATTAAACGATATTCTACATGCTTAACAAAAGTGAGCCAACCCATAGTTAGCTGGTGTGGCAAGGAATCCAAGGATGGTGTCGAGTTGCCGGAGGTGCCGGGCTTCGCTCCTCGCAATGGCTCGGCACGACGAGGAGGGAATAGGGGGTATAGGTAAAAGGTACACGGAGTGGGAGTATGGTCAACTGTATGCAAACCCTTCCCATCACGAGCAGTGTGAGGAACGGAATGCTCAAGTGGGAACCCTTTCCTGCACCCTCAACTTCCTTCGCTTGTGTCTGCATTTTAAGTGGACGGAGGTTTGCCTTCGTATCCAGCCCAAAGTATGTTGTGATTGCCTTCTGAGTCGGAGATCTCCAACGGTGGAGCGTTAAGTTGCGTAATCGACACGCGCTTCTAGCTCAGCAGCTTGTATCAAGAGCGTTGGGGCGTCTACATATTAATACATAAACTGCAGTGATTAGCATTGTGTCCAACCTTCTCCCGTCCTTGTGCTCCTTGGCCAACCAACGGCTTCGTTCCAAAGCACGCAGGCTCCTACGAGGCAGCTTCAGAAAGTCATAACATAAAGCCTATTGACTGTTTTCTCTGCATGCGTAACTCGGCGCGCCTATTTCCTTCACATTTAAGGCAAAGCCGAAGCATCTTCACAGCCTCGCCCTTTATCGCAACAAGGCTATCGCACTCAACCAATTCCAGAAACATCTTACGAGGTAATCGGAACCCGCAAGCCCTGAGATATCGCGCGTCTGCTGCGCGGTCGTTACCTTTACCTTCCATCGACACCATGGAAAACATCAAGGTGACCTTCACGGTAAGCTTTCTGCACTCTTGCAACGCACTATCCTTATGCCTCATAACACATCACACCTTGTGAACCGCTGTATAGCAACCGGCTTCCCAGTAACTTCTGCAACTGACGGCAACTCCATCCTCCATCCAATTATTAACCTACCTCCCGTCTTCCTTTTCCCCCGCTACTGCCTCCCTCCGCGTCCACAGCCGGTTGCTTTAACCGCGGACAGTCGGCCCTCCCTGGCCCGCTCGGGCGCCTGTGCCGCCGCTCTGCCCGCCTGGCACCCTCACGATGCCATCATGCTGGGGGGCTACACAGAGGAGTGGCCGCAGCAACCGCAAGCACAACCGACGCCCCGGAGGGCTCCGTGCATGGAGGCGTGGACGTTCACTGCGGCTGACGGTGGGAGATGGCACCACGTGAAGTTCGAGGAAGGCAGCCCCGTGCCCCAGGTACGCTTACCGGTGCCCTTGCGTCTGGGGGTGGGTGAAAAGCAAGGAAACAGATGCTGCAAGTGTATGTGGCAGGCCGGCAGCCCCTGTTGAAAGGTTTTGGAAGGGCTTGTGGAAAGGAGCTCTGCGAGATGTGCGGTGTTTCCCTTCGTGTCGTACTCGGGTTGCGCCGTACTGACCCATGATCGGGTAAAAGCGTAAAACGCCATGCCCGTGACCCATGGGTCAGTGGGCCATGCCCCTCTGCCTTCCCAACCCCTTGGACTTGGTTATCTCCCCCGCGCGCGAACCCTTTTGGGCAACTCCTTGCACTTAGCGCTCACACCCCGTCAGGGCGCTCACACCCTCTGCTCCTTCAACTCCCTCTGCCCGCTTTGCGCTACATGCCCTGCGAAGACAAGCAAAGCGCTCGCAGCGGAAACGGGGCAAGATTAAAACCCCGGCCAACGAAACCCCCGGATCGCCCTCAACCTTAGCATGCCCACTCGGTCTTGTGCCTTTTCGTGCCTTCTTGTGACTTCCCAACCCCCGCATACCCCTCCTTTCCCGCCGACCCCCAGCCCCGTCTAACCAGCCAAGCAGTGGTGGTGGGTGATGAGCTTTGGCTAGTGGCCGGATGGAACCCAGCGGCTGCTGCTGCTGGCGGCGGCGGCGGGGTCGGGAGTGACCCTGGGTCGGTGGAGGCGCAGCCGTTCCTTAACGACGTATGGGCTTTGGACTTGCGCAGCTACAGCTGGCGGCGGCTGGATGTATCGGGAGAGGACATGCCCCGGATCAGCAGGTGTTGGACTGTTGCCAGTGGGCTGTTGGTATTGGTATTGGTTATACCGATAGTGGTATTGGCATTGGTCATGTTATCGGTAGAGCTATCAAACATCAACATCAACATCACCTATCATCACGCTAGCCTTACGGGTTGCTCGGTGTTCCATAACCCCCAAAAGGTTTGCCATGGCACCCATGCCTGACGGTCGGTTGCTGCTTCACACGCACCGCTGCTCGGAACACATCATGATTCTGGATCCAGCAACCGCAACCGCAACGGCAACGGTTAAGGATGCTACCGGATTTGGTACGGCAGCTGCTGCTGGCGTTGAGACAGCAGCAGGGCAGCAGCAACAGCAACAGCCAACGCTGAGCTTTGTGCCCGTACGCGGCGTATTCCCGGGTGCGTGGTTGGGATTGTTGAATGGGTACGAATATGTTGCAGTCGGTATTTCTGTTGCGTTTCTTTTCGCGCTTCGGATTTTCCTTAACTTCGCACCCGCATCGAGCCGGCACTGAACCCAGCAGCAACATTGCACTGTCAAGTTGTCGTGCGCGCCGTGCCTCCTTAACCCGCTGAGACGCCCCCATAATCGGCTCCTACGTCTCCTTGCAGGCGATCAAAGCCCGCCCTCTCGCGGCCTGCACTCCCTCACTCCCGCCGCCGCACCTCCGCCGGACCTCTTCCTCCCGCCGCCGCCACCAATCCAGACCCCCGAGGCCGCCGTCACCGCAACCTCGCCAGCACCGACAACGGAAGTCGCAAAAGCAACGGCAGCAACAGCCGCAACAAGTGGCAGCGGCAGCGCTGGGAAACCGGATGGTGAAGTGGAGGTGGAGACGAAGCCGCTTCGTACGGCAATGTACGTGTACGGCGGAGCTCCTCAGTCAGGCCCTATGTACGGCGATCTGTGGGTGTTGGATCTGGATTTGCTGACATGGCGGCAGCTGGCGCCGGCGGGGATCCCACCGCAGGTGGGCACGTTGGTTTGCGTTGGAGGGGGGGGTGCGTCACCCAGCGAAGTTGAGGCTGGTTGCTGTGGGCTGTGGTGGTTGTTTGGGCATCCATGTCGAGCTGATGTGCGTGACCCAAATGCCCGCATGTTTGCACATCGTTTCCGCCAGAAGCGGCCCCGTTTCCGTACCTCTGCGCACTTGTGCACGTGCGCTAAGCTAAGCGGGTGTTTCAAAAGCGATGTATCATGTCACGGTCCGGACCTGCTAGCACCCATCTCTAGAATGTGAGATAACGCCATGATGTGGGTCGGGAGCACCGACGAACCTGGGCATCGGTTTCATTACTAGCTCCCCTTACCTTTTGCCCCATGTTTCAGGCCCGCTGCTCGCATGTAGCTGCGGCTTTCGGTTCCTTGCCCTCCAGCCGTGGTGCTGCTGCTGCTGGTAGTGGCAGAGGCGAGGCAAGCGGCGCGGAGGAAGTGACGCCTGGCCGCTTCCTGCTGCTCATGGGAGGGTCTTTCTACGAGCAACCCGGCCGCCTGAAGCCGCTGGGCGACGTTGCAGTGTACGACACTCAGGTGCGGTACGGCAACCGGGCTGGAAGGAATGCCGTACATGGTACGTGCCAATGTAAAGCACGTAGGGGTACACGATGGGTTGCGTGGCATGCTTAGCTGTTGGGCATTGGATTAGTTAAGACGGAAATGTCATTAGGCGTGTGGCACATACCGGTAGTGCACAGTATGGTGTTGGGTCATGGGGCCCGAGTTGTTTCTGCTGTTTGTACTGTTTCTGCCCTCCCTCTTTGACTTACCTCTATTGATGGTCATTCCGTACTACTTCCGCACTTATATTACCGGTACCTCTCCAACATCTCGCACGGTTGCTTCATCGTTCCTCCTCCTCTGCCCTTCCCGACCCATGCGGACGCAGACCAATCGCTGGCTGGAGATGGAGGTGGAGGGTACCCTGCCCAGCCCACGTAACGCGGCAGTCATGGTACCGTTGAAGAGACAGGAAGCCAAGTCAACCGCCCCAACAGCAGGCGGCGCAGGCGGCCGCGATGGAAGTGGAAGTGGTGGCAGCACCGTTGACCGTTTCGTGCTGCACGGCGGTTGGCGGCCGTTTGTGGAGACGTACAACGATACGTACATCGTGACGGTAACGGTTGGTGGCGAAGGGCGCTGAGTGCTTGGGTGTGTTAATACCTCCCGTTGCGGTTACGCAAAGGCTTACAGCACTATTGCGAGAGAGGGGGCGTGCATGTACAACAGTGCATGTGCGGGAAAGGGTTTGGTGCGTCAGGTGTGATGGCAGTAATGGAGTTTGCATTACAGCGGACGGGGGTATACGGCATCTCACCCGTTGCCGCCTTGGGTTTGTGGCTCTAGTTGCATGTGCGATGCACTTTGGTTGATGTACGACAGCGGCAAAGCCTTCCTAGGGTTAAGAGGTAGGTCTCGTGGATGGTTTAGGACACAACGGCGGAAGGCATTATCCTGCTGTAGCATGATTATCGGCTTTCCGCAAGAATTGGCTGAATAGTAAGAGCTGACGGTAGGTGCATTTAAAGGATGTCCGACAGGTACAGGCGGAGTCCAACTATGCGGGTCGTGCAGTGTCAGCGGTGTTACAAGCAACTACGTTAGATCACGGTCGTGAATATCTATGTTGGGTCCAGCAGGGTACGCTGAGGGGTATGACAAATTGGCGTATTGTTTTCTCAGGTAACGTCATTCGTAAGACGGAGAGAAGGTGAATGTCGTGGGAAATGGACAGTGTCGTGTGCAGGGAAGACATCTACGATGCGCACACAGAAAGTAACCGTTACTAACCACACGGCATCCCCATTCGCTAGCCTTATGTAAGTAAGCTAGGGAACTTATGAAGTGTTTTTGAAGGCTTCAAGCAGACACATACCGTCGAATTGTATTTTACAATGAAAGGCGCAATGGACCTGCATTCACCCCTCGCCTCCACGAGTACCACATGGGCGAGGGACGCCATAATTACCAGCAGAAACAGTACAGCACAGTCAAATGTCAAAAGAAGATATAGCCGTCACAACAATTGAGGTCCAAACCGTTTACAAGGTTGTGAAGTAATCTCATAAAGTACAGAGATGGCACGCTGCATGTAAAACCCCCCATTGGGGCCGCCACACCCCACCGTCACAAAACGTACATTGCTCCGATATGCGACCGTCATTGCATTGCAACCCGCTCAAATGCAGATAAGTACACATGTAAGGCAAATAGCTCATGTCTGCAGGAGTTGTATGCCTGTTACCGCCCAACATCCGCTCTGCACATGCGCAGACATGCCGATGCTCCTAGCGCAAACCGCGACGTGAAGCACAAAGCCGTAAGCTACCTAATGCGCTCCTAGTATAGACGGTCAGCTCAAATCTTCTGCACCTTGCTGGCCTGTACCACTGGGTTGGCAGACGACAGCTTCTCCTTATGCATGCCTTTGTAGTCAAAGGGGCAGTTGTGGCTCTCAGCGTAGCGATGCTGCCCGCAAAAGATGTTCCCACACTTGCACTTGAAACCGGTAAGCCCGACCTTCTTCCTGCACTCGAGGCAGCGGGTCGCTGTCTTTGGTGGCACATCCGCGGAACCGCTTGTGCTCGCCTCAGGCGTGGACGACGGTGAAGGCTCAACAGGCGACTTTGCCTCTTGTAACGGCTTGGCCACCACTGGTTCTACGACCGGCCTTGGTTGGGCAGGTGTGGCTTGAGCGTTCCGCGCAATCTCGCGGTGGCACTTGCTGCAAAGGCCACCACAACCCACGTTCCTGAGGAGGGATACAAACATGATGTCAGTAGGAAAGGTAGCTTTCAGTTGTCGCCTTCATGGCAAAAGGGTAGGGCTTCATACAGAAGGCGCTATGCAGGCTGGAAGGAAACAAGACAACTGCCATCGAGCATGAACTTACGCGAAGAAGCCACAGCCCTTCTCGCACAGCTGCGGAGAGCTCGCCTGCTCACGCTCCATTTTGGGTACTTTCTGTTGAGACTTTGCGAGAAGCTATTTAGTAGGGAGATAAGCAGGGACTTCCTAGGTTAGAGAACCTGCGTTTATGCGGTATATATAATGACTGCTATTGGCCGTCGTGTCGAGAAGTTTTTATAGTCGCATCGGGCGCTTACGAGAGGCACTGTCGCCCGCATGCACGATTTTGGTGCGCTTATCACAGGTGCTCACACAAACCCATTTCGATAACACCTTCACTAAACTTATATGGGTAATTGTCACATAGGTGTGTATTTGAAGGCTGTCAAGGTTCCTGAGTGAGGGTTCTGCCTGGCTTGTGCAAGAGCACCTCGTTCTACCCACATTATGTATCTTAAAAGCCATTACCTTGGTGGTACTGATTGTCTGGTGTAGTCCCTTCGCTGGAATAGTTCACGGCCCTGGCCCAATGGCCGTTCACATACGGACGTCCCCCTGCGCCAGGCACATAACTCAGAAGTATCCCAGTAACCAGCCTTCTTGATGAGCTAGCAAACGCTCTCTCAACACGAATCCCGGCCGCTTCTAACTTCCTCCTTGGGGTGACCCACAATCTCGGCTACCCGTTCTAGTAGCCGCGATTATTGCACTGCATCAGGGGCTTTCCCGCGCCAGGCAAACGGTACAACTAAGGCCCTTGCCCAGGGGAGTTATCAGTATCAGTACCGACACTACCCGCCTGCGTACGGTGCCATTATCAATTTCCCGATGACGTTGCGTTTTTCTGGCTCGTGCATGAGGTCAAGGTCAACATGGTCAAATCCCCCATAGGCCTTGGGTGGACGCCTCTCCACGAATCAATTTTCCACATGATTGCTGTATGCGTTACATATACAGGCCCAATAGAAGTAGAGCCGTCAACAGTCTAGAGTATTCATCCCAGTTGGGGGCAGAGCAATTCATTCTCCTTGTGTGTGGTCCGATTTGTCGGGAGGTCCATTCAGCACTGCAGAGAAAAAACAATATCTGCAGGCAACCCAAACTATTAGCACGTGCTATTGAAGCACCAAACGCCCAGCTCGTCATGTCAATTAGGGACTTCAAACAGTTCATATAAACGGTCAAAAGCATCTTGGGCCACTATGAAAGCGTACAACAGGCTGATCCCCCCGGAAAGTCGAGATCCCCCCTGGAACCGTAGTGTAGGACAACAATGTCAATCGCCGCGTAGTTCAATACGTGATGTCCATCCCAGCTGTGCAAGAAAGTCATCTACCGCTGCTGCCCCGCACCCGGCACACCACCCTGACCATCAGCACCGCGGCCCAACATCAGCTGCATGTCCTGCATAATGTTGGGCGCCACGCCGCGAGCAGCGCCGGGCTGGAGGAGGTACTGCTGTGCCGCGGCAACCTGAGGCCGCGCCTGAGCCGCAGCAAGTGATTGCAGCGCGCCGTAGGGTCCTCCCATGCCTTGCGCCTGGTTCCACATAACCTGGCCTTGCCAACCAGCCTGACCTGCCAAGGCGTTGGCAGCAAGGTTGGCAGCCTGGAGACCGCCAGCAGCCCCGCCGACAGCGTTGCGCAGGCCAGCGGCTCCTTGGCCAGCCAGGCCGTAGAGGTTCACACCAGCGGCAGGCGCGGCGGCACGCGGCGCGGCGTTGTATCCGCCAGCGCCAGCCATGCCGTACATGGCAGCATTGGCGCCGGCATTGCTGGCCTGCACACCGCCTCCACGAGAGCTGCCGACGCCAACGCCGTAGTCACGGTCCTGGTCCGCGGTCTTCCGCCGCCGGCGAGCCCAGTTGGGCACCAGGTTGGACTGATCATCCTCCTCTTCGTCATCCTGCGGGCATTACAAAAAGCACGTACGAAATTTGAGCGCGACTAGCCGATATATGAGCAGGAACTTCACAGCGACTGACGGGCAGGCAAAGCATAACAAGCCACACTAAACTAAGTGTCATGGCTTACAACAAGGTTAACAGTAGAACAAAGACGGTTGTAAGATTTATTCAACAGCGTGCTTACCATTGCGCCAGCCAGCTCCGCGTAGTTGACGCGACGAGCGCGCGCCGGACGGCCACTCGCAGTCAACTGGACTGGAGGCTCGTAAGCGGACGGAGCCGACTTGCGGCCAGTGACAGCAGGGGGCTTAGGAGCAGCGCGTGCAGCGGCAGCAGCGGCGGCAGCCGCAGCGTTGCTGTTCATCTGAGCCTTGACCATCTCATACTGACGTTGCTGAGCGGCAAGGATTTGCTGGTTCAAATCGACACCAAGTACCAGGCTTTGGCCAAATGAGCCACCCATGCCAGGGAGACCGCCAAGGCCCGCGGCGGTCATGCCCGCGGCGGTCATGCCTGCGGCGGTCATGCCCGCGGCGGTCATGCCCGCAGCGCTGATGCCCATACCGCCAATAGTTCCGCCGACCTTGGCATACTCGTTGGCATCGATGGCGGATTGCTCGGTCTTGTAGTAGTTCTCGATAGGTTGCCTCTCCTCCACGCGCGGCTGCACATGCGGAACGTGTGCCATTTGCACTGGAAGAGGCGCGGCCGGCATGGCAGTCAACTTGGGTTGCTCCACAGCAGCGGCCGCAGCGTCAGCCGCAGCCTGATCGGACCCGTCGCCATGCTCCTCTCTGCAAAGTGGCAAGCATTTCGTAGAGTTCAAAGTCAGGTGATAGGGAAACTGGCAGCGACGGCAAGTGGTCCATCCTAAAAGAAAACATTGACTGAAAGGTCAAACGATGACAAATTTGCAATATCTTGCACTGGCGCATAATGCTAATTAACCAGAAGCTGACACGGCGAGGTGTGTGTCAAGCAGAAGGTAGTCAATCTTCCAAGTAACCGGCGTACTGAAGGTAACCGCTATTGAAACTAGCCTTACCCGGTTGTGTTGTCAGGTATACGTTGCACAACGCCAGCATCGAGAGTCTCAGGCGCTGGCACGCCAGCCCCAACGGCATCAACACCTGAGCCATCTCCGGCCTCCTCCTCGGGCTCTTCAGACTCGCTACGCCGCCGCTTATTGGTACGTACTTCCTCACTCATGGCCTTGGCGTCGTTGAGAAGCAGCAAGCGACCAAGCTTCTACACGTACGGACCTGCATCACAACGTTACAAGGCACAAGGGAAGGACTGAGAGCGCATCGAATGATAATGTAAAAAAGTGCGAGGAACGTATGTGTTAAAGCGATAGGCGTGCAAGAAAGCATAGCAAAGAGGAAGGGAAGGCAGGACAAGGTTGGTTTGGGACGCGCAGGCTTCCATAAAAAGCGCACGGCCAAACAACGTAAGCTTCGCTGTTAGGAACTGTCATGTATGTGCTTATACCTATGTGGGCAAACGCAGGATAAAAGGAGAAGCCTAGAGAGCAAGCTTGTCATGGACAACCGAGTCTTAAGGGGCAGCTCGCTATCGCCGCACAAACACTCTTCAACAACAGGCGGCCGCGAAAGAGGACCATAAACATAAAACAAAATGCAAGACAGCAGTCTATGAGACCAAGGAGAAGGTCTCGGTCAAGCAGTCGCACCAGGCTCAGGTGGTTAAGTCCTCCACTCCACAGGCGCCTGGGACTCCGCACTCTTGAGGCAAGCAGATATATTGGTAGGCTTGACGATTTGGAGATACTACGTCGTCTGAAGGAGGCTTAAATGCCTTGTCTGCGGTCTAGTTCAATTCGGTGGGCGGGGACGATGATGCTTCCCCAGGAGGGTGGTGTTCGCTCTATGATAGCTTCCGGTACAATGTTAATGGTTAAGTATTAAGATGTGCGTAACAGGATTGAAAGTCTCTTGGTTGCCAGGGTGTTATTTGTTTCAGGAAGGGAAGCGCCGATGACTCCAGGGGAGCTCTTCCCCCAGCGACCCCATGTTGACCAGCTCGTTGGCTCGCTGGCTTGGGCCACTGTAACGGCCGATGTGTTATATTTGGTTATTCAGACGCATGGCTTGGAACATGTTACCCAGCGGCCGCCCCAGCGGCACGGCCGTCCCGTCACATTCAAGCTTTCCTTGTCTTGTGCTTATGAAGCCAACCTAAACCGTGCTACCCATGATTAAGCATCATTTGCTTATGTCATCTATTGCACTTCCATAGCTCCAGCCCTACCTTTCGCTGTATAGGCCAACATGCTAACTGAAATTCAACGAGATCAGCAAGCTGGCTAGGAAGCCTTGGCTTGCAATTCTGGTGTTACCTATTCTTTCGCTTAAGGGTGTCTCGTGACACTTCGTGGCCATGCTTTGGGTGCACAGGAGCTCTGGTTTGTCCCTTTTCCCCTGGGTCGGTTGGGTTGCGTTCAGGCACGATGCTGTGGAAAGGTCTTCGTAACTCCGTTTAACTTATTATCGATAGTAGTCGCTGCGTTATGCATGTGGCCTTGCGGACTTGTGGGCAGAGGGGCACGTACCGGTAACTAGGGAGGGGGTAAGGCGGAGAGGCAAGGCATACAACTTTTTGTGCTAAGTGACTGCATATTCATACCAGTCTTCAATGCCTTACTCAATGCTTATGGGGGCAAATTGGGCAATTAAGTTGAGCGACCTATCCATCCGCATCAACGCTGCACTGATAGGCTTAGGAGAGGCAGCCAGGCAAGCGCCTTACCTGTGAGGACTAGTCTCTGATAAGAACGAAGTAGAATCACTAGGACTGCGTTTGTGTTGGGTCCGTGGGTTACGGCTAAGAAAGCAAACACTGCTGCATACGAGGCTGCAGCCGTTTGACATGAATTGCTGAACGGTGGAATTATCAATAGCGTTTTGTTATTTTTCTGTCGTGGTTTTCGTTACTAACGAACAGGCTGTGTCAGATGACTGTCAGCCCGCCGAGGGGTTGGGTCCTTAAAAGCTCCCAAAACACACTCATGCTATGGCTAGCCGATTGCAAGATATGCCAGCCTAGGCGCCCCCTCTCCGTGATACCATCCGAAATACTTAGCACGCCCCATAATGCCTTCCTTACGGGCCTACAGCAGAAAAGTGCAATGTGGATCCCCGCAAGTAACGCACCCCCATCCTCTCGGCATCGCCACAACAAACGCGTCCCCATGCAAGTGTCAAGGGGACACACGCCCTGCAGCCTCCTACATAAGCTTGTCATATGGCATTGGAGTGTTGCCCATGAACATCCATGACTGTGTGCCTTTCACAACATCCAGGGGCAGTGTCCGCACTGCTGCTCCTGGAATGCCCAAGTGCCCTAGCCACACCATCCCCGTGGTCTCCTCAAATCCAATCCACAGTCTGCAGCGCCGAGTGCTATCCGATGCACCAAACCGCAACCGCAGTGTCGCCGGAGGTTTCCAGAAGGTACTAGAAGATGCAGGAAGACACCACGTGCCGGGTAAACACTTGAAGGCCTGGAACGCATGTTTTCCCCGGAAACGCACATGCAAGACTTACGGCAACGCACTCAACCTCACCAGCGGTGTTTTTGGTGGGGACATCATCTTACGACTGCACGGTACGCTCCCACACGCGGCCAGGTTTCCTAACACGCACCCTTGAAGGACAGCTATGGCCAGTGCGGCTACGCACGTGCGTGCATCACTCGTGGCCAACCCCCCTTGCATCTGCCAGTGATCGCAGCCCGATTCCCTCCGCACATACATGCTTGCATGGCCTACTGCCCAGTTACCAGTAACCCGGGGTTGGCGCAGAGCATGCAGGGTTTCTGCACTGCGGGGCTTACCGTACTACGTCCAAAATGAATGCGTTGCACACAGCTTTAGAGGAATGGATCCGTGCTGGCCATGAGTCCGGCAAGGTAACCGCTGCCCTGTCTGCACCCTGTCCCCCGCTAGCCGTAATTTCGGAGCACGGATTGAAACTAACAAATGACGTACACGCTGCGGTCGTACAACCGACATCTGCTCATGCAGTCCACAGGTATCTGTGAGATGCCCACCTACATGCGTGTATCGTATGTGGCGGGGGGGAAAGAGGAAGACAAGTAGCTGACCGTGTGGCGCGGGAAGGTGGTAACTGGTGAGGGCATCGCACGTCACATCACATCTCTGCGGCTTTGCATGTAGTTAACCCCCAAGGACGCGGCTTGAGATGTAACACCACCATCCAGGTTGCCGCACGCTTGTTGCTACCGGTGTTCGCCCACACTGCCTGGTGTCAACACCCTTTCAGCCGCGAGTACAAACTGCCTACCGTAAACTACCGGTACCGTTGAGAGAACACCCGGTCCCTCATGCCGTACAGCGCTTCAAAAGCGCCGTACATAGATGCGGGCGTGCCCGTCCACAAACTACCCCTCCCCCACAGCTCACGGTCAGTTAGTTGTTTCCTCTTTACCCCCGCAGCTCCAAAGAAGCCCAAGAAGATAAACCCAAGAGTCGACGGATGAGGTCACTCAGCAACAACAGAAAGGGTTCGATTCATATCACCCGCGTTCCCTTATATGGGGAACATTCTACAGTGAATCCCTCGATAAAGAAAGCAATGAAAAACAACAACACTTCACCCTACCCCCCCCCGGTTCTTTCACCTTGGCGTTACTACCTTCACCCGCGGCATCACTATACGCATGGGGTGGCGGCATCTGAGCAACCCTACACACCTAACACACCCCCACAACAACTGTGGAGAGCCCGCCAGCAGCAGGCCCTACGCATGCCAGCACGGGTGGCCGCAACGGGATGCATACCGCTAGCTGCACGCCTCCCACTGCCCCACCTGGTCCCCTACCATCTACCTCGCATGCCCGCACGCACGCATGCATGCACAGCAGGGATACTACCGGTAGATACGCACGCGGTGACCGCCACCTCCTTATGCCGCATGTTTGCCGCACTATAACCACTACAGCAGCCGCTGTCCTTGCCATTGCTGTACTGTCGCAATCAACCGCTACTGCTGTTGTCGTACAATATTACTGCAGTTGTCGTATTGCTACGGCTACGGGCCTACTGCTAACCCCAACCCTGCCACCCCCACTCAGCTCGTATCCATGGTTCCGTCTTCTGCTGCTTCCCGTCCCTGCTCCTCCTCCTCCTCCATCCCCGCCTCCGTCCCCATACCTTGCTCCCCTTCACCCTCCGCCTGCCCCTCCGCCGCCCCTTCCTCATCATCCATCCCCTGTCCCTCTTCACCGCCCTCTCCTCCTCCGCCTCCTCTTTCTTCTTCCCCAGCGTCTTCACCAGCCTCCTCCTCCTCCCCTTGTCCTTCCTCCATCTCCATAACGCCCTCCTCCTCTACCTCCTCCTCTTCCTGCTCCTCTTCTTCCTCCTCTTCCGGGGCAGGAGAAGCGCTGCGAAGCGATCGCTTCCTGCTACCAGCCGCCCCAGCTGCCGTTACCGTTACCGTTTGCCGGGTGTTTCGGAGCGCCTCATGGAGCATCTTGTCGTACGCTGCCGTACTGTAATCCACCTCCTTGCGAGCGCGCCGTGACCTGTGCTCGATGACGGCGTGGGAACACGGGGGGTTTCAGTGCAGGTGCCGGGGCGAAGGCACGCGGTTGTACGGCAAGCCACCTTTACTACTCGGCAATGCGACGTTAGGCTAGTACGGTATGTAGTAAGGTACGGGGATTACCGTACAAAAGAGAGCTCAAGGAGGCAAGCGCTTGGACGTTCGCTTGTTACCCAGCCAGTCCCCACCTGCCATGTCGCCATGAAACAACCCCAACCCACCCACCTCGTGGCCCCCAGGTACTCCGTCCCCAGTGCCGCACGCAGCCGCGACTCCAGCTGCTGCTTCCGCTCGCGACGATCCAACTCCTCGACCAGCACCGAAACCAGCTCAGTGGAGATCTGGAAGATGGGGCGGAGGCGCGGGGGTGCGGAGGAGGAGGAGGGGGCGAGGTGAGGTGGGGGCCCAGCGAAGGGGGAGGCAGACACGGGCAGGCGGTACCCTCCCCCTGCCGTACCTTGTCTGCCAGGTCCCTGTCCTGCTGCTTCCTGCTACCGGTGCGCATCTCCTCCGCGGCGCCCCCCAGCCCCTCCGCACCAACACCCAGCAGCTCCCAGCGGCCTGCGGGGGGGGGGTGGCAGCGTGTGAGGGCAGCCGGTGAAGCGGAAGGTGGGCATCGGGCCAATGTGGATGGGGAGGATCGCACAGTTGTTTGGTTGAGTTGACTTCACACACCTGCAACGGCCTCCGGCGGCAGTTCGTACATCATGTACGGCGGAAGGGCCTTCTGCCCCTTCGCCTTCTTCGTCTTGGCGCCTGCGCTGCCGCCCTCCGCCGCTGCCTTTCCGCGGCCCTTACCGCCGCGCCCCGAGGCCTCCTGGGGTGGTGGCGAGGGAGCCCGCGGCTTCTTGGGCCTGATGCATGGGGGGCGGGGGGCGGTGGTGAGGAGGAGGAGGAGGCGGTGGTGAGGAGGAGGAGGCGGCGGAGAGGAGTAAGCGGGATTTGGGACATCAGACGAGGCGGCGGCTGTGAGCGTTAGAGCTGTGTCTCCTCAACGTTTTCGTCCTTTTCATAGCTTTGCGTAACCCCAACACAACCCCTTGCGCCCGCATAGCCTGTACAGCTCGTCCGTTTCCCCATCCTTTTCCCTCCCCGTTTTGAGTTATACCCCAACCACGTCATCCCCCCCCCTCCCTCCCTTTGGTTTCCTATGGTTCGGTATGGTCTTTGACCCCCTCCCTCACTTGGGCCAGCTGGGCGCCTGCTCACGGTACAGCCGCAGCTGCAGGTCCGGCAGCCGACCCACAACCCACAGCGCCGCGCCGTTGCTGTCGTGACCCAAGGGTCGTTTTCGGACATCGTCGACCGTCAGTGGCGGCGGCGGCGGAGCCGAGGCGTCGCCACGGCGGCGGCGAGTGACGGGTTGCGCGGCAACGGGGCCAGCACTGGGGGCAATGGGGGTGAGGGGCGAGAGGGGTGTAAGGAATAGACGTACTGAGCCACGAAAAGAAACACTGAGCGTGACCATAGGAAGACCCAATGATAATGGCGCGGGGAAGGAAAGCACAGGAACGTAGCGCATGGGGTAGCAACACTATGCGGGCACGGGATCTCAAAAATGACCGCGACTGACGTGCCATACTCATGCGCCACATGCCTCTCGTACATGCACTCACCGGCCGCCCGCCGCCTTCTGCGCGCCCCCCTTGGCACCTCCCGCTCCCGCCCCTGCTGCTGCTGAGGTCCCCCGGGGCGGCACCAGCAGCGCATCTATGGCGCCCTTCACGTCCTCCCTCTCCAGCCGCATGTCGCATAGCAGCTTCAGAGCCAGCACCCTGCAGCATGGGGGAAAGGGAGAACAGGACGGCGAGCAAGAGGGAGAGAGACAGGGAGAGGGAGAGGGCGGGGGAAAACAGGGTTGGAAGGGCGGGGGCAAGGGGTAATATGTGAGGGGTGCGAGATGAGGAGTGTGATGGGAGGAAGCGGAGTCGTTTGGGCTTCCTAGGAAGCCCCCTTGCTTGCTGCTTCCCTCTTGACGGCCCCCAAGAACCCCCTTCCCGCCCACTTGCCACCTCCACCTTCCACCCCACAACCCTCCTACTGGCTTGGCTAATTCGGGCTGGGTGGGTCGGGTTGGCTCACATGTTGCGGAACCATGATGACGTGGGAACACCCCCACACCCCTCCTCACCTGTTCCTGGGGTGCAGCGACGCATACTCCCGCCACTCGTGACCCTTCTCAGCCCAGAACGGCAGCAGCGGGTCACCTGCTGCCCCCGCCCCCTTGCCCGCCCCTCTCCCTCCTTTGCCGCTGCCGCCAGCTGGGCCCCCCTCACCACTGCCCCCTCCCCGCTCCTCTGCGTCCTCAGACCCGCCTCCGCACGCCCGCTTGGCAGCTGCACCTGCACCCCCGGCTGCTGCTGCTGATTTTGCCGCTGCTGCCGCCGCTCCGCCACCGCCACCACGGCCGCTTGCGCTCCCAGACCCCGCTATCGCAGCAGCGGCTGCAGCAGCAGCAGCTCGCCTGGGCCTAGCAGCCTCTCCTGCCGTGTTGCTGCCGCCCCCACCAGCAGCCTCTGCTGCCGCCTTGCCGTCAGCGGACTGCCGCTGCCGTTTTCGAGCAGCCCCCTTGCCCTTCTTCCCCTGCTGCTGCTCCTCCTCCTCCTGCTCCTCCTCCTTCGGTTCCTCCTTGACCGGCCGCTCCGGATCCCCCTCCTGCTGCTCCTGCTTCGGCTGCTCTTCTTCCCCTGTTGCAGTGCCACCCTTGTCATCACCGCCTCCACCGCCACCACCATCAGCTTCCACGGACTGGGATTTCTGCTTCGGCTGCTGCTCCTCCTCCTCCTCTTGCTTCGGTGCCTGCTGCTGCTTCCGCTCCTCCTCCTCTTCCCCCTGCTTCGTCGCCTCCTGCTTCCCCTCCTTCTCCTCCGGCTTCGTCCCCTGTGGCCCCTGCTGCTGCTGCTGCACCCCGGTGGTTGGCAGCGGCGGCAGGGGTCGGTAGTAGTCGCGCGGGTGGCGCCCCGGGTGCAGCCAGCGGTACTCGGACGCCAGGCGGTGCGACAGCACGGAGGGCCAGGAGGACTCGGCATCCAGGCGGGAGGAGCGCCGGGTGACGCCCTGTGGGGGGAAAGGCGGGGGGGGGCGGGAAGAGGGGAAGGCGAGGAGGTGGATTGGCATTAATTGAGCGAAAGAAGAAGAGGGACGGGGCAGGTGGGTTGAATTGCATGTGGTAAGGGAGCTGCCGGGTCTGTATGACGGGCGGGGAAAGGAAGGGTTCGGTTCCGTGCGCATACCTCTCCCATGCCCCTTCCTTACCTCCCTACTCCTTCTCCCTCTCTCACCCCCTCACCCCCTCCGCCTCTCACCTGCAGCAGCCCCCAGTGTAGTCGGCTCAGCATGCTGCCCGGCGCCCCCACCCCCCGCACCAACTCGTCCGCCAGCATCTCCCCCGACCAGCACCCCTCACTCAGCACACCGCACAACACGCCGCAGCCGTCACCGTCCCCGGCGGCAGCAGCAGCAGCACTGCCACCGCTGCGGTTATTGTGGGTGGTGGTTGCAGCGGAGCGGTTGCGGTTGTTGGCGGTTGCGGTGGAGGTGGCGGGTGGGGGTGCGGTGCCGCAGAGGACACCTCGGAAGGTGGACAGGAACTCCAGTACGGCGGCGAACTGGGGTGGGGGGTTAAAGAGGAAGAGGGGGGAGGAAGAAGAGGGGAGGAAGAGGGTAGAGAGGGTTGGGGAATTAGGGTAGACCAAACCATAGATCCGCACATGAGATGATGGAGGCGTACCCCTTGCACCGTGCCCCTTGACCGCTTCCTTCATCAACCTCCCTTCCACGGCACTTAAACCCTAGTAGGCTGCACTCCCCCAACCAGCAGCACCCCAGCCTCACCTCCCACATACCGGACACCTCCGCAATCGCCTCCTGCGCAGCTCCCTCCTCCACATTGCGAACCAAGCTGGCTGGATCGTCCGCGTCCGACTCCGACCCAGATTCCGTTTCCGACCCAGATTGCGAATCTGACCCAGATGATCCCCCCGTTGATGCGTCGTTATCAGATCCAGACGCTCCCGACCCGCGGGACGGTGAGCCCTCTCCCTCCGCGCCACACGACCGGCTCCTTCGCTTCCGCCCTGCTGCTGCTCCGTCAGCGCCGTCGTCCTCTCCATCCGCACGCTCCTCTTCGCCCTGCATACCCTCCTCTCCCTCCCGCTCTGCTTTGGCCTTGCTGCTGCCGCCACCGTGACGATCCCGCCGGTCGCGCTTGTCACCTGACTTGGATGACGACCCCTTCTTGCTGCTCTTTGACCTTCTGCCGTCTTTGTCCTCACCAGCAGCAGCAACACCTGTGCCGGGCGGTTTCGGAGCCGGTGGCGGCTTGCTGGACCTCAGACTCCGCACCCGCTCGTTCTCCGGCCGCACCACCGGCTGAGCCCACTTGGGCTTCTTACGGGGCGGGCTATCCAGGGCCGCGGCGGCTGCCGCACCAGCCGCGTTGGGGGCAGCGGCGGCGGCGCCCCCGCGGCGCTGACGCGCCGCGGCTACGCCGCTGGCACCGCCTGCGGCGGCGGCAGCGGCAGCTGGGGCCGCCTGACGGCGGCCCCGTCGCCTGTTGTCGTACTCCTCTTCGTAATCCTCATCGCTGCTGTCGTCGCGGCAACCGGCGTCAAGACTGAAGTCGCTTCCGGAGCCGTCACCGTCACCGTCGTCGTCGTCCTCGTCGAAGCCAGCGGCCCCGCTGCCACCATCACCCTCCGCCTCCTCCTCCGCCTCCATCTCAAGATCGCCCTCATATGGGGCTTTGGAGGCTGATGGCTTGGCTGGGCCGCCGCCCTTGCCTGCTGCCGCTGGTGCCGCTGCTGCACGTGATGTGGGTGCTGCAGAGGAGAGAGGCTTTTGCGGTGCCGTAGGGCGCGCAGCAGCAGCAGCAGTGGCAGCAGCAGCTGCGGCTGCTGCTGGACCAGGCAGAGCGGTGCCTGGTCGCGGAGCTTGCTGCGGGTATTCACAAATAGCCCTAAGCGACATTCCTGGGACCTGGCTGGGTGGTAGCGCAGTAGTTGTTTCAGCCGCTTTCACAGGCTGGACTATGTTACCGCGGATAGCTTCCAGCTGTCGGTCCGGATCACCGCGGTCAACCAAGACTGATTCATGGGCGGCTGCTTTGTACTGATAACTGTCACCAGCGGCTTGTTGCGCGTCCAGCTCGCGTAAATCGTGCTGCTTTGCTCCCGTCAACGCGCAGCCGCCCAAGGTAGCCTTCGCTATTTCCTGCGGCTGCACTGGTATAGCCTTTGTGGCATGCACGGGTGGTACGATGGCCTCCTCTCCGGCCATCTTGCGCGCCGGTCAGGCTACCAAGCGGAGAGCTATCCTGGGTTAGCTCCTGGCCATACGAAAAGCCACCCCAAGAGAAGAAGCTAAATTACCTAGCCAAGGATTGTGTAGTATTGTCTGTGCGTGCAAGCAGTATCAAGCCGAATCGTAATGGCGGGGTAAGCGGAGGCAGACCCACCCGCCGCCTACAATTGAAGGGAGTTTTAAGAAGCAGTGGGTTAAAGTTCCGCTTATCGGTCGCTCAAGCGTGGCTCGTGCTATCGTCCAGCCACCGCCTTTGTACGGCACATTTCGCATCGAAAGGCCATTTTCCTAAGGAAAAGCTCCTCTCTTATCACAAGCATGACACTAATATCGAGGGAAGCAAGCCATAGGAATTGCTGCTTACGAATTGAAGAAGCTATCGCAGTCTTGTTTTCCTCCTTACCAGAACAACCGACGCTTAAACGAACGAGAGGCCATTTAGGACAAAAGCACTGCCAGCCCAGCCTGACGTGTCAGAGCTGGTTTTCGGTCTACGAACGGCACGTTACGTGTCTTTGCAGTCAACGCTGAGGAAAGGGATGGCACACAGCTGGATTCCTTCGGATCCAGCACTGCGTTTAACCTCTTTCACGTCAGGTGGGGGGCCAGGTAGGTGGGGTCAGAAGACCCAAACAGCAGGGGCTCTGCGCTTCCACACAGCTGCCCATAGCTGTCTCACGCTCGGCTAAAGTTCTCCCGTACGTCCCCAAGCGCGCGAGGCGCTGATACCACCATCATTTGACTGGATATGATGGCTATGGTACTAACAAGCCACCGGGGCTACTGCTTTGTCGGCCCTAACGTTCGTAGCTCGGGCTCACCATCGAGGTACGGCAGCAATTAGAATGGCTTCCACAATTCAGCGGTTACAGTTAAATGTCCTCCGCGTGCAAGTGTAGATGTCCAGGAAGAGCTCATGAAGCTCTAAGCCGGAAGCCCGGCAGGCAAGGAACGCCCTCTGCGTCAAAGGAGCAACACAACACCAACCATGGGAACTAATGGCAGCCGAGATCACGCTTGTCGTACAATAATCGTACACACCCTTGGAACATCCATCCTACCCCTGCCGCCAACTTTCCGCCAAAATCCTGCTCCTTTGCTATAGCTTGTTGTTCACCTCGAAGCTCTGATCACTTGCATAATGAGAGAAAGGGTCAGCAGCACGCGTAAAAACATAAGACACCGCACCCACACCCGCACCCTGACTTATGCCCATCGTTGCATGAAGTGGTGGCTAATTAGGAAATGGGGGTTGGATTCGTTCATTTTGAGTACTTACGAGCTTCTGCGATGATTGCGGCTACGCGTGTTCTCCTTACCCACCTGATCACGCAAAAACTTATGTTATCACCTGTTATCACGTTATCTATATCTCACAACAGTTCGCCCGGTCCACCTACTTCCAAACCAAGCTCTGAGCGTTTGCATGCGCCCAGTCACACACCAAGTATCACACAAACCCCTTAGGGTAAACAGCGACACCAAGACGCGCGTGTCAACGCTATCCTGCCAGCTGCTGCCCATCTCTGATGTCATTATTTGTGCCCATGCTGCTCCTGCTGCTACTCCCGGCCTGCAAAGTGATCGCCAGGTACCGTATAGCGCTGGCCCCTACTGCTGAGTGCCGCCTGCCACGTTGATCGCAGTGTCCAGGATCTGCAGGTGGAAGGAGAAGCAAGGGAGTTACTTGAGGGAAGGAGGAGGACGGGAAGAGTATTCTAGGACTTCCGATAGGGAGTGTCGGGCGGGGGGCGTGTTTATATAAGTTACACGCGTAACTGATACATACACGAGCGTGCGTTCGAAGGTAGGTCGGTGGCCTTCCGTGTGGTAAACAGGACAGGGCTGGGGAGCAAAGGCGATCCTGGCTAGGGAATCCTTGCCAGCTATCAGTGGTGTCATGTGAGTCAAGGGGGAACGTTGCCGTGGCGGTTGCCGTACATTAACGACATACCCTGCCGTACAACCGTATGACTCACCCATGCAGCCAGATCCACCATGTTCCTGTTGTACGCGTTGAGGGAGGCTGGCAGCAGGGTTCTGCAGCAGAGGGAAAACATGGGACACAGGAAGAGGAGGAGGAGGGAGGGGGCAGCAGTAGTGGGATAATGGACAGAGGACGGATGGCCAGAGAGGCATGGGGCTGTTTTGTGGGATTAGGGAGGCTGATGAGAGCTGCAGGCGTTATGCGTACGAGACTATGCACAGAGGTCTCCGCTGCAAACCAGTGGGGAACATGAGGCGGCTGAGGAGCCTAGCTTAACACAGGGAACTGCCAAGTGCCGCAGATTCCGCTAAATGTACAGGAACGCGAGTAGTGCATGGCAAGGTCGGGCCCAAGCGTTTAGGGGGCGAATGTGCTGCAGCCCCTCCCAACCCGAACCTACTCTTGGGACTGGCGGGCCAGGTCAGTGAACTCCTGGATGTAGGCGTTGTCCTTATACTTCTGAACGGAAAGGCAGTACGGCACTCATGCACTTTAGTAACCTCTCGTATACGCTTGGAAAGGTTTCGGGCGGCGGTGGATTTTGGTTTCGGGCGGACGGAGGTAGGGAGGACATCGAAAGGGGTGAGCTCATGCAGGGCACACGAAAGGCCACACGCATGAAGGGTGCTGATAAATAGACAATGGAGGAAATGGAGTGCGTGCAAAGCACCTCAGCGAGCACGTCAGCACCTCAGCGGGGGGAGCGGGTGACATCGTACGACACCAGATGCCCACAAACGTGAATCATCAGCCGCCATGCACACCACCACCACCAACTGCCCATCAGCAGCCATCCACACCGTGCACATTGTTGCCCCTGCTGCCTCCGTAACCCCCCCACCCCCACCCCACCCCCACCCCACCCCAGCTACCCACGCACCTGCTGAAGCTTCTGCGCGGATAGACCTGGGGGGCAGAAATGTATAGACAGGAAACCACAAGTTAGGGCAGAGCATGGGGGATAGGAGGCGGCAGGGGAGGGGGTTGGAATGCGGTGCAGTGCCCAGCAGACGCCTTCAGCCTTCAGCATCCCCATCCATTTTATTATAACCCCCACCCACCACAGCCCGTTTGGAGTAGTAACCCTAAACACATCCGCTGCCGTCTCCAGCCGCCACCAACCCCCGTGCATGCAGCTGCCTCTTCAGGCCAACAAGGCAGGCGATGACTCACCGTCAACGCCGCCCGCCAGCAGTACCGAAACACCCGCAATGAAAAGCGCGCCTCCAACGATGCCCAGAATGGAGCCAGCGAGACCGACACCCAGCGAGATCGCCGCCACAACGAAAGCTGGGCCGTTCTGTGAGGATAGAACGTTAGGGACGGTTGGAGGGACGGTTGGGTAGGTGGGTAGTTAAGGCAGGAGAGTGGGGGAGTGAAGGGTTAAACAACACAGGTGCGCCCAGGAAGAGTGGGCCAAATTTTAAGCTCAGTCGTCGTGCTCTCGTGCAGTTTCAATCAGTCCCCTGTACAATTCCGTACAGCTCATCCGTGTACAGTTTAGCCGTACACACGTATTACCGTGAATATGTCCATGCCCAGGTTAGCCAGGCTGGCCCGTACGGCCCTCAGGTCGGCGGGGGTGAGGACGGGCAGGCCTGCAGCCCGAGCCAGGCTGGCACTCTGAGCCATGCCGGCCTCGCCGCTGCCAGCACCCAACAGGATGGGCATGATGGAGGTAAAGTCCTGCATGCAGGTTGGGCAGGTTGGGAGGGTGGGGGATGAGGATTGACGAGAAGAAAGCGAGGGGAGGAGGAGAGTTGGGGGCGGGGAGGAGGATGGTGGGGTTTAGGTGACAAGATGGCCCCATGTGTTGCGGTGGGGCCAGAGGGGTAGCGTGTGCTGCTCTCCATCCATCCCCTTCGCTCCTTCCGTTGCCGTAATTTATGTCTCGGCGCGCCTAGCGGCCAATGCCTGCCCCCTCACAGCCCCGACGCGTCCGCTCCCCAACGCCCTAATTTGCGGTTTCATTAGGCACGGCATGATTATCCTCAAGGCTTCCCTCATGGTGCCCCCCTCATGGTTTCCCCCTCATCGGCGCTCACCGTGCGTCCGCCGGTGGTGGCGCTCCTCAGCGCATCCGCCGCGCTGCTCCAGGTGTTGAGCGCGTCGGAGGAGAGTGGCACCGCCAGACCCAGTTTCTGGTGGGAGCGAGCGAGGTGGTTGGAGTGAGGTGCAGGCGGAGTTGGGTTGAAGTAATAAAGGGATAGGAATCGGGGCTACTATCGGCACTGATAACCATGCATGTATGTCGTAACGAGTCAAAGAGCACCTCCTGACAGAAACTATGACACACAAGGCCGCCATGACACACGGCCATGCTTGGAGTGGTCCTGCCGACCACCGGTACCCTTTTGTGGCAGGGCAGCGCCACATACCGCCGGGTGCCGCCTACCTTGGCGTTATCCCGCAGCTGCTCAAACGCCTGCACCAGCTCCGAGTTAGACACCGCCTCACGGCCCGCAGCGGTCATGGCGTCCAGGTTGCCGCCCAGGCCGGCCTGGTTGAGCATGGCGCCCAGGTTCTGAGGGGCAGCGGCGTAAAGAGGGAACAACTAACTGACCGTGTGATAAGGCGTCATCATGGTTACGGCTGCGAGGCGTGCGGTTTGAGGGGAAAGCATAACACATACCTAGACGCCTGAATGCGCAAGGTGCCCTAGTCGGGAGTTCCTTCCCAACACCCTCTCCCTCCCGCTTCCCCGTGCTAGGCGTAGGTTTCGCTCGTTTCGCCTCCATGTCACATCACACGTCTGCTTGTACTCTTGTTCCCTAGAGCAAAGGTATGGGCTCCACCGCACCTGGATGTTCTTGCCGGTGCCCATCTCGCGGAACATGTCAGCTGCGCTCTGCAGCATCTCACCGCCAGCAGCTGCTGGGGAGCGAGGAGGGGTTACAGGACAGGAGGCAGCGACACACAGCAGGCACATTAGGTGCAAGCAGCAGACAACTATTGCTGCAAGACGGCATTATTACGTGCTTCCAACAAGCACGAGGGAGACAACACACGGGAAGTGAGAAGTCGAGAAGTCGAGGCAGAGCAAGCAGATTCTTTACTTGTAGATTGTTCCACTGCCGTACTTACAGATGTTGAGGGGCCGGGCGGCCAGCGTGTCCGTCATGACCTTGGCCAGGCCCTCGCTCATGGACTGGGAGGAGGGGAGTTGGAACGGGAAGCCAGTTCAAAGCCAATTTCAGGCATGCATGGGCGGTACGGGTCTACTTGCATGATAGCTAATGACCCATGGGTCGAAACTACCGTATGAGCCCCATGGTCGCCCCGCCCGCGCTTGGAAGTATTTGAAGTATTGAATGCATGCTCACTCTGAAGTTCAAGCCAGAGTCGGAGTTAACTGCGGTTGTAGTCTTGGTGCTGCCGCTAGGGGGGTTGGTGGCGGTGACCTGGGCCGCAGCCTGGAGGGAGGACGTCGGAGAGGCAGGCAGCAGGCAGTCAAGGAAGGGGGCAGCAGGTGAACGGGGGTAACAGCTTGTCAGGAGTGGAGG